GAATCAACAATTGTTTAATACATCCTCGACCTAGATACGAAAGGATTTCCTCCCCGCTTATCTAGTATAGAAGATATAGCTAACCGACTACTTGCCGAACGCGATACGGGACGCGTCGGGACGCGTTAGGCTTATAACTTCGTTAAACGGCAACTATAACTCACTATACGTTTTAATCGGCAATATAATTACTAGAGGGCCAAATACAAAGATCTAAAAACCATTTATAGCTGGTTCGCACTTGTACGGAATATAATCGCGAAGTATGGCATCTAGGAGGCAGATATCTATAACTTTGACGAGACCGGGTTTCAGATAGGTATTATTTCAACCGCAATGGTTGTCATAAGCTCCGAATGGCATAGCAGGGCAAAGTCGAAGTAGCCTGGAAATCGGGAATGGGCAACAGTGATCCGGGGCATTAATACAACTGGCTAGGCGGTCCTACCATTCATTATCATCCAGGGCAAATATTACCTCTCCTCTTGGTACGAGAATAGCCTATTGCCGAAGGACTAGGTTATTACGATATCTAAGAATGGTTAGACGACCAATAAGAGAGGCCTTGAATAGATTTAACACTTCGATAAGCATACTAGAGCTCGAACAGCCAGGGTTTATCGCCTCCTTATCCTCAACGGCCATAATAGCCACTACTCGACCGACTTCGAGGTCTACTATAAGGAGAATAATATTATTACTCTCTATATACCTCCCCACTCATCTTATATCCTCCAGCCAGCTAATGTTAGGTGTTTCAGCCTACTTAAAGTAGTATACGGAAAGCAGGTTAAGGAGATAATATAGGCCGGTATAACCTATATTACTAAGGAGGACTTCTTTCCCGCCTTTTTTATAGCTTACCAGGCGGCGATAATACGCGAAAACATTCAAGGAGGTTTCCGAGGCACCGGACTTGTTCCTTTTGACCCCGACAAGGTGATCTCCCAGCTCGATATCCGGCTTAAGACGCCATCACCCTCGAACTCTCAGCCTAGCAATACCTATACCTTGGTCTCTAAAACGCCAAACAACCCGACTAAAGCCTTCTTATAGACCAATCTCATCAGAAATCGAATTGCCCGGCATCAGAATAGTTCGCCGACTAAGAATCTTAGAGCTATTGATATCCTTGCGAAAGGGACGTCCAAGATAATGCATCAGTTGGCATTGTTGAAGGCAGAGAACCAGAGCCTTCGAGCAGCAAATGAGACGCTAAGCAAGCGCCGGAGGGCAAAGAAACAACGTCTTCGGCAAGGAAGATCGCTTAGTGTATAGGATATACAGGATTTGCAGGGTCAGAGAGAGGTGGAGGTGCAGATCAAGGAGGAAACGCAGGCGGGTAGTGGTCGGAAGCCGAGGACCGAGACGCGCGCGCGGCGTTGTGGCAACTGCGGGGAGCCCGGCCACAATGCGCGCACCTGTCAGATAGTTGTGGAAACATCTGAAGAAGATGAGACTAAGTAGTTTCAATTGTTTTGAGCTATTGTGGTGGGACAGATAGAGTTTTGGTTGCGAAGGTTCGATTTTGTATGTCATTCGCTTGTCTGTGTCATTCGCTTATCATGTACGTTATATCTTATTATTATAGTATTTCCAAAGCTTTATCCTTATGTAAACTAGGTAATCTTTATTTTTATATTATTATATATTATTAGATTATTGTCATGAATTAACCTGCAGAGGCCGGCGGAGCCGACCTGCATGGTCTGCGGGCGGCGCCCGTGTCCAATCATTCTGGTCCCGGAACGAACCAATCAGAAGAGGATCACGCTCGGCTCAAGAGAGGTCTGGTGATCCAACTACAAGGCTCACAAAGGATCACTGGTGATCCAGAGCGAGCCAGTAGAAGGGGATCACCAGAGATGGTCAATAATCCATAGGAAACCCGTGGTATATAGGATAGCTAGTCATTCGTTCTGGTGGACTTAGGAAGTTCACCAGTGAGCAATGTTTCAAGCAGTAGCCTTCACCTATTGTGCAGACATTGCGGCTTGCAGTGTTGTGAACCCCTTAGCTTCACCGAGACCTATAGTCCGACTAGCAGTACCTTCGACCGGCGAACCCTTTCAGAGGCAGGACTGCCTGTGGTTTCGTCACAATAGGTTAAGAAGTTCGATGCCTAAGCGTGTCGAAGCCAAATATTTACTAGGCCAAAGGCTAGTATATAAAGCATTGAATTACATTGTCTTATTGGCACCTTTAGGAACCTCGAGAATCTATATTAAATGGAAATTGCCTAACGTACATGATAAGCGAGCGACGCACTTTCTACCACCCTACAGCAACTATCCTCAATTATAATATAACAACGCTAGCAACCAACTACAATTACATCAGAAATAGATGAATCAGATGATTCTACAGCCTCCTGGCAAGTGCGAGCATTATGGCCAGGCCTGCCGTATACCCTATAGCATCGAACCTTCGTACGAGCCCTCCCTGAACCGCTACTATCCGGCTGCGTTTCCTGCACTGTCTCCCCACCTATAGCGTTCTAATCTAGTAGATCCTTTGCATCTTGCATAGTAAGTGAACCTCCAAGCTGCACACGTGTTCTTGGCATGCCGGCGCTTGCTTAGTGCCTCATTGGCCTTGCGAAGCGAAGAGACCTCTGACCGAAGGAGGGCCACCTGGTGTATTATAGCTATCATACCCTTGGCAAGCTGGTCTATAGCATCCAACATTGAAGTTGGGGAGCTATTTTGATGGTTCGCAATGCGAGTCTTGATGAGTGTTGACTGTGCGTCGGCTTCTCGTAGGTTATATGGTATCTAGAAGACCTAGGGTTGCGCAGTGCTGGGCCGTGAGGTTGGGGGTGTTGGCGTACGAAGCTTTATATCTAGCTTAGAAAGCACCCGCTCTGGGTCGTATGGCATAAGGCCAGTCCCTGCAAAGCCACCCTATGCGTTCTTCTCTATCATAGAAGCAAAGAAGGCTTCTCGGAAGGCATAGAGGAACTTAAGCTTGCTGATGTGGTTGATATGCATGCGCATTAAGCCCTCGATCTGGCGACCGTATGCCTCTCGTGGCCGTCGAGGATCAACAACCGGTATATGCCCTTTGTTCGAGGTGCCATATGGTAATCGAAGTGCTTGATCCAATCCAGACCTACTGCATTGGTAGTCCAGCCATTATCGGTGGTTGCAATGCGCCAGGTAAGTGGTAGGTTGCACTCCCGGTACCAGTTACTCTGGTGGTACTATGCGGCTAGGATGATGAACGGAGGGATAACCCAGCCAAAGGCGTTGACTCTCTGGATCACAGTCGCCCACTCCCGATTACTAGGCTGAGCTAGTTTTGCCTTGCCACGCCCATCCGAGGTTATAACCACCATACCCGCGAAGATAACACCCATTATAAACCCAGTCTCATCAAAGTTGTAGACATCGTCATTGACAATCCTATATTTAGCCCTAGTATTCCACACAAGTGCAAACCACTCGCTGATAACCTATGGATCCTCGCATTTAGCCCTCTGGTAGTCGTACTTGCGTATATACCGCGTACGGAGCTCTGGCTGGCGTTTGACAAAGTTATAAGCCCAGCGTTTGCCGACAGGGGGCGCATCGCGTTCGCGTAGTAGGTGGTTGGCCATATCTTCCACACCACTTAATCTAGGTGGGAATGCGCGTGTAGATAGCTCAGTTATATACTGAACTATTGACTTCTCTTCTAGATCCGTGAGCTTACGCGAGTTGGCTAGAACATCGCGTCTTGTAGCACGTCCCTTGCGCCGGTGGCGAATCGTTGCTTCTGGAACGTTGTATAGCTTGGCTACCGCCCGGATACTGAGATTCTCGCTCTGTTTGATAGCTTCGAGGGCTAAAAGAAGCCTGGCTTCTTTTGAGGGGCTACGCATGGCTTGTTGCGGTGGTATTTGGTGGAAAAGTTTAGAGGAGGCGCGTCGCACTGAAAGTGCGACGCTCGCTTATCATGTACGTTAAGCAATGCGATCGCAATTGAATTTACAATTGTGGTGGTGATGACGGTGGTGCGGGGTCAGAAAACTCTGTGGGTGTTTTTTTGGGCACCCACTGTAAATCGTAAGAGGCTGAAAGAAGAGTGATAACCCTCTATAAAGACGCGGCCTCTCTCACTCTATTGTTCTATTATCATGCGCTGATGTAATACTGGCGGCTGCTGGTAACCCGCGGCGCCCGCAGCAGTGAGGAAGCATTCAGAGCTCTGCTATTGCAGAACCTCTGATGGTTCATGGCCTCGTTCAGATGTGGCCAGTCGGACATCTGAATGGTCAGAGGACGGTGAAAGGGCTCGGCCGAACGTTGCCATGCCATCAGTAGTGCCGTCGCTGACACGGCAAGAGGTGGGTGAGGGGAGGGGAGGGGGGGAGCAGCCTCTTGCGGAAAACGCAGGAAGACAACATCCGGATGCCAGCCAATGGGAAAACTACCGTACAAAGATCCGTTTCCAAAGGCTAACCTTTAGAGGGTGAACCGGACTGGGTAGATGTGTTGTACCACCCCTACCTGCAACTATAAGGACCATGGAAAGTCTACTGGCAACTTTGAGTGACGTCTGTGATTTGAGCAGAACTTCATGCAGGAACATTCAACAGGGTAACCAACTAATACTTCACTCCCAATGATGGTTCTTGCTGCCGAGGATAGTCCTGCGCCGCCCTATAACATAAGATCATTGTGGCGTCAGGCTACAATCTCTCAATCAATACATCACCAGCTGAGTGCGATCACCACCCGCTTGCCTGTTGTTACTATCCAGTCTACCCGACGCTACGGTTGCAGTAGACTTTATGGTCCCACCGACCAATGCCGCTAAGCGACCAGGAAGCAAAAGGAAGATGCGGACTGTCAGAACATGCGACGCAAATACTTCAAGGATTTTTGACAATGACGCCCACGACTGCGAGTCCTGACACTACAACATCTACCCGCTTCAAAGGCCCGCGTCTAATGTCGGACCCAGGTCATTGTTAGGCCTCTAGTTGAAGGAATCCCCTTCCAAGCTCGTCACAAAGGTCAACGTAGGCCTCATAGTCAAAGTCAGGGTCTTGTTCACCATCTTCGTCATCCTTGGTCCCTATGCTTTGTCCTTCATCCTCATTAGCTCTGATGTTTTCTCCGACATCCTCATTCGTCCCAATGTTTTCTTCTGCACCATCTCTGGTCCTTTTATTGTCGTTCGAATGCTCGGCTCGGTCATGCTGGGGAACGGGCTCCTAAGCCGGTCCTTCCTGTATCCGAGTATCGTGGCAACGGCGGTCATAGGCTCTGAAGTGGAATACACCCGCCAATTTTCCCCGTACCTGTTCAAGCTGGGCTTGGCACTTTCTAATCTGCTCAGGCAACGTGGCCGGCGAGGGTGATTCAGCGCGGGTACGGACGTAGAGGAGCCAGAAACCGGCGACGGGCTCGGCTGATGCCAGGTTCGGTATCTCTTGCGACGGGACGCCATCGGGGCCGAGGGCAAACACAAACGTCCGAATTAGGACATACTCCACATCATTGAGCCACCAGTGGTAGGACTCTTCGACCAGGTCTGATGTTACCCTATAGAAACAGTTAGAAGACGAACAACGATGGGAAAGCCTGCGACCACGAACGCGAACTTGTTATCGGCGAGTATCCTTTCCGCCCTCTGATCCGCAATCTCGACAACCTTACGTTGTGTAAGGAATGGGAACCGGGGATTTGTGGGTTCCGGAAACTCGGTCCACCTGAGGACACATTGAGTGTCGGCAGGGACAACGGCACTAGACGACGCCTCGCTAAGAATGTCCATTAGCATATGTGGCAGCCAGCCCTCGATAGTTCGGAAAGCAACTGACCTCGTCATGACATTGTGAACGCTTTCCGTGATATCGAAGCGTAAGTGCAGCACAGATGGTTGTTTGACAAGGATCTGGTGCAATTCTTGCCATCGGGCGTTGCTCGGTGTGGGTTCCCGCAGGACTTGTTTAATTGTGGGAAAGCCCTTGACACTTAGGTCTTGGGGTTGGTAGTGTTGGACACGCGTATAGGCATGTCGCTCGCGCATCTCGGTGTAGCCGCCCAGAAGGGCCCGAGCTCTGGCCACATCCGCATCGGCGACGATAGCGCTGAGGAAGATCTCGTGTGGCATTTCTGGATAAATATACTGAGGTGATGGTTTCAGTGAGGGCGGCCTATGAATGGATAATCTGAGATGGGTATTGAAAAATGCAGATGAAGTTGGTCGGGTCGAGGGAGCTACTTGGGAGTCCGAGCAAGTCGCTGCGGCCGTCGTAGAAATGGGCCCGGACCCACTCTAGCGAAGAATGGCGCACTTTCATTCAACAAAATGCAACATCTGTAAGATCGGCAGCAAGTTAATAATCTTGGAAAGTAAGGGCTGCGAAGTTGGTGGCTTTGAATCGGAATTTTCAAGACGAACACACGCGAATACCTCGAGTAGGACGTCGTTGAATGTTACGACCATGATTACGACGCTGTAATACTAGGGATTCAGTCCACTGTTAGACGAAGCAAAATCCCGCAAATAGAGTAATCGAGCCTGTGTCTTGATGTCAGGCTAGTAAGGGATATATATACATAGTAGTATAGAGTACTAGTAGTTGACTACTCGCGATGATGGCTACTAGTACGTTCAAGAAAGTGGGCCACGCTCTTTGCAGAGTAGAACATGACGAAGGATCGTCGATTACTGGCAGCCTACTTGTGGTCTTGTGCCCTGAATATGATGCCTCCTTTCTGTTCTTGCAAGTACATACGGCCATACCTGGTAGAAAACACGGGATCTCGTCCGCTCTCCCAGTAGTTAAGCAACCAAGGGCCGAACTAGTACCCAGGTGGGTAACCACTGGGGAATCCTCGGTGTTGTATGTTTTTGCAGTTTTTTACTGCCCTGCCGTTCATACCTTTTGAGCAAGGGGCTATCTCTACAGACCTTCGCCAGGCAACCATGTTTTATTGTCGTACGAGGCCCTTTCTTTCTCCCTTTCTTCTTCTGGAGTAACCCTTTCTCTCTTTCGTCGGCATCTTACCATTTAGCCAATCTACTTCTCTGGTATTCCCTCTATGTCCTACTGCTCGTCTACGAGAACATTGGCGTGTTGACCGACCATCGGCATCACCAGCAGCGGCTTTGACACAACAACGTCAGCTCAATCCGGGTGTGACTTTGTGGTATAGCCGAACCCTCCCATGGGCCAAGTTACCCATACTTAGCAATCAGCCTCCGCATGATCGACATGGCGCCGGCCCGATATCCCCCTCCGAACAGAGCGTAGTGGTTGAGATGGTGATATCTGCCACGACGTCAGCGATCTTATGCATGCTGTAGTACTTGACATGTCGGAGAACCCACAGTTCATACAAGGCAATCCGATCCTCCCACTCTTCCTTTGGCTCGGCGTTTGGGACCAGTGCCTCATATTCTTGCCAAAACCCTCTCCCAAACCCTCCAAACATACGCATGATTCCCAATTCATACTCTGAGTGCCCGTAAACGCAGGCCGGATCAAACACTACCTCCTCCACCCCTCCCTTGCCCGCGATGGTTCCCCGCCCGTGATTTCCGCTCCACAGATCACCGTGCACAACCACGGGTACCGCCCCCTTGAGATGGCCGTCCCCAAGCAGCCGGGGCACCACCATACCGGCCACCGTCTCCACCGCCTCGGCCAGTTCCTTATTTCGCCCGTTATTCCTAACACCTTCCCTCAGGATGGCTCTCAGGCGGTGCTCGGCATAAAACTCGGCCCATGACTCTGTCCAGGCGTTGTCCTGCTTAGTCGCACCACAGCAAGTTGGCACGGGAAACCCAAACATGGGCTTGGACAACCCTTTCGGGATCGGGGCCGGCGTTGTGTGGAGCTTAGCAAGCTTGGCCGCGAGAGACAAACCCGTGCCGCCGCCGCCGCCGCCTGTGGTGGCAGAAGTGCCCAAGTTGAGGAAGTCAGTGACGAGGAAGAATTCGCCTGGCGACGAACGCATGGCGCCGTGGGCGTAGGAGCGTGGGCAGAGCGTGGGGTCCACGGCATGGATGGCGTTCAGTGAGGCGTGTTCGCATGCGGAGGTGTTAGTCTCGACTGCGGAGAAGTAGCTGTGAGAGAGGGAGGGGGTGTTGCTGTACCTCGGAACATGATCTCAGCATCGGGCCCGGATTTGGTTTTGACAAAGTAGGCGATGTCTTCGCCATCTTTGGTTGCAACCAGCTTGAAGGTGGAGGAGAAGCCCGAGCCGCCATGGGGAATCAGCTTGGAGCTTGTTGCCTCGAGGCCTAAGGCCTCAAGGATTGCTGGATCAACGTTGGGAGGCATCTCTAGTGAGTTAAAGGGGAACGAGGAATGAAGCTCCGAGTGACGTCAGTTTCGACTGATTCCAAGCGATAAATGCATCCTGTCACTCACGGAGATATCTGCGAGACCACAACGCAAAAGCCTCTCTTCATGGGATCAATCCACGGCCTGGTAGTCCTTTACGTGGCGCTGCCAGGTGGCGGTTTGCCCGGCCCTTGTCGTACAGACTGCGCGGTGGACAAGCTTGTCGATTTATCAATTCAACTTGGGGTTCTTGTAGGTGGGGAGGAGAAGCCGCATTATTGGTGCTCAACCACTGAACTTCGTACGACTGCGCACCGGCCGGCGCAAATTGCATATAGAGCCCGCGCACACTCTCCCCTTTCAAGTCCATCTAACAGAGGCAAGCCTGCCATCCTCTCTCTGGTCACTTGATTCATTGGACAACGTCTTCCCTTCTCGGCTAACGTCACGGTCGAGGATTGAGAAGTTGAAGTCCTAAATAGCCTCTGAGAGACCATCAGCAACAGTCCCACAGTCGTTGCAACGAGTAACCTGCAGGGTCCATACCACAGGAGCTTCCCAGGTCGTAACATTGTTGATGTTCTGTTGGATCATTACTCCTTTCTTGCAGCTTTTGAATTGCTCGAACCCCCCCAAACCCCCCCAAACCCCCCGCCTCCCACCAGCACTGTGTGCGACAACTTCCGAGACCATGGCTCGGGAGTCCTGGAGGCAGTTTTGCATGCTGTTTCGGAGCAAGATCCTGGAGCTGGATGCCGTTGGAAGCATCTGTTATCATGATACTCAGGTAATCAGTGCTGCGTAGCCAGGATATTCATCTAGCTCCACTTGTATGCTTACCTCCTCCGGTACCTAGTTTGGGACTCAGAATAGGGTCTGCCGAGACGATGGACAGCGAGAAGCCATCCAATGTTTGATCAGGGCACGCAAGGCCGGCAGACACGGGATAATGACGGGAAACGCAACCTCAAGTGCACAACAAACAACATGGCGTTGACGTTGACGCCGACGACGAATAATATGGCGCCGTGGATCACGGTCCTAACTGTAAGATCGGTACCACACAGAATTTCGGTGTCGGTGTCAGTATGCATGGGCGAACGCGGACTCTTGGCGCATCGAAGACGCGGATGTAGAAGGCGAGGATGGACAACTTGGCCGCGGTGATGCAGAGCTTGAACACTCCAGCAGGATGGGTGACTTGCTCAGGGTCCAGTACAGCATGCCAAAGCGACTGGCGGGCGCGATGGTGTTGCAGCCCTCGCGGGACACGGAGACAATGTCCCCAAAGTAGCCCAGCTGGAGGAAGCCGTTAGTACCTGATATTAGCATACCCTGTGATGTATAGTCCAGGAAGTTTTACACTACATGCCGGGAGCGTGTGATAGGTCAACAGAGGTTGGCAGCCCGCAAGCGCGACGAACAACGACACCCAGAGGTACATCGCGAGTCGGTTCAATAGCAGCATCGTAAGTACGTTAAACGGGAGGCTTAATTCAAGTCGTATTCGGTCGTTTTGCTGCTTGGTTGAAAGTTCTCGACGCTGCACAACTAGGAGTAGCCATACTATACTCGGCTCTCCGGGGATGGGATTGTATTCCGTCAGTGGGAAGAAAGCATAGTGCCAAGATCTTTCCTGAACGACGAAGTAAAGAGCGTGGGGCGCAAGATGTGGTTTGGAATCGACCTCGTCTTCACTTCTCGCTGGCACGCAACCTGTCAGTGACATAGAACTATCGACACATGTTGATGCCATGGTCTGTCGTCGCTATATGTCACTATTCACAGAGATTTGCGGACGGGGTACCTCATGGGCAACGCCAGGCCGTAGTCAGGGGTGTATGGACTTAGCAGCACTATCATAACCGTGAAATCAGTTTTATCCACAGGCTGGGGCCACAGAATGGCGCCGAGTGAAGAAAACCGCGTCTATATCCTGGCAACCCATACGTGAAGGTAGCTCGTCTGTGTCCTACGTTTCCCAACCTCGCTCAATTTCCCCAAAACTACCGTTCCTACTCGGCCTGTCACCAAGAAACATGAAGGGGAGCAGTTGTCATCAGCACGTCTTAACCCTTAGACAATGGTCAACGTCGGGTTCAACAGCCAGGAATTGTGCTCTAGAAATTGTTGCTCGCACTTGTATTCATTTGATTGCCCCTTTACTTCACTCAGTGCAGTCTACATTGTACCCTATCTGTTCCGTATAGCCGAGAGAGTGCCGTGCGGGCAGTACACAGCCAGACTCGCATCTCGTGACCCAAGGGGCGGAACGAACTGGATCCTGCTGTAGTATCCTAACTATACTTCTGATTCCTCATTTTCTTGTAATCTCCTTCCCCTCTCTTCACTTCTTCCATTTCGTCCTCTTCTATTTTCTCTGTCTCTTTTATCTCCTTTCCTTTGACCCTTTAATTCTGTCTGCTTGCTCCCTGCTTAACCCACCGAGCTTAGGAGCTTGGTGCACGGTTTCTTTTGACCTTGAGGTGCCTGGCTAGCACAGAGGGGTTGTTATCTGACCGGATATGTCTTTGATGGTTGAAAGGCTCATTACCCTAGCCCAACTGTGAATCTAGTAGCTCAACTTCAACGGCTTCGATGTATGTTTCGAGATCCAAAGCTCTACCGTAGAATGAGCCGAAGGGAAGACAATGGAAACAAGTGGACAGAACGAAGGGGAGATGGACACTCTTGGGGAAATGAACTGCATCTTCGCCAACCTAGAATGCTTTGATTTTGGACTACCTAAGGTAGGTATGACGAGTCTCCTAGCGGGACTACGTGGCTCCGCGAGAACCAGGAAGCTACTTACAAAGGCCAAGTGGAGTACGGGGATGGGAACAATGCCTTTCTTCCTTATGAGGGCAAGAGATGGCTGAGTCAGGGGCAATTAGACTCGCATTCATGCAGCACAGTCGTAGCCATGCTCAAGACCCAAAACCCTTCCTTCAGGTCGGAGTTTAACGCCGTAGAATGAAGCAACAGTCTCTGCCCATAGCATATCTAACAGACTCTTGGCAGGAGGAAACTGAAGCGCACGATAACAGCAAATGACAAGCCCCGATCATGATGCACAATGAGTTGTTCTGACAATCTGCAGCTGACCCATCCAACATAAAACCCCCACGTGTGCACCTCCTTTCTAGGCGACATAAAGGTCAGCGGACTTTGACTGAGGATGTTACGTGACGACGGTGATGCCCTTGTGGCCAGTACCTTCGCTGTTGGACTTGGGAGTCGATCTTGCACCTTGTTCCCAGAAACGCACTAACCAGATCGGGATTAGCGAAGCCATGGCCCGTCATCCGCACACCAAGGCAAGGGCGGCAACAAGGGGATGTCACAAGCGCATCATTGCGCAGTAGTAGCGGAAATTACCTCCCCTGCATCGGCTGCATGATGGCATGTTTGCCGTGACGACTTGGGGACGAGAACATCCGAATTTGCTCTTCGCTGCCATTCTGCATTGCCAACTGAACGCCAAACGCCGCGATGAACGGCCATTTTGCGGGGGTCGGCGACGGGCCGACTGCTAAGCAGTACGAGCATGGCATCCAGGTCATCGACGAGGATAAATCATTCAAGTTCGTCCCCGCCGCCACGCTGTCCGCAAAGGAGACATCTGGTCACTGGAGCACCGCACAACTAACAGACGGCGCCCATTTTGCAGCACGAACCTCAATGACTACCTCAACGAGACTCGGGTCGCCGAGGCCGGGTTCAACTACCACCTGGTCTCGGTCTTCGGATCGCAGTCGACGGGCAAGTCGACTCTGCTCAACCATCTGTTCAAAACCGAGTTCAACGTCATGTCCGAGACGGAACGCCGCCAGACGACCAAGGGAATATGGATGTCCAAAAACAAGAGGGCGGGCGCAAATGGCGACGCTCCCACGATGGCTGACAACATCCTGGTCATGGATGTCGAGGGCACCGACGGTCGCGAGCGTGGCGAGGACCAGGACTTCGAGCGCAAGAGCGCGCTGTTTGCCCTGGCCACGAGCGAGGTTCTGATTGTCAACATCTGGGAGCACCAGGTCGGCCTGTACCAGGGCGCAAATATGGGCCTGCTGAAGACCGTGTTCGAGGTCAACCTACAACTGTTCCTGAAGGACAGGCAGTAAGTCGCCGCGCCATCCCAGGCCCACTCCTATAGATGTACCTGACATGATGAATGCCTTAGATCCCAGACGCGGTCTCTCTTGTTCTTCGTCATCCGGGACCACATCGGAAATACCCCCTTAGCTAACCTGCGAGACACCTTGATCCAGGATCTGACTAGGATTTGGTCCTCGATCTCCAAACCTCAGGGGCTCGAGAACTCCACGATCGAAGACTACTTCGACTTCGCTTTTGCTGCACTGCCACACAAAATTCTCCAACCAGACAAATTCATCGAGGAGGTTGACAGATTGAGTACCCGCTTTACCCCTGGCCACCGCTCCGCGAAGGACCAAGAGTATGTAGGCGGCGTCTTCCTCCCCGAATACCACAGGAGGATACCCGCCGATGGCCTGTCTGTCTACGCAGAAGGCGTATGGGATCAGATCGTCAACAACAAAGACCTCGACCTGCCCACCCAGCAAGAACTCCTGGCGCAGTTTCGCTGCGACGAGATCTCGCGCGAAGTCCTCGTCGGATTTGACGCCGTCATCACCCCGCTCGAGGAGCAGCAAGCGGAAGGAATCCGCATCGGCAAACCCACTGTCCTCCCCGACCTGGGCGCCACCGGCGCGGGCGCGAGGGAGAAGTGTATCAATGCGTTCGAGACGCAGGCTAGCCGGTATCACAAGGGAGTGTACGCGACGAAGCGGGGCGAGCTCGAGAGCAACATCGACGCGCGGCTGAAGACGCTGTACCAGGGCCAGCTGACGGCGGCGCACAAGGCCGGCGTGGCGGCGTTCAGCGAGGCTGTCGCGGCCGCGGTGAAGGCCGGGCAGAAGGCCGGCGGCGCGTACGAGTTTGCCGAAATTGTGGACAAGCAGAAGAAGAAGACGCTCGAGATCTTTAAAAAGGAGGCGCAGAGCCTGTTGATCCAGGGCGTGGCGTGGACGAACTTCAAGCCGCAGTATCGGCTTTTCGAGAAGGAGCTTGACGAGGTCAGCGCGCGGCTGCGCAAGGAAGAAATGAGGCGGTTGGCGATCCGGGTCGAGCGCTGGGTCAAGTCTAGACTTGGCGATGCCATTGGCCTCGAATTCAACAAGCTTGGATCCGGTAGGGGCGGGTCCGGGGCGCCCGAGACGGGTGAGAAGCCGGCCACGGAAAAAGATCTGTGGGACCGTGTCTGGAAGGCCTTCATTGACATCGTCAGAGAGGCCGAAACCCGGTTTGTCGACAGGGCGAAGAGCTTCGAGGCGAGCCCCGAAGAGGTTGAGGTTGGTCTCTGGCGGCTGCGGCGTAAGGCCTGGGTGACGCTCAGGGAGAAGATCGAAGAGGAGATGATGGAGAGCAACATCCTCATGAAGCTCCGTGAGAATTTCGAGGACAAGTTCCGCTACGACGATGAGGGCGTTCCCCGGATCTGGCGCCCCTCGGACGATATCGAAGGCGTCTACACTCGGGCTCGCGAGTCTACGCTGGCCCTGATTCCGCTGCTGTCGAGGTTCAGGGTTTCCGAGACGTACGCTCCGCCGGACCTGCCGGGCTTCATTGGTGCCCAGCCTGCTGGCGTCGAGTCCGAGGACGAGGAGGATCTCGTTCCCATTGGCGGCGTGGACGAGGAGGAGGGCAAGAGTCTCGAGGAGGAGATGACGGTCCTTAGCGAGAGCAAGCGGCAGGACCTGGTGGTTAGGTTCAAGAAGATGGCTGATGGAGTGTATGTGGAGGCGAAGCGGAGCGCGATCGGAGGCATCACCCAGGTGCCGCTCTACTTCTACGTGGTTCTCCTCGTCCTCGGGTGGAACGAGATTGTTATGGGTAAGTGCCTCCCCTTCATACGACAGGGACAAACTGCTGACGATGACAGTCTTGCGCAACCCTGTGCTGTTTATGCTCATCCTGGTTATGGGTGGCGGTACTTACGTGGCCTACACTCTCAACCTCCTCGGCCCAATGATGCAGATGGCGAACGCGGCTTCCAACCAGGCCGTTGAGATAGGCAAGGAGAAGCTGCGTGACTTCCTGGAGAGCAACCAGACAGTCAGACAAGCCATTGCCATGCCGGCCAAGCAGGGCGGTTCCATCAGCATGGACAGGCTGGATAGTCGGGGGAAGAAGGCGCAGGAGACGGAGGACGACGATGACATTTAGACAAGATTGGCACATAGTGTAACGGGGCCACGCCGGTTTCTTGGGATGTATTGTTTTACTCGTTGTTGCATAGCTACATAGGATTGTATTGTATTCCCTCACTACATTACGCCGGACTCCAGCAACGCCATTGACGACACAGCAATGAACAAATGTACAAGTCAGCTTAGAAGGCTTCCAGCCCAACTGGTGCTCCGAACCATGTCCCCAGCTCATCGGCGTCTTTCTCTTGGTCCTTCGAGACGAAGAGATCTGTCAGGCGATGTGCGTCTGTATCCTCATCAGCGGGCCATTCCACCTTGACGCCGCCTCCTTTTGCCGATGCTGCCTCAAGCATGTCCTTGGCGGTACCCCAACTAAACCTGCACTCGGGGCCCCAACCAAAGACCGGGTGCATGTTACCCTTCAGCCAGGAGACACATCTGCCGTCCGAAGGGTAGCCCGACCCCCAGGCCATGCCTTCTTCTTCCCCCTCCTGCTTCTTCTCCTCCCCCTCCACTTCTCCTAGCCCGGCCCCGTTCACTCTCCTCCCTCTCGCCTTCCATAGCGTCTCCAACGCCGCATCCCTCGTAACCTTCGCGCAGACACTGGCGGCGCTGACACAAGGGTACAGACTATCGGCCTTCTTGGCCACCGTGATCTTGGCCGTCGGGAACACCCTCTCCAGCTTGGCCTGGTACGCCGCCGGCTGCCCGATCGTGTCGACGTAGATCTCCCTGACATTCACCCCGCGCGCATACACGCCTTTTATCAGCTCCACGGTTGCGTCCATGGCCTGCGCGTTGAGGTTGTACGCCGAGAGGCCCGGGCGCAGCATACCGGCGCCGATGTCACGCGCCGACAGGGCGGTGGTGGCCCAGCCGCAGGATGTGTGGAGGTCGGTCGACGGGGTGCACAGCGTCTGCATGAGGGAGGAACGCACGGTCGGGGTCAGGACCTTGCTGTCGTCGAAGTGGTGGGCGGTGCGGAGGAGCGGGTCGGAGAGCGGGAGCGGGACGTAGAACACGCCGTAGACCATGGGGCCCAGGACGGGGCCGCGGCCGGCTTCGTCGACGCCTAGTACGCAAGGGGGCCCGGAGGGGTCGGGCGAGTTTGTTCGTTGTGGGAGCAGGGAGGGCGGCAAGGGGGAGAAGTGAGTGTACGAGTCGCCGGCGAGAAGGGCGGCTTCGTTAATTGACGGGGGGATGAAGACATCCGAGGCAGGTGTTTCGAGGGCGATATCCTCGGCTTGTTGTGAATCTTCCATGGCGGCTGGGTTCTGTGCGATATCCAATTGCTTGCACAGTAAACTATCGTCAATGAGCTTGTGTTCGCGAGGACTTGCACTGCAGGAAACTCCGATTGCATCACGGAAACACATGCCGCCATACCCCTGTCTTTAACTTACTTACCTTTGGAGGGGGCTGAGCTTGACGCGTGCTGCGTAAATCGCCGGGACCAGCGCGTCGACCCTCCAGCCAATCACAGCTCAGGATGTCAGCCGCCTTAACAAAAGCCGAGTACCACCTACTGTGTAGACCAATGCAACACTGCGAAAGACGCAACGCGCCTTATCGTCCCACCACTCCGGAGCAAGTAAACAACAGCGGATTTTGCACCTTGTTTTGCAAGTCGTAGAACCCCGTTCTGCTCCGAACTGAACCAAGTGTAGTATTGCTACAACTACGCCTGTTTGACGCGCTTCCGAGCCACTGTCGATCCGGAGGCTTCACGCCCGTCACGTCCCTGTCCGAATTTGTACTGACCCCGAGGAAATGGCGCCACGACCGTCCCTGGCGCGGCGCACCCTTGCGCCGCAGGGCGAACATATCTACGAGCTGGGCGTAGTAGGGAGGTATGTTAACGAATGACAGACAGGGAGCTGGCCTGGGAGAATAAGGGTTGCTGACGCCGGCGCAGGAAAACCGGTGTAACGGTTCCCGACTCGGGCGTGCGCGACGAGCATGGCATGGAACCCATCGAAAATCTCTTCTCGTCCCCCGGCAAGTCGGACCAGGAGGAGCAGCAGAACGGGGCCTCGGACGAGGAGGAGGAGAGTGGCGGGGAGGCGATGGATATCACTACCAGTACGGGTCACCGTCAAGATGGCGCAGGCGAAACACACTTATGGCAGCTAACTCCTGGTTACAGCATCCGGCATCGGCCCAGCGGCACTGCTAAACGGCCACGTGAATAGGTTGCCCGTGCCCGTGTCGCGCGTCCGTTCGCCGGCAAAGTCGCTCCTCAAGTCGCCCGCCCAACGAAATCGACTCCTCGCACGCAACTCGTCGTCGCCGGCCCGCGGTGCAATCGTTAGAGACGAGCGCGCTAAGTCGAGTAGCCAGCTGACAGGCGAACGGGGCGCAGAACGCCGAATCGACTTCCGGAGTGTCGCAAGCGGAGGCCCACACTCCCTATCACAACCGCTTCCGGGCAGACGCTTAGCAGCTGACGGCAGGAGGCTCGTTAATGGCAACCGCTTGCAGCCTCTGCAGCAGGACGAGGACGAGGAAGAAGGGCTGCAGAGCGGAGGAGAAGACGATGAGGTTAATGACTTCGTTGAGGAATCCATGGCCTTGCTGAACGACGGCGACGACTATGATCCCCAACAACCCGATCCCGAACCGGCGCGTAACGAAGATGAAGAGGAGAAGGTCTCAATGATCGAAGACAGGGACTCGTCTCCCGCTGCTGCCGGTAAGAAACGAGGTCGTCCGCCGAAACAGAAGGAGACTGCGCCGGCAAACCCTGCAAAGCCGCCAAAGAAACCTACCAGGCCCGAACCGGAGGAGGAGGAGGAGGAGGAGGATGCGGATGAGCAGGAAGAAGAGGAAGAGGAGCCAACGCCTAGGCCACAGAAACCAGGATCAGGGAGACGAGGACGGCCCGCCAAAGCCTCAAAGGCCCCAGCTCCCGCCCCAGCTCCGCCTCCCGCTCGTGGAGGGAAAAGGCGGCGATCATTAGATGAAGAAGGAGTTGTCGCTGCCAGGGAACCTTCACCGGAGCCTCAGCCAAAACGCCAGCGCGCCTCGACCGCTTCCAACACCGCGAAACCAGCCCAGAAGAGATCCGCAGCCGCAGAGAAAAAGGTCGCCGAACCGGTTCCAGCAGCGAAACCCGGCAGAGGCCGGGAACGAAAATCCTCCATCGACCCTGGCGATGTCTCCCAAGTTGCGATAGCCCGGCGCCCGCCCTTACCCAAATCCCGCGGCCTGCTCATCAACCGCCGCGAGGTTCCGGGCGACGCTTCAAACTCCATGTTCCGGACACGGTCGGGGCGCACGTCCTTGAAGCCGCTTGCATTCTGGCGCAACGAGCGGGTCGAATTCGAGAAGGACGAGGCCGAGGACACGTTTAGGGGGCGGACGCACCGGGGTCGGTTTGTCTTGCCCAGTATCAAGGAGGTTGTCAGGGTCGACGAGCCGGAACCAGAGATGCGGCCGAAGTCGCGCAGGGCAAGTGGGGTGGGTAAGAGGGGAGGTGGTGGTGCGAGGCGCGGTAGGAGGAGGGGGGGCCACGTCTTCGAGGAGGACGAAGACGACGGGCCTGCGGAGTTGTGGGAGCTCGATCCGGGTACTGTCACGGGTGAGGTGGTCGTTTGGCAGCCCGAGTACGAGTTCAACCCGCCCGCGCCGAATGATCTGGTCAGCGTCATGGACAAGCAGCTCGCCATCAGCAGCGCGGCCATCAAGACGACCGAGATTGTGGGCGGCGAGTTCCGGTACGCAAAGGTGTTCAGCGAAGGGTTCATTGGCGCCGGCGTGGTGGACCTGCCGCCTGGATCCATCAAGCGGCTCAAGAACTCGCGCAAGGTGTTCATGATCTTCTTCGTGCACGTTGGCCGGGTGCTGGTGACCGTTCAGGAGACGAGTTTCCGCATCAGCAAGGGTGGGATCTTTATCGTGCCCAGGTGTAAGTTCCGGAATATTTTCCCCTCAGATGCACCGTGGGAAGAGGTATACTGATTTTCTTGTGCGGTGCAGACAACGAATACACCATCGAGAACGACTATGAATACCCTGCCCGCATCTTCTTCTCGCAAGGGCAGGAGATGACGGCCAAGCCTGTGGCGGAGGAAGAGGCTGCGGATGGTGAGGGTGATGCGGACGAAGAGGTGGAGGTTAGTGAAGGGGAAACAGAGAGCGGCGAAGAGTGATGTGTGGTGGGCTTAACTAGGGGACTATACGGAACTGGAGGTTGTATTGGTTCAGGAGTACTGGGGAAAATTGTTCAGAGGGGGGCGTCTGGGCTTGACTGTTAGTCTATAGTACTGGATGTTGTGTCAGGAGGCACTAGCGGATTAGGGAGGCTCAACACAGCTGTCGAACATGAGCGAAATATGAACTGTACCGGAAGGTCTGTCCTAGCCTGTGTTGTGCCGAAGGGATAGTTAATTGAACTTGCAGATGTGATCTTCCACACTGGAACTGCTTCTGATGAATTTAGGTCCCAGGTGAATGTTACTCGGAGGATCAAACATGGGCAGAACCAACGGCATCATCGCATAGCGGTCAATATCTTGTCGGCTTTTGTGGCGGGAGTTAGACAGAATGCTTCAGGAATCGGAAAATGAATCTAGTCTATCCAGCTACATCTCTGATAGCATGGGCGACTTGATCTGGCGCCGTGCTTCCAGACGCATATTCAAATCCACCAGGACTTCAACGGTCTGAAACCGAGAATCGGACGTGTCTTGATATTAGGACATGGATAGAGAGTTCTTATACTCCAAGTGGTCGCCGGTGACGTGAGGCTCGCCCTACAGGGATGGTTGTCTTGCTTCGGCCGATTCGCGAAGTGTGTTGTGGACGATCTCGTATGATACGTATTAGAGGATTGCGTACTAGTTTTCAACCTCCTGGGTTGGCACGGCAGTCCTTATGCAGAGCCTGGGTGATACGAAGATCTCTAAACACTAATCCTTGTCTAACCGTGATGAAGCTAACGTCAATGATAGTTGCGTCGTAGACTCCCGAATGTGATGTCTGTGCTACACCGGGGCGTATATTCTTTTCCCAATAAAGGCGCATCCCATCTCCTCAATTCATCGGTCAGCATCCCATGCTTGTGTGGTGCCTTCCTCGGGTCTCCTCATCGTGATTCGTACTTGACCATAACGTCCACAGCCCGAAGGATCCTGCGCTCGGGAGTATAAGCTCAGACGGCGCTTGCCTTTGATTTTGCCAGCGGTAGCTGGAATGAAACGAGACATAATTACCATATCATAGCTCCAAGTAGCTGACTGGTACATGAGCAGATTTTGGATTTCCCGTGCCTACCTTACGTTCAAACTTGGACACGGGGACTGCTTCACGGTTTGACTGAGTTGAAAGACACAGTTTGCTGCCGGCTGACAGTGAGACGTTACTTATATAGACACCTCATGACTGTCCTTGTGGAATCCCGGGTGAGGTAAGCCCAGCCCCCGACCTGCTTGTTCTCCTGCTGACTCCTAATCCGTGTATCTTAGTGAAGGATCCTCAAGCGTAGCCTCTTCCACTTGCGGCATATTCCGCCAAGTGCACGTCAAGAACCTTCTCTAGGCGGATATAGAGCCCTAGATCGCTGCAGACAACATGTTAACTTGGCCGGCCAAGGGAAAATCGAAGATGCTTGGGAGTGCCTCAACATACTCTTGTGTAACAAAGGTAATAGCATGCCCCGAATCACCGGCATGACCGATGTTACTAATATGCTGGGTATATCTGGGGTTTCATTTTCCATATAAGGCTCAAGTTGATGATCAAGCCCAACATAGTGGTAAATCCTGCCAGGGGCGTCAAGTGTCTTGACGAACATCACAGGATCACCTTGCTTGCCAACAAGGGCATATTATGCTGGGCTTCGCTATGTTTCAGCACATACGACCATACCTGGTAGAAAATACGGGATCCCGTCCGCTCTCCCTTAGTCAAGCTGCCAAGGGCCGAACCAGTACTCAGGTGGGTGACCACTGGGGAATCCTCGGTGTTGTATGTTTTTTTCCTCTTTTTTTTTTCGTCTGTCATCGGTCCTGTGGACGAAATTGTGTATAGTGTCTAACTGCTAGCATCCTTTTCCTTGTTCGGCCATACTATATCTTTTCGGGTAACCAATGGGTCGGCAACCCCACTACACCCGCCAGTCCCGACGTCCCGCCAGGCGTCGCTGCCGGCCCGATGCATGAGAGAATCTTAGCCGCATGCGGCTGCAGGGCCTTTTGACTTCCAAAGCGAGACATTGCGCAGGCTGACCACATCGACCTTCCCCTCACTTCCCCTTCCCCTGACCATTCCACCGTCTGAGGCGATTTGCACCTTGTTCCTTCTGCGCAGTCGAGAATCCCTTCCAACACCGACACTGATACACCCACCAGAGCGAGACCAGAGTTCAAGTTCTCACAATGGGCTGGTTCTGGAACTCTTCCCCGACCTCTCCCGAACCGGGGAGCTCAAGCGGCAGCTCAACACAGGCGCCAACGGCTCCGACACAGCCAGTAGATACGGCACCAATTCAAGCACAACATACCGAGTCGGCAACCGACCGCGAAATGGCCGTGTTCATGCAGATGCTCCAGAAAGACGCCCAAGCCTCCAACACCCCGCAACCAGAGACACAACAGCAATCACCACAACCACCAGCAGCCTCTAGTGCCAAAGCCGATTCATGGTTCTCGTGGGGAAGGCCACGATCCGCCGACGACCCGACCCCCTCCGCATCCGAACAAACAAGACCAACAACAACTCGCATCCGCACCCGCACCCCCGAATCCCTCGCCATGTCCGAGCACCTGCTGCCGACGACCATGTCCTGCCGCGACGCGTTCGACTACGCCTGGTACTGCCACACGCCCGGCTCGCAATGGAACGCCGTGTACCGGTACGGCAGCGTGCGCACGTGCTCCGAGCTGTGGGACGACTTCTGGTTCTGCATGCGCACCAAGTCGTACTCGCCTGAGATGCGCGCCGAGGTGATCAAGGCGCACTACCGCGCCAAGGAGGAAGCCAAGTACGGCGGCGGGAAGCCCAGCAGCGAGGATGTCTGGGAGAGCCGCGAGGAGCGGGTGCCGCCGGGGACGGCCTTCCAGGCGAAGTTCGAGCCCCCCATCATGGATGATGCTGAGTTTCAGAGGATGGATGCGGAGAGGAGGAGGCGGATTCGGGAGATGATGGGCATTGAACAGGGGAACGAGAATAAAGAGGATAAGAAGTGATGGAAATACTTTGTTTGCCCGAGCCCAGTTAACGTATTGTATCACCTGCCAGCCACTTTCACATACCCGATCGCAGAAAGAAAATACTTGCAGTCTTCATTCATAGGGGTCAACGGGTGAGTGTGATCGATCTAGTATGGGCCAAGGCAATATGTCTTTGCATGGTACTCATGTCACAGCATTGAGAGCGCCACTTTGTCTTTGTGAAAATGTCCTTCATTGCAAGGAAACGGGAATCGTAACTAAAGTACAACCCATGCCGCCGACCTGACTTTTCCCCTGTATCATGATCATGAAAGAGAAACCAACCAGATCTAGGTGTTACCGCATACCCGAGATACTCCGCATCCCAAGAGAACGCATCTCACGGCTTATCGACGCGGATCCAATCTACTAGCGGAAAAAGCAGAAACGCCAAAGTCCCCCATCAACAACCAGCTTAGTCAACCTCCTCGACGGTCGGGCCATCGTTGTCATGGCCGGGAGCACCACCCGCGCCAGGGAAACCGCCAGGAGCGCCACCAGGCATGCCGCCGGGCATGCCGCCAGGAGCACCACCCGCACCATAAAATTTCATCATGATGGGGTTGGCAATAGCCTCGAGCTCCTTCTGGTGCTCCTCGTACTCCTCGCGAGTAGCCTGCTGGTTCTCATCGAGCCAGGAGACGATCTTGTCGATCTCGGTGCGGAGCGTGTCCTTGTCGGCCTGGTCGAGCTTCTCATCGACCTTGGAGTCGCTGAGCGTGTTGCGCAGCGAGTAGGCGTACGACTCGAGGCCGTTCTTGGCAGAGACACGGCGGGCCTCGGCCTCATCCTCCTCCTTGAACTTCTCAGCCTCAGCCAGCATGCGCTCGATCTCCTCCTTGGACAGACGGCCCTTGTCGTTGGTGATGACAATGTGGTTCGTCTTGCCGGTGCCCTTCTCGAGAGCCGAGACGTTCATGATACCGTTGGCATCAAGGTCGAAGGTGACCTCAATCTGGGGGACACCACGAGGAGCGGGCGGAATGCCGGTAAGTTCGAACTTGCCGAGCAAGTTGTTGTCCTTGGTGCGCTGACGCTCACCCTCGTAAACCTGGATGAGCACACCAGGCTGGTTGTCGGAGAAGGTCGAGAAGACCTCGGACTTCTTGGTGGGGATGGTAGTGTTGCGCGGGATGAGCTTGGTCATCATGCCACCAGCGGTCTCGATACCGAGCGACAGGGGGGCGACGTCGAGAAGGAGAATCTCGTTGGTCGACTTGGAAGAAGTGTCACCAGACAAGATAGCAGCCTGGACGGCAGCACCGTAGGCAACGGCCTCATCGGGGTTGATGGACTTGTTGGGCTCCTTGCCGTTGAAGTAGTCGGTGATGAGCTTCTGGATGCGGGGAATACGGGTCGAGCCACCGACGAGCACGATCTCGTGGACCTGAGACTTGTCGATCTTCGCATCCGTCAGGACACGGTCCACAGGCTGGAGAGTGGACCGGAAGAGATCCTGGCACAGCTCCTCGAAACGGGCACGGGTGATCGAGGTGTAGAAGTCGATACCCTCGAAGAGAGAGTCGATCTCAATCGAGGTCTGTGCTGAGGACGAGAGGGTGCGCTTGGCACGCTCGCAAGCAGTACGCAGGCGGCGGAGAGCACGCGCGTTAGTAGAAAGATCCCTAGGGCCATGTTAGTGCATGTTCAAAGGCTTTTGATGCCGGGTCCGAGGGAAATGGCATTTACTCACTTCTTATGCTTGCGCTTGAACTCCGCAACGAAGTGGTTCACAAGGCGGTTGTCGAAGTCCTCACCACCCAAGTGAGTATCACCAGCGGTCGACTTGACCTCGAAGATACCCTCCTCAATGGTCAGGAGGGAAACATCGAACGTACCACCACCAAGATCGAAGATCAGAACATTGCGCTCGCCCTCAACCTTCTTGTCGAGACCGTACGCAATAGCAGCCGCAGTGGGCTCGTTGATGATACGGAGGACGTTGAGGCCGGCAATGAGACCGGCATCCTTGGTGGCCTGACGCTGCGAGTCGTTGAAGTAGGCAGGAACCGTAACGACAGCATTGTTGACAGTGCCGCCAAGGTAAGACTCAGCAGTCTCACGCATCTTGGTCAGGACCATGGACGAGATCTCCTCAGGAGTGAAGACCTTCTTCTCGCCCTTGAACTCAACCTCAATGTGAGGCTTGCCGTTGCGGTCGATGACCTTGAAGGGGAAGTGCTTCATGTCGGCCTGAACCTCAGGGTCGTTGAACTTGCGGCCGATCAGACGCTTGGCGTCAAACACTGTGTTATGCGGGTTCATGGCGACCTGGTTCTTCGCCGCATCTCCAATGAGACGCTCGGTGTCGGTGAAGGCAACGAACGAAGGAGTTGTCCGGTTACCCTGGTCATTGGCGATAATTTCACAACTGCAAACAGAAAGTTAGGCCATATTCAACATCCATTGTCGTAGGGCGGCGGGGCCAAGGCGTGGGGCTGGACCGCGGGGTAGACCCGACAGCTCGGGAACCAATCGAGGAGCCGATCGTATTGTTGAACGATGGCCGAGCTGATTCCCCCCGAGCTGCCTGGTGATGCCGACCGCTACCGATCTTCCCAAGCCGACCGACCGGGTTGAACTTACCGATCCTCACGGAAGACACCGACACACGAGTAGGTCGTGCCCAAGTCGATACCGACTGCGGGAGCCATCTTGTCTGTGTGCGCTTTTCTTACTTGGAATGCTGTGTTGATGGGCAGAAAAGAAACGCGCGCTGAAGATTCCCGAGAGTGTGGTGGGAATTACAATGGGTTGCAAAAGAATTGGTTGATGGAAAGTATGAGAGTCGGAGGAGGGGCAGAAGAGCTTTCCGAATTTAAGCTGTTAGTTAAACTTGGGCTTTGTTTCTACGACCTTCTGTGGGTTTCCTCCACCCCACTACACACGGGTACTGCGCGCTACTTCTCGATTGGCCTTTCAAGCACACGCAGCCTCCTGATGCCTCCATGCAGCGCTGGAATCTTCTTCCAGGCTCCCGCAGCAGCATTGCGAATCGTGCTTCTTCCAGCCCTCGATTTTGCCCCTTGCAACCTTCCCGGTTCAAAGTCAAGACCGTTTCCATAGCCACCGAAGCATTCCACTTGCCTTCCAACTACACGTGTAGATCATTCCAGCGTCACCAAGAATTGGGGGCTACCGTGACATTCGCCTTAGGTAGGGGGAGGTCTTGCCACAGAAAATCCCAAGCTGAGCTGAAAGTCGATTTCGCAACGGCGTGGAAGGTTCTCATGTTTGGGCAGTCAATACGGTAACCCTGAATGAAACCTTCGATGCGATCTTGTTCACCTGTCAAGCAGACGTCACTCCAGGCTTCCTGACCATTCAAAATCATTTGGTTAGAATATCACAAGATCCTGCACACATTCTCAACAGCTAGACTGGGGCGCGGCAGCCGCTGTGGAAGCGTTGGATGGCTAAGCTGGGCTGGTTCTCCATGCATCGACGATGTACCCCAAAGTACCTTTCAAGGCCCACCACGATCTCCCACCACTTCTCGAATGGAGTTTCTCCATGCTTTACTTCAGGCACCCAGACTCGCCAGACCGTAAAACCGGCCACTGCTGGCATGTCTGCCTTGCAATGCCCAATGAAGACCACGTGATTTTCGCTATTAAGCTTCATCACAGACCTTTGGGCCTGCCGGCCTGCCTTTGAAGCAATCCTGATTCATTTCTGCTGAGCTCCGAGGTCAGCTAGCTCTTGAACGCCGCTGCTGAAAAAGACCCACTAAGATGGATGAAGTCATGGTGCGATAAGATAAGGTCTAGCTGCCCCGCAGTCGATTCTCTCTCAAACCACCTGCAAAACGCGGGGCAGATTCAGAGCAGCTAGCCAGAAGCGGGGGGCACCGGCTTTGTGCAGCTTCCCAAACAGGTGTTTCTCGCTGCAAATACACCGAAGTGACAGACGGCTGTGGTGCTTTCTTGAGTCGGTTGTCCGGATCTTGCATTGTTTGCTTTGCAGCCATTTTTAGCACAGTGTTCGTTCAAAATCACGTTGCCCACTATGTTGATCAAGGAGAGCTTCGCCGATGTGCAGACATCTGCTCATGGAAAGGAGAGCTCCATGCGTAAGCTCCGCCAGCTCTCCTTTACGTCCAGCTGCTTGTTGCAATTGGCATTAGGGTCCTGCTAGAGTACCATACTGATAGGCAACGTCTGAAAGGAATCTTCCTGTTCCATCCTACAATCCCTGGATATCCGAATGCGTGAGCACTCTGAGTAAAGACTGGTCCATGTCCGTCGATTCACACCGTTCTACCTAGGCGGTTCCCCGGAGTTGTGCTGTTCAGCGAAATCTACCAGGGTGAGACGACATCCTCCCTCGCTGTCAGCGGAGACCAACGACTCATGGATGTTGAACAGTCACTGGGCCCGTTGTTCGTTTCGCCAGGCAGATTGCCGGCCAGGGCTACATCGTCGCCGCTCCGAGCAGCTACCATGACTTTACCGGCCCTGAACCTTTAGCGTACGATGTACCGGGGACTGACCAGGGAAATGAATGGAAGATAACGAAGACCCTCGAGTCCTACGACGAAGACTCCTACAAGACGGTCGACTATCTCCTCTCCCTGCCCACATGCACTGGACGAATTGGCGCAACCGGCATGTGCCTGGGCGGACACCTTGCCCTGCGCGCGAGTGTATGTCACCCCTTTCCTTGTATAGTACTTCCCAGGCCCTGCCGTTCTGCAACGCGTGGGAGAAAGACTTGAGGAAATGAGGAGAAGAGGGTAAGGGAAAGCGAGCAGGAAGAGACGGGGAATAGGAAGAAGGGGTTGCCAAAGATTGAGAGCGAAAAGGGACGAACGAAAAGGAGGTAGATCACTGACCCCCTCGGCCATCGTAGCTCGACCCTCGCATAACAGCCTCCGTCTGTTACTTCCCAACCGACATCCACACGCGCACCCTGGGGCCTTACGACGCGGCCAACTCCTCCCCATCCGCCCCTCCTGACAGCAACCACACGATCGATCTCTTGTCCAAGATCCGCGGTGAGGTGGCGCTCATCTTCGGGGTCAAGGACACGCACGTCCCCGACGGGGGGCGGGATCTGATCCGGCACAAGATGCGCGAGGCCAGCGTGGTCTTCAGCTTCCACGAGTTCGCGTGGGCGCAGCACGCCTTCATCCGCGACGAGCTCAGCAAGGGCCGCTACGACCCGGCCGTGAGCAAGGCCTGTTTCGAGGTGCTGCTGGAACTGTTTGGGCGCGTGCTGAAGACCGAGTTGGGCGAGCGGGATGGCAAGGTGCATGAGGTGGAGCACGTTTGCTGAGTTACTACTTACTGTGCCTGCCTTGACAGGGCCCGGATGCAAAGAAGACGGTTGCGAGCATTAGACGTGCAGTGTTGTTGCAAATAGCGAGGGAGTTCCGCGTATAGCCCAGTACGGTCGTCCTGGACTGTGCCAGGGAAGATCGTCGAATACCCATGATATGCCTCTAATCGGAGCATGAAGTCTATATTCGCAATTGAATATCAAGGCCTGCCGTCGGCCATGAAATGGTGTAAAAGAAGCAATGCTCTTTACCCCCAAAACGTCCATGCGCATTTTAGAATTGACTGGTCCCAAAAAGGGCGGGATACAGTCCACACAACTTCCCGACCCCAACGCCGTCTGTTGTTGATTTGTTGACGCCCTCCCCCCCTCCCCTTTTTCCAATACATCAATACCGATTTGAGACACATCCCCCATTTCTCCGTTTCCATCCCCATTACTTGTGACCCAACATCCCAGCCGAATACGTCTCCCTTTTCCTCTGATCAAAATTTGCTCATTCCGCCGGCAAGTACATACAGTAGTCAACAACACCCCACACCCTCTCTAAAACCTACCCTGAGCCCCGCCCTGAGCAGGACCACCACCACCACCCCCTTGCTGCCCCTGCTGCGACTGGCTCACACTCTGGCCTCTCGACCTGGCCCCGACCACATTTCTCGGCGGCACGCCGCCCGGCTGCTGCACACTGAGATGCGACGGCCCGCCTATCACGGCCGGCGCCGGCGGAGACGATGTTGTTGTTGTTGTCCCATAGTAGTAGGCAGACTGCGCGGGGTTGGGGTTGAGACTGGCATCACTCGGCACGGAACTCGGACTCGGGGCTGCGGACGACGACCCTACCCCTGCCCCGGCCCCCGCTGCCTGGGCATTGTTGTAGGCCGCCCAGGTGGTATAGGGCGACCCGGCGGGGGGCGGGATACCGGCGTGTCGCTCCACGTCGAAGGACAGTTTGTTGTTATTGTTGTTGTTGTTGTTGTTGTTGCTGCTGCTCGCCCTGCTGGAGCTGCGCGTCACTTGCACGGCCGGCATGTCCATGTTGTCGTCGAGCGCGCCCGGCGGGAGGGTCTCGCCGGCCTTGCGGCGGCCGCGCTGGGATTCGCCGCGGAGGCTGAGGATGTTGGAGCGAGAGGTGGCCGAGGTGGCGGCGCGGGCGAGGTTGCTGTTGCTGTTGCGGTCGCCAGAAGCGTGGTGGGGGTGGGGTTGGTCGCGGAGGGTGTCTCGTTCGTAGCCCCAGTCGTCGATGGCGTCGACTACCGGGTTGATCGTGTTGATGTGCTCGGCTGCGCGCTGCTCGGCCGCGGTGGTGGCTGCGGTTTCGGTAGCGGCGGACTGGTCCGGGTTTTCTAGCAAGGTGGCCAGCTTCTTGGCCGCCCTTTCCTTCTCGGCCTTCTCGCGCGCGGCGGCGGCGAACTCATCCGAAACGGCGACGCTGTATGAAGGGTTGGCGGGACCGCCCAGGGCGTCGCCACCGCCGCCGGGGCCGTTGATGGGCACGCGCTTGAGGGCCAGGGCGAGGGCGCACATGAACTTGGAGCGGCGCGTGGCGCGCACGGCCTCGTTGTGCCAGTTGGACTTGTGCTTGATGGCGATCTTGAGCGTCAGCTTGTCGCAGTCGCCCACGCCGCCCACGCCGATCGCAATGTCCGGCTGGAAGTCGCGGCTGTTCTCGGGCGCGCGCACGAAATTCTCCATCTCGACGCGCAGCAGCTCGATGTCCTCAAACGACGTGTCGAACGCGACGTTGACATCGATTACCTCCTTCATGGCCTTGCTCCGCGTCACGTTCTCGATCCAGAGGTTGTTGAGAACAATGTTGGGAACCTAAAACTGGAAGGTTAGCCAACCGCTTGGACACGCGTTCCGTCCGTTCTCTCCCGAGCGCCACGTCACGACTGGCAAACGAACGTACCTGCACGACTTGCATCTTGTCGATGCGCGTGAAGACGGTGTAGAGAAGGGAGATCTTCTCGACCAGCAACTGCTCCTTCTCGGGCCCCTGGATGTCGACGCGGTCGCCGACGTCGTACGGGTGCTTGACGAAAAGGAAGATGCAGGAGCCCAGAAACTCCTGGGTTGTGACGGCAAAGACGAACGAGAGCGAGAGCAGCGTGGTTCCGGCCGTCGTCAGCGTGGCGATGAAGCTGCTCTGGAAGACGGCCAGGAAGATGATGATGACGATGATCAGGACAACAAAGAGGAGGACCTTGTCGAATACCTGCAGCGCCTGGCTGATGTCCTTCATGCTGTTGGCGATGGCTTTGCGCTCCTTTCCGATCTCGACCACCTTGCGGATCATCTCGTCCAGGCTGATGTCGCCGTTCTGGTCGGCGTCGATGGCGTTGAAGCACTCCTCGGCTTCTTCGCGGTGCGCGGGGCCCATGACCTCGACGATGTCGTCCAGCGAGAGCGCGTCCTGGCCCTCGACGACAAACGACATCCAGATGCGACGCGCCATGGCCTCGGAGCTGCGCACCTTCTCGAGCGCCTCGACCACGACCGAGTGGGCCGAGTTGGGGTTGAAGACCTGCTTGCCCGTGATCTCGGACGCGATGTTGCCAAAGACGGACGTGATCTTGTCGCCCAGACGGCCCACCTCGCCCACCAACCGCATCGGCTTGGCCGCGGCGCCCGGCTTGCCGCCGGCCCCCTTGCCGCCGGTGAGCAGCAGGTCGATGCTGTCGGCGATGATGTAGTCCTCGTCGGCAAACTCGTCGCAGTACATGGGGAAGAGCGTCCGCGAGGCCTCATACATCAGTCCCAAGAGGTAGATCTCGCGCTTTGAGTCGTGGATGCGGTTCGCGAACGAGCGCTGGTGGTAGCTGATGCTGATGAGCTGCACGATGAACTTCTCGCCCAGCAGCACGGCCGAGGAGAGGAACAGCGACAGCACGATGCGCTCGATGACGTCGGCCCACGACCGCCGGGTGCCCTCGAACATGAACTTGAACGACAGCCACGAGGCCAGGCCCCAGAAGAACAGCGACAGCGGGATCTCGAGGGCGCGCAGGACGGTGGCGTACTTGCGCGTGCCGGAGCTGATGACGCCGCAGAAGAACATGAAGATGAAGGGCAGGAAGTGGGCGACCAGCTTGCCCGTCCAGAGGGCGAGCCACGAGATCTCGATCCAGACGAAGAGGAAGAACAGGCTGTGGCGGCGGTCGTCCCCGAGACTGACGCGGTCCTTGTCGCCCGTGAGCGGGAAGACGATGATGGGCACGGCGAGCAGCACGGCGACGGGCACGACGTAGACGAGGTAGCGCGTCACGACCGAGAAGTTGACGATCTTGTTGTACAGGCGGCCCATGGCGTTGAGCGACGCCTCCTCGGACATGCCCGTCGAGCCGGCGCGCTGCAGGTCCCGCCTCAGCCGCCGCCGGCCAGCGGGGCCGCCGACCGCCTTGGAGAAGAGCGCGTGCTTCTCGTCCATGCCGTCGGTGTTGACCCTCCGGGAGCCCGTCGATGCGTTGGTGCGGACGGGGTGCAGGGGTATGTCCTGCATCTCGGTGACGCTCGAGTCGCCCGAGATGGGCAGGAAGCCTCTCTGCTGAGGCGACCTCGGCCCTCTTAATGACATCTGGCCGGGTTGGGAGGGGGCGGGGGTGCGAAAGGACTGGGTGGGTGTCGTCTCAGTCGCGTGAGACAACTGACTCGCTGAAGAATGCCAGTGCAGTCAAGATGTCGTGTGGTCCAAAACTGGCCTTGACCGGCACCGGGTTGTGACTCGCCGGTAGCACCGAGGGTCAATGATGGGTTTCAGAAGCTTCGCCTCCAATATACCAAATATTGAAGAGGGTGCGTTGTCGAGAATAGCACAAAGCAGGAAAAAGGGACAATAAAGAGCGTGGTTGGGTTGCCCCTCTGTCAAAGATCAGGAACCGAACAATGGAGAGACCTCGGTCGATGACATCTACTGGCGGGGTGAAGCAGATCGTGGGCTAAAACGAAGGTCCAGTAGAGGGAGCCACACGTGTGAGTGTCACATCAACTAAACGGGTTGTGGAAGGTGACAGAAAGAAGCCGGTAGGTGGGAAGTCAGTTTCTTTGTGAGGATGGCCTTTCTCGAATTTTTTATCTTTTATTTTTTTTTTTATTTTTTGCAAGTAGTATTACCCCGGATCTTCCACCCTTCTTCACGAAAAGGGCATGGAGAAATGGCGTCGGCCAGACCACTCTCTCAAGCCTCAACGGCCTCCCCCTGGCGCGCCGCGGGAAGCAAAAATGGCACGACGGACGTGAGCCCGGGAGTTCTAGCGCGATTCGGCCGGATGCCAGGGGCAGATCGAATCCGCGGCCTGCACTGGAATGCTCTTGGCACCAGAACAGCCCACTGACACGCAGCTCTTGGACCAAGCCAAAACGCCCTAATGCATTTTTTCCCTGTTTCAAGTGGACGACCCCCCGTGTTGGCCGGCCCAGCCAATTGGCCATTGGGGCGATCATTTGGAGCTGGGACCAATGCCGTGAAATTGCAGGCATTTGGGGCTGGCGCCAACAAGTCCCGATCTGACAAGGAACCGGCGACAGATCTTGCCAAGCAGAACTTGCTCAGGGTCCACGATGACGATACGCAGTGGGTAAAGAGAAGGCACTAGTGGACAATCGATGACAGAGAGCTTTGAATTCGGATGGGATGGTAGTGGGCGCAATGACGAGTCTGACCTGTGAGATGTTGGCGGTCTTGTACAACTTGGCCTGTGAAAGTGAAAGCGGTACCTATCTGTGTCTGTACCTGGTCGAACGCGGCTGGGAAGGATTCCATTCCCAGCACAGCGTCAGTTATCCACTGTGCCGGAATACGGGATAAGCAATCAAAAAAGCCAAAAGCCGCAGAGTTCGGCCCGTACGGATTACATGTTTGTATGTGGCGCGGCAATTGGCCCGTGAGTGGCTCCGTCTTTGGTGTCACTGCATCGGTGTTGACGGAGAAGCAGCACAGAACACTTATCTTGCTCCTTGTCTTCTGAACCGTCCCATGCACTACGTGCAGCTTTTGAGGCTGCTTCGTAAAGCATTGAGGGGTGGTGATCTGCTCTGGTTCTCGAAAGTCCGTTGCATTTGTTGGTGGCTTACCTCGGTGAGATAGGATCGCATAAGGTCTTAGAAGCGGCCGACCACAGCAGCCAAAATCTGGGAATCGGATCAACCAGGGCCCGCGGACAGGGCCGTCTGACATATGTTTTTGAAAGAGGCGGTTACTATCTCGTTCGAAATATGCGCTGAAACAAACTTGACTGCTTCATAATTCTAAACGACTTCCGTTAGTTGTCTTGGTTAGCCTCAACTGTGTGCTGCTATGCCGCAGTTGTTGTCAATCCGTATGTACAAGTACCCGTAAGTGGAAGGCGTAATGCCGAAGACGTCAGCACATGTCGCTGGCAACCGGGTATGCAGTCTCACGACCGTCTCTGCAAAGTGGAAACCCGTATTCCGAGCTCATGCTCCCGGCTTGGCGGTCGGTGTCCCTGGGTATATGATCTGCAAAGCCGGCGATATATGTAAAACGGGAAGTTGAGTCGGCGCCGGGCTACTGGAACCGTGGACCTGGATACTGAATGGCATTGTAAGCCGGAGGATACCGCTACAGCAGATCAGAGGCTACATCATTCGGTCCATGCAAGGCCGTCGGAGGTATGAGCCCGACTTCCCGTAGAGTTCAAGAGAGGCATGGCCATCCCGCTGACGATCGGCCTGTCGACCTGGCTGGTGCTCGGGAGCTGGGACGAGTACCTCCCTGTGGCCGTTGATGTGGAGAAGCGTGATACATTGATTCAACGTTTCAATGATACTAACCCGGTGTCTCCAAAAGCCATGCGATGGAAGCATGCAAAGCAACTGCAAGGTGTTGATCGAAAACGACTGTGCTTGAAGCTGAGGATGTCTTGACTCAGTTGAGACGCAGAGAAAGTCTCAGTGTCGCCAAGAGATGGTCATAGCTCCCGCAGACCTTGGCGATCAGTGTCCGTCAAAGCTAGGACTCACCATCTTTCTGCGCAGACTGCAGATGGTTGGGAATGAGGTGATCACTGATCAGAAGAGTGTTGCGGTTTTAATATCAACAGGGGTTGGCAAAAGGAACCTTTTCTCTGTGCAACCCTACAGGCTGCCTTCGAAGTCGATTGCATGAAATGCGGCCACCAGTAGCCAGAGCCGGCAGGCCGTTCACCTGCCTGCAATGCCTTCTCCAGACCTCGCTCAGGCGCCCAGCCGCTCCTGCCCGTTACCGCCTGCGAAGGCCACAAGCATCTTTACCATCCGCTTTCTATCATGGCACGCGCGTGCGGCTACAAGATGCGCCCACCTCAGCAGAGCACCAGCAGCCAGCTCCCGTCCGAGCACCAACCACAGCGCCGAAAGCCGTCCTCGACCTAAAGCACATCCGCCAGAACCCGGACCTCTACGTACAGAACTGCCGCGAGCGCAACTACCACGCCGCCGCCGCCTATCCGGCCCGCATCAACGACCTCTTCGCCCAATGGCAAGCCAAGCAGCGTGAGGGACGCGGCCTGCGGGAGCGGGGCAACTTCATCCGTCGCCAGCTCGCCGACCCCGCGGGGACGGGGCGCGACAACGACGACGCCGCCGAGGAGGAAGCGGCGGCGCTCCGCTCGCTGTCGCGCGACCAGCTACTTGAAGAAGCACGCAAGATCAAGGCCGAACTAAGCGCAATCGAAGAAGCCGAGACGGCGCTCGCGTCGGAAATGCAGCGCCTCGCGCTCGCCATCCCCAACCTCACCAGCGACGCCACGCCGCGCGGCAACGACCCACTCGTACTGAGCTACATCAACGACCACCCGGAACCGGGGCCGGCGCCATCCGACCGCGTGTGGCGCTCGCACGCACACATCGGCGCCGAGCTGGGCATCCTAGACTTCGCGGGCGCGGCGGCCGCTTCCGGGTGGGGGTGGTACTACCTGCTGGACGAAGCCGCGCAGCTGGAGCAGGCGCTGGTCAACTACGCGCTCGCGGCGGCCACGCGCGCCGGCTGGCGGCAGGTCAGCCCGCCGAGCATGGTGTACTCGCACATCGCGGGCGCGTGCGGGTTCCAGCCGCGCGACCAGCACGGCGAGACGCAGATCTACACCGTCGCACAGGCGGCCGAGGACGCGGCGCGCGGCAAGCCCGAGCTGTGCATGGCGGGGACGGCCGAGATCCCGCTGGCGGGGATGAAGGCCGACACGGTGCTCGACGAGGCCGAGCTGCCCATCAAACGGGTCGCCGCATCGCGGTGCTACCGCGCCGAAGCCGGCGCGCGCGGCGGCGAGACCAAGGGGCTCTACCGCGTGCACGAGTTCACCAAGGTGGAGCTGTTCGCGTGGACCCCCGCGGACGAGGATGCGACGCAGGAGATCTTCGACGAGATGGTCGACCTGCAGACGGAGCTGCTGGGGTCGCTGGGCCTGCACTGCCGCATCCTGGAAATGCCGACGGCCGACCTGGGCGCGTCGGCCACGCGCAAGTGCGACATCGAGGCCTTCTTCCCCTCGCGCCGCGAGCGCAACGACGGCTGGGGCGAGGTGACCAGCGCGAGCATCTGCACCGACTACCAGACGCGCCGGCTCGCCACGCGGGTCAAGCTGGCGAGCGGGAAGCTGGCGTACCCCTGGACGGTGAACGGTACGGCGCTGGCCGTGCCGCGGGTGTTGGCAGCCATCTTGGAGAACGGCTGGGATGAGAGCGAGAAGTCGGTCACGATCCCCGAGGTGCTCAGACCGTGGATGGAGGGAAGGGAGAAGATTGGGCCGAGGCATCGAGTAGCGCGTGGGGAGTAGTAAATAGCCCAGTTGACCCTCTTAGTCGATCTAGTCGTTTCTACTTCGTATGTACATGTACAATACAGTACAATTCATTGTCAGTTGCCGCAGTGTGTTTGTCTCTGTGTGTGTGTGTGTATGGGACGGGTTTGCCCAACTTGACGCATATTGGTCGTCGGAAAGCTATGTATGTCATACAAATCCCATCATCATCAAGTTGACGGTGCAGCCATAATTACCTATCCGCCCAGTGGTATCCATAACTCAAATACCGCCAGGCAAAAAGCCACCCTTTACTACCTACTCAAACAACCCAGCCGTCCTAATCATATCGTAAAAAGAACATAAGAAACTCGACAAAAGAAAGATACAGAGACTCCCGCTAACTTATGGATCATTCCTAGCCGCCCACATTCAGGCCAATCCAGTCCATCCCATCAAGTGTCATCTCATCCAAACCATTCCCCGTAGCCCTTCATTGCAAAGTCCCTCTTAACTCGCCGCAGCAACAGGCACGGCGGCACCCTCAGCCTCTTTAGTCACACCGTGACCATCCACATCACTCTCCCTGCCAACAACAACCTCACCCTCCGTCCAGTCACTGGCGGCATCGTCGTCAATATCGTCATGGTGATGGTGATCATCCGCGCCCTCGTGTTCCGACCACTCCTCCTCCTCCTCCTCCTCCTCATGATGCTCAGCAGCCTCTTCCTCCTCGGCGGGCGTAATCACGGTCGTGCCATGACTCGACCTTCTGAGACTCCTGACGTCTTCCTCCTCCTCTCCTCTGTGGTCGACATCACCCAGGTCGCTGAAACGGTCTTCTTCTTCACCATCCTCGTCGCCGTCGCCAACACCGCCCGCGAGCGCTCCTTCTTCTTCTTCTCCGGCTTCGGGGAGATGCTGCTCATTCCCTGCGGCCGGAGGGGCGGCTGGCTCGGAGACGACGATATCCACCTTCTCCACCCCATCGACCTCCTCGCGCTCGTTATTATAAGCATCCTCATCCCCCTCCCGCAGATGATCCATGCCCATGCTCATATTCATATTCTCCTTGTCCTCACCACCAGAAGATGCCATTGTCATTCCCAGGTCTCCATATCCCTTCCCAGCAGCCGCAGCAGGCGGGGCAACACCCTGAGGTACCCAGCTAGCCTTCCTCACACCCCTAGCAGCCGCGGCAGCGCCACCAGCAGCGGTCCTGACGCTCTGGCTTCTCTTGATGCCGCCCGAGGGTATGTTGTTGGTGATCTGGCTCAGGGAGAGGATCCGCCGATTGGACGACGAAGGGGTCCCGTTCGGGGTGTTATTCGCCTTGCTCCGCGCCGACATGGCCAGGTTGATTGCGCTGCGCGGCTTCACATTCTCGTTATCCCCAGCGGGAGCAGGACCTCGAGCGGAAGACGAAGAGGTAGAGGAGGGCACCCGCTTGCGGCTCATGGGGTCACCACGACCATTGGCAAAAGCAGCGGCGCGGTTCGTCTTGGCCATGAGCAGCACGCGCGAGTGGTCCATGACACCCTCCAGGATGCGGCGCTCGAGGCTCTCGGCGCGAGCCTCCATGTCGTGGAGCTCCTCGCGGCGGAGGCGCAGGGCGGTGTCGAGCGAGGAGAGGTCGGCGGTGAGGCGGGCCTTCTGGCGGTGGAGGTTCTCCTGCTCGGCGCGCATGGACTGGAGGGTGCCCTTGAGCCGCGACTCTTCCTCGCGCAGCGTGGCCAGGAACTCGGCGCGCAGCTGCTCCTGCTCTTCGTGTAGGGCAGCGTTGGCGTCCTTCAGGCGCGCCTCCTCTTCCATGAGGTTGGCCAGGAGCTCGATCTTGAAGCGCTCTTGCTCCTCCTTGAGGGTGGCCTTCATTTGCTCCTGTTCCTGCCTCAGCGCTTCGTTGGCTGCGCGGAGCCGCGCCTCTTCCTCCTTGAAGTTGGCCAGGAAGGTCTCCTTGAGGCGCTCATGCTCCTCTCGGAGGCCGGCGTTGGCCTCCTTTAGGAGTGACTCCTCCTCGCGGAGGTTGGCCAAGAACGTGTCCTTGAGAGCCTGCTGTTCGTTGCGGAGAGCATCGTTCATCTCCTTCAGCCTGGTCTCTTCCTCACGGAGGTTGGCGAGGAAGGCCTCCTTCAACTTGTCTTGCTCCTCTTTGAGCGCGACATTGGTCTCCATGAGGCGTGCCTGCTCCTCCTTGAGGTTGGCGAGGAAGCTCTCCTTCATCTGATCCTGTTCCTCCTTCAGGGTAACGTTCGTCTCCATGATACGTGCTTGCTCCTCCTTAAGATTCGCGAGGAAGGTCTCTTTTAGCTGGTCCTGCTCCTCCTTCAGGGCCAGATTTGTCTCCATCAGGCGCGCTTCCTCGCCCTTGAGGGTCGCGAGGAAGGTCTCCTTCATCTGATCCTGCTCCTCCTTCAGGGCGATATTCGCCTCAGCGAGACGGACCTGCTCCTCCTTAAGGTTCGCAAGGAACATCTCCTTGAGCTGCGCCTGTTCCTCTAAGAGCTTAGCAATCGCCTCATTGAGCCTAGCCTCCTCGGTCTGCAGGTTTACAAGGAACTGCTCCGTGATCTTGCTCTGCTCCTCGGGGAGGGTGACGGTGATGCTCTCCTTCAGGCGCGCCTCCTCTTCCCTCAGGCTCGCGAGTTGGGCCTCGACCTGCTCCTTCTCTTCGCGGCGGCGCTCGAGCGCAATGACGGTCTCCTGGAGAGTCTTCTCCCGGTCCTCGTGCTCGTCGGCGATGCGCTGGGTCTGGGCGGCGAGAAAAGCGGCCAGTTCCGCTGCCGTGGCTCTGACTTGGGCGTGGACCTGGTCGAGCGTCTCGAGGTGCGCAAACGCCTTGTCAGCCACCTGCGTGTGGCTAACAAGCGCATCGAGCTTCTCGATGACTGCGGCGTCGTCGTACTTCTCCGGCGGAGGAGGCAGCTGCTCGACTTGCTCCTTGATCGCCGTGGTCGACGTCTCGAGCTTCTCGTAGTTCTGTGCGAGGGCCACCATGACCTCCTGCACCGTTTCGAGGATCTTGGGCTGGTACTCCGAGACCTGGCACCGAAGGCCCTCCACCTTGCCAATGGCCTCCTGCACCTGCTCTCTCGTGAGCTGGTGCTCGGCCTTGCCGTCCGCGTGGTGCTCGTCCGACTTGGCAACCAGATCCTCGACGCGCACGAAGACCGTCTTGGACGCCTCCTCCATCTTCTCCATGGAGTCGGTGACAGCCGTGCCGAGGGTGTCGACAAGAGACTTGAGCTCCTCTGCAATCGCCTTGGTCCCGTTGACCGCGGCCTCGATCTCCGCGTCTCTCGCCTCGCCCTTTGTGGCGCGGTCGTCCTGCAGAAGCTGGAGCTCTTCGTACTTGGTGATCAGTTCGCCCATGCGCTCATCAATCTTAGTAAGAAGGACATCGGCAGCGCCTTGCAGCTTCTCCTCGAGCTCGATCTTGACGCCCACCATGCCGGTCTTCGCATCCTCCGACTCCAACTTCACCGTGTCGAGGACCTCCTGGACAACATCGCCGACCTTCTCGTTCTTGCGGACGCTCTCGCCCAGCGTGTCGAGAATGCTATGAATAGAATCGATACCGCGTGCGCCGTCCTCAAGCTTCGACCGCATGAGCGCCTGGAACTCCTCCAGCACCGTCTTCACCTCGGTCACCCGCACGCCCACGCCGACGGTCTCGGCCTGGCGGTCCTCAAATGCCTTGGCACTCGCGTCGGCGTGCGCATCGAAGCGCTCCTTGAGCTCGCCGAAACGGGTCTCCAGCGCTTCGATATCCTGCTTCGAGGGGACGCTGGCAAGGTCGACCCTCTGGATGTGCTCAATGAGCGACTTCGTATCGAGACAGACTGCCTCGACGGCCTCGACATCCGTCTTGGTGATCCTTTCGGGATCGTCGAGCGCCTTCTCGTGGCGCTCCTTCATCTCGTCGAAGGCGGCCACAACCTGGGTGACGAGCGACTCGACCATGGCGACATCCTCCTTGCGCGAGAGCGTGTCCACCTGTCCCGCCAGGCCGCCGAGCCCGTCGCGGGTCTCGGCAAGCAACGTCTCCAGCGCGTCGATGTGTTCCTTGCGCGAGATGCCGTCCAGGTTCGAGGACATGCCCGTCAGAGTGTCCCGCGCCTCGAGCATGATGGTCCCCAGACTGTCGATGTGGTCCTTGCGGACAGCTTGTTCCCCATCCATGAGATCGTCCAGACGCGCCTTGGTGTTGCGCAGGATGGTCTCGATGGCCTCGACGTCTTCTCTCGAGGCAGGGTCGGTGCTGGCGGGCGCAGCCGCCGGAGGTGCTGCTTGTTCCCGGGCTGACAGCTCGGTCACGGTCTCCTGAATCTTCCGGATGCTCTCCTCCAGAGCTTCGAATGGCGCCCGGTTCGGCATTCCCGCGACGGATTCGGCGACATTGCGGAGTGTCTCCTCCATGTCGGCCAAGTCAGACTTGGACAGGGGGTTCACATCGGGCTTCGGCGCCGATTCCAGCGCTTCCACCTTGACACCGAGCTGGGCGATCAACACTTCCAGGTTCTTGATGTCGTCATGCTTAAGCATCTGCTCAGCGGGCACCAAGGCATTCGCGTTGTCGCCAATGGTAGTCAGAGCCCGGTCATTCTTGGTTTCCTCGCGGAGGCTGTCGATATCAGTTCTCACGCTGCCCAAACCTTCCTTGAGGGCGTCGAGGATCTCGTCATTAGCCGTTAAATCTGCGGGCTTATCCCGGAGATTGTTGATGCTCGTTCGGATGTCGCCCAGACCTTCTTGCAACGCATCCAGGATCTCGGTAAGACCAGCAATCGGCCGGGTGCTGATCTCCGACCGGAGGCAATGGATCCCGTCGTGCAAAGCCTCGAGAACCTCCTTGTTGTTGCCGGGCTGAGGGAGCGCCGGAATCAGCGAAGAGTTCACCGCATCCCGGAGAGACTCGATTTCCTCTTTCAGCATCGATCGAGAGCTGTCGGAGGACCGGTTCACAAGCTCGGCGATCTCATCACGGAAGCCGTCGAGGGTGCTGATGAGCTGATCTACGGCCTGCTCCGGGTCGGTGTCGCCCTTTGCGCGGTCGACATAGCCCTCAATGTCCTGGCGTAGCTTCTCAAATCCGTCCTTGGTTGCGTCGAGAATCTGCTCCGTGTCCCGGGCGTTCGCCGCGATAGTCTCCTTGGCCTCCTCCGAGGCCGCCTTGATCTCAGCTTGCAGAAACTCCTTGATTTCGTGCAGGCGTTGCATGACCTCGTCATTGTCACCAGTCTGCGCGATCAGGGCGGTGGACTGGGCGGCTGTGGAGAAGTCGAACGCCTGGAGCTCCTTCTTCACGACGTCGCCCAACCCAGCAGACAGGTCCACGGACCCGAGACCCTCCTTGACGGCGTCGATCACGTCAACGCGGGAGAGATCCGACCGGGCGACAATGGCCGAAGACAGGGAAGCCAACTCAGAGGCCTCTAGAACGCTCTTCACGGCACCCACGACATCGTCAGCAACGTTCGCCGTGTCAAGCGCCTCTTTGACGGCATCGACCACGTCCACACGAGACAAGTCCGGCTTGGCCGCAACGGCGGAAGAGAGCGAGGCAAAGTCAAAGGCTTCCAGCGCCTTCTTGACCGCTTCCGTGACATCCTTGGCAAGGTCAACCGACTCGAAGCCCTTCTTGACGGCATCGGTGACATCGCCGCCAACGTCCACGCCCGAGTCCGCGTGCGGGACGAGGGCAGAAGAGTAGGCCGGAGCAGCAAAGTCGAAGTCCTCGAGGGCCTTCTTGACCGCGGCCGTGACGCTGTCGGTGACATCGAGGCACTCCATGCCTTCCTTGACCGCATCAGCCACATCCACGCGGGAGAGATCGGGCCGTGGGATTACGGCGGTGAAGTCGAACGACTGCAGCCCTTGCTTGACTGCATGTAGCACGTGCGCTGCGAAGTCGAACGAATCAAGCCCCTCCTTCACCGCATCCAGCATCTCCGGTGACAGATCAAGCGACTTGAGCCCCGATTTCACGGCATCGGAAACGTCCCCCTTGGACACAGACTGGGGTATCAGGGCGGAGGAGTAGATGGACGAGAAGTCGAAGGACTGCAGGCCCTCGTTGACCGCGTCGAGCACGTCGTCCCTGGTGAGGTCGCTGCTCGGTGCAGGCGGGGCCGGAGCGGGGGGCGCAGGGAACTCAAAGGACCGAAGGCCCTCCTTAACGGCATCCAGCATGTCCTCTCGGGCGGCGCCCATGGCGGACGGCGCGACGGGGAACTCGAACTCCTCCAAGCACTCTCTAACTGCTTCGAGGACCTCGTCCCGCGATAGCGTTGCCGGGATTTCCACCTTGGGAGGGACGTAGTGCTTCATGCCTTCGATCACAGCATGGAACACCTCGTCCCGGGTGGCGCCGGGAGGCCGGTCGTCGCGAGGGGCGTAGGCGCGGAGACCCTCCTGCAGGCAGGCGAGGACCTCGTCGCGCTCCAGGCCAATCTGCTGGATCTCGATCTCGGGCTTGTACTTCTCCCACGCATCCTTGACCGCCTGCATGACGTCTTCCCGGCGGAGCTCAGGCGTGCGCGGCTTGCTGGCCTGGGTGTCCTTGAGCGCGGCGCGCACGCTGTTGTAGATCTCCTTGTAGTCGATCGAGGATTCACGGGAGGAGAGGGAAGCCGTCGACTGGCGACGGTGTTCCCGGAGAAGGTTGCTCATCTGCTGGCTCATCTCGGACAGCCCCTCCTCGATAACCTTGGTCATCTCGGCTTTGGTAACATCCTCGGACTTGCCGACGTTTCTTTCAGCGACGTCGTCCAGCCGCCGCCCGATCTCGCGTCCCATCCCGAGGACCTCGCCGCGGAGCTCCCGGACGAGTGCCTTGACTTCGGCGGTCAGACCGCCGCCTTGTGCGACGCTGTCCTTGACGGCGCGGATGGCTTTCATGACTTCGTCGTTGAGGACATCGGCAGAGCTGGCGCCGGATGTCGACGGGAGCGACCTGGAGGATTGGGGCATGCCGGCTGCGGCATGAAGGAAGTCGAGCGCCCCTTGACGCGACTGGTCATCGTCATCGTCGCCAAAGCTCCAGTTGCGGTCCCGCATCATGCCGCCGCCGCCCCCTCTGCCACCGCCTCCCGCAGCAGGCACGACAGCATGTTGCTGATTCGACTTGACGAAACGGGCAAGCTCCTCGACCTTCTCGGCCGTAGCCATGCCGGAAAGCTTGTTGGCCAGCTCTGTGAGCCGGTTGAGCAGCGTGTCCTGGCCTTCCTTGGTGCCCATCTCCCGGATGATCTTTTCAAGGAGAGCAACGGTAGCGGGCGAGGGTGCGTCGGAGACGAGAGAAGGTGCTGCGCTCAGCAGGGACTCGCTGTCGAGAGAGGTGGCAAAGCTGTTGGGGGAAGGTATCCGCGGCAGCGAGAATGGCCGAGGCTTGGCCAGCTGTGTCGGGGATGAGGGATGATGCTTGCCCCCTTCCAGAAGCAGAGGCCCGCCATATGGGTCTCTCGATGCCGATCGCGCTTTTGCGTCCGAGATCAGTTCCCTCAGACTCCGCCGGATGTCTTCATCCCGAGCATTAGTGGCTTCCTTCAGGCTCAGCAGATCGGTGGCATTGTCTCGGCTGCGGCGGCTGAGTAGCGACATCTCCTTCTGCAGAGTGGTTGCGATGTCGGTCAGGGTGAGGATCTGGTTGGACAGCGATTCGAGTGACTGAGGAACCCTGACCATCGCCTTAGAGCCATTAGTGATGTTGGCTAGAGGAGTCTCGGGCTCCTTAGAGGGGGTGCTATTGTTGCTCTGCGTGCTCATGTTCTGGAGAGCAAGCATTGTTGCCGATTGGGGCGGCGTGTTCTCGCCCAAAATGCTCTGATGCGGTCGCCGCACAGTCGGGCGGATGATAGGAGTCAGGCTTGGTCCTGGAGTCGGAGTGGTTCCAACGGAAGACCGTTCCTGCTTGTCTTCCCTTGGCTCGCTCATGAAGGTGTCCCTCCTCTGGGGGGTCTTCGGCCTCTCCGTCTTCTCCGGCGATCTCGGCGACGACTGGGCCGAATCGCGAGCGCCAGACTCTATCATCAAGCTGATGTCCTTGACTGACGCAGGTTGTAGCGACTGCATGCGGCGATGCGAATTGGGCCGCAGCGCCGGCCGTTCTGGCGAAGTGTCGATGCGCTTGGCCAGATGCGGCACCAATGCCGTCTCACGCGCCTTCTCAGCCATGGCGGCATGGGCCGACTGGATAGCCGTCGACGTCCCGGCGCGCGAGACGCCGGGCGACTGCGGGTTCAGCGGGAGCGGGGGAGGAGCCCGCTCGGGGTCGGAGCTGTCCCACCTGTTCCTCATTAGTGTGCGCCAGAGTTGCGACATGACATGGTCACCGCGGCTTGCGAGAGTGGAGATCTTCGGGTTCTGGGAAGACGTGCATGATTTTGGAGAGGTAAAAGAATCTGGACATACATGGGCACCAGGGAGCGGCCGTGGTCGACAGACCCGGAATGTTGGTGTCTTAGAGGCCTGTCAAGGTCGCGCGGGGCGTCCCTCTCTACGGGCGGCATTGTGGTGGCGATGTCGTCTGTTTATGTGCTCAGGACGAGACGGTGGAATGTGGATGGTCGCTGGAATGCGGCGACTCGATGCGGGTTGGGTATCTTCAGAATGCAATATCAAACAAAAAGTCTCGCCTCGAGTGAACAACGACTCGAGTACCAGACTCCCGGGCCAGGAAAAAGGACCACAAGCAGCAAAAAGCTGAATGCTGAATTGAGTCAAAGGAATGCCGACATGATTTTGCCGGATATATTGAAGTCTTGTTAAGACTGTCGAGAGGGGAGAGAAAGTTGGGGACGGGATCGCTGTCAACAGCTTGATTTGAGCCCTGCGTTGGCGCCCGACCAGCCAATTGCCTGTCATTGCTTGCCTCTGTTGTGTTGATTGTTGGCGTTTCCCGAGCAACGTGTAGGCGCGACCAGGATCAACCTCGTTACCCCTCACCGGGGAAGGATGGCACACCACGGGCGCTCCCGTTATCGATAAGCTAGCCCCTGCCGATGACGTTCTTGCAACCTGAACTTCTGAAGCCTAGGACTCTAAAAAGAGGTCCTCCAGTTGATGAACTAGGTGGTGATATCAGGGAGGCGCAGGTAATTGCACTACCCCAGACGCCAGAAAACTCAGAATATGCGTAGGTAGGAAGACCAACAGCAAGCTTGGAGCCCGGGTTCCGACAAATCTTACCAGCTCACCAGAAGGGGCGTGGGACAGGCGGCGATGGAGGTCGCGAGTTGCAGAACTCACATAGAGAACCGCCTTTGGAGACCACAGCACAACCGGCCAGACGGGCAATGATTCTTTTCAAGGCTTGCATCTTTCATCTCGCCGGACTACCTTACTAAATGGCACGCAATGAACATGCCCGAGTCTACGTAGAACATCGTTCATTATCCAACTATCGGTTACGCTACAATCTTGGCCTCCGACTTGGCCGGCCGCTGCCCAAAGATGGTGCTCCCGACGCGGACCTCGCTGCTGCCCATCGCGATGGCGCCCTCAAAGTCCTCACTCATGCCCATGCTCAGCTCCAGCTCCCTATCGAGGCCCAGCTCCTTCGCGATAAGATCCCTCTGCTGCCTCAGAAGCGCAAAGTCCTCGTTCTCGTTCTCCGCCGTGGTCGCCACGCTCCTCGCAATGGAACCGATGGTCATCAGGCCCAGCAGGTGGAGGTTGGGGCAATCGTTGACGATGGACCGGCACAGCGACACGACGTCGTCGCCCGGCGGACACCCGGACTTGGATTCCTCGCCCGAGGTGTTCACCTGGACGTGGACGTTGAGTTTCGGGGTGTCAGGCTCGGCTTTGATCTTCTCGCCGCGGTACTTATCCAGCAGCTGCGCCTTCTTGAGACTGTCCACGCTCGATACGCACCAAAGGTTAGGGATCTTTGCGATGTCTTTGCATCGGCCTGATTTGAGTCGGTTAGCCACCCTTCTTTCGCGATATGGCGTGCTGGGTCCCGTGGGGGTTACATGCCCGACTGCAGACCGCCGATGAAGTGCCACTGGATCGTTCTCGGTAACAGCTCGGCTTTTTGGCTCAGCTCCTGCGCGTAGTTCTCACCGAAGTGCAACTGCCGAGCCGGAGACTCGTGCAGGGCGAGGATGTCATTGACCGGCTTGAGTTTTGAGACGGCCACTAGTCGTACCTTGAGAGTCAGATTGTTAGATGCTTAATGACATGAGCATGACAGGGTGTTTTCCTCATAGTAAGTAGATGAATTTGAACATACTGAACGACCCTTAGCCACTGCTGCTATTCTCTGATTGACGCTCTGTAACTGGGAGATCAGAGCAGATGCTCGTGCAGGATCAGCCTTCATATCTGGCTCGCTCATTGTGAGATGTGATCAGATTCCGCATTTGGTCCAAGGTTCTGTCATCAGACTCATCATTGCGTTGCCAGCTTCTTGTGGGGCGCTCATCGAACGAAAACGGTAAGCCGAAACGTATTAATACGGTATCGATCATTGGGCAGGCACATGCGAACCTCAGCTCCTTTTCCAACCTTGAGACCAACCAAGTCTAGTAAAGCGATTGGGAATCACCATTCGACACTGTTTCTCTTCTCTCAGCTGCAATCGAAACCACTCACGACCTGTATCATATGCAGTAGCCCATGGTTCGGTAATGGTTGGAGCTCACCCATAAGACGAGATTGGCTGCCGATACGCCCCCTTCCCTGTGATTCCTGGGCTGTGCAATTCGGTCAGCCTCGAACCAATCCAAGACCGCCCCGAGCTCTCCAACCCCCTTGTCCTCTTTGATAGACCCTAGCTGGCGAGCCTCGAACAGGTGTTTAAAAGTAACGGATGCAAGCTGTCACGCCGATCCTCTCGAGCGGCGGGCACCCATCGTCTCTCATTACACCATAACTATTGTTGTCACAATGACTTCACAAAACCTGACCCGATCCAGGCACGGCCACGGCCAACAGCTTCTAAAGAATACAATGAGTAAAGATAAAGAAAAAGAGGTAGTAAGAAAGAGGAAAGTAGTGAGGAAGAAGAGAAAGAATGACGCAACCACAAGCACCATCAAACCCATGCCCCGCCTGCCCCCGGAGATCTGGATGATCATCTTCGAGCACCTGCCGGCCTCCTTCTTCCAGCGCGACATCCGCCGCCTCATGGTGAGCAAGAGCTGGTACAGCCTGGCGCTGCCGGCCTTCTACCCGCGCATCGAGTTCACGCCGCGGGTGATCAGCCGGCTGGTGCACCGCAAGACCGCCAGCCTCAGCAGGACCCGCAGCCTGCTCCGCAAGACCCTCCGCAGCGTCAACATCGTGCTCGACCCGGGGCTCGGGCTGTATCCGCCCGGGGTCCGGGGCGGGCGGGTCGTCGGGGGCGACCCGAAAACGGCGTGCTTCAACACGCCGTCCAACCTGACCCGCTTCGGCCGCATGCTGCTCGACTTCGGCGCGCTCACACACGTGCGCTTCACCGCGTACTGGCCGAACCGCGAGTGGCGCGCCGACCCGCTGCAGGCCAACTACCTGAGCACGAGCAGCCTGCGGCCGTACCTCCACCTGGCGCTGACGACGCAGCACGTGGCCTCGCTGGACCTGGATCTCTGCGGGACCAACATCACCGACGACGACGGCCGCGCGGTGCATTTCTGCTGGCATGTGCGGCCGCTGCTGTCGCGGCTGCGGTCGCTGAGGCTGCGGCTGCGGCGCATCTGCCACGAGGCGCTCTGGCCGCTCGACGACCAGCCCGTGACGCTCGGCGAGATCTCGCTGAACCTCTACCTGGGGCGGGTGTCGGACCACAACCCCAAGCTCAATGCGAGCTGGTCGTGCGACTCCTCCTCCTCGGGCTTGGGCCGTACGTGGGCGCGGGCGAACCCGATGGACGAGATGCGCGGGACGATGAAGCCGTTGGTGAGGGAGATGGCGGAGCCCCGGCGAGCCGAGATTGTGCACCTGGCCCCGAACGGCGAGATCCACATCTGGGATGCCGCGACAGATGCTTGCGTCAGGGACGTGTCCGAGAAGCCGAGGCGGTTCCCCGCGTGTTTCGATGTTGACCCTGGGAGACCTTGCTTCTCGGAAGATGTAGATGACTGGGACGGTGGCGCTGGTGCTGTTAGCCCTGGGGATCTGTCCGATGGGGAAGGTTCCGAGGAACTAGATGACCTCGAGGAACCGGAGGAACCGGAGGTGATGGATGGAGTGGTTGAACTGGACGGGGTGGAGGATGCTGGCGCGGAGGACATTCATATGCTCTGATGATACCCGTATTGTTTTCCATGCATACATTTCAATGACTTTAGGTATTCCCCGAATCCAAGCACATCCATGTACTTCGGCTCGTTGGCTTTATGGTACACTGACTGATGTTTCCCCCCAATCTGGGCCAGGAGAGCAACCGAAGTCTGCTTACGGAGTTTGAATACTCGATATTCGGCATCCAATATTCCCCTGCCCGTAGTCATCAGGGAGAGCCAAATACGGAAGGAAACTGGTTAGCTTCGGCTTGGCCTCTTGCAACATCTGTCATCAAAAGCAGTAGTATTGAATATTTACCCTATTACCACGCAATGCTCATCATGCATCATGAAACACCTAGCTAGCCCTGGTTTGTCATTACGCCCGACGCCTTCTCTCTCACAAGCCACACAGCAGTAGAAAAAAAAACCCCTTATCTGCTTACCACCGGCCCTACCGCTGAGGTGGCACGGGAGCGGGCGGCATATTCCGGATCTGCTTGATCAGAAACTCCCTCTCATCAATGAACTGCTCGTCCTCGGTGCGGTCCTCCAGGAAGTGCGACAGGAAGTGCAGGAGCTTGTCCCGGTTCATAATCAGGATCTTCTGCACGGGCAATGACTTGTGCGGGTTCGCCACGAACACCTTGAAAACGTGGAAGCCCTCGTACTGCACCATCTTGCGGTCGTCACGCAGCAGGTTCATGCAGATCTTGAGGTGCTCCCCCCTGTCGACGTAGGCCGTCATGATGTTGTAGTTGGCGCGGTCCAGCAGGATCTCACCGAGCAGCTTGATCGACTGGCGCTTGGTGACGTAGCTGTTGGACTGCACCAGCACGCTGTTGTACCGCGCGAAGAAGAGGTCGAAGTTGACGGCGAGGTACCGTGGGACCAGCTCTTTGTGCTTGGTGATCAGTTCCTGCCAAAAGAAAAATGTGTTAGTCGATCGAATCACAAAACCCAGCAGGAACCCTGAAGGGTGTTTGTTATAGACCGCCGCCTCCTTACCCTGAAGGTTGTAAACGCATCCGCGCTGACCTCAAACGAGCTCTTGTCAATCCAGTCAAAGAAGTTCCAGAACACGCCGCGGCCGCTCTGTGGCCGGTCCGGGTTGATCCCGCCCACGCCCCGGGAACTCGACCCGGGCTCATCGCCGTCGTCGTACAGAATTATGGCCGCAGCCGCCTCACTCTTCAGCACCTCCCTCAGCACTGTCCCCGCGGGCGTGGCGCTCTCCTTGTGGTCGTAGCCCCTGCACAGCTCGACCAGCACCTGCGGCCGCCGTTCGACGACGTAGGCCAGGGCGAGCGGCTCGGGTCGTTGCGGCCCCGTTGGCGGCCGGAAGCGGAAGACGTACGAGAAGATAACTTGGGTGTCCTTTCGAGACTCGAACGGCAGTCGGTGGAGGTGCACGGCGAGGAGGTACAGGAGGTCTTCTTCGATCATGCCCGTCACCAATTGGGCAATCTGCTCGGGATTTGGTTCGGCCTCTGGTTTTGCAACTGTTTGTTAGAGAGGCGGGTCGTCTGGCGGGGAGCTTCTTGCGGGGGAGTCAAGCGTACCATGCGTGCCCTGTAGCACCTGTTTCATCTGTGAAAGCACCTTTGCGAGTTCTTCGGCCTAGCCGCATGTTAGCGGTCGTTCGGTGGGCGCATGGCATGGACGGCGTGCTGGGCGGGGTGAGGTGTCTGGGTCTCTTTGGATGTCTGTTTACCTTTGCGGCCCCTTGCGGCCCCTCGAGCTTTGTTACATGGTCTCGCGCCTGCTTGGCAAGATCTACCGTATTTGTTCTCGTGCGTGTTCTCCCAAAGAAGAAGGACATTTTGTCGGCTGTCGAGGGCGCCGCGGGGTCAACGGTTTGGCGATCGCTGCAGCTCCCTCAACAAGCGATAACACAACAGTGGGGGGTTCAAGTTTGCTGTGAGCTTCAAAGATGCCAACCGCCCTTGGCAGGGAAACCTGGATGCCCAAGCAGATCGAAATGCCAATTCTTCGTCGGGTCGGCAAGACTAGGTGCCGCAACTCAAGGGCAGTAACCAGAAGTTCGCTGGCTGAGCTGGGTGTACTTGGACTGAATGGGCGCACGTTGCCGCCGGAGGGCAGGTGTATGCGCTGTCACGGCGTCCTGGCAACCGTATTTACCCTGTAACGACCAAACAACAAGCCTCCAAGGCCCAATCGCTCACGACGGTCTAACAAAGGACAGCAAGACACAGCGCAGAATAGAAGATGACGTCTTTTAGCCCTTGATGACATTCTTTGCGTGTGTCTTCCGAGGTAGCCTACTTCTATAAAGAGGACGGATATCCTCTGCCTCGGCGTTACCTGCCACGACTGGACTGATCCTCACCGAACCGCCGGTGGCAGCCGCGGATTCCCGTTCACAGACTGGTAAATTCGTCTGTTTGCTATCACAGCTCGACACAATGCTTTGCCAGACTCATAGCATTTACACGAGTTACTGCTGACCATGCCAGGTCTATCTACGTCTCTTAGTCCAGCTACGGTTGAGATGTGCCTCGCCATCAAACCTCCATTCTCATCGAAATATCTCCGTGGAAGTCTGCAGACGAGAGCATGGAGGAACTGGTGATTTCCCCCTTGCTGGATTTACTCTTCGCCAGTCGTATACCTCGAGAACCATCGGTCTAGTGGTTAACGCGGAGATATCCTAGCGGTTGCCGTCCCTACCTTTCCTGGGCCCAATGATGAAAGATGAAAACGCCAAGCGGCTGGTCAAGATGCAATGTCATGGCCTTATACTTTTGGCCCGGGGTAGTCCTGTGGATGTTAGTTCAAGCCGCAAAGTCACTTGGTCAACTGCATGGAAAAGCCTCTGCGGCACTCGCAAGAGGCGTGGGGCTTCGGGAGAACCTCCCATGGAGCATTTCACAGCGAGCGCAAAGCGACTAGCATTGTGAAACGGCCATAGAGAACAATGTCTCGATTCGTTGACTCTGCATCTAGATCCCGCGTCCGTCCTTTGTGCCATGTCACTGTGACATGGCGGACGGTCGCCCAAGTATGCAACCGAGAACAATGGCGTAAAGACGCCAGCGCAAACCGGGGCAATTCCCCGACGGTAAGCAAATGGGGTATTTCTCCGTCGCAACCGAACCGAGTCGTTCCTTTTCGCCCTTCTTTTGTCGTCACGTTTCATTCCGTCCAGCACGAGCTCGGGCAATTCATGCCTTGCTCTTGCCCTTGGCCTTGGCGGCCTGCTCGCGGCCGGCCTTGATGCGAGCCAGGATGTTCTCACGATCCTTGTCGAGCTTGAGCTTGGTGATGACCACGTTGCTGGGGTGAATGCCGAGGGGAACGCTCTGGCCGGTGGCCTTCTCGCGCGTGACACGCTCAACGTGGATGACGTATTTGAGGCGGTAGACCGAGGTGACCTTGCCCTCCTTGTCCTTGTTGGAGCCCCGGATGATGGTGACCTCGTCGTCCTTGCGGATGGGGATGCTCCGGACCTGTGATGGGATATTTGTCAGTTCGAAGCCGAAGAAAGAAAGTCATAGCCGTGAGCAGTGAGAAAACGTACGTTGTACTTCTCACGGAGCTCCTTGCTGAGCGGAGCGCTCATGATGTCGCGGCGGACGCTCGAAGGCGCGCTGAAGTGCGCCTTGCGAGACTTGCGCCTCGAGGACGAAACGGCTGCGAGATTCAGAGGTTAATTGAACTGCATGGGATCATTTGAATGGCTGCTGAGACTAACTTGAGCGGACCTTGACCATTGTGATTGATGTTGTCGAGGGGGGACAAGGAGTCGAGTGATGATCGCCGTGATCTTGAAGAAGCCGCTGAAAAGAAAATGCGAATTCTGTGGGTGTGAGAAAATTGGTGCGCTGTGGCAGAATCAAAGGCTTTACCGCTTTCCAGTTCTGCTCTAGGTTGCACCTCATTTCTGAGTGGGTCCAGTCCTTCCTTATGTCGACTCTTGGCCCTTGCGCACTCTTCAAGCTGGGACTCGAGTCTGTGCGCTCACTGCGCTGGGACTTCGTCTCGAGGTCGCTTCCAAAGTTCCAATGGGTCTTTTCAGGCCTCTAAGCTGGGTGAGATATTCCAATCCTCCCGTGTCAAGAACGAGGTAGGGAGTACAGAATATGAAACACGCCATTCGATGCCAGCGCCGGTGTCTCTGATGTTTCAACTTTCCTGAACATGACGGCCATCATATGCCCCTCAACATCATAACATGGCACTTAACCGGACACGCACACCAGTCGAGTGTGGACAGTTCAGAACGGATTACAACCAAAGATTAATTCACAGTGTTCTCGAGGTCATTTCATGACCAGGTTCTATCACATCTCAACCTTCCCCACCCCCCACCCACAAGACGCCTAACCATGTTTCCGGTCATTCCATGACCATGCTCTCAGCATCCCAATGCTCTCCAAACGCCTACTAACCATGCATAATGCGACCCTGGGTATATCCAACGAGCGACCGCCGTGAAACCCAATTCAAGCCCTTTTCCTTTCCCATGCAAAACGCCGTAGCTATGCTCAAGCCAAAACCAAACTCCATTGAAACCAAAAACACCAATACCCTCAGTTCCAAAAAAGATAGAAATCTCTCCTCCATTTCCAAACACCCATAACAAAGTTCAAAACTCTAATTCTCCCGACTCCTCGGTGATATTGACAAAGTCCGGCCTCGGACCGCCATATCGCCGCCTGAGCTCCCTTTCATAAGGGGACGGCAAGATCGCCGACGGTGTCGTGGTCGGACGATACCCCAGCGGTCGCGCACTGCCTGTTCGTCTGGTGGGCGTGCTCATAAAGCCCGGGTCGTCGACCTCTGCGTCTGGGAGCAGCGGTTCCTCATCAAACTCCGGCATTGGACCGAGCGAGCGGAAGGGGAGAGTAGCCAATTGGCTCGCGGTGTAAAAGCCCGCTGTGGACGACCGAGCGAGCTGCTGGCGGGTGCTCTGCCGGACGCTGCGGCGTGCAGAGAGGGTGCTGAAGCGTGGATCGAAGCGCGCCGCTGCTTCCGGCACTGCCTTTTGCTGCCAGTCTTCGAGGAGTTGGTGACAAAGGCGCCTCTCATTCTTCTCTCGTAGTGTGTTGGCCATGTGGCGTTTGCTTTCGTTTTGGATCGCCTGGAACTCCCATCTCTCCCAGCAGCTTTTTCGTGTCTTTTCTGTATCATAGTCGATGGCATCCGCCATGTTCTCCTTCGTTTCGTAAAGCTGGGCTTGCCATTTCCCGTAATACACTTCAAGTTCGGCATCTGCAGCGATCTGTTGTATGTTCTGCGCTCTCTTTGTCATGAGGCTCCAGTAATCGATGCAGTCGTTGAGGTCCTCCCACTTGTAGTGCAGGTTGGTTCGATGGGCGTCATGGCCGACGTCGAGGGCGTCCGCAGTCGCATCTAACCACTTGCCGAGACACTCCTGCGCCAGTGCGATTTTGTATTTTCGCCTGAACTGCCGCAGCGAGCTCACCATCCGCTGCCTTCGAGTCGTTTCGGCAATGTCGGGCCATTCGTCAAGCACTCCAAGCACCATAGATATGGCTCTGTGTTTGTTCGCCTTTCTTTTATAGTAAGTATCCCGGGCTTGGCTCTGATGGCACTGCTCCCGCCAATGGTCGATGCACGGGCGGGTAGTCCAGTAGAGGTTGACGACGTTGGCGTTATGGTGATGCCTGTACATCTTGTCCGTCTCGAAGATCCAAGTCTCGAGGGCATCAGTTTGTGTGTAGTAGGAATCAACGTAATCGGCCTCTTCCTCATATCTAACCCGATCGTCACGGGCTTGCCGGGCAGCTTTGAACAGTGTATTGAATGTTTCTCGTTTGGTCCTGGTATCAAGATATCTCTTGTACCAGGCAAGCTTTTCTTCGAGCGCCCACTGGCTCAGCACGGCAGCTTTGATTTCGTACTCATCCCGCTCAATGAAGAGTTTCAGCTTCATCTCACGCTCCCAGTGCTCGACAGGTTCCTCCAGGAAGAAGGCGTCAGCAACCATGGTGTTGCCTTTCACGTTCTGGAGATTGCCATGCCACGTTTCCATGACCTGGCGTCTTGTGTCGTGTGCCCGTTTGGCGTTGTACTGCTTCAATAACACTGACAGTCTTGCTTGCTCTTGCCAGTACTCCAAATCCCGGCGACAACCCAGAACCAGGAACTGCCGGGTACATTCGTAGGCATCGTACTGTTGGACTTCAAGCTCCTCGAGCCAGATGTTAACTGCCTCGTCGAGAACCAGTCTCTCGTCAAGGGCGACGGCGACCTGGTACTCCTCATTGAGATCGCGAGCTTTGTCGGCCCAGGTATCCAGACTCTGCTTGGCAAGATTGACCGCGTAGAATTCATCCGCGATACGCTTCTTGGTCTCCTCCAACATTTGGTTGAGAGTGACATTGCACAGCTGCTGCTGATGCCATTGTGCGGCGACTTCGTGGCGCACCTCGTGATGGAGGGCCACTTGACTCCATTTCTGAAGGGCGTTCCCAAGGATAAAGTTCTTCACTTTGGTTTCGTCCTCGACGTGTTGTGCATGCCAACCCTCGAATGTCCGTTTCCGGACAAGGTGCCTGCGTGCTACCGCCGTCCGGTCGATTTCCTCCTGTGCTTGGTCTTGCCACAGTGCCAGCACGTTACGGATCGTGAAGATTTCGTAGACCCTCGTGGCGCGCCTCTCCATCTTTGCCACGTAGGCCTCGTGTTTGGCAGCGGCCTCTGCTTCGAGCCGCTGCTGTCGTGCGAGGGCGGCTTCCTCGTTCCATATGTCGAGAACCTCACCCAGGAGGTCATTGTTATCGAACTCCACAGCATGGGTTCTGAGCTCATCATTGTTTCGCTTGGCTTGGCGTGCAGTTGCGCGCCAGGTCGAGAAAACATCCCCCACGAGTTCTCGATCCTGCTGCATTCTGAAGTCTCGCAATAGATTCTCACGATCCTCAAGATCCGCTAGGTCATCTCCCAAAGTCTGGAATCGGATGTCCACCACAGGAGGGGAATTATGAGAATCTCGTATGGGTGGCTGTCGTAGAATCCCATCAAGAATTCCTCTATCGCTGAGGCTAGAGGAGGCTCGGGATTCTGGTTGTGCGGGGATCGCGTCGCTTGGGGCGATGGAGGCTCTGGATCCTGGCCGTGATGAAGGGTTGCTGCTGGGAACAAACTCAAGCTTAATGCCCATTCCACCTAGGACGGACTTGAATTTGTCGCTGAGTGTGTCGCCGGCGCGTTGCCCTCCGATTTTGAAGATGAGGCGAGATATGTGGGACGGGGGGTCTTCGGGGTCGTAGCCATGTTCGGGAAGAAGCTGCTCAGCGGCCAGGAAGAGAGCATTGGTTGGAAGACGCTCGCGTTCAGGGAGGGTCGGGTAGAGAGATTCAGCCAGAGAGACGATTTGGTGGACCAGTTCAATGTCTGCGCAACACAAATTTGTTAGCCATACCGGGCAGATGCGGCAGAGCATGACCCGAGACACAGTACTCACCTTGGTCAGAATACGACTCGTGAGGATGGGCACCATGGTGAAGAGCAGAAGAGGCAGGATAACCGGAATGAGCGGCAGAAGGAGGAGGATAATCAAGACCACCATTGTGGGGGAACAAAGACGATGGATGTTGCATGGGAATGAAGCCGGCAGCCAACTTTGGGGCATACTTCTGGAAGCCGATTGAGAGCAAATAGTATGTGCCTTCTGTAGGCGCAAAGAAGAATCTGAGTTCTTGGAAACTACGACTGGGATGCGCGATATGAAATTGAAGCAAGAAGCCAATTGCTTGGGAAGCAACGCAGCTGAACTGTGTCAATCAATGGGTCGCAGATTCGCAAGATGGTCGCAGCGGGACAAAGGGTCGCGGGGCGCGTTCGTCAGGCGCGCGTACCACAGTAAAGTGGCAGTTGCTGGGCGACATATGTGATGTGCACAGACCAGGGTGCAACTGTGGCTCGAGCTTAACAATTCGGTGGCTGGGAGCCTTGGCGTGGCTGGACGCTTGGGGGCTAGCTCATTGGAAGCATACAGTGTCTCTTTGGCGCTTCGGCACTGTGTCTGGAGACTTGAACTGCAATTCCCGACTAGCATCATCACTTATCACTCTGGCTGCGGACATTCGGGTCGAATATTCGACGGCATGGTAGAGCTGACCGGTCAAATGTAACATTGATTCTTTATTTTCGATATCTTCAGTCAGCCCATCTCGACAACGGACATATCTTTACTACGGCCATGCAGCCAAAACCTCGACCGATCCAGCGGTTTGCCCAGGCAGTCTCGAAATGCTCTGCCGAGGTGAGAACAGAGTCTGCATTCAAGCTGGAGACGAACCTCGAACCGAACTAATGAACCCCAGGCTGCTGTGTACGGGCAATGCATCGTCGCGGATTATAACTCTGTGCATAAAGACAAATGCGCCAAAGAGTTTATGAAGCTAAAGGATTGCTACTTGGTATAGCTTCACTCCCACTCAAAACGGTATTGGGGAACACACCAGCTCACTCATCCAAGCAGGCCATGTCGAAGGGGGGAAGGTGAAATCAGATAGCTCTTAATCGAAATACAGGTCTTTCCTGCCTTACTTCTCGGTGTTCTATACACCCATCAAGAGCCCTTGCTCACCCCCACAGCACTCTACAGTGTAAGGTATCTATTACCGGCTTCCCACCTCCTCACAGCTTAAGCAGCCGCAATAGAAACGTGGCCTTTTGCACCTCCTGCTCTTCCTCGGCAATGATACCCTCCTCCTTCTGCTCTGGGATCTGGCCATCCACATGGGTGACCTCATGCTTATCCAGCGGCCGCCGCAGCGCCTTCACGATGATCGGTTGGTGCGTCTCAAACACTTTCTCGATGCCAGTCTCGTCGGGGTCAGCCAGGACCTTGTACTCCATCTTGACGTCGTCTGTTGGCTGAAGGCCGGCTTTCTTGCGCAGCCGCTGTACCCGGTTGATGATCTCGCGAGCGAGACCCTCCTCGGCAAGGCCGGGGTAGATCTCGGCATCGAGGATAGTGAGGACATCGTTATCCGTGTTAGTCTCGAGGTTCCGGGATGCATCATCCTCCCTCAGGCCGCGCTTGACCACCAAGTCGCCTGCCTCAAGCGTGATGCCGTCGACCACAAGCGTACCGTTGGCTGCGTAGCCCTGCGCTTCTTGGCTAGTGACGTTCGGGAGGGCCCTCTTAACCCGAGCCATGTCCTTCTTGAGCTTCTTCCCGAGTACGGGCCAATCCGCGGTAACGCTGTATTGAACCCCATACTGGGCCTCGTCCGACGTCAATACCAGGTCGCGGACATTCAGCTCCTCGGTAATGTATCCTTGGAGCGACTGTACATCCTCGAGGTATTGAGGATCAGGGTGGATGACAATAAGCGTCTTCAGGGGCTGCTTCAGGCCAATACCACGCCTCTCGCGGGAGACTCTAGCCAACTCGATGACCTTTTGCATCCGCTGCACCTGTCGCTCGATGTCGGTGTTGAATAGCTCTTGACGCACTTCAGGGAATGGTAGGAAGTGGACACTGCGGAAATCTTCGCCTCGAAGCTCCTCAGGGATGTGTGGCAGGAGCTTAAGGTAGATGGTTTCCGTAAGGAAGGGCGTAAAGGGCGCGAGGCCGCGGCACAGCGTGAAAAGGACCTCGAACAGGGTGTTCAGGGCATGGAGAGTATCGTCAAGCCCATTTTCACCCTTGAGACGTTTCCGGTTGAATCGGATGTACCAGTTCGTCGTGTTATCGATCAGCTCCAGCAGCTTGGGGACGACCGTGTACAAACGATAGGCTGCAACCCGGGTAAGCATCCACACGGCCATGGTGGGGACGGGGGTATGGGGCTGGGAGGAGAGGTGAGAGGGGGGAGGGGAAGTATCAACGAACCTGCCATCTCCTCATTGACAAACTTGAGCAAGCTCTGGCAGCTGGCCAGGATCCACTTGTCCATCACATTGGTATTCGAGGATTCCATAGTCGGGTTGAACATGTAGTCAACGTCTTCCACCTTCTTTAACAGGGTGACTTGACCTTCGAAGAACTTGTAGCTGTTCCATAGCGGGAGGAGCACTTTGGCAACGACCTCCTTAACCCCGGCCTCTTTAAACTTGAGAGGTTCGGCTCTCACCACGGGAGAGTTGATGAGGTACAAACGAAGCGCATCAGATCCGTACTTGGTCATGACCGTGGTGGGATCGGGGTAGTTCTTCAACCGCTTCGACATCTTCTTGCCGTCCTCAGCCAATACGATGCCGTTGACGACACAGTTCTTGAACGGAGAGACGCCAAAAAGGTGTGTTCCCAAGACGAGCAGCGTGTAGAACCAACCCCTCGTCTGATCGAGACCCTCTGCAATGAAATCGCCGGGGAATGACTTCTCGAATTCGTCGCGGTTCTCGAAAGGATAGTGCTTGCTGGAGTAAGGCATACTTCCGGACTCGAACCAGCAGTCAAAGACCTCCTCCACTCGCCTGAGGACGCCCTTGCCCTTTTTGCTGGGGATGGTGATGTGGTCGATTTTGTCGCGATGCAGGTCGGTGATCTCGCCCTCGTAGCCACTCAGCTCCTTGAGCTCGGCGATGCTGCCGATACAGACGATCTCCTCTCTATCCTCGCTCACCCACAGGGGGATAGGAGTGCCCCAGTATCGGTTCCGGGACACGTTCCAATCCCGGGCGTTGGAAATCCAGCTGGCGAAACGCTTCTCCTTGACAAAAGACGGGACCCAGTGAGAACCCTCAATGTTCTCCAGCATCTTCGGGATGATATTGGGAATGCGCACGAACCAGGAGGGCACGGCCTTGTAGATAAGTGGTGTATCTGAGCGGTAGCACATCGGGTACGAGTGCTTGGTCTGTGACTCTACGACGATTCTGCCGGTCCCCTTTAGGTGCTTGATGATGTGTTTGTCGGCTTCCTTAACGTGCATTCCCGCATAGTCGGGAACCTTGCTGGTAAAGCGACCGGCGTCGTCTACCGGGTCGGGAGGCGGGCGCTTCTCGGTCACGATACCGTTTGCGACAGCGACGTTATAGTCCTCCTCGCCGAAGGCTGGTGCCTGGTGGACAATACCAGTACCGTTGTCGTCCTGGACATAGGTTGCGCTGAGGACCTTGAACGCGACATCTTTGTATTCCTCGTACAGGTAGTCGAAAGGCGGCTGGTACTTCCAACCAACCATTTCCTTGCCCTTGAGCTTTTGCAGCACCTTGAACTTGGCCTTCTTCGGATCCTTGTACAGCGTGCCAAGCAGTTTCTCCAGAAGGATATAGTTCTTCCCGGATTTCTCATCCTGGATCTTGATGTAGTCGAAGTCTGGGTGGACTGCTAGGCCCAGATGGGATGGTAGCGTCCATGGTGTGGTTGTCCAGGCAAGCAGACTTGTTTCGAGGTCGTCATCAAGTGGGAAAGAGACCACGATGGCTGGGTCGGTCACGTCCTGGTAGTTCTGGTTCGCTTCGAAGTTGCTAAGGGCAGTGGTGAGAGCCGTAGAGTACGGCATCACGCGGTATCCTTGGTAGACCTGGCCTTTGTCGAAGAGCTGCTTGAACACCCACCACTCGGATTCCATGAACGTGGGGTCCATAGTCTGCCGCCATCAGCGTTCTGCCATGACAAGTGCCCCCTCCACGACGCCGAGAAACCCACCTTGTAGTCGTTGTCGAAGTCGATCCAGCGGCCTAGCCGCTCGATAGTGTGCCTCCACTCCTCACGGTACCTCATGACAATGGCCCTGCACTCGGCATTGTACTTCTCCAACCCTATTTGCATGACAGCGGCCTTGCCCGTCACTTTCAACTTCTTGTCGATTTCATGTTCGATGGGCAAGCCGTGGGTGTCCCAGCCAAACCGACGCTCAACGTGGTAGCCCTTCATGGACCAATACCTCGGGATGATATCTTTGATGGTCGAGGCGAGGAGATGGCCGTAATGGGGAAGACCGGTCGCGAACGGCGGGCCATCGTAAAAGGTATAGTTGGGTCGCCCCTTAGACAGCTCGACCTGGGGCACAAAATCAACATCAAAACATTACAGCGGCTGGTGTGAGTAAACTGAATCTCAGCGCACCTGCCGCTCGAAGGCCTTGATCTCGCGCCATCTCGCGATCACGGCCTCCTCCTCCTTCGGAAACTCGATCGACATACTGGTGAGTTACCGCGCGGGATTCTCCAGTGGGCGAGATATCGAGATATGCCAACGGGGTAGGGAAACTTCCCAAAACCGCAGCGAGAACTTTATTATTTGCGGCGTGAGTGAGATGTTACAGGCTGACTCACACTTTCTGCGGTCACAATAAATTTCGGCGACGGTCTCAGTCACACTCGGGATTTGGAGGGGTAGCGGGGTCGCGGGGTCATGTTCCCCATGTAACTTACTAACACGTTTCAAAGTTTCAAGCAGTACCGGCAACCCTTGGCAAGCGCACAGACCAGACAAAGTACCGCTGTAATGTAACGAACCAAGTTTCATGTATTTCGCATACGGGTGTTAATTGAAACTCATGACCTGCGCCTGAACTGTTACAGCCCGATTTTGTCTGTTACTTCCAGTTACTTGACAGCAAGTGTTCGCAACAGACATCAAGACCACCGCAAGACACCGCAAAACACTCGCTTCCTGATACTATCTTAGATTTGAAGACAATATACCTAAATTGCGATCTAACCAACAGCGGGTATCCTCCAGAGCACGCCAACCATCCATTACATAAAGTCGTCATATATACCGTCAGGAAAAGCATCGCACAGCAGGTTGCCTCCTCTTTCATAGCCGACAATCCAACATCGACATGCAGGATCCGGATATCACAGGACGCCAGGCCCCTTGACCCCAATCCAAACTTACCCATCATCCTATCCTCCCAATGACAATCATCTAGACTCATCATCCTCAACCTTCCATGCCCCGGGGTTCATGACTCATTAATCATATGCCCACGGCAGATCCCGATCCCTCACCGTGGTACACGTCAGATACCCAATCCCTCCCGCCCCAGCACCATAGACCAATTCCAGCTCGAGGCTACTCCCCATCAGCGGACGCACGACCTCGCGTGCCATGGCCTTCAGCTCATCGATCCTCTTCTCAAACTTCCGCAGATTATCCCGCGTATACAGCTCCGGCGTGAGTTTTAGGAAGCGCTTACACTCGTCGTGCCCGAGGTACCCTTTGTCTGCACTATTACCGGGACCCGCACCGAGCAACCTGTACGTCCTCCCCAGCGATGAAAGCGGTGGTATTGGAGCGGGCGCGGCTAGTTGTAAGTTGTAGTTGCCGTGCGTACTCGACCGACTGTTCATGCCACCAGTCGCGCTCCCGCCGCTGCCGCTGCTGTGACTCCCAGCCCTCCCCCGGGAAGCGGCCGCATTGCGGGAGTGGCTACCGCCGCTACTGCGCTCCGGAGCAGGCGGCATCGGCGGCGTGGTATTCTCTGCCAGCCATTGCCGGAAGAGACTGATGGCGAGCCACTCGAGGTATCCGTTGGCGGGCGTCACGCGCTCGCCCGTGCGGGTGGTGAGAGTGAGGCGGAAGAGGCGGGCTTCGATGCGGCTGACGGTTTCCTCGAGCTCGTCGACTTTGTCCTCGATGATGTCGACCACCGTTTCCGGGAGTGCGGCGCGGATGGAGCGCTCGCCAGCTGGCCACTGTCCCACGACGTGGATCAGTGCTTCTTGGAAGATCACCTTGGACCGAGCGAGGTAGCCTAGGCGGAGGTAACTGATAGGGTACTTGGCAATTTGCTTCCATAGCCGAGACTGGAATTGGAGTAGGTGGTGGTCGACGCGCGGTCCGACTACAGCGAGAGCGTCGTACTGGTCTGCGAGGTTGAGCAGTGACTTGCACTGTACGTAGGCATCTGCGATGTTGATGCCGTCCAGTAATGGGGGATAGTTGTACATGATGCGGAAAAGGTTGTCATAATCTCGTAATAAATCCTGCTCTTCAGGCGTTGGCGGTGGAAGGGATGGTGTGTGCGTCGCAGACAGGGTGAGGTTGGCAACAGATCGGAAGAAGGAGTGCGACCCTGACTTGTGATGGGAGTGCCGGCTTGAAGAGTGACTGGGTGGAGGGCCACCAAATATCGAGTTGTTGACTGGCGACGGCTTGGTGCTCTCCTCCTTCTGTACCAGCATCGGTATGTCGTTGTCCCCTGACCCGTAATCCAGCTCGTACCTCCACCTCTTCCTCGTTTGCGCGGTTTTGCCGGGCCCTTCGCTATCCCGGGCCCGATCGCCTACCCGTGCCAACTCCCCACCAGCGGCGCTCGCCCCTCCTTCAATCGCTCCGGCTGTTCCCGGCGCCGGTAACTCAGGAACTGCTTGCGCACGCGACCATTCGTTGCTTGTGCTAGCCTCGAAGAAGCCGGAGCAGCGGGTAAGGATGTGCCGGTGCAGGAGGTAGCGGTTCTCGTGACCGGATGCGACGCGCACAACGATCTCGACGTCGCCGCTGTGGCTGAAGATGGGGAACTCATTCTGCGGCGTGAAGGAGCTGCCGCCGGCGTGGGAGCGGTTGTAGCGGCGGGAGCGCGATGAGCTGTGTAAGCCTGGCGCCCGGCCGCTGGAGCTGGTCCCGACGACCGACGACGGCCCCCGCAGCGTCAATGAGGTCGGCCCGTCGCTGTGTTGCGACACCATGACTGCGGATGGTTTTTCGGCCGTCGCGACAGCCCAGGACCGGTCGCTCTCGGAGGATTTGGCTTGCTCTCTCGTGCGAGCTTTTGGTGGCAACGGGCGCCCTCGCGAACGCCGGCTGCCTCTCTGGGAAGACAGCTCCCGGCTGGCACCAGCACCTTTGACAGCTGGCAGACGGGAGATCGTGTGGGTGCAGGTTGATGGTCGCACGAGGGAGGGGTCAGCACATTGGATGGGAGCTCGTCACAACAAATGCTGTCCAATGTTTATCTCGCGAGTCACAACAAAGACGTGTTTAAATAGCTCGAGCACCGGGTTTTGCGAAGAGCTGCTGTTTTCGGCTCAAAGAGACCAACGTTTGTCGAGGCTATGACTCGGGCGAGGCTGTGTCCAGCGAAAGAAAAGCAGCAGCTGCTTGTGATTTTGCCACTGCCAGCGAGCTCGGCAGGCCAGGGCATTAGTCCGTCCCCTACTGGCAACGATTGGCGACGAAGGTCCAGGGCAGCTGGCGTTGCAGAAGACTGGACCTCGTGGACAACCATAGGCAGCCTGAGCAGCAATAAAATAGCGGGGAAGAAGTAGGTGAAACAGGTGAGAAAGGCTAAAAAGTGAGTTTCTGGGCAGGGGGACGGCGCGTCAGAGAAAACACGGCCATGTTGACCCGAATACCACGGAAGCGGACCATGCGAATCCTGCACATCTTAGTACTTCTTCCTCATGCAGGCCGCGGTGCAGCCCCGAGGCGCGTTCGCACATTCTGTCCACAGATCCGGTTTTCCTTTGTAGATTGTGCGACGGTGCCAGATTCCTCTCTGATCTGATTCAATTGGGTCGGGTGCCCCGCCGCTCGATTGAAGTGGTTGCTTCCGGCACAATCTCACAGCAAACTTAAGAGGCTTTGACTGGGAGGTGAGAAGGAGCAAACTTTGGCTTCATGACTTCATGACATAAAGAGCTTTCATTGTAATGCCAATGGAATGGGTATTGAGGGAAAGTAGGTTGTTTCTAGACAAGTGCACCTGGCCAACAGATGATGAGATATGTGTACCTACATATTTCTGTCTTCTACTGTGTAGAGGTACAAGAGAGGCCGTCCTTGGTGAGCTCATCTCATCCATTCATCCCTTGTTGGGAAACAAAACAACTGTAATTGCGACTGAGATACCACTATCTCTTCTGCTTTCGGGACCACGAGACGACTGTCTTAAAGTTCGATATGACTTTTGAGGTATCGAAGGGGCCAGTGCAACACATCTCACTCAGAGGCGCCGGTGTTTAGATGGTAAGTGCAATGCATGGTAAATTTGGTTCTACTTGTACACTGTTGTTGCGCGAAGTTTGGCAATTTCCGAAAACCCAACCTCTGCTTCGAAGCCATAAGGATCAGAGAAACGTCAGTCGCCTCGACGGTGCCAATTCAACGCCATTCCGGCCACTGGCTGCTCAGCAAGTCGCGCCGCAAAACAAGCACATCCCTGTAACGCCAAGACCAGAATCCCAAGGTTTTTCAGCTCATATCGATCTCAACCGAGGCGACAGCCGCAAAGGAGCCGTGCGGCTTGGCCAATTCGGACGCATCCATAGTGTGCGGCCCGTCAAAGACAGGCGGCGAGGTCTTCAGGTTGCGAAGAGCGCCTTCGGGAGTCTTGCTGACGAGTCGGCCTTGACGAAGGTTCTCCGCGAATAAGAAATATCCTTCGGTAGCTTCGACCAGGTACGACTGGAGGCCGCGGCTTTCCAGGAGAATCTTGACGTTGGTAACGGGATAATGGTTTTCGATGAAGCGAGCCCATCCACGGGCGGCCGCCTGGATGTGCTCTTCGTCACTGATTCGGCTCCAGCCGATGCCAAGGTGAAGGGTGAAGTCGTCCACGATTGGCTGCGCAGGGGAATCCGAGGATGCGGCCATTGGATTGATCGCTTCGCGAGTGGGGCTAGCGCGACGGTTTGACCTGCTGTCTGCGTTGGTCGAAGTCGCAATGTCGAGCCGTTGAGATTTATGGCTTCTCAATGAAGGCCGCGACTGGGCCAATTGCTCTTGCGCAAGAAGAGCGGCTTCAGCCTTGCGCGCCTCTTCTTTAGCCGCCCTTTCCTCAACCCACGTGCCAGACTGGGTGCTGGCATCGGCGACATAGCCAGCGGACTTCTTGATGAGTGTCATCCCAGGACCGTAGATCCATTCATCCTCTGCTTCTTTGACGACAGGAGGCTCGACCACCTTCTCTGGCGGGTCGAGATTGACAGAGGCCTCGTCTCTTGACCGCTTGCGACCGGCGGCTGAGCAGGTCCGAACAAGTTGCGCGCGCCATGAAGTTGGCTGGCCGAGGGACATGGCTTGGTGCTGCAGGAAGGACTTGCCCAGCGAGACTTGGTGAGCTGCCTGGGGTGGAAAGGCGAGAACCGGCGACGAAGCGTAGATACGATCGAACGACGGCATCTTGGAAGACTTGTCGGGTACTAGATGAGTGACAGTGAAACAGGTTAGATGTGAGTGAAGTGACACTGGTTAGTTCAGCGCGTGTCAATGGCCCAAGTGCTGTGGTGAGAGGACGGCCTGAAGGACAGGGAAGAGATGGGCGAGTGGTAGGGTAAGGCCGGGTTCCGGAAAGGCAATTGGCCAGAAGGGAAGAAAGTGCTACGAATCGGTAGAATGAGTAGACGAGGATGACGGCGGCGACTATGTCGGTAGTGAGGGTAAGCGGCGCGTTGGTGTATAGGGGAGGAGGGCTGGCCTGGCGCGCACCGAGACCAGTGTCGTGTAAGTCGAGATGAGCGACGTGGGTAGGACAAGAATGTCTAACCAGTCGAGGTTGTAACTGAGAGTGTTGCTTTGGGGGTGAGGAAGTTGAAGGGGAAGATGTGAAAGGGAAAAAGAAGGGAAACCAGAGGAGGAAAAAGGGCGGCCAAAGAAGCTGAGGCAGAGGAAGAAGACTGGCATGCGAGGACCTGCAAGATCTGGGCGAGGCAGACAAAAGGGCATCGGGAGAGCTGGAGCTGTGGATGCCGCGCAGGGAGTGGATCCTGGCAGGACTGGCAAGGGCTTCCGATATGCGACATCTCATTGGCTCTAGTAGGAGTACAACTTTGCTCCACCTTTGCCTCTTCTGATTTGCCAACTGCTCCTGCAGGCGGTTTGAGGGCGGCGGAAAATGCCAGAACTCCGTGAATGGATCGATCGGCTGTTGCGCCCTGGTTGCCAGTGTCAGCTGCAGTGTCAGCTGCTTGACCCCGCTCCGTTCTTCCCCGTGCTGTGCCGCTCAGCCTGCCGGCAAATCCACCAATGGATCCGTTCCTGCTTTTCCAACTTTAGCGTCGCACAAATGACTGCAGCTGTCCGTTTTGGCAAGCCTTTGCTCACGTAGGTGTCACAACGTCTCATTCGGCTTTGTGGTGCGGAAAGGCCATCTAATCTGCTTGAGCGTGAGTGTCGCTCATTGGAACTCTAGTGTTCCAAATAGGTACCTAAGGTATGTCCGCCGTTCGAACTTCTAGCCGTAAGACATACCACGGCAGGCAGCATCCAATGTGTTCACAGGCTTGTCTTCAATATCGATCACAGCATACACTCCCCGCTGCTCATCCAGTTGTGGTTAGGAAAAAGATGGCGAGGCTCATGAGATCGGGGTTTAACTGCTTCTGCCTCCATCATCCTCAAGTGCAGCAGCGATTAGGGATAAGTTGCCGTAAGTCTATTCAACTGAACCTCAGAGCATACTCGGATCAGCCAAAACGTATCTTAACAAGACGAAGTAAGGTGAGCAGCCTCTCCAAGGCTACGTGCACTCTTCCCTCCCCGCCATCATGCCGGTCCGGCCTTGGGATCCCAAGACAATCATGCAGAGCCTCGGAGCCGCGATGTGGGGGATACCCTTCGTCCTCTCTCCTGAGTTCCCTCCACCATCTCCTCAATCACTGCTGCATCATGAATGTTCTCCCTACCGCCATACAAACCCATCAAACCTGGCGTCCGAGATCCGAGTGGGCTAGTCTCCCTTCTCCTGCCAAAGCCACGCCGCGAACGACTCCTCGTAGGCGTCCAGGAAAGATGTGATGAAGTACGCCTTGCCGGGGCCGTGAAGGATCCTAGCAGACGACTCTGATGACGGGCTTCAGGTAGGTTTCGCGGCGTTTGTGGTTGAGATGAAGCCGGCAAGGAGTCGTCGTAGATGCGAAATCGGCCCTGTGTTTGGAAAGCGGCCGTGGGCGACTAGGTTCCAGTTTCTAAGGTCAGTCATCCATATCGACTCGTCACAGAGATGTTCGCAAACTTACACCCTGAGACGCATGAAAGTCTGATCCTTCAGATGGCACCGGCGAAAGCTGATATCACGTTAGCAACCGTTGCTCAGGGTGTCTGCAAAATTCCCGCTTGGACATACTCGGCCAGACCAAACAGGGGGTGTAGTAGCAGCGAAAGACTCCAGGGAAGAGCTCCGGCGTGGAGTGGACGGACCCGTCTCAGTCTCAAGCGTCGTATCTGCTCCGTCTACCAAGACCTCGGCCTTGTTACCCATGAGTTAGCTCAGGAGGAACCTCACAGCATGGACTACTGAAGCGACTAACGCGCTGAGCAGACGTCGATCGCGAAGGGACTTGCGAACCAGACTCTGGCAACGATATCCGCGCGGACGTGCCCAGAATCCCTCCAGCGGTCTGTTCCGTGATGGACTTCTTCTCGGACATGTGCGTGTCCCTTTCCGGCGATACATGCTGACTGGTTGCGCAACCCGGGTCAAGCATCACATCATCCTCTGTTGCAGCTGGCAGGCTGCTGCGTCTGAGCCGGATACATAGCTGTACTGTTCCCCCGGGACCTTGGCGTTGCTCCTCTCCAGCCTTCACGCCACGCTCTAAACTACCTGATGGTTCCGGCATTGGCGAGAGGTGTTCCTCAACTCTCTGCTCATGGAGAAGCATGACGGGCGGGTCCACCACCAGCGGCCGCGACCTGTTGATGGGAGGGGACATGTCCCTTTTGCTACTGTGCGGCTGCGACGTCTGGTTGAATTGAGTTATGTTGAACGTCGATCCACTCTCGGTATGGTTCATGGTTGATACCCAGCTAACCCCCGCCGGCTCATCGGCTTCGAGGAACCTCCGAAACCGACGGCGATGGCCAACCTCCGTGACTTCTGCCATAGTCAGAGATGTCACCGTGGGTGTGAGACGCAGCATCCTGAGAACAAGTTGATGAAAGTATTGGTATGGTGGGGGAATTGAAAGGATTAGAGAAAGGGGACACCGCGTTCCCAGTTCAGATGATGGCAGCGGCCACTGTAGATGAGTTGGGCGAGATCAGGGCAGATATTGTCCCAGAAGGTAGCGGACAAAGCGGCACTTGAAAGAAGGGAGCATGTCATTTTACTCGTATGGATGCTACAACCGGGATGCTTGTTCTGAGGGAAGGAGCAAAGGGCTGAAATGCACGTGCATATCGAGACTGAACAAAGTACCACTGCCACTAAGCTCCATCACATGGGACGACTAATAATGGAGCATTGGAGCAGCGATAAAATCAGCACACAATCAACAGTGTCATACCTAGAGGTTTGATCCTATCACTTGGGCCGTCCATATGATATAGACAGATAGACATCCAAGCCTCCCAAAGCCTCAGATCTGACCCGTCAACCCAAGCTTGAAGCTAATCTTTAATTAACTCCCCTATTCAGGGCAATGGAGATATCAATCTGGGAACATCTAGTTACACAGTAGCTATTCATAGCTAACCGAGCCCGACCTTTCCAACCAAACATCGTTTATTTACAGCTGTAGAGTCCCAGTCAACCCACCACTGCCCACCTAACTGGGGAACAACTCCTCATTACATGCATAGCCTCGTTGGCAGTCATGGAAGAGTGGCTCTGCTCCTTGCTAGACGCGTTCGCTTTTCCCCGCCAGCGGAAGAAGATCTGACGCTGAAAACGATGACTAATCAGCGTACAACGATATGATGATGCGGGCTTCTCCCAGGAACTCGCTTTTACTGTCTACAGTAATAATAAAGCTCCAACTGTTCAGATGTTTCATGGACGGAGTGAGACACTCTCTGCTCCACCCGGGGGAGTTCCCTTTGTACTCCGTGTAAACACGGTGTAAGCCACATATCCGCACCGTGACAGAGACCCTGTGAGGCCACGCACCTGCACCTCTAAGAAGCTTGTGCCTGGTAACTTCAGCATTTGGTGCCCGACTATCGATAAATTCACGGACCGACTCTGCCACGAAGGACGAACAACTTGAGTAACATTCGCTCGCTGCGCCTCGATAGATACGAGACGACATTCAGAGTGCCCGACGGTACAGCAGCTATCACTGCCTGCATCAACAGCCTCCATCGTCTCATCAGTCGGCACCCGCCGCTTGTTGCGCGGCTCCCCGTGGTCGAGTCCCCGCGTTCTGCCGCGCCCAGACCGCATGTGCGTCGTTCGATAAGAGGGCACCGCTCACTGTCCTCAACCGAACCGACATCCTCTCTCTGTATATCAGTGACGTCTTTGCTTGCTCAAAGACGTGAACGGTCGCTAGCATGAATGGTGACCTTAGTCTGTCGCGGGCACTCGGCGGCCTTCGGATTGCCAACCCGGACGACTCCGACTCGCCCAGCCCCCCAAGAGAGGTCGTGACGAATGCAGACAATGGTCAAACAACACAGCAAGGCATTAGCGGTGGAACTGAAGTGAACAGCGCTGACAAGATCCCACGAAATGACGAGCCTCAATCGGTCGCTCGAGAAGTCCCCGTGCGACAACCTCACACGTACGAGTCGGCCGCCCTGATCTTGAAGAACGCTCAGGATAGCTTGAACGCTGCTCGGGGTCGCACAGGTTCAACTGGCCCCAGTGATCCCAGTCCTGCAGCACAGTATGGCGCATACCGGCCAGCGAACGAGAGTCAACTTCCAGCCTCAGCGCCCTTGCCTGGTCAGAGTCGGATGGTGGAGCACAACCCAGAAGGACGGCCATATGCAGGCCCCAGGAATGAGGTAGCACGATCCTCCATGTACGGAGCGAGGAGCGACCCAACAAGGTTCGATCAGCCGAATGCATCTCAAATCCCATCGCGTGACCCGAGCCGGGGGCATCAAGCTGGGCGTCCCCACCCGGTCCAACAAGGAAACGGCCCCAATGGCATCCCTCCCCCGAGAAGGAGCTCTAAGGGAGTGGGTGGAGGGTATGCACCAATCCCTGGCATTCCACAAGCGCCGCCCGGTAGTTATGGGCCAGAAGCGCCGATGCTCGCGAGCAGTGAAGAGTGGAAGGACCGGGGCGCGGCTGTCAGCGTGAGAAGGGAAGTCGACGCTGAAGGGAGGACCGTCATAAGGTCGGTCAAGAAGGGTGTCCGAGACTTTTCGTTCGGGAAGGTGCTTGGTGAGGGCTCCTACAGCACTGTCTTTCTCGCCACAGACCGCCAGACCCTCCGCGAGTACGCCGTCAAGGTGCTCGACAAGAAGCATATCATCAAGGAGAAAAAGATAAAATACGTCAATATCGAAAAAGACACCCTGAACAGACTCACGGAGCATCCAGGCATCGTCCGGCTTTACTACACATTCCAGGACGAATCCTCCCTGTATTATGTACTGGATCTCTGCAACGGCGGGGAACTGCTGGGCGTCCTGAAGAAGACAGGGACTTTTGATGTGGAGTGCACAAGGTTTTATGGCGCTCAAATCCTGGACGCTGTTGCGTACATGCACTCGAGAGGTGTCATTCACCGCGATCTCAAGCCTGAGAATGTACTCCTGGATGACCAGATGCACATCAAAATCACGGACTTTGGCACTGCCAAACTGTTGCCAGACCCTCGAGAGCCGAGACCCCCTGAAGATGCATCAGGCCACGGCAACTCGCGCGGGGACGAGCGGGCAGCGTCGTTTGTCGGCACCGCCGAGTACGTGAGCCCGGAGCTGCTCACGGACAAGGCCGCGGGGAAACCCAGTGACCTATGGGCATTCGGCTGCATAATATACCAACTCCTCGCCGGCCGACCGCCCTTCAAAGCTCCCACGGAATATCTCACCTTCCAAAAGATTGTCGGCTTGGATTACGAGTTCCCCCCCGGTTTCCCCCCGGCTGCGCGGGATCTTGTCGAGCGGTGTTTGGTGCTGGATCCTGCCCGGCGTCTGACGGTGGAGCACGTCAAGAACCACGAGTTTTTTGACGGACAGCAGTTTGGCAGGGAGTTGTGGCGGATGAAGGCACCGCGCCTACGGCCATATGTACCACCGGCACAGGAGCCTCACATCATCCAGCTGAACGGGGCGGGACCAAGCCCGCCAAAGCCGCCCACATCCCGAGGGCAGCACACGCAGTCCAACGGCTCAAGACCTGCCAGGATCATCACCGAGCTGCCGCCGCCGACGCAGCTGGACATCGAATGGTCACCGGTCTTGACAAAGAACAACGAGAGGATACTGAAGCTTGGTGACTTGATGGTTATCTCATCCCCGATCCCAAACAGCCCGCACGGACGGGGCGACGGCGACGGGCACAAGAAGCTTGCACGCTTTTTCGGCGGTAGCACAACGAAGAAGAGACAACGGCTTGTCATGGTTACGTCTAGCGGACGTATTCTGCTTGCCCCGGCTGGTGGCGAGGAGAAGCGGGCCAAGCAGGAAATCTCGCTGCTGGCGCCGGACTGCGCGTGGAAGACCCAAATAGATGCCAAGGGGCAGACAGTCTTCTGCGTCGACGCGGTAAGTAGCCACGCTCGTTCTCCTTGTCAAGTGCTCGAGACAGCTTGCTGACTCATGTATACATCTAGAACGGTGTACATTACACTTTTGAAGAGCCCAAGTCGTCGCAAAACAGCGACGCCAAATTCTCAGTGGACGATTGGATCGAGTCGCTGGAGCGGGCCAAGGACCTGGCCATCTCGCAGAACCTGGTGGGTTCCTACAGCAGCGACAACGGATTCGGCGACATGTCCTCGTCCATGTCTAGCCCGGCCAGTACCATGGGAGGACGGGCAACCTTGGGCGAAGGTTACAGCATCAGCGACAGGTCGGGTCGCAACCAGCTCACCAAGAGCCAAGCAAGCCTGGAGGACACGAGCGTGAAGCGCAACCGGTTTAGTAAACGACAGTCCAAGAACGGACTGGGGGCAGCTTTCTGATTCAATATCGCCGCCATCATAAGATTATGCATGCGGTAACATCTCACCGTCACCAGCAACAAAACGCAAGGCTAACGGGGTGGGATACCGCTGTGGTGGGTTGTGGTGTTTTCGAAGGACCTGGAGAGGGGCATACATGGAGCGTTTCCTTTGAGCGTTTCCGAGAGAACCCTACGGATAGTAGGGAGGGTGCATAGCATTCTGGCCGCTGACATTTTTTTACTACCTTTAATGGGCATTTTGCTTGCGTGGCGTAGGCATACTACTGGGTCATATGGCCACTCGTCTCATTGCCTCGGATGATGTGGTTACGAATTTCAGCATTTCAAAGGACGTTCGGGCTTCCTACCTTTCTGCTTGCATTTTCTGTGTTTCACCTATGTAGGGTACTTTAGCAATCTTGTACGGAGTATGGAATTTGAAAATTCAAATGTAAGGTATAAGTGGCGCTTCAGCGCTTAATTGTGAGACTGGTGGACGGTCTCCGGGGTGTCACATGACCTCACTCCAAGTTAATCCGAGAAAACGCCGGACTGCAAAGAGACGTTCTTTTCATGTCGGCGCTCATCGATCCACGCTTTTTGCCAAGAACATCATGTGGGGCGTCTCATGCGAACTCCATCGCGAAGAAACCACGACGCGATCGACACACTGCCCCCAGACCGGACCAAGCGCCGAACACGGCCATCGTCGGAAAATACAAGTATTTGCCTGGCTTCAGCAACCGCCTCTTGAACGAGCCACGTTGTAGCTGCCGAATTGACCCGCCACGATGCAGCCGCAGTACCGTGGCTACACACCACAACATGTCCCGCCGAGGGCAGCGGGACAACATGTCCCACAACGCCGTGGCGGCATCGGTACGTGAACGATCTAAATCGGCTTTCGTCCGATTCTTCCCCCTCGTCCAACCCCGGGCTGCCCTGACCCCCGGGGCACGCTCCGCTTTTCGTTGGCCCCGGCCCCTCCCGGCATACACCTAAGCATGCTTAGGGCACTTAGGCTGGTGGAGCTCTGCAACTGTTCCTTCCGGGCCACGCCAGACTTCAAGTCTCTTGAAACCGCGCGAATCGCAAATCACAACAGGGCGCCAGAGCATCACTTCATTCACCATTGATCGAATCGCTTCCCCTAACCCCTGTCTTCCATAGGTCCCATGATGTCAGCATCAGCCGGCCCTCACCATTCGATGCCCATCACGCAGGCGCAGATCAACCAGCAGCATCACCAGCAGCAGCAGGCGAATCACCTTGCAAAGCTGAGGAGTCGAAAGCCGACCGACAAGTCACTGCCCGATGGCGTCGAGGAGACTCTGGTTGGGAGCGATGTCGCCGCCGCTTACAAGAACCTTCGCGACTTGGAGCGGCGGCTGGATGCCACCATGACGCGGAAACGGCTGGACATTGTCGACTCGCTGAGCCGCAATGCTAAGGTATATACACTGCGATTTGGGACTGGTTCCGTGTCGCGATGGCCACAGCTGACACACATCCGCTGCAGCGCTACAAGACCTTGCGCATATGGATCAGTAACACCGTGGAGGACCAGTTCTGGCAGAACAGCAGCCTCAATGTTGACACGTTCGACTTCACCTCCAGCCTTGAATCCTCATATCGTGTGAAGATAGAAGGCCGACTGCTTGACGACGAATATGACCTGGAAGCGGACGAGGAGGCCAGCAAGGCCGGGGAGAACGCGGGAGACGACGACAAGATGGAGACAGATACGCCCAGCAAGAACAAGACCAAGTCTGCGCCCGCCAAGCGGTCCCGCCTGTCCCATTTCTTCAAGGCACTCACGGTCGATTTTGAGCGCCCAAGATCTGGTCGCCCAGGCTCGGAGACCAGCGTTGAGTGGAAGAAACCCGACAGGACCCCGGCCGGGGCAGCCAATTTGCCCGCCATGGCCGACTTCGACGAGTTCACATTCAAGAGAAACGGGGACGAAAACATGAATATTACCATCAGCCTATTCAGACACGAAGATCCAGAGCGCTTTGAGCTCAGCCCGGAGCTCGCCGAAATCATCGACATGCGCGAGGCGACGCGCCAGGAAGCAGTCATGGCTCTGTGGGACTACATTAAGCTGATGAACCTGCAAGAGGACGAAGAAAAGCGCAACTTCAGATGCGACGACCTACTACGAAAGGTACCTTTTCCCCCATGTTCCCCTCCCTCCGCCTTCTTTCTTTCTGGTTCCCGCTGACACAGTATGCAGATAGTACCGCGCGACCGCGAAACCGGCTACATTCCCCATCTCAACGACTACCTGACCCCTCACCTCCGGCCCCTGCCACCCATCAAACTGCCATACACGATCCGCGTCGACGAAGAGTTCCACAAGGATCCCAAACCTACCATCTACGACGTCCGCGTCGCAGTCGACGACCCCCTTCGCGCCAAGCTGCTCCCCTTCATCCAGAACCCGCAGTACGCGGCGATGCTCAAGGAGGTCGCCGTCCTCGACGAGCAGCTGGCCACGCTGGTGCAGGCGGTCGCGCACTCCAAGGCGAAGCACACCTTCCTCGCGTCCATGGCGCAGGACCCCGTCAGCTTCGTCAAGGCCTGGCTGAGCTCGCAGAAGAGGGACGTGGAGGTGATGATGGGCGAGGCGACGCGCGGCGGCGGGGAGGATGCCACGGGCGACGAGTGGAGGCGCGGCGGTCGGGATAGTGTCTGGGCCACGCCCAACGCGAGGGAGAGTGTGAATGTCTTGCTCTCGAAGCAGCCTATGAGGGCGTAAGGTTCAAGGGTCTTCTGATCAGGTTGATTTGTCGAAGGCGTTTGTTTGGTGGCGGGTCGTCTCTTATACTGGAATGTCTTGTGGAGACAATGTACTTTAGTTATACGAAGTAAACCTGGGCTCTATGTTAGATGGGGGAGTGCAGAGATATCATGGATCCGCTGCGTGTGCTCGTAAATTTGCAGTGTGCTAGCATCTATCTGTGACAGAACTGACCAGCATTGAAGTCATCGAATTCATAAGTGTCTTGGGTATTCGTCTCTCACTATGGTATATAATAAGGTATTCGCGTCCATCTTACAACCCCGGTGGATAATAAAAACGTCCCATTCCGCAAACACAAGGTATTGCAAGGTATCCATCTCCTATCCTCGCTCAATCCTCCCCCGTCAAGTCCAGAACCTCGACCTCACTCAACCGATATGCCCTCCGCCTTGGTCCTTTCCCTCGCTTGATACCAGGTAGTTCTAGGCCATCATCACCATCATCACTGAGAGCAGCCGTCATGCGCTCAGCCTCTTCCCGGCTGACTTCGACTTCGTCGAAGTAACCCAATCCGTTGAGGCTTGTGCGCGGGATGTACACCTTTGTGGTTGTACCTTTTGCTTTCGCCGTGGCACTTTCTGCTTGCTTGGTAACGGTTGGTGGTAGGTCCGAGCCGATGCTGGTGCTGCTAGCATTAGATGCCGGTGCACTACAGTCTTCCCCTAGACGTGCTAGGTGGTCTGTGTCGTCCTCGCTTCTTCCTGCTTTTGGCGGTGCGCACGAGGACCTCGGGGGATGAATTGCGGAGAGCGGCGAGGCAAAGGGATCGTCGTCGTCGCTGGTGATGTTGAAATTGCCTGCCGGTGGAGGAGTGGTATTCCGCTTGAGGCTATCAGACTCATTCACGGGCGGCCGCATTGGTGGAGACAGGGGAAATGCCTCGTCGTCTGATGGGATCTCGATCGGCCCGGTGCTGGAGATAGAGACCTTGGTTTGCTCTTGAGAAGAGCTCGGGCCCTTCGAAATCCGGCTAAAGTCCTTGATGGACTTTTGCATTGCCGTCCTAGGTTTGTCTTCGGCGCCGCTCTTGACCCTCTTGAAGGGCCTTGCTTTCCTCGAAAGCTGAGTCTCTGTCCCGCTCGGTGCCTGTTCCATAGAGTCTTCGGGGGCCCGAAACAAGTACTTCCTGGGGCTTGGCGATAGACCAAATAAAGGCGGGGGAGATGAGGCATTCTCAAGCAGCGGCCTCTGCTTAGCCGTCGCCCTGGTTGGCGTCCTCTGGCTGTCTTTCGTGGTCTCGCCAAGTGGCTGAGGTGATGCAGCGGCCACAGGGCTAGACGAGAAAATAATAGGGTCGCTGGCAGAACCCTGTCTGACCTGGACTTGTGAGGCGGGATATGGAAACGACTTGGTGGCCTTGGGACTGGCTTGTGAGCCGGCAAGCGTCCAAGGATTGACATCTGCCGAGGGCTGGGTCGCTTGAGGGGCTTTAGCGGGATTCTTGGACTGCTTACTTCTCCCTCTCGGCGCGACCGGTTCGGAGTGGCTGCTGACTTTTGGAGGTGACGGCGTAGAACCAAGACCAACAACAGAGTCCTTGACCGTGCTATCGGCGGCGCGCTTTGTGACCTTGACGTACTTGTCAAGCGCCCCAACCGGCATGTCTGTCTTTTTGGTTCTCGTCTTCCGAGTGGCTTTGGCGGCAGCTTGTTGCTCTTTCACCTGTTGTTTGGCTTCCCACTTCTCTACGGTCCGCGGTATGCCCAATCTTGCCACTGTCTCGGGAACCCAGACAAGATCCGGCTGGAGTGGGTCAAACGGCTTCTTGACGTTTCCTGCCTTCGATTGGCCATCCAGTTCCGCAGCTTCCTCGTCGAACTCGTCGTCGCTATTCAGCGCGATACCGTCTCTGCCAAACGCTTCTACCTCTTCCTCGGGCTCCTTGTCAAGATCCAGCCCGACGATATTAGCCGGGACGAAGGAAACCCGAAGCTCCGGCGTTGCATCGGTGCTGAAATGCGCCCTTTTGCTGGAGATGGCTTTGGCAAGAGCTGATTCCTCTTGCTGCTGGATACCGGGATCCTCATGGCAGCCTTGCGATGCGTCGGATCTTTTCAGAAACTCCTGGACCAAGAGACTTGGGGCGAGGACACGGGTAAGCTTGACGGCACCTATCCGGAATGCCCAGTCAAATGTCTCGCGGGTGAACTCCCGCAACCCCACGACATCCACAGCGCGAGCCGTGGTAAGCTCATCCTTAAGCCTGGCGACGGTGGCCTCCCGCGACACGACCGGGTGGGTATAGTACCTTAAGACCTCCATGTTTGGGAAGCACTCCGGTATTTCCAAAGCCTTGTGTCTTGTCCGGAAAAGCCCGCTCTCGTTCGTCCGCAGCTCATGCAAAAGCCGCTCCTTCCACGCCGCCAGGCCGTCCCTGTCCGCCCTCTTAATGCGGCATAGGTCACGACCGAATCCCGCCCTCGCCACCTCGCACGCGACCTTCACACCACAGCCAGGGACACCCTCGGGGAGGTAGTCACCACCACTCATCAAGGCCACTAGCACCATCCCTTCCCGGTCCAGCTTGCTTGGGCCCCCAGCTATGGCGGTGGCGTCGTACATCGACACATGCGTCGGCGTCTTCGAGGCCCTGGGTCCTTCAGCCGACCAATTCCGCAGCGTTTTCCGGCAGCCAAACATGATGGTGTCCACGTCCTCGCTGAGCACAGCGTCTACAACACCCTGCTGCTCGAGCAGAGCGCACTCGGCCTCTGCCTCGCCGGGGGCGTCATGCGTCAGAAAACCGAAGAGGCTGATGAGACGCTTCGCCATGGCCGTGGCAACGGCGTCGCCGCGGCCGGACGAGCGCTTGTTGCGCTTGAATGCGGGCTTGTTGGGGCCGTCGAAGACAAAGACCGGCTGGATTGCAAGACCGAGGAGGCGGACGAGACGGTAGAAGAGGGTGCGGATTGCGGGGTTGGAGCCGCCTGGGAGTTAGATTAGTTGGATACTGTGATCTTTTGAGAAAGTGAAGACCAAGGAAAACCAACCCCTAGCTGCTTGGACTTGGAACTGCCATATTGAGAAATCGATGGCCAGACGCAGCGGACGGCCGGTTTCTTCTAATGTTTTAACAGCTAGTTTGCAAAGGGATATCCTGTCGCCAGGTCCAATTTCTTTGTAGATGCTACGTGGAAGTGGTAATGGTAAGCTGTTATTCTTATTCTTATTTCCGTGGCGATACCAACTCAAAAGATTGCACGGTCTCACTCACCCTTTAATGCCCATTTTAGCAGCTCCCGACGCCTCCCGTTGGCCAGTCGAATTGTCAGAAATAGACGATAATGCGAGCCAAAATTTATTAGAGATCTCAATTATTAAGCCATGGCAAGCAAAGTTATGGAGCAATCCGAAGTTGGGCTTGCAGCGAGCAACTGGGGAAAACGATGAAGAAGGGACGTTGTTTGGCTTTCAAGTTGTTGACGTTATTCCGTTTTTGGGAAGTGAGGGTTGTCACAGCCACCAGTGTGAGAGTCCAGACTCCAATGCACGCCTATATCGGATAGTTACATACCACCTCATTCATCTGTATTTAGTTATCGGAATAGGGCAGGCGCGAAGCCGCGCAACGGAGGAACTCGAGTGCCTGGATGCATCAAGAAACAGTTTCCCGCGTTTCGTGAATTCTTGAGCCCAAGACGCAAAACAGGAACCCAAATTCCCACTACTTTTGGCTAGCAAGGATTCCAGTTAGAGAAACCTGATTTATGCCGTCCTAGGTCACTTCCTGGGTACAAGATGTCAGCGCCGGCGGGCTCCGCACCGCTTCCGCATCGGTCGGTCGCTAACATCCGGTCGCCGTCGGGAGCGAGTGGGCCGTCAACGCCGCTGCGGCCGATCCCGTCCAACTTTGGGTCGCCATCTAGCCTCCGTGCCGACGAGGAGATAATCATCATTGAGTTTGGCACCCGGAAGCTGCAGGTTGGGTTTTCAGGGGACCCGGCACCTAGAGGATGCATTTGGTTCGGCCCAGACCAGCAGCGTCGGGTTGGTGATTTCCGAGACTGGCAGACAGATTACCGCTATGACTGGAGGAGCGCGGCTGCTGGCGGGCTGTGGGGGAAGGATCACGAGCTATGGCAGTATGATGTCCGGGGCGCGGACCTTGGACTGGTCGGCGATAGGATTGAGAGGGCTCTGAGGGAGGCGTTCACTAAGTACTGCGACTTCATCCCACTCCTACTGTTTTGTGTACTAGTAGCTAATACGCCGGCTAGGTACTTGCTCATTGACTCGCGGCCACGAAGGATGGTCTGGGTTCTGCCTTCGTCCCTGCCCATTCCATTACTGTCGGCAGCCCTGTACAGCGTCTTCAGTCGATTCCAGCCGCCAACTGTCTCGTTGTTGTCGTCTCCGCTTGCCTTGGCTGCTGGAGCTGGAGTACGATCAGCACTAGTCGTGAATCTCGGCTGGTCCGAGACGGTGGTCACCAGCGTCTACGAGTACCGGGAAGTAGGCTCCAGCAGAAGCATTCGCGGAGGCAGGATGCTTGTGGAGCAGACACACAAACTCCTGGCAAAACACCTCCCCGACGGTCGAGGAGACCAGGATAGCAACCAAGAGTATGTTCTGAGCTTTGAAGAGTGCAACGACATCACCACCCGCATGGTGTGGTGTAGACCTCGCCAGTCATCTCGTCCCGACCAGCCATCTTCCGATGCTTTGGCGACTGTTCATGAGCAAGATGAAACAGAATCGGAGGGCGTCCAGCCGGGGCACAGGCGTGGCCCGGTGGTCATTCCCTTGAAGTCGTGGCTCTCGCCAACGTCGCTGGAGCTCCCGTTCGATGCCCTTGCCGAACCATGCGAGAACACGTTCTTCGACTCCCAATATTCGCACACCAGCTTTGATGATCACGAATTGCCGTTGCATCTTCTCGTGTACCGCAGTCTACTCCAGCTACCCGTCGATGTCCGGGCACTCTGCATGTCCCGCATCATCTTCACCGGCGGATGCTCAAATGTGCTTGGGCTTCGCAAGCGAGTCTTCGACGAAGTTGTAGAAATTGCCCGGCAGCGGGGCTGGGATCCAGTGCAGGGCAAGGGCGTACAGCAGTTCCGAACGAACCCGAATCTGAAGAGGGGAGGAACGCGCCAAGCGGGTGAGGGACCGGTGGGCGTCGTGTCACAGCCCGGTGCTGGTGATGAGCAAGACGGCGTTTGGCACGATGCAGCCAACACGGTGCCAGAACCAGACCCCTTCGAGGAGCAGCTGAAGAGAGGGATCGACAAGAGACCCCGGGTTCACGGCGAGATGAGGGCCGTTGAGTCAGTGGGTGCATGGAGCGGCGCGAGCTTGATCACCCACCTCAAGGCGTCAGCTCTGGCCACGGTCGACCGCGAGGCTTGGCTGCAGCATGGAGCTGCCGGGGCGAGCAAGCCAGAAGATGTGGACCACAAGACACAGAGACAGAGCTTAGGAGCTGGCGGGCTGATGAGAGGGTCCGCTGCTGGTTCCACTTGGACGCTGGGCATCTGGGGCGCGACTTAAATCCCATTGCGGGAAGTGTGAGAGATGGTGATTGTGCTGTTAATGTTGCGGGACGTGGAATGGATGGATGGTATACCATTTGGGACCCAGCAGTCGAATCACACTCATTCAACGGGAAGCTGTCCATTGCGTGTTGGGGGGAGTGTGTTTCATGGGCAATGGGGTGCTGGTTGCTGCGGCGATCAAAGAGCATCGCATGTTTATACCCCTGACGTACCTTATTAAGTGACGCTACTTTACCAACTTGAACTGTAAATCCCAATGCCAACTGGGGCTCCTAGTCTAGTCGGCAAGCAACTCGCTGCTCCTTCCGTTCGGAACCTTGGCTTCATCTGTTTGCGTTCCTTCCTGTCCTCTTCTTGACTCTCAAATGGCCTCGGTCGAGGTTGGTGGCTCTCCTGGGTCGCGATTTCCCTAGTGCCAGATGTTTCAGAACCACTTTCATGAGGTGCTCCCAGCGGCGGCAGTCCTTCCTGTCCCTCCCAACCTGGTGATCCCTCGCACCTTCCTGGTCTTGTCAGTTCGGGCCCCTTCAAGCCTTCCCATCGCTGCACTGTTGCCTCGACTGTCTTCCACATAATTCCACCTTCTTGGTCGCCTCTCGTCTTCCTCCTCATCCATCACCACCGCACAGTTTTGCATCACCCAACCCACCTTTTGTTCTCTGGCCTACTAACTAGGCTTCCTTTACCTGGTCTTTTTGTAGGACCGCAACGCGACCTGTCGCTTTGCTCGATCCCTTCTCGTCCTTTTGGCAAAATCCGCTTTTTGGACTCCCATACCATCTCGTCGTTTTTCTCGATCCGACAAGTTCCCTCGTCTTTCCCGCTGGCACATCCATCAGGACTGGGCTGTACCTCTCCTATACCAGTCGTGTCTGAGCTAGAGCCAGTTCGTCCATCGTCCTTGTGTCGCCGACCAACCTCCTAACTCGTTCGCTGCCTTTTCAAGCACTTCAAGGTATGTTTCCTTTTTGACTCCTTGTCTGTCTACCACCGATCCCCAAACAACAGAACAAAACACAATCACAGCCCTGCATATCTTTCTGCACACCCCATCTGGCCATGCCTGTTTGTTTGTATTCCATAACAAATGAGGCAACCTAGCCATCGCAGACGCGCGAAGCGTTTGCTTAACCTTTTGAAGGACCTGCAGGAAAATGACTGCACGATCACCCCTCCCACTCTATTCGCTATCAAGCATCTCCTTATACTTCATAGCCGGTGCAAGCTTATCGAAGTCAAGATCGACTCGCTGGCAGCGAATAACCCAGTCGAATGCTCTCGTTCGCATCTACCAAAGTTTATTGTATCTCAACTTGAGGAACAGAGACTGACAGACCGCTGCAGCGAGTCGGTTTCGGTGCCAACCGTTGTCGCCTTCGTCATTCAGTCATTGTCATCGGACTGTGGGCACGGGAAGTTGTATCCCACTCTGTTTCGTTGGTACCATCCGCCACGGCATCGGACATACTACGTCTTCGCCCACATTCAGCACAACATGCCGCGCCAGACGTACACAGTCACTGAGCTGCTGGCTCTTCGCGCGAATCAGGCCTCGGGCAAGATCCTAGCCATGGCAGCAAACCCCGAGATTGGTACGTTTGGAGACCGTCCTACGCGTTATCGGCTCGCAGACTAATGGACTCACTCTAGCTGATATTGTTCGCCGTTCTGGAAGCGAGTCTTCTTCCGGCTCCAGTTGCAGACCGGTGAATGGCAGGCACAAGAAAGACGATTCATCCGTAACCTCGGAAGAACTCGTGTACAAGGGTACTGTGAACCGCCGCATGGGCCGTGAGCTTGCTCGAGAAGTCTCCTCCATGCGACTTCCTACCCGGCACACCGCGAAAGAGCATGCCCGGGTCAGTTCGCAAGACCCAGCCAGGGACTCAGATCATGGGCCTTCTCACCTGGCGGAATGGAAGTATCGCGGTAGGAGCGTGACGGAGGCCGCCACCGCAGAACCAATTCCTGCACCTACTGGGGCCACAGCTCAGCGAGACGAAGGTTTCCAGCGCTTCAGGAAGGCCGTCGTCTCCCCCCCGCATGTTCGAGTGACAGCGGGTGGTCGCATTGTCCCGAATACCCGCGGCCCGCTGTCTCCCACCTCCAAGAGGTCCAGCGAGCACAGCGCCCTGGACAATCAGAGCCTGTCTGATAAAGCAGTGCCCAGCAAGCCACAGCTCGCCCCGATTGGTATTCCCCAGCCGGTTCCAATTATGCCGCAGCTTGTGACCGGATATCCCCCTGGGTTCCAGCCGATCCAGGCGCCGGTCTCGTTTGTGCCCATGGCGTTTGGAACCCCTTTGCCTCATCCTTTCTCTTTCGCCCATCCTACCATCAGCGCGCCTACCATGGCACCACGTGCGCCAGATAATGCGCCAAAGGACATGCACAACGAGAATTCAGTGCATGTTCGAAGCGACAACTATGCGGCGGACGACAAGCAAGGCAACGCCAACAAGATGCCCGAGCCCTTTGACAGCTCCAGGGCATTCTTCTACAACGGTCAGCTCATGTACCCAGCTGGACCATTTTCGGCGCCCCTCACCAATCCGATGGTCCCCGTCCAAATGCTGGGCATCCCGCAGGGTCTTGCACCAGTCCCGGGACAGTTCATGCAGCCTCAGCCTGCTTCGACCTCGTCTGCGGCTGCTGGACCGTCATACGCACCATCTAACTCCAGCCTCTCTGGAATTCCACCGGTTGTCAACCACATTGTCCCAGCTAATGCCAACTTCAATGCGGGTGCCGCGCCCCCGATCTCGTCAATCAAACTCAGCGACATCACCAAGAAGCAGATTGCCTCGTTCAAGCAGAATCTCAAGTACCACGAAGATCAGCTCCAGTACAATCGGCACCAGATTGACGAGAGGGATATGGAGAACAGAATCCAAATCCTCAAGGGCCACATCCAGAGATTTGAGGCAACCCTGAAGGCCCAGCTCGAATATGAGGAAGCGCACCGCAAGGCCACCCAGGGCAAGGGGGATAACAAACCATCCCAACCCGACGTGGCCATGGAGACCAACAAACCTCCGTCCCAGTCGACGGCACCGGCTGAACACAAAGCCTCGGATGCTCAGAACAAGCAGACAGATGAGTCATTTCGCCGGAGAATTGAGCTTGCCAGCCACGGACTCAAGCACTACGACTCACTTAGAAGCCTTCCGGACCAAGCGTATTTCGGCATCAACGGCTTGTCCAATGGGCAGTCCCTCCCAAGCGAGGCGGCTCTGGCTCCCGTCTTCCAGCCCCGTGGCTATGCTTCGACCTGGACGGGCAGTAAGTATGCCAGGGAGATGAAGGCCTACGAAGATGCAGAAAAGAGGCTGGCTGCCGCGCAGTCCAAGAGCATGGAGCACATGCACATGGGCGAGCAGCGATCGGTGTCGCAGCCGTTTGCGGCGGCACTCGGAGCTACAGCGCCACGTGCCCAGAGCAACAGCGATGATGCTTCCGAGAAAGCAAGCCGGCCTGGCAAGGATGCCAATGCAGCGAGGAAGAGGAAATCCAACTATGGCGTGCCGTACTTGCTCGGCACTCTTCCCAAAGGCGTCGATCCTCGCACTGCCAGAGACCAGGATTATGTTTACAAACGGCCGCTGACCGATGACGAGCGTCGTGCTCGGTTTCTGTACTGGGGCAAGGCACCCAAATCGGCTGTCAAAGGCTTGCCCAAGTTCGATGGGAAGCATTTCTACCCGCCCTCACCTGTCAAAGAGAAGTCGCCTCAGCCTGCTCGGCATCCTGACAATCGCGCGTCGGAATCGAGCTGCGACCCGTTCAGGCCCGTAACTCCTGTGCAGGCTTGTGAGGCCAATGACTCGACGGCCACCGAAGAGAACCGCAGACTCACTAGGACTATCTCCTTTGAAACACAGGTCAACAGCGGCTCGGAAGACTTCATTAATGCCGGGAGCAGCAGGAAGACCCGTGAAGGGAGCATGGATGGTGACTCCGTTGGCTCTGCTGATCGGCGCGGGGAGAACTCAAGGTAGCTAGCTCTCTAACATGAACATGCATGGTTGGGAAATGCTAACAATGAAAAACAGCAGTGGGAAGCTCTGGGAGACGGTTCTAAAGAAAGGCGCGACCAGCAGCGCTTTGTCTTCGACCACAGCTCAAGGCTTGTTGCCGCACTACACAGGACACGCTGCGGCATCCCTCGGCCCGTCACTCACACCCAACCAGGCAAGCTCATCCAGGGAGGTCACACCGGGCAAGATGTCTGATGTTCACGATCTGAGCGGGAATGGTGGCGCGCGTCTCTCGGCTACTCCGGGACAGCACGGAGAGAACCGCCCTCCGAACAGCGTGGACTCGCTGGATAACAAGTTCAAGAATCTCGCTCTTGACATTGCCAGCCGTGGGAACCTGACTTCAGCCTTCAGTATGTGAAGAGCTGGACATTGTTGACGGAGTGACACGGATTTCAATAATTGTGTCGGCATAATCGCATCCTTACAATACCGGGGGAAAGGGTTGATGGAACTGGCAGTGTTATGGTCTTTTGTCGCATGTTTATTTTGTTTTCCTTCAGGCGCTCTGCCGCCGTAATGGATGGGTGGCGGCTGTCTGAAGGATCTCTGGACCCAGCAGCATGGCATACTGAGGGCAGCTTACTACTAATCGATGTAGAATAGGGCTTTCATACAACAGAGAACGTATTACATGTGTTACGACGTGTGCGTGCGATGATGTGCATGGTGCGAGATATCGAGTTGCCCCATGAAACGTTCCTTAGCGAACAGGGGGTAGATTGGCATCATGCTTGCTTGCTTGACTGTTTTGACACATGGTTGATATTGAGAATCTGGGGAAACCTGTCCTTTTTACCTGGAAATGCTTTCAAACCATCATACTACTAATTAACCTAACGCCATGCCCAGTACATGACTGACAACTTAGAGCACTTTCATCAAGACAATGCAACGAACGCCTTTTCTTGGAACCACCCACCAAAATGACTCCTTCCCTTTTCTGCCTTCCATGATATGATAAATATAACGACGACGATGATGATGATCGCATGAACAAAAAGATCAATCCCGACGACGATCTAACCACCGATCCCACCCCGCACCACCACCGCCGCCGCTTCCCGCATGACCACCCTGATGACCCTGACCCTTTTTCCTCGCAGACTTCTTCTCCGACCCCATCCCGTCCGCGTACTTGGCTTCTTCTTCCTCCCACTTGCGCCGCTCGACCGTCTTGCGGGCGAGGTAGGCGCGCGCGAAGCGCCAGGCCTCGGTGTCGGCTAGGTTCCAGGCCTCGATGGCGTTGCGGATGGCCAGGTCTTCCTTTGTCGCTTTTTTTTTCTTCGTTTTTTCCTGCTCCTCCTGTCTTGGATTTTGTTGATGATGATGATCCCGGGATGGAAGCGGGTTTGGATTTGCTACCGTGCAGCACGACGCTCTGGGCGCGGGAGAAGAGCGCTGGCTCGAGGGCTATTTCTTCCTTAGAAGGGAGGGGCCCGTCTTCTTCGCTGTGCAGCGGCGGACCTCCGCCGACGACGATGGTACCGCTACTACCGGTGTTAGAGGCGTCTGTGGAAGAGGAAGAAGAAGAAGCGTCAGGTTGGTTGTCTGTTGCGTAGGTGGCGCTGTCCGGCAGGGCGAAGCCGAAGTGCCAGTCGAGATCGTCGGGCATGGCCTGCTCGGCGGGCAGCCAGAGGGAGCGGGCGGCGCCGCCGCCGGTGGTGGTGTCCTCGGACGCCGCGACGGCTTCTTTGAAGCGGAGCAGGCGCGGCGTGGTGGAGACCTCCTTGTCCCCGAAGAGGGAGGAGGTGAGAGAGGTTATCCATGCGTCGCGGTGCGCTTCGCGGCGGATCCAGGCGATGGAGATCTGGGACTTGAGGGAGTTGAGCGTCGAGGTGGTGTAGGGATGAGGGACGGTGCCTATCGTGTAGAGCGTGCTTGTGTTGGTGTAGGACGCCGGAGTCGTGATCTTCATGGGCTTCGTGTCGTCACATGGCCGGCAGTTCGGCCGGTTGGGAGGGCAGCTGTCGGGGAGGGGTGATTCTAAGCAGTGGGCCAGTCGCGAGGCTAGCTCGTAGGCGGGCTTGATGAGGTGGGTGGTGTGGTGCGGAAGGGGTTTGACCACGGCGATACCGGCGGTGAAGATATTCTGCCAGGTGACGTGAAGGTGTGCGGTAATGAGCTGGTTGAGGTTCTTAAGTCCCGACCCTCGTGAGCTCTTGATGGCCTCGTCGACCTTGGGATACAGGGTCTGGATCTGACGAGTTGAGTAGTAGGCGAGAGATTTCGGGGCGTCATCAACGGTGAATGGACTGTCCTTCTTGTCGGATTCCACGGCGGCAACAAAGCCATCGGCCTCCTTGATGTGCGGACTGGCCATGGCAGCCTTGATCGCAGCTGCGACTTCATTTTTGGAACCCATAAACAGGCCATCCTCCAGGTCCTTGAACCGCGTCAACCTAGGGAACTCTGCGCGGCGGAGGTACTTCAATAGGGGATCGTCGTGCGGGCCCATGGGGAAGAGGAGGGACTGGGCGAGCATGCCGTCGCCCATGTTCTCCCAGGCCAGCCACCGCATCAGGTCCGTCTTCAGGGCCGGCTTCATGCCCTGCAGCTTTTGCAGCTCCTCGTACAAGGGGTTGTTCATGGCCTCGGCCGGGCCCAGAATGATGGGTTTGAATCCCTGTGCCCACCACGCACGACGCCAGGTCAGCAGCAGGTCGCTCTCGGCCTCCTTGCTCGAGTGATCCTCCTCCTTCTCGACGGTGTTATCGTAATAGCAGTAGACCGGGGTGCGCTCCTTGAGCATGGGCAGAAGAGCGCGGTTCTCGTCGAGGGTGACGGAGCTGCTGAAGGGCATCAGAAGCCAGTTCCAGTCGGCGTACCACACCGACTCGCCATCCGTGTCGTTCTTCTGACTGCGGGGCGGGTGCATTGGCTGCTTGAACGGGTTGAGCTTGTTCATCCACGGGCTCTTGAGTGACTTGGGAACGGAGAACCTTTGGCTGGCGGCGGCCCGCAGACTTGCGCTTGTTGAGCCCGGCAAGGTGAAGACAAGGCTGAAGACGGCGAAGAGCGCGAGGCTGACGAAAAGGAGCGATAGGCGGCGGGCGCCGAGCGGGGGCACTGGCCGGCCGCAAACGACGTATTGTCTCGGCATTTTTGCTGGATGAAGAATTGGAGGAATGTCCAAGACACAGGCAGCCTTTATCCGTTTGTTCGTTGGAGGCGGAATTGGTTCGTTACACGATGTGCACGAATGAAAGAAGATGGAGCATCAGAAGCCGGAGTACTGATACTTTAGCGAAACGAGTGGAAGCTCTGGTCGGAATCGTCGAATTGAAAGAAAAAGAAGTCGATAGATCAACGCATCGTGTCAGTGACCAGAGAGACTTGATTGCCCTGCTAGCTGTCTGTCCCTGAGCCTGGCACTGCCTGCTGGCTAGATATCTGATCGGATATCGTCCATGGGTGGAAGTTCCGACAGCTCCGTCAGGTCGTTGCGGCAATCGATAAGACGGATGCGTGACGCGGGCGCTCCACTGATAATGGCAGCATTAGATAAGGGTTAGGGTAATGGTATGTCATGTGAAAAGCCTCCAGTTGAAGATACTAGTAACTCGAACCTGATTCCCTAACGTCAATCACGATATTGATCCAACTTCCACAGATTTGAAGGTACCGAGGTGTACTCCGTACAGGATAGAGGTATCGCGTTAGTTATTATGCCGACGCTTCCACACCCACGTGCGCCGTGCTTTGCTCATTAGGTACTGCACTTGGCTACTGCGGGTAGTGTTCATGTACTGTGCATACACGGTAAGGTGATATCGTGCCGGGATCAACAGCGCGGGAAACCGGACATCGGTCACTGAACGGGAAAACAATCCGACCTGGACGTGGAAGGGGAAGCGAGAGTAACGTCGATGCACACTGCTTTTGTCATCCAGTTACTTCTTTCACGTGGTTCTTCTCGATGCTATTCCCAACCTAAGCGAAGCACCCCAGTAGACTGCTTGCGCATGTTCGGCAGTCGTGATGCTACGCTACGAGAGCGCACTGTCCCATGGCCAGATGATGGCCTGGGCGCGCTCGCCCTCGGCAGGTCGATGATGAAAGGACATAAATACGGATGAGAGTTTTCGCTTTGCAATAACTTGATCAGAAGCCCAGGCGCTCCTGTGGTGTTTCAAGCCGTTTGTTTGCTCTTGTTCGGGCACATCGCAAACATGAAGACAGCACTGGGCCTCAGTGTTGCGACCTCCGCGGCGCTGCTGCTCGACGGAGCCGTGGCAGCAACATCTGGCAAATTCAATGTCCTGTCCATGAATGTCGCCGGTCTTCCTGCGATACTCAACGGCAATGAAGTGCCCGGAGACAAAGCAACAAACTCACGGCTGATCGGGTCCAAGTTTGCCGAGTATGGCTATGATGCCATCCATGTTCAGGAGGTATGCTCAGATCGCTAGCTACTCAGCTCAGACACGTTACAGTTCCGTGGAAAGAAACCAACTGACGGTTAACCGGACTCCTAGGACTTCAACTACCACGCCTACATCTACGCCACCGACAACCACCCGTACCGGACCGCCACATCCGGCGGGGTCCCGTTCGGATCCGGGCTCAACACGCTGTCCAAATATGACTGGGTCAGCTTCCGGCGCATCAAGTGGGACCAGTGCTCCAATGCGTCGGGCGCCGACTGCCTGACGCCCAAGGGCTTCACCTTCATGCGCCTGGCGCTGTCCGGCTCGAGCGACAACCCCTCAACAGCTGTCTACGTCGACGTCTACAACCTGCACACCGACGCGGGCACCGAAGCCGACGACCTCACGGCGCGCCAAGCCAACCTCAACCAAGTGGCCGCCTACATCGCCGCCTGGAGCACGGGCAACGCCGTGCTGGTCTTCGGCGACACCAACAGCCGCTACAGCCGGGCAGGCGACACCGCCGTGCGCTCCCTGCTGTCGAGCGGCTTCGCCGACCCGTGGGTGCAGCTGCAGCGCGGCGGCGTCGTCCCAACGCTAGAAAGCCTGTGCGACAACCCGAGCCGCAACAACACGTGCGAGACGGTCGACAAGATCTTCTACCGGTCCTCGCCCCTGGTCACCCTGGCCGCGACGGCATTCCGCTACGAGAGCGCCCGCTTCCTGCAGGCCAACGGCAGCATCCTGTCGGACCACAACCCGGTGTATGCCGAGTTTTCCTGGGCGACGACGACGACGACGGCAAGCTCTTCCCCCTTGCAGCTGCAGCAGAGCGCCTTTTTCGGAGGAGATTATGGGACCTGGTTTAGCGACGTCCCCACTCTCTCCAGCAAGACCACCACCACCAAGCCAAAGCCAGCCACCTTAACCTTCCGCGGCGCGTCCCGGCTGGACAGCGTATCGCTCACGCTAACGGACGGCACGACCTTCACGCACGGCGGTACGGGCGGGACAGCCTCCTCGCTGGCGCTCGCGGGGGGCGAGTACTGGGTGCGGGTGGAGCTGTGCAAGGGGGAGAAGGACGGGCATACGACGAGGAATTTCTACATCAAGGCGGTCACCTCGTCCGGACGCACTCTGGCGGCGGGCACGGCGACGGCCAGCTGTGCGACGTTTGCCGCGCCCGAGGGGTGGCATATTGTGGGGTTCTTGGGCCAGGCTGGGGATGAGGTGGACCAGCTTGCTTTTGTTTACGCGCCGAAGTAGTTACTACTACCTACGGAGGTGGTGGGGAATATAGGTAGGTATAGTTCATTCCCATCATCAGTTGCTCAGGAAGGAAGGAAGAGAGGAGACTATCGGCAGCCATAAGTTATCTAAGTCAAGTAAAGACCAGGTCGAGGGATAATGAATGGGACATGCAATGCAATAATAACGTATGAGAGAGAGAAAAAAGATGGGAATACAATAAACTTCTAAAAGAAAAAGCTCACCACCAAGCTCCCGAACGCATTTTGAATGTAAGGTACTTGGGAGGTTGTGGGCTACGAAAAGCCCCCCGTAGGGTTTTTACTTCGCTGGGTACATTGTATTGTACCTACCATCATAGGAATCGACCCCAGGTCATCTCCGAGGGAGGTGGTCTACGATGCCGTAGCATGTGGGTGTGCACCGAGGTGAACCACTTGACCACTTTTGTGGCGCCGTTGGAAGTTGGTTCATTGATGTTGCCCATATAACCTTAGGTAATTGGTCTGTGATGGCGGGAGGTGAGGGTTTAAGAGGGTAACAAGAAGTTGATGTTTCTGTGCTGCTAGAGAGGAGGTGGTCTCGTGTAGGCGTTTCCTAAGGTAGGGGTGCAGAGACGATGAATTTCGCAGTCTTGCGTGACAAACCGGCATAAGATCTTCATGCTCTTATTATCTGATTGCATATGGATATGGGTATCGTAAAGCGCTACAAAGCAACTCGCCAAATCAAAGCAACCACCCCCTAACTGCCTGACCACCGGCTCTCAGCGGTCTCGGATCGAGTCAAGGACCTTCGCCCTGAGCCGCATCAGCTCTTCGTCTCGCTGCTGCAAAGTGTTCGCAACCTCCCTGTACTTGCGCTCCCATTCCGCCTCGGACTGCGGCCCACCGGCGCCTTTCGGCGTAGCGGAGGCGGCTGTTGTGCCCGTGCCGGTGCTGCTCCCTTGGTCGGCCCCCTTCGGCTTCTTCCACTTCTCGTGCATCACCGTCTCCTCCATGGCCATGTCGCCGACGATATCCCCGAACCGGAGCTGCCAGTTGCACGAGTAGCGCGTGCGGTCCGGCAGTTCCTCAAGACGAGTAACGCGCAAGCTGCCCCTGTGCATCAGCAGCTTGCCTCCCGCCAACGCAGACAGGTTGATCAGGAAGGCCTCCTTGGTGGTGGCGGCCTTTTGCAGGTTGTCGATGACCCGCTGGGCGAAGGCGTATGCCTCGTCGACGCCGCACGGCGGGATCCGGTTCTGCTTCGCGTCATACCAGTCTGCTTGGAGGATGCTCGACACGAACAGGGCCTCGATCTCGTCCACGTTGGTGCGGTCCGTCGGGTCTTGAGAGAAACTGCGCTGTTCCCCGCCCAGCGTGAACCCCGGCGGGAGAGACGACCCGACTAGGGTTCCCGAGGCTCGGGTGAAGATATTGTTGACCCTGCTCTCCCTGCTTCCACTTGGCGCCGTGGTTGCCGGCTCGACACGTGGCTCGGCACCAGCTGTCTGCCCGTTGACCATGACGACTGGCGGCACTGCCGGCTCAGACAAGGGGGGAGTCGCCAGTCGAACTTCGCCCCCTACCCTTTCGGGCACCTGCAATGAGAGCCTGCTGCGTTTTGCCGGCCGCGGCGGCGCTGCCTCCTGAACCGGTGATACGTTGCTTGCGTTCTGTGTCGGCTGGGGATAGGACGCGGGTGGAGGAGGATGAGCAGTAGAGCCCTGTTGTGCGACGGTTATTGACGCCGTGAGAGCGTTGTCCACAGTTGAGGCTGCGGATTCCTGCGGTCTGGCGCTTTTATCGGGGGTTGGAGAGGGGAATCTGAAAACGGGCGTGTCTGAGACCGGGAAAGCCGAGAAAGGTCCCTCATTATTGGCACCGCGATTGATGGGAGGGCGACCGCGTGTCTTGCCCTTTGCGCCAATGCCACCGCTTCGCCATGCCGAGGAAACCACCTTCGCTCCATGGCGTCTGCTTGACCTGGGCTTCGAAGGGACGATGGCTGACTTCGGTTCGTCCGCCCAAAAAGCGTTCCTGGTCGACGGTGTGATGGCGGATTGGGGCATCGGACAAGCAGACATGGGCGTTTGGACGATGTCGGTGTTTGTCCACGAGTGTCCTGGTGCGTTCAGCCTCGAAGAATCGGGCACCGGGGGGAATAAAAAAACGCTTTCTCTCCCGTCTGGCTGCGCCGTCCATGGCTCCATCGCCGTCACCTCAGTACGTCCTCCGATCCCGTATTCATCAGCCCGCGGAGACGGGCGTTGTGAAGGTGATTTCCCTGTCTCATCTTCCTCAGGTCTTCTCTTCCCTCTCCGCGGCTTGATCTGAGGGAGGAGCGCCCGCAGAGCCATGTCATCCTCCGCTGCCACGCCATCCCGCTCAAGTTCAGCGATCGGGAGATGCTCCGAGGGTATCTCGGTCCAGTAGGGAGAGGGGCGGCCAATGAGATACTCGAAGAAGGCATCCACATGCATTGATTTCATCCACCGCTGCTACGTGTTAGCCAGGTTGCGCCGCCGCGGGCCGAGTGTAAATTGGCGCATGCATACCTTGAGTCGAACAGCATACTGTTGGACTCTCTGTGAACTCTGGCCCTTCTCCTGATCCGGTGGCTCAACGCCCAATTTCAACGCCAGCTCGGCCCATGTCCTCAGTTCCTTTGTCTCTAGCTTCTTAATGAGGTCGAATAACGCGAGCGTGCTAAAGGTCTTGCCTCCGCTCTTTGGCGGGGTGCGGAATCCCTCCCTCAGAGCTGCTGTGTCAGTCTCCAAGGGCACGCCCGGGTTGCAATAGAGAATGAATGCAACATAGGCATCTTCTATCGATGCGCCATCCACGTTCCTCGCTGGCAGCGTCCGTAGGTTTGACGAAGATCGCGCGGTAGGCCCGGTCTGGATGGACGGGGATGAGTTCGTGTAGTTGTGCTGCGGCGGGTGCTGCATCGTGGCCATCCTCAATCATCCGAGCTGTACCGATACCAGAAGCAAGATTCGAGTGTTGTTGAAGAGGACAATTCTCCCATCTCCAAAGCCGAACCTTTCAACCAACCCGTGCCGCCCAGCCACTGAAGCTGGAACCCCCCCTGTCCTCAGACGCTGAGAATCCACAATCCCAAGTGCAACGACCCAAGTTCTTGTGAAATCCTAGCATCTGCGTTGGATCCGAGACAATGAGTTGGTGATAAGACCTGAAGCAGACAACGGGCCTCGCGCATACAGCCGAGCGTTTCTTCACCAGCGTCTCTGCGGAACCTGAAACATCTCACTCTCACGAATTCAAGATCGCTTCACTCGTTTCACTTCTTGAGAGTCGCACGCTCCCGTATGACGACGTGCCAGGTTGATTTGGTGAGATAAAGCTGGCGAGGCTCCGGCCATGCTGTTCATGTTTCCTTCAATAACCAGTGTGAGGTGTACCCTGAGCCTCGAATCGTCTGGGGGAAGGGTGATCCGGTTCCAAAAATAGGTTGCCAAGCATGGGGAGGACCGTCTCTGGACTGTAGTGCGCACTGTATGGATATCAGTCACGTGATACCATACTATCATGTATTGTACGTCTCGTTAACTAATAAGGGGGTTTCAAATCTCCGGCGGTGCCCAGATCGGCCCGGCATGAGCTTGGAGTCGAGTTGAGAAGGGTGCATCGCACTGTGAATTGATGAGTCAAAGTTGGCCATAGAAGCAATCAAGCTGCAGACTATGCACGATGCATTGCTCTTCAATGGGTGAGACTGTGAGATAAGTCAGGTGTTATATACTGTATATGGCCCGCCTAAGTATCTAAAGGTAAGCATAAAAACAAGTCTTAGCAGCCTGGACCGCAGCTTACCCATTTTCTAACCTCGGCGTTCTGGCCATTACATGTTGGTAGGGAGCTATCCTGAAGTTTCCCCTGTCAGTCTTTTGATTTCTGACCTGAGTTCGGATGTTGCAGTGAATTGGTGGAGACAAGTGGTACTTTCAACGCGCTTTCACATGATCCCAACTGCCGTGAAAACCCGCCCCGGCTCGCGGCAGTGACGTCGCTGGATGCATCCGAGCGGCTCCGTGCCATTTCTGGGGTCCCGCACTTATCGGACCTCGGCAGGCGGCAAGCAGCATAGTAACATGTCAAACCGCAGCTACAGTACAGACGTTCAATCCAGGAGCGGCATGACAATGGGATTGGGATGATTCTTCCGACACTGATCCTAGGTTCATCTCATATACCGTGTGATACCCGGATTCCATCCCCATATAATAATCAACCGCTCCATTCCAACTGTGTTGCACCTAATATACCTCCCTGACTTGAACCCCGCCGGACGCCACCACCGACAGCGACTTACCTGCGATTATATCCAAGCGCATCACTCACATCAAGTTGAGCAACATGTCGTACTCGAAACCCGTGTTACCGCAAAACGACAATGTCGCCCACGCCCTCGCCGGCGCCGGGGGCGGTGTCTTGTCGATGGCTCTAACGTAAAGCATCCCCCCCCCAATCCCTCCATGCATCAGAAAACCTCCCCTTCGAAACTAACACTTGAATGACTACCGTCCAGTTACCCGCTCATCACGCTCTCTACCCGCGCACAGGTCGAGTCCAAGCGGGCCGAGACGGCCTTCCTGGCCGCGGTGCAGCACATCGTCGCACGCGAGGGCATCTCGGGCCTGTACTCGGGCCTGTCGTCGGCGCTGTTCGGCATCAGCGTGACCAACTTTGTCTACTATTACTGGTACGAGTGGACGCGCGCCTTCTTCGAGGCCGCGGCCGCCAAGGCCGGGCGCGCGTCCAAGAAGCTTACCACGGTCGAGAGCATGATCGCCGGCGCCATCGCCGGCTCGGCCACCGTCATCTTGACGAACCCTATCTGGGTCGTCAACACCCGCATGACGGCACGGAGAAACACCAGCAGCAGCAGCAGTAGCGGTAGCGACGGAGACGAGAAGGATGCCGCCGTGGCTGCGGAACAGGTCCTCCCCGGCGGCGCGCCGCCCGCCAAGCCGAAGCGGCCGAGCACCATCGGCACGCTGCTGAGCCTGCTGCGCATGGAGGGCCCGCAGGCGCTGTTTGCGGGCGTGGTCCCCGCGCTCGTGCTGGTCATCAACCCGATCCTGCAGTACACGCTGTTCGAGCAGATGAAGAACGTGGTCGAGAAGCGGCGGCGCGTGACGCCCACCGTGGCCTTCTTCCTGGGCGCGCTTGGGAAGCTGTTCGCCACGAGTGTGACGTACCCTTACATCACCGTGAAGAGCCAGATGCACGTCGCTAAGGCCGGAGACAAGAAGGAGGGCGTGACCGAGGCCATTAGGCGGGTTATCAGGGAGGAAGGGTATGCTGGGCTGTACAAGGGTAATTCTTTTCATCGCCCCCCGCCACTTTCTGTTGTTAGGGAATGCAAACTGACTTTCTGCAATTTAGGTATTGGCCCCAAGGTTACGCAGAGCGTGCTGACCGCTGCCTTCCTTTTCGCCTTTAAGGATGTGCTCTATGCGTATTCTGTCCGGCTAAGGAGCACCATGGCGAAGAAGGCCATCGCTCCATAGACGGCGGCTGAACGATAGCACGGGTGACAAAACTAACACACGCACTCTCGAGATGGAAATCTTGAAACTCGTGTGAAGTTTCATCTGTAAGACTACATACATGATCGGCTGGGATGTTCTAACTGGTTTAGAGGATCTATCACGCCCAACCAAGAAACAATACTAGTAGTTCTTTCAGAGGTGGAGTGGGTGGGATGGGAGTTTTGACGGAGGTGACCACCATGCGGTCGAGAGCACTGTGTGGTGAATACCTAATCTTGTACACAAGTTTTCCGAGAATGTTGAGGACAGGGCAGGCGCATAGAGTTGAACGGCAGCAATGTTGATTTGTAATTACCGTTACACTCCTCTTGTCTCCTGGCAACCGCCTTTTCTCCATCCCTGTGCAGACCTAAAGTTTCTTCTACCTTTGCTCCTTCACCTTGGGCACAACCCACCACGGATGATACCCCTTCTCCGAAGGCTGCACCTCCACCTTCAACCCCTTCACCCTCCCATTCGCAACCGCCCTCTTGACCGTACCGATCGCAACGCCCGCCGCAATGGCCGCCTTGGTCCAGTCCTTGATGCTCCTCAGCCAGCGATCGTGGCAGCCCACAGCAAACGCCTCGCTCTCGCCCATCTTGGCCACCGCCTCCAGCCCGCCCTTGGCATCCGCCGCCGCCTTGGCCGCAGTCTCCAGCAGTTCGGCCGTTGGGGTGTTCGGTTGCGTCACGTGCCGCCTGAAGACCTCGAAGGATGGCAGCTCGGGCAGGCCGATGGGCGCGAACGGCTTCATGCGCACCTCGTAGCGCAGCGCGTCCGTGCTGTACGGCCTTGGTGGGGGGACGATTAGGCCTAGGCGGGACAGCGCCGCGTATAGGTTGGTCAAGGCCTCGGCCAGCTCCGTGGTGATGGCGGCTTCGAGGACGGTGAGGTAGAGGTAGGATTTGCAGCGGGTGTACTGGGCGGCCGTCTTATTGTTGATGTTGTTGATCTTGTTGTTGGCGTCTGCCTCGACGCGATGTTTGATGAAGAACTTGATGCGCTCGGCGTGCTGGACGTGGCATTTGGCCAGGTAGCCGAGGTACCAGTACATGCCGGCCAGCTCGTCGGGCTGGTAGATGTCGAGTTCGAACCCGAGCTGGACGGTCCACTGCATGAGCCGCAGCTTGTAGTGGTAGGCCCAGGATGAGAGCGGGAGGGAGTAACTGGGCACGCCGGTGGAGGGTGGGTAGATGACGGGTTTCTCCTCGATCTGGGCTTGCAGTAGCTGGTCAACTTCCTCGGCGTCGAGCTGGACCGTTTCCCAGTCTTGGAGCATATGGTACAGTGTGCGGCGGACACGGCAGCGGTTCTGGCAGAAGGTTCGAAAGATGTCGAGGTATGACTGCGCCGCTCGCTGCCGGAACAGCTCCATCTGGTGGGCGATGGCGTAGCGCGGGTGATGGGGGGATTCAACATCGTCGTTTGATGGGTCGAGAAGGATGCTGCACGGCAAGACGATGGTACAGAGGTCGTTGTCCAAGATCTGGCGGATGCTCAGGCGACCGAGGACTACCATATCCTGGAACAGGAAGTTCTGGAGAAGCGCACGAATGTACACTAGTGGCTGGGGTTTTTGAGCCTGGAACGTCATGACAAAGGTCTGTAGCTATGTTAGGAGAGCAGAGCCTCAGGACCAGAGGGCGGAAGACAGTCAAAAACCCACCAGGAGTGTCTGTGAGTCGACATAGTTGAGAACCTTGGGCACATTCGCACCGTCAGCAATTAGCTTCTTGAAGTGCTTGTACGTCTCCTCCGGACTCGGCTGAACAATGGGCCGCGGTGGCATGGTACTCGCAAGCCGACGTTGGATTTTGGTGCTGAAAGCTTCCGGCACGGACTTTCCGAGGTGGCGTGTCTTGTTGATGGTCTCCCAAACCTCCTGCATATGGGACCACGGCAGGCTGAGCGAGTCCGGGTTGCTCCGTAGCTGGAATAGCTCGATTGCTCGCAGGAAGGCGGTCCTCAACTCGAGACGGAAGCCCAAAGCATGTGCCATCTCCTCCGTCAGTGTGCTTCTGAGGTCGTGGATGACCTTCCGGGCTGCCATAATCTCGTCCCGGACCTCATAGATGTCTAGGTTGTCTAAGAGTGACCGATGATACGTGTTTGTAACGAAATCTTCTTCCTTTGCCGGACATCAGCGCTTGCCAAGGGATCGGGGGTAATGCAAGAGTTGATGTATGTACATACCTCGTAATAGTGCTCACCCTTGATTCGTTGATTCACAAACGAACATGACTTCAGCAGACCGAGACAATAAGCCCTGAGGGCACCAAGCATGGGATCTCTTGGAGCATCCGAGGAACGGCCCTTGATGAAGTCGGCCTCTTGGACGGTGGTGGGAGCCAGCTGCAGCATCCGCTCGATGTAGACGCTGGTGAACAGGGACTGCGACAGCGGGTAGCCAAGGTGCCATGCCATCTATCCTCACACATCGGTGTTAGTATCGTCTGCCTCTCACAGCGTTCGCCCACAAGGGATGACCAATACCTCAAGGGAGAGCAGCTGGTCGATGATTCCCACAACCTCACTGGGGAGGAGAGGCCGCGTCACGTCATACCCCTCGTCAAGGGTCTCGCCCGGTGCCAGACAGCCGCTATCCATCTTAGGGTCCATGACCTCGAGTGCCCCAACGGACTCAAACAAAGTAAAGTAGCCATCCTTGACAAGCTCGCCAGGTTCCAAGCCTGTGGTTGGGAGTTGTCAGCAGTCAATACGGGTGGCGATCCAGGGGGTCCGCATTGAACTAGGGGTTGACGTACTTGAAGCGGCCGATAAGAATTTCTGCGTGATGTCAACTGCAACTACGCCTTCACTGGATATTCTGGGCGGCGGCGGGGGTTCGTCAAGGGCGTTGAAATGCGGCCCGCCAACAAAAGGCTGGCCGAGCCCGAGATCCGCAAGCTCTGGCCAATTCAATCAATCGTTAACAAACCCAGGCTCTCATCTTGGAAAGGACATACAGCCTGAGATGAAAGACGTCAACGTACGGCGAGACATGCCGTCTCCATCATCATCATGGGATGGGTCCATTTGTCTCTATCGCTGCAGAGAAAAATGGAGGATTTGTAGTTTTGCAATTTAATTCTTTCAATTCCGCCTAGCTGCAGAGGTGCAGTCCTAGGTTGGGAGTTGAGGGTAGGTTTTAAGTGAGAAGTGCTTTGACATGTGCGAGCCCAAGCTGTCAGCTGTTTGAGAGAGAGAGCTTAGGCTTTCCCGATGTCTGGTGTGGATAACCCGCGCAGGCACTTGAACCTGTCACAGGAATCTGTCTCGCATTCATCGGAAGACTTTGACCGCGGACATGCGTTGGAGTTTTATGGTATCTTTAAATTGCTCGTCAAACAGGAAAATGCACATAAGGGCTTTATGCAGATATTTTCCAACGCATACGAGCTCGAACTGGCACGTCAGCTCGACAACAATGTCCGCAGCCCATGCTTATCAGTATCCTCCTTTATTGAGCTTCCCCCTTTATGATACAGTTTTGACGCCTGGAGGAACGCTTGCAGCCGCCAGAAGCCAACGAGACGGTGTCGTGCGCCCGTCCGTCAAGCTTCACACCTCATCCCATCCATCTAGATGCATCTATCCTCCCTTCAACCCGTTCTCATCCTCCCACTTAAGCCGTGCCACCGCTCGCAGCGCTCTCGACCGCCGCTTGGGCGTTGGCATCAGCTAGGTTCTTGACATCGCCCTGCTTGCCGTTCTGTGTCCGCATCGCAACAGAATTCGCCGATCAGCCCCGGTGTTCTCCTTCATCCAAACTCCAAACCTCCCCTTGAGAACATCCCACTTACCGTCCACTTCGCAAATCTCAGTTCCTGCTGGCCCCGGCGCTCAGCCACGAGTCTCTTCTCCTCCTGCAGGCTGCGGCGCACGACGCGGGCGGCGACGGCGAGATAGCGGTTGTAGCTGATTCCGCGAAGCAAAAGCCCGCATTAGCTTTCGTTCCAAATTCCACTCCAAAGCCATCCTCCTTCCCGTTTGTTCCTAGGGCCCCTCCGGTTTCCCTTTCCGCACGGATCGCAAAACGGTTCGAAGAGGGGGCGGGGGGGAAGAAAAGGCAATTGACTCACGTAAGGCCAGCGGCTTTCCACGCGAACGTCATTTTGGCGGTTTGGCAGGACGGTTGACTTGGGGTTTGCGCTGTTCCAGATTCGGGAGCTGTTTTTGGCTTGAGAAAACGCTCGCGCAGCCGAGATGCTCCGCCAAGCTTCGTATCACGTGACTGCAGTCAGTAGATCCCGCAACCTTCCGATGTCAAGGTCACTAAAGTTAAGTTGTATACTATGGTACTGTAGAAGCCAGCTTAGGGATACCTACTGGGAGGATGTGCTGTCATAATGATTTGTTTCACATGGTGAAGGAAACAGCAACTTCAGATACACTCCTTCAAGCGCTACCAAATCGCCCAAATGCATAGGTACGTACACCAACCCCTGCCCCTTCCTAGAACAGCAGCTCACCGAGGTCACAAAACATAGGAAACTGAGTTGGTCTAGAATCACTATATGCACAATGCCGTGTGTGAGCCACGAGTCTATGACGGCGGAGGGCTGTTGGTACATATTCCACATTTTCCTCTTTCCGCTTTTCCACCCGGCTTACGAACTAACCCCCTTCTATACCTTGAGCCCTAGGTCCTCGGCGAACGGCAATACGTGCAGGTCACCCACCGCCGCAACCGACGCCTTGCCCTCTAATAGTGTCTTGGCCGCCTGTTGAAGAAGGTCAGTCCAGTATCCTTAATGCAATGACAGGATGAAATGATGATGCATGACTTACAGCCTTGAGCTTGTCGCCGGTCACGCCCTCCAGAGCCTTGACCGTCTCGGCAACCTGCAGGGGCTGGCCGCCGTGGATGAGGTTGGCGCCAGCGTGCACCATACCGGTCCCGGTGACCTCGCTGGCTGAGAGCAGGTTGAACTTGGCCTTGGCAATAGCCTTGGCCAGAGTCTCCTGCGAGACACCGCCCTCGGCAACGCTCTTGAGCGACTTGACAGCCTCCTCAGCCACCTTGCGGACCGCAGGAGCGGCGCCCTTGATCTGGATCGCCAGAAGGCCAGCATCGGAATAAGCGAAGTTGGCGGCCTTGGCTGTCGCACCGGGGCTGGCAGAGGTAGCGTTGGAGAGGAGAGAGAAGCCAGGCGACCACTTGATGCCGGACTCGCCGCCGAGGAGGCCGACGAGGACGGAGATCTCGGGTTGGTTGGCGCCAAGGGCCGCGCCGGGGAAGGCAATAACCATCGCGTTGCCGCCAATCTTGGGGATCCGCTGCTCGCCGCCGTGGTACTTGGAAGCCGCAGTGGTCAACGGGGTAGAGGATTGGGCGGGCACGGTCTTGAAGAAGGGCTCGATCCACTTCGAAAGGCCGGTTTGGCTGGCGCCGTCGGCGATCACCGCGATCGTGTTCTTGGTGTAGGCAGCCTCGGCGAAGGCGGCGACCGCGTGTTCGTTCAAGTAGGAGGAGATGGGAGTGTTGGGCGTCGGGTAGAGAGGTTCACCAAGGCCGGTGTGGAAGGCAGCTGAATGGGCGGCATCGAGGGCCACGGCAGCAGCGTCGACCTTGGCTTGCTTGAGTTGGATGACTTGCTGGACCTCCTCATGATACTCGTGGGCTATGTAGAACAATGAGCACAACTCGTCTCACGCGAGACTGACGGAGGTAATCGATATGACGCACTGGTGTACCGTGTCTGCGAGAGCACCTCGGCAAGCAGCTCGGTGAAGTAAGGGAGATCCTCCCGGAGGAAGTTTGCCTGCAGCACCAGGGCCTCGCGGGTGTGGTACGCGCTCAATTGGCCGCCGAGGAGCTCGGACTCGCGGGTGATGCGGAGAGCGGAGCGCTTCTCGGTGTTCTGCAGGCGAGAAGCAAATTAGCTCATCTGTTGACAAGTCGCACCAACAACCACAGCTCCTCCACCCTCGGCTCGGAAACCAGCGAAACTTGCCTTGAAGGCGTACTCTTCCAACCCAACCGTCAGGCCCGGAGCCGGTTCGTATCGGGTACCGGCCTTCGCGACGATGGCGAGGCGGGTGGTCGGGCCATTGTCGTCTCGAGAAGCGACCTTGACACCGGCGATGGTCGTGGGCTCGTACGACGCCGTTGGCGATGCAACCGCCGCGAATCCGCGCTGCGCAAGCTTCGCAGCTCCCTGACGGCGAAGAGCCAGTTGGCTGCCCCTCGTCAGAGCCGGTCTGCAGATCATGGTTTGGGGGGGCCGGTTGTCGTCAATTGACACTTGTGTAGGTTTGCGGCAGCAACACTGCGTGAGCGAGCTCTGCTCGGGCCTTGAGCGCTTCCGAAAAATCCCTGGGGGCTTCCCGGTATGGCGGAAAAATTGCCTGTGCCGAGCCCGCGCCGGCTAGAAAGGCTGGGTCAGAGCAGAACTGGCTAGAAGGACTGTGCTGCTGCTCCCGCTTCAATGCTTACACAGTATTTAGCATGCAAACACAGTATTTAGCACGCAAAACACAGTATTTAGCATGCAATTTATACTTCTCTCGTGACATTATAAGTGAGAATCTATGTACGTTCCGATACTTATATAATAGTCATAGCGCCTTAGTGGTAGCATCCCATTTCTATTAAGTACACCAGACACGGTTCATGTAGATAGGCACAGTTTTCTACTACTTTTCCTTCCCGTGGTAGTCCACCTTAAGACAGATACGCTCCATGCGCAGTTTCGTTGGGCTAGCACCTTTTTTGTTTAGCAGTCCCCTACCTTCCCATAGCCGTGGTCAGCACCGAAGCACACGTCACGATTGGCTTTTGAAGGTGCCCCGCGACGGCACCCCTGTTTTGCCTTGAATAGGTGACTCCAGCAGTTGCAACCAAAAATTATCAGAGCCTTCTGTCCCCCGCCATACAACCATTCGCCTTTTTCGGCGCTGCACCTTGCATCACCGTAGAGGTGCCTCAATGACTGCCCGGTGACAATTGTGGCAGCTCTAGAGATAGTGAGAGGATCTCTAGACGCCAAATCTCGACAATCAACTACTTCTATCTTGCATCATGCTGGTGGTGAGTGATGCCCCCACGCCGTCGTGTTGCATGTCGCGAACTGAAGCGTGTTGCCCTGTGTCCAAGCCACAACTGCTAACATCATGAGGTGGTCCTAGACGAAGCCGGTCGCAGAGCTATGCGCTCTGCTTATTGACGAGCTTTATGGCGAACTCCCCTCAGTATGTAGTCCGCCATCCACCTGCCCCTGAGCCACGTGCCGCGCCTGGGCGACTTACACCGAGACTGACGAACTGACCGCAGAGAATCTTTGCGACCCTGCTCAGCAAGGGTAAGTCAACCTTGCCGCAACTCGCGCTGCATACCTCGATGACCCCGCGCCAGCTGCGCCATGGTCTCGCCGTCCTCCAACAGCACAACCTGCTGTTCTACCATCTCGACCCGGGCGCCGAATTTGCATCCTACGAGGCGAACGGCGAGCACGCGTACAACCTTGTACGCATTGGCAAAATTCTTGACATGATCGACTCATCTTTCGGGGCCCCTGCGAAGGATGTCATACAGAACCTCCTTCTCTCTGGGCAGACAAGGATAGCAGACCTGGTCGCCGCGTACCAGGAGAAGATCGAGCAGGCGAACAGGACCACAGCTCTTATGGGGGGAAATGGCGAAGTTGAATCTGAGCCGAACGGAGTAAACGGAGATTCTCGGCCAGCCAAAAAGGGGGGACCGTTGGTTAAAAGCACTGCTCATCTGAACTCGATCATCTGCCGGCTAGTTGAGGCTGAGCTGATCGATGTCGTTCATGCGAAGACTTTTGAAAGCCCCACGGACATCCTGAAGGTTGTAGAAAAGGAGGTCATGGACAGGTACTTCCCCACCGGAGTAAAGGGAAACAAGGCCAAGGTCGAGCTGCAGCAGAGGATCGCCGAAGGCCTTCGCAAAGTCCGTGGCGAGTCTAAGTCACTTAAACGGAAGCTGGAACAGAACGGTTCGGCGGCAAAGAGACGGAAACTTTTAGCAGGGCTAAGCGGCATGACGAACGGCGTCCACGACGAGGATATGGACCCTGCTTTGGATGTGGGTGAAGTCACAATGTCGTGGGTTTGAGAATCACAATGCTAACCTCTTGACAGCCGAAACAAGTCATCAGGATAAATTATGAGAAGTGTCTCGTCGAGTTGCGCAATCGGCGACTTGTCCAATTTGCAAGCGACATGCTTTCAGAGACAACGGCATACGTATACGGTGTGCTGCTGAAGTTACTCACCAAGGATCTACCCCGTTGCCGGCCGGATTCTGTGATGGACGTCGAGGAGGATGAAGATGAAGACCAGAGGAAAGGCCCGGGGTTTGTGACGACCGAGCAAATTCTCGACAACCTGAAGACATCGGTCGACCTATCTCTGGGAATAGGGAAAGCAGAGATGAAGCACATCTCTCTCAGTGCTGCCGAGACCATCAGACAGTACCCGCCGGAGAAGAAGCCGAAAATCGAAGAGGCGGAAGTGGAAGGTGAAGCTAGCGAAGACGAAGAGGAAGAAGACGAGGGCGCCGGTGAAGAGCCTGAGCACGACGCTGATTACAAAGCCCCGATGGCGAACGGGACGAACGGCGTGAATGGCACAAACGGCGCAAAGGTCAAGTTCGACGATTCGGCAGGCTCCAAGGAGCAGCGGATGGACCGGCCTACACAACTTCGGCAACACCTCCTTTTACTAACAGAGAGCACCCAGCGGTTTGTCCGGCACTGCGGGCCAAACGAGTGGACTGTCGACTTCCCCCCTTTGATGAACGCTCTGCGAGAGGTCGAGCTCGACTCGGTGATTGAGCGGACCTCTGGCCGGCAAGGTCTCCGACTCGTGCGCATCCTCCGAGCGAAGGGCAAACTCGACGAGAAGGCCCTGCCCAACGTTGCGCTGATGCGCAAGTCGGAGCTGCAGCAGAAGATGCTGGAGATGCAGACGGCCGGCTTCGTCGACGTGCAGGAAGTTCCCCGCGACGTCAAGGCCGACGTTAAGAAGTCGTTCTTTCTGTGGTTCTGCGACGTGGACCGCACGCTCGACCGCCTGCTGGATACTAGCTACAAGACGATGGTGCACTGCATCCAGGTGCTTGAGGCGCTCCGGCAGAAGGAGAGGGACGTGCTCGAGACGACCAAGCGCACGGATGTCAGGGGCCGGGAGAAGGATACGATGCGCAAGGAGTACTACGAGCGATACTCGAGGTTTCTCGAGTGCGAGCGCAGGCTGTTTGCCCAGGTCGCGAGGGTGGATGACCTGGTCTCGGTGCTGAGGGACTTTTAGAGAAGAGCTCCATGCGGCCGTTCCCGTGTGGTCATAATTACCTGCTTACTTTGGTGGTGGTCAAAGTCCCAGTCACAGTTTTCTGCATCGGCGGGCGTAGTTGGCAGGGATCGGATCTCAAAACATCGGGTTCTTGAATGCATATGGTTGGCGTTATGGTCCTGGATGGTCTCTGTATTCTGCGTTCCGAGGTACTATCTGGTTTTGAAGTCCAGCCATCAACAAAAAATCTTGGGAGAGAGGATATCTTGGGAAACTCGATGTTGCCCAGCTACCCAGCTTCTATTGTATGATATAGAAATTGGGTGGCTTTTGCAGCGCAGGGGAAGAGCTTTTAAATTTGTAGTACTCGTCTATAATCAGGATGGCCTTTTCTATCGCCTTTCTCAACTACTGCGCTCTGTCCTTTTTCAGGTTGCTGAGCTGCGGTCCCGATACCAGGTAAGCGTTGATGGAATGAATCCAACATGTAACTGTGTAATTCGGCCCCCGAGCCCCCTGTCGCCGAATGCCCGATAAGCGATAAGCTCCAGGAACCAGGGGGCTTATCGCACCCAATCCCCGCTGTCGGAGCTCGGATTCGCAGAACCCCAGACGATTATTTTTTTTTTTTGACGCACCGGGTGGTGGGTGACCCGCCCGATAATAAGTCGGACTTTCTGCCCGTGGTCCTGTGTGTGTAACAGTAGTGCTTGCTCCGAGTAAACATCCGAGTCCCTCTTTTGTTTCGTTCGGTATTAACTCCCCGTCGGTCCAATTGATTTGTTGCTGCTGGGGGCGTCCCGTTTCGATTTCTAGACGTGAAAGGAAAAGAAAAAGATAGACAAGATGTCTCCTCCAATGGCTGGTGCGCGGGAGAAGGAGTCGAACCTGGCGAGGTTGTTGGGGTCCGGTATGTTGCTAGGCCGCGTCCTTCTATGAGTCGATGGGATCGTAATTGACTCTTCTTGTGTGTAGGCTCCGCCGGTATTGCCGAGCTCGCCATCTTCCATCCCGTGCGTTCCTCCCGGACTACTCGCCATATCGGAACGAACTCCGGCTGTGAGTTGGTGCGAAGACGGCATGGGGCTGACAGTGCCATGCTCGACAGGTCGATACCATTGCGAAGCGACTGATGAGCAATGAGGGGAAGGTGCGCTACTCTCGATCTTTACCCGGTATCAGAAGCAGCAGGTATTGCGATGGGCTTTTGCTGATATCACGGATTGGAATCAGGTCGCTTCCATGTCACAGCTCAACACGGTCATCTTCAAGGACAAAGCCGCCGCACCGCTCGGGAGGAAGTTTGTGTCGCTGTTCCCCGGACTCGGGTACGCCGCCGGCTACAAGGTGCTGCAGCGGATATACAAGTACGGCGGGCAGCCTGTGGCGCGCGACTACCTCACCACGCACTACGGCAAGGACTTCGAGCGCGCGTTCGGCAAGAAGACGGGCAAGGCGATCATGCACTCAACCGCGGGCAGTCTCATCGGCATCGGCGAGATCGTGCTACTACCACTTGACGTCCTCAAGATCAAGCGCCAGACCAACCCGGAGGCCTTCCGTGGCCGAGGCATCTTCAAGATCATCAAGGACGAAGGGTTTGGCTTGTACAGGGGCTGGGGCTGGACGGCAGCGAGAAATGCTCCGGGCTCCTTCGCGGTGCGTCCTAATGTCCCCGCCGGTTACAGCCGGGCACAGCAACAAACTGGCTGACGAGCGCTTATGTACTAACTAACGTGTGTCACAGCTCTTCGGCGGTTCGGCCTTCGCCAAGGAATTCCTCTTCAAGCTGCAAGACTACAACAAGGCCTCGTGGTTCCAGAACTTCGTCGCCTCCATCGCGGGCGCGTCCGCCTCGCTCGTGGTGTCGGCTCCGCTCGACGTCATCAAGACGCGCATCCAGAACCGCAACTTCGAGAACCCGGAGAGCGGCTTCCGCATCCTGACCAACATGGCCAAGAACGAAGGCGCTTCGGCCTTCTTCAAAGGCCTGGTTCCCAAGGTTTGTTTATGCTGTCCCGTTATTTTTTGCTGGTATGAGAGGTTGCGCGGGGTGATGCTGATACTTGGGGAACCACACACAGCTCCTGATGACCGGCCCCAAGCTCGTCTTCTCCTTCTGGCTGGCGCAAACACTAATCCCCGCGTTTGACTCGGCGTTTGCCAGGAAGTGAGGAGGATGATGAGCGTTGGGTTTTTTGTGGGCCATGAACGAACACGCCGTTCGACGCGCCCCGTGTAACAGTACATAACGTATCAAAAAGCGTATGGTATCGGAATAGGGTGGGTCTTTCTTTTCAGGCGTTGTGGGAACAGACGACACCTCTCTATGCAATGCAGCAACGGCCGGCGGGGTAGAAAGATGGATGGGATAGGATAGAGTACTCGTTTTGGGGGGGAGTAAACTGGTCGGCAAAACGCCTCGTAGCTTCAGGCAAAAGCGGCGCCGTTTTTTGACCAGTTTGGGAGCGAGGATCTAGTCGGTCGCTTTATTGCTTGACAGCTAGACCACTTTTAGTGTAGTAGATTCAAAGTATATATCCCTTCTCTCTCTCTAAGGGTGTACAAGTACATACGTAGTACTGGATCGGCGGAGCGGTTTGTGAAGCATCCCTGGCTTGGTCAAGGCGCATACGCATCCCTGAATATCACTGCGTCGTCCGAATGATGAGGGATGGGGTGAGATGCAGACAGTTTTGCCGTCATTTGATTCAGGGCCAACCTCGTCAATCTCAAGGGAGGTCGAAGAGAACTCACCGCACGAAGGCGCAAATTCATGGATGATGAATGTCAGGCCCAAACCCCAGGCGTCGTGATGATGGGAAGCATCGTGCCTTCATCAGGCGATGGACACGCCGAGGTATGTACGGATAAGCTGCGTAGCTAAGCGGAATAGCGCCGGGCTCATAACCCGGAGGTCACTCGATCGAAACGAGTCGCAGCTAATTAAACTTTCGGGTTTTTTTGCCGAGGTATGTACATGTTATTGTACCACCTACCTTAGGCACCTCGCAGCGCGTAAGGTATGTACAGTGCAGTGTCTCCATCCCAGGCACAACACCTCAAGTCAGAACCCTCCAAAGCGAGGCCGCTAGGTAGTTACCGCCAATACCTCGACGCGTGATACCGCGTCATTGGATCCTCCACCAACATCACCTCCAGCCTCCCCATCCAATGGAAATGCGGCTCTCCCAAGTTCACCTCCCTACCCGCCTCCCCCCTCAGCCTTGCCTCCCTTGTCACCTCCTCGTATGCCCTTCTAGTCTGTGCTCTGTACCCCTTGATAGCAGCAACGACATCCCTCATCCCACGCAGTTCGGCGCCGGTCGGTTTGGGGGGACTACTACTACTACTGCTACTGCTACTGGTGGTGGTGGTTGGTGGTGTAGGTGGAGTTGGAGCAAGCATAGCGTCCCAGGCAGCGGAGAAGATGTAGCTCCCTGATGGCACGCCAGCGGCGACATGGCATGGCGACGCAGGTACCGGGCCGGTTCTCAGATCGGGGTGGGCACGGAGGAGCCGCATGTATTCGGCCACGGCGGGCGTGTGGCTGTTGTTGTTGGGGTGGCTAGTAGTAGTAGGAGTAGTACTAGCAGTAGTGGAACCGATCCAGATGGGGAGGGTGCATGTCTGGCCATTCCAGGTCCAGGTGTACATGAGATGGCTCGGGTCGGGCCCCGCGGGTGGCGATCCTGGTTGGGCCGACTGGCTGGCCTTGGCCGTGGACGCAGGGGACTGGTTTTCTCTCGCGGATGTTGATGGCAATGGTGGCTGGGCGGTGGTTGCCGGGGAAGGTGCCCAGTGTGAATCGCCAAAGAAGCTGAACTCCTTGGACGAATCGTCCATGACTGTGGCCGGGTCGAGCAGGAGTTCGAAATCGGAATCGTCGGCGAGATCCCCACTGGGGTCGGCATCGAATTCGAGACGGATATGACACAGGCCGAGCAAGGTTGCCGGTCCACGGCGACTGGTCGAGACTCTAACCTCTTGGATGGCGCCCTCCTGTATGGAGGCTAGCTTCAAGAATGCAATCAGCTTGTCAATGAGCGGCCCGGTGGAGTACCTGGGGATTCGTGTCAAGACGAGACATTGCAGCCTGGGGTTCATGTCAGGGACGAATGCCTCGGGATATGCAAGTTCTGCCCGCGGAAGCACGTCTGTCTCAGCCAGCCACAGGTTCGCCATGGGCGACTGGCCGTCGAGCTCAAGAGACAGAAGCTGCGTAACCAGCGAGTGATGGATGCGCAGTACCTGCAGGTTGGCCGAGAACAAGGGCCGAAACACATGTGCCGAGCCGAGGATACCTGAGAGTTTCGTGTTGGAAAGCCAGGAGAAGGGGGCGGCTGTTGGGAGCTTGAATGACATGGTGTCACACTCAAGATACTGCAGCTGCCCGGGAGACGACCTGATCATTCTGGCAAGGCCTGCTGCGGAGATGTTGTTGTCATTAAGGTGCAGGTGGGTGATGCCTTGGTGATCTCGGCATATGTCCAATCCATGAATGTGCTCTAATGGCGGGCTATGAGAGCCCACATCACCGGAGAGTATCCTCCTGATTGCATCCGCCGAGTCAGGGCGTATTTTGGCCCGGCCGTTCAGGCGGGGATGAAGAGACTCTTCGGAACAGGTGTGTTCATGGGTAGTGTAAAAGGGGGCATCGGCAAGATATCTATGAGGATGGCTAAAAGCTGTGCTCCAATCCGACTCCTTGACAAAGCAGAACTTGCCAAACGAGATACTGCCATCGGAGGAGTACGAAAGTCGACCTTCAACAGCAGGATCACCTGCCCGTGAGCTCTGCGCTGGGAAGGAAAACTCATGCATGCCAACGAAGACGGCATCCGTCAGCTTGTTTCGGCTGAGGTTAACACTCCACAGCTGTTGTTTGAAGACCTTGAAGAGCAGACTCGCGACTGCGTCGTCTATCTCCCGCCCCTGCGCCTTCAGGATACGGAGGCTGGGCAGGTTGGCCGGACTCAGTTTCCGCTGTACCAGGGCAGTCTTCAGAGAGCCGGGCAGATCTGATACGTCCAGATACACGAGACTCGTTAGATAAGGGGAGGCAAAGAAAGATGGCGACTGCTCGGAGGGGCACCGTGGAATACTCAAAAGCAGAGGGGGGTTGAGGCTTGGTGGCAGCGCCCGCGCTGAGGCAAGGGAGTCCACTAGTGCCTGAGACTCCGCGCTGAGATGCCCGTCGAGGAGAATACACCGCAGCCGGGAGAAGGTGCTGGGCAGCGAGCGGAAAGCTGCGGAGAGTGACTTGCAGCCTGAGTACAACGGGAAATCAGAGGTGATGGCAGTGAATCTTCGCAGGTCAAGGCAAGTGACCAAAGCAAGAGTCTCCGCTCGAACACGGACGGTATGCTCCAGGAAACGATGGCACCACTCGGGATCTGCATGGCGGTCAGACATGCATGCAGTATGAAATAAGTTGGTGAGCGAGAGAGGAAACTAGCCATTGTCTCGATGGATGAGGGCTGCAGCAGTGAGGGGGTCATTCCAGAGACGCGGCGCAAACTGGTGGTAGAAGCGCCGTGAGACTAGAGAGAGGCGTGCATATTCCCTAACTGGCAAGTAGGGCGCAACGAGCTGCAGCCAGTCCGGCCGTATCATGGCATCCTCATAAGAGGGCAGATATGCGGTGCCGTGATCCGCGAGGAATCTGCCGTCCTCCATGGCTACTGTTGGTAAAAGAATATGTCAATGGTTCCTGTGCGGTTCATGCAGCCCGGGAGCGCCACCTAAGGACTAGCGCAAAATCGTTGCCATCCGATTGGGTTGCCCGCCCTCTCACTGAGCGCCTTGTTCTCATCTTTATGACGAGACATCACATCTCAAGCCTGCACGCTGGATTCTCGGTATAGAGCAGCGATCTATTACTCACTCTATCTGGCACCGGACAATGACAACCGGAGAGTCTGCTACGGCCCAGCTCTGCCGCATGTCTCTGCCGCGCTGCATCCTTTGGGATCCGGCAGACTATCTAGTCATCGCGCAAGAGGTGAGAGAGGCTGGACTAACGCAAAGTGTTAGGTATTATGCTTCTTATTGACTCCCTTGACTGTGTAATCCATCACAGAATGTGACCAGACGGGTGATTACCCGGGGGCTGCTTAGCATGAGTCTTGCAAGTTGCACCACCTCCATCTCTAGTACAATTAATCATGGTCGTAGGACATGATGAAATGGAGGTGCAAGTCTATATATTTGAAAATGGCATAGAAGACCGTACGTGGATACATGACGTACTGTGTCGCCAGTATAACCCGGGGTGTCAGCTGTCCTGGGCTATTGGGGCTGGGAAAAAGCAACAATGAGTGCCAGCTGCAAGATGTCGCCGAGGTGTCTCGCTTGGAGAACCCCCGCGAGGCTCTGGGCTGAGACATTGGGCCGAGACACGGAGTCGCATACCACAAGACGCGCAAGAACAGGAAGAACGTGTCAGTGTTGAGCCAGGAGAACACAACAACTGACTAATACAATGCGAGGCATGCTTTCGGAAGTAAACAATACTACTACTCCAACCACAGTACGGATGTGATGGTGATGCTCATTCCACAGACGTAGGTAAGGTATGTATTTCGTGTCATGTTCCTTGTCGTACTTTGCGGTCCTTAGATGATGCATCATCATAATACATTACCGTGTTGACAGCGTCTCCGTGACGCTGTTCGTCCAGGTTCCCAGATTTCAATAGTACACTGCCTGTAACGTTCGCCCCTTCCATACACTGCACACTTAAGTGACAATCCAAGTGACCCTATAAAGCCTTATCCCCAAGCCTGGCCTTGCGAAACCCCCCCAAATAAGCGCACCCATCCTCCCATCAACATAACGTACATTAGCATTATCTGGTCGACTCCTGTTGCGCTAGCAGAGAAAAGCCGAGGTTGTTGTGTGTAAGGGCGTCTTGCCGGACGCCAAACTGTCGAAACGATTTTCTTTTCTTTCACCCACTTCCCCTTGCGCTCATGGAGCTGAGGGTTTGCGTGCGTCTTTCGAGCTCGGCCGTCGTCGAGCCCGATTCCGCTTTTGCACTTCCTCGTACTCCCGCACCGCGCCAGCATGGTAATCGACTCCGCGCTTCCCCTCCACCCCCATGCGCTCTGGCCGGGTATGCAGTTTGAGATGTTGCTGCAAGTTATCCGACCGGTTGGAGCGGTGGTTGCAGAACTTGCACTTGAACATCTTCCCGTTGTGTATGCTGTCGCGAGGTCAGATGATGTGTCAAGCAGATTTGAGGCGCAATCCCCAATGGATTGTGAGACTTACGAGTCAATGTGTCTCTTCAGATGTTCTTTCCTTTGGTATGGCCCCTTATTGCATCCCTCTTCGGGGCAATAATGTCTGTTGGACGGCTCGACACTGCTCATGGCCATGCTACCACCCTCCGTCTCCAAGGAGCGGATCCGCCTTTCCTTCTTGATCTGCCTCCGTACGTTGGGCTGTGGGCGCTGCTGTGCTTGGTGGAGGGCTGTCGTCTTGTGCCGCGCCTCCCCTATCACGGCTCGCTTCCTTGCTGCGCTTGAACGCATGGACGGCGACATCATATCGCCTTCTGCTTCCGGCTTGGCTGAACGGAATGGATCGACAAGTCTTGAAGAAGAAGAGTCGTTCTCGAAGCTAATGGGGCTGTCTGTGTGCATCCAGGCCATGTCGCATGAGTGGTCGAACTGTGCCACGGAGGAAGGCGTCGACATGAAAGGGCTCGCCCCGAGATGATTTGGGTAGGAGCCGCAGTCCATGGTTTGTGAAGGGGCTAGCTGAGTACTGCTACTGCAATTGCTGAACGGGTGACCAGAGAAACCAATCTGTCCCCGTGAAGGCGTGACGGGAAAGCCAGAATAACCAAAGTCGGTGACATTGCCGCCTCTGGGAGTCACGGGGAAGCAGTTGGATGCAGCAGAAGAAGGGGGCGTCAGGTCAAACGGAACCGTGTCGACAGACGAGGCAAAGGAGGAACTAAAGTCTAGTGAAGCAGAGAAGAACGGAGTTGAACGGTCGCTGGTTGGCGTGTGCGGACCGAAGCTTGACGAGGCGGACGATGAGCCGCTGATGCTAGCTGACGAGCATCGCTCCGGCAGGTCATTGAAGTCGAAGTTGACGCCGCTGTCGTCAAAATCAAGAGGCACGTTGCACAAGGCCATCGTCTGGAGCGTCATCTTTGCTCAACCAGGTTCAGTTGGTTGCGAGATGTGTGAAGGAGAGGAAGGGTAAACAACGCTGGGTGATCCCGAGGGAGGCAACAATGGAGGAATTCCGGGGAGATATGTATACAAGAATCCGAGATGATAGTCAGGAACCCGACCCTTCCCCTTAGACAGAGCAGAGACAAGGCCATGCTCGAACAGGGAATTATCTCGCCAATATAAGGGCGATGGAGGAATGCCGCGGCTCAACTCGCCGAGAGGAGGGGGCAAGGGGGACGAAGGGGGCATCTGGTCTGGGCAGATCCCCACCACATTCGTCGCTCCCTCAAAGATCCCCAGAGTAACCCAAAGTAACCATGTCGGCGATGTGCGTCATGACAATGATAGCGACTACATCCCGAACACCCTTGTCCTGAGCCGCCTGCAGCAGCGCCGCACACGCAGCACGCAGGAACATCCAACCAACAGGGGAACCACACCGACGATCTCAACTCAAGGATAGCCACCCCCGCTTGGGTGTGCCAAACATTAAGGCTGAGGTGGTGTGCCCCTCCAAACAGGCCCAAAAAGGTCAACCACTTGGACCCAAACGGCTAACCTGGGAGCAAACCAGGGTTCGTCGGGGAAGGGTCAAGGGCCGGGCACACTTTCAGGTTCCGTAGCACCGGACAAAAAGCAACGGCGCAGATCAGCCGAGATCCTGGGGGTGCTCATCGCGCCATCCTGGTGTAGACTCGCACGGGGCTCTGGGCCGCGTACCTGGAATGGCGATAACTGAATATGGAATGGGGAACAAGCGAGTTGTTGCTCTCGCCAATGCGCCACTGAGACAGCCGCGGCGGTTGTGTCCGAGTCCTCGATCGAACGACGCTCTAACTGCGAGGGACTTGGCGGAAACAAAGGGCGGTTTTCTTTGTTTCCTGTACCGTGTAGAAGAAGCCCTTGAGAAGCGTAACTTAAATTGAACCAAGACTCGGGATGCCGACTAGGGAGCTCTTCCAGATCGTGAGGAGTCTTCCCACGCCATTCATCAGGCCACCCTTCTCCCTGCACCAGAATATTGTATGCACTGAGAAATGTAACTCAGCTGCTTGTAAGGAACTGGAAATCAACTTCAAGGGCATCCAGCAGCACCAGGGGGTCGAGAAGCGAGAAACCGGCAGTCGCATCTGTCAATGCAGGTCGGTCCGCTGCCTGTGTCCGTGTGGTACGGGACAGAAGCGGAAAGGCTCGACACTTGCAGGCGATTTCCTACGGTAGCTCAGTGTGAGATCCGGCTGGTTCCCGCGGTAGGTACTAGTAAGAGACCTCCACTTCCAGGTTAGGTTATCTTTCTTAGCTTTCGCGGAGGGGAAGCGTCGTGTCGGGTCTGGTGACTTTACACTGTGCAGGCATCGCACTTTGAGATCGCGGATCTGAGCCAGCCACCGTTCGCTGCGGGAGCTGAGTGGAATTTCGATAGGGCCGGTGCCTATCCACCCAGAGTGGAGCCCGAAACGTGCAAGCACCTTGCACTGTGCTGCGACGTTCCCAACCTTATCTCAACTTCTAACGGAGTTTACACTGTCCCAGATGCATCTCAAACCCCGATGTGGGTCGTGCGCGCAATGCAAGAGGCAAGTCTGCCGGCTGAGTTGACAGGGAACAACAGCCTCAACGCCAGGGTACGATGCTTACATGAAGCAAACAACGCCTTTTGCCGTGGGGAAGTTTGGGTGCAGCTGATGTCCGTCGCGCGCATGTGGTGCCGCCCTACGAGGCCTTCTTTCATCCTTCCGTCGTCTATAAGTGCTCCTCACATCGCGATCCCACGTTTGAAGCTTCTCTCATCCCACGCGTATCTCAGTGTCTGTCTTAAATTCATTATATTCGAGACATTCCATCACACCTTGGCCTCCCTGTAGTGTGCTCTGTACAGTGCCTTGATTAATCTGAGAACATTTGAGGCAAGGGACGGGTTCGGCAGTATGCCGGATCATCTCCCAAGGACGAACGTCCCAAGGAAGCTCCCAGTTGCCCGCACATGAGAGGCAGCTTGCTATGCTCATCACCGTCCTACCTTCTCTCGAAATGGCCTGGCACCGGACAATGACAACCGGAGAGTCTGCCACGGCCCAGCTCTGCCGCAAACACTGTCGAGTCCATAAACCCCATTAGCCATATCCCCACATTTTCTTCTTCATGAGGTCTGGCCCGCTCTTCAAGATATTAGGCACACCGTACTGCCGGTTCAGAGCCGATTTGGGCCGGGCGACTGACCGGTGCCGCCCAGCCTGCTCTCTTTGCTAATGTCTCTCGGCAGGACGCCGGCCTCGCCGTCGCCGCTACACCATCGTTGGCACACGATGATACTAACCCGACCGCTGTAAGAGAGAACATGGTTGCTCTATTCTTGGAACCCCTCGCCAATAAGGGCCCCTGAACCGAAACCGAGTTGTGGTAGATTCGGCTAACTCTATCGTAGCACTCCGCCGCTCTGGAAGCAAATGACTCCAAGCAAACATGGGGCTTAGCGGGGTTTACAACTACAGGGGAGGTTGACTTCCGTGTACAAACGTGACGAGTGGCCGTTCCTCAGCACGCCTGTTGCCTCTTTCCGAGGCCCATAACCGACTTATTTCGGAGCAGAAAGTTAGCCCCGGATCCTGGCTCTGCTTTGTAACGGCTTATCCTACGATTCATTGTTTCCCCCTCGCAGAGCGATGGTATCCGGCTGCTTCTTAACCAACGCACAACTCTCTCCTCCAGGACTTCATCTGCCTTCCTTCAGTGCCAGAGCTTGGTCAACTGGACATGGGAAAGTGAAAGAAAAAGGTCTACGGTCCGCCCGAGACCGGCGGACTCCATCCTCTGGGCTGGCGCAAAACAGATCACCATGATCACGTCCCGTCCCAAGGGCCAATCTGGGAACCGGGGCACCAGGTCGACGATTGCCTTCGCTATTCCCACCCACCCTTTACCCGCGCTGTCCCCGGCCTCCGGCGTTTGCCGAGTTGAACCTTCGCAAGTAGTACACAGCACCGCATCCGGCAAGGTAGAGATAGACAGCTCCCATGACGGAAATAGGGGTCGCGATGAGTACCTTAGGTTTGTGATGAATGTAGGAAACATATACCCGACCTGGCTGATGTTCCGTATCCGTAACCATCCAAGACCGCTATTCCAGAAACGTGGCAGGGAGCCCTTGTTGTGCTGCTCTCTCGGTAGGTATGACGAGCACAAACAACACTACACCAGAGTCACGAGACGCCGTTTCTTCTACCAATGTATCAATAACCTTGATAGCATCTCCCGCCTTTCACCAGCTATGAACCGCTTACTACCTACCGGTCTTGCAGGTGGTAGTACGGGTGCCGGGAGCCATGTTCCGAATTCCTTCCTTACCTGCTACGTAGCTGGATGAGGTCAGGGACAGGAACAAAGCTTTCGGGTCTTTCTCTGCCCTCCATCGCAAGATACCGAGATAGGTAACGTAAATAGTATGCCATGTCCTCTCTGTTTCTACTATAAGGTAACTACGTATCTTAAAAACCGAGGATCTTTTGGACGAGCTGTGTTCCAGTCTTGTAGATCTAAGCTACCTGCGTACCCTTACTAGGCAAGCATCTGATGAGGGATGAAGTGTGATGACCCGCCTCTCATGCGACCGGTTCGGTAATCCTAGCGTTATGAAGAAAGATACGATCTGGGGAGATGTCTCACAGTTTCCGTGCTCAGCAGAGGTGTGAAGCCTGTTTCTGACCATGACTGTTGAACACCTGCTGTTTGTCAGGGGCGGTATGTATAGACAGCCCCGAAACGTCGGTTCCAACTGCCGGAACCTACTACACACACCAGCGAAGAACCCCATATCTTGACTTGTCTACCGGATTTGATTGACGTTGTTCACGGACGGCCGGTCCTACATAACACCATCTCAGCCCCAGAGGAGCATCTGGCATGCTTCGGATTCTCCTGAGGTGATCACAGACCCAGGCTGAGTCGGGCTAGTCTTCCACAGCCTCATCATCCATCCTGTCGCTATCCTCGAACGCGTCTAAGTCCTGCTCGGTCGCCTCCAGACCGGAAGAGGACATGAACTTCTCTTCCTTTGCTTCGGCTGGAGACATATTCGTCGTCAGCATACTGTTGCTACCGATATCGTTCCCACAATGTGGAAAGGTTCAACAAGAAAAATAAAATAAAAGGAAAACTCACTCTTGGCCTCAACAAGCAAGTTCTCCTGCACTTCACAGTCGGTGAGCACGCAACCCTCGCCGATCTCGGCCCGCTTCCCCAGAATGCAGCGCGTCAGCTTGCAGTTCTTGCCCACCACGACGCCGTCCATGAGTAGGCACTGCGACAGCTTGGCGCCCTCGCTGATCTGGCAGTTGGCGCCCACCACGCACTCCTTGATCGACGTCTTCTCCTGCACCGTCACGTTGTCTGCCACCAGGCTGTCCGCCTTGGTGATGGTCGTGCGCGGTTTCACGCCCTCCGGGTAGGCGACCTTGCGGGCGTGCGCGAAGGGCGATGCGGCCTCCGGGCCGACCTCTTCGATGGAAGGCAGCTTCGCGAGCTGGAGGGAGATCTGCAGGAGCAGCTGCGCTGTGTCGGCTCGCCGGATGAGCGGGGTGTCTGGTGTCGAAGGGTGGATGTAGGCTACCATGGGTGGAATGGCGGGTTCGTTTTCGGCATCGTTGTCCGGGGACGGGTTATCGCTGTGGTCGGAATGGCTGTCGTCCCCGTCCCCGTTCTTGATGGTCACGACGGTGGTGGGTGCGTCGGTCGCGCGGGAATCGACGCCAAGTTTCTGGGTTGGGGGGTTGTTCCCTCCGGGGCTTACGTGTCCGTCGCCATGATCACCGCCGGCTCGCCGAAGAACCTTGTCCAGTCCTAGTTTCGCAGACAGCCCCTTTTGCCAGCTTGCCTTGGCCCACCACCCGACAACGTCCTCACCGATCGTTTCTAGACGCTCGTTCTCCTTGATAAACTGCATTACCCAATGCGGGAAGATGTAGATATGGGCATCGCGGTGAGTAGTCAGCATCCGGACACGGGGGTGTTGTCGTAGGAGTCCGTGGCGGACGGGAAAGCCCTTCTTGTCCTCTAATAAGTCCTTGAGCGAATCAGTGGGCAAAGAGTAGACTAGTTTCGCCATGTGAGGGAATAGAGAGCCTTTTGCGGGCAGGACCGCCGACGACGGGAGTGGCACCGTTGCCACGAAGTCGGTCTCCTCGCCCTTGATGGGCGTGGCGGTCTTGGTCTGGTACCATACCCCAAGGCCGCCACTGCGCGGGGCACGGGATCGAGAGTCGCCGACGAGGTCCTCGAGGCTGGCCGACTTAACCATCCACGCCTGCAGCAGCTTGTCCGCCCCCAGTTCACAGACGAGATCACAGGGAAGCACCAGGAAGTCCGAGGTGACGACGTCCTGCAGCTCAGGAAGTCGGAGGATCTCGGCTGTTCCTGTGTTCTGGTCCAGGTCCTTCGGTGCCAGGAGGTCGGGTCGAGGGAAGGGCAGGCTGGTCAGGAAGGGGTTCGTCTTCAGGGCAGTAGAGATGGCCTGTGCGACGGAAGGAGGACAGACCAGAGTGATATCTTGGCCAGAATCAGCGATGTTGCTCATGAGAATTGGAGAATGCGATGAGGAAGGCTCGAGTGACATGAGAACCCTGAACTAAGGGCTCACTGCAGGGCACCGCAAGCTTCACTTACTTGTTATCCCGGCCCGGTAGCAAAAGTCAAGCGGGTACCAGACCATAGGCCGGTTCGCAATCGGGAGGAGGGCCTTCGGATTCTCATCGGGATTAGCTGTGAATGTTGGGAATGAACTGCCCGGGCCGCAGAGTATCAACGCCTGCAGGCCCGGCGTCGCGATGCTCACTGCGTGGGGCATTGCAAATGGCAGCTTCTGCCCCGCGCGGATGAGATTCTCTCGATTTCAAGTTCGAACCGCGATATTATACTTCAAATCTCAAAAGATCGCTGACAATGGTACTGTTGGTTTTCAGCAGAGACTGGGTCAGTATGCTGCTTTTCCTTTCGCTGTTCGTTCAAGGCTGCACTAAGTTTGTCGTTCCCTTCACTGAGTCACTTCAATCGACTGGAACCCTCAGAAATCCCACCGTGAACATTCATCCCACTTCAATCTGAAATGGTCCGTGCGTCACGTCTGGGCAGAAGGGAATCAATCAAACAAGGGATTAGGGATCACTGGCAGCTGAAAGCAGCTCGGGCCGGGGTGGGGTGTGAGTGCAGCGTGGTGGAACCGTCGAAGCCCCTGGCTCCTTTTCTTGGCATTCGGCTCCTGGTCTTGTTTTCCTCGCCCGGCCAACCACCTGCCTCGGTTCAGGCCCAGAAATGGAGCTGAGAGCTCGGCCTGTCAAGAGCTGGGGGTGCATCAACAACCCGATCCCCAGCCTTCTTGGATCGCCCACACCAGCCACATAATTAACTACAGGATTGCTCAGGTCGCGCCGCAAAGTCTTGAATTTCACACCCGGCAGAGGCGAGTGGTGGCGGCATACTCGCTGCAGTCCCTGAATTCTCGCTCTACACCGGAAACACATACGGAATACATACACTACCTACCCTATCGAATACCGTATCCCGCAGCTCGTGCGGGCAGCGCAATGATCAATCGCTGTGTAGCCAATGTCACCTCCGTATGAGTCGTCCCGCCGGCGCGGGGTGTGGAACCACTGGGTGCCGCTGCTCGTGACCGTGACGGTCGCGACGGTCGGCGTTGCCGCATGGGTATGGAGCCAGCGCAAGGACGACGACCACGAGGAGGCCGAGGACTCGGGGGGCCTCCCAGACCTCGACTATGAGAACGCCGACTATGGCGACAATCCCGCTTACGGCGCAAGCAAAGACGGCGCCGGCGCAGGCCCTTCCGCCGTCAGCGGTGGGCAGCCTCGCTCGGGCGACGCTGGCTACGGCACGGCACCGCCGGCGGTGGAATCGGCAAGCTCTGGGTGGGCGGCGTTACGCCGCACCCCTAGCCCCCAGCAATTCTTCGACAGCGCGAAGCGGACTGTTGCGGCCGGAGTGACGGCGGTGGGGAGCGCCCTGGCGGCTATCACGGAAGAGGACAAGACGGCGTATGCCGACCACGAGACATGGTCCGAGGAGGCGGATGCCAAGAAGGACAGGGCTGTCGCCGGGCCATCCCAAAGTAAAGATACGAACAAGCGCCGGAAGAAGGTGGCCATCGTCGTCTCGGCAGACCACCGCCTCGACGATCTGGATGCCGATGGATATATCCACGAGCATGCTGTGAGTCGCTGAGTAGTTCAGAAGCCGTTCGTGGGTGCTCCTGGGACGTGCTAACCCCCCGGAACTAGTCCATACTCTCCCACATCCCGCGCCAGGTCGACTTCTCCAAGATCAAGCTCTACGTGCTGATCTACGCCCCCAACCTCAAAGATACTGGGATGGATGCGGCTAGCAATCGCCCCCCGCAGTCGCTCAGCTCGTCCTTTTCCAACATTGATCCTGCGCAGGCTCAACCCGCAGAGGAAGCGAAGAGTCCTCTGTAAGTTGTATCTCCTTCCCTGCTGCAATACTTCAGTTCCACTGACCAAATGCGCAGAATTGGGGCATCCTCCTCAGACGCGGTCTACAACGCCATCTACTCGCAGGCGCAGGCGCTCGTCGAGAAGGACAGCATGATCCTCACTTTCACGACGCCCAGCGGCCATGCACACATCCTGCGCCACATCCAGCCCGAGATCATCTACTTGCAGGAGTCGCTCTCGGGTGAGAACGGCAGCGTGGTCACCAATTTGCAGACCTGGCTGAAGCACGATGTGATCTTGGTCGTGGGCGCCGAGAGCGGCCATGGCGGCCTCGCGGACAGCGAGTCGGAGGCCGAGAAGCCCGAGAAGGAGAAGGAGTTGTGGTGGCATAGAGAGGACCGCGTCGGCAGGGGCCGCGGCGTCGTGGTAGTGGATGGTTCGAGGGTTCAAGACGACTGGTATGTCCGATTAAATTTATACCCTACCCACGTGCGGCTGTCTTGGGAGCCATCATGTGGCACTAAGAAGCTGAATTCCCTTTCGAAGTCGCCCGGGAGAGTCACGGAATGAACCAGTATGGCTGACACTGTTGCACAGGGCTCGGAGGGTACAGGGCAAGGAGTAATGGAAGTGGAAGGTTTTAGTAACGGAGGATACGACGTGTCGATGAAAGATGAAGATGAAGGTTACGGGCATGTTATGTCGGCGATGATTGTGATAACCCCTTATGTATCTCCTGTTTTTGCCACCTGGGTGCCGCTATGTAGGACAAATTCAAGTAGGATAGTTCGAACTCATGGTTGGGCATGACGCAGTAATGTGATGGTGAGTGATGTTATCATCCGGAGTACTTCGTAGCTCACCTGCGCTCACCTAGGTGGTTTCTGTGAGGCCGGTTGGCAGCTTCGAACTTAGCAAGCGGCCGTATGTCTCCGATTACTCCAGCACCCCAACTGTCTCCTGTTGCTCAAGGTTCTCCATTGGAGCAGCAATGTGGATTATATATACTCGTGGCACCCCCCCACCTGCCCCGCTTTTCTTCGGACCAGGCAACGAACCGCCAGGCAGGTTGGTGGTGGACAGCCATACGGCCAGATCACCCTAATGGCCACCTTTCTGACCCCTTGGCGATGCCAACGTCCCAGCCATCTACAGCCCTCTGCGTAGTAGCCTTATCTTTCCCACTTCTTCAACAACCTCGGCAGGGCCCAGCCGGCCAGTCAACCTCCATTTCCGGGCTTCCTTGGCCGCATCTGCATATACGCGTTTGATCTTGTTGTGAGCCCGCTGTTCAGCGGCCTGCACCACCCGCCTGGCTTTTGCGAGCTCATCATCCTCCCTGACCTTGACCATTCGACGTGCCTGGGCTACTGTCAGGACCCCCCCTGACTGTAGTGGCCGGTTCTTTTGAAGTCTTCTGCGATTGGCGATGTCCTCGGCCATCTTCGTCCTCTGGAGGTCACGCTTGACTTGGACAAGCTCAGTAGCCGTAGCAAGCGAACCTTTGATAAATTGTTGAAGATGGGCAATGTCTCCCGCGATGGTAGCTAGCTTGTCGGCTACCTTATTCATCTGTTGGAGCGTGATGGGGGTAGCGAAAGGAGAGCTGTTGAGAACTGCGCTGGTTGGTGGCGAGGGTGTCCGAACTGCCTGGCGTTCTTGAACAACTTGTAAGACAATAGATGGCTGGAATGGCCAGATCCCTGTCTTCTTAAATGCAGCTCGGATAGTAGCTTCTTTGAAGGCTTGCTTGCGGGCTTGCTGGATAACAATAAGGAACTCGATCTTCGTGATATTGACTAGGCCGTCGCCGATCAGGATGTCAAGCGCCTTTGCATGGTAGTGCTTCAATGGCTGGAAGACGACAACGTCGAGCGGCTGGATCAGATGTGTGAGATGTGGTGGTAGGCCAAATGGGATAATATCGTGATCCTCGCAATATTTGACGAACTCCCAAGTAAGATGCGAGCTATGGCCGTCAAAGATCAGGAGCCGATATTTTCCAACCATCCCTCGCCGGGAGTGCTCTTCAAAGTGCTGTAGCCACTGGAGGCTAATCTCATCGTTTGAGTAGCCACTTTCCGTCGTAATGATCGCCATCTCAGGGTCAATTCGGGTTGCTCGTACCATTGCGACATGTGGACTTGGCCAGCCAAGATGATGAAGGCTGGGATCACCCTCCCTCCAGCAGAGATAGCTTCAATGGCTGTTGCCGACTCTCGGTTCTCCGCGATGCCAAAGTAGTGTGCCCGCTTACGTTTGGTAACGATAAGTTGGTCCTTTCCTATCCCAATGCGAAAGCCAGTCTCATCCATGTTCCAGATATCTTCAGGGTTTACCCCCTTACCCCTAAGGACGGCCAGGAGCTTGTCAAAGTATTCGGCAACAACAGCAGGCTGTTCAGCCTTCTGGCGGTTAGCGTTGAGCTTCCTTTGCCACTGCTTGAAGTATCCATGGCGCTTGATAAACCGGGAGGTCCATTTCTGGCCAACAACTGGTGGGTTGTCCTGCTCAGCCCGGCTGGCCCGCGAACGCAAGATATGGTTCGCTGCGTCGGTAACGAAGGCTGGCCGACCGCAAGGTTGATATTGTCAAGCCGATCGATATATCGGCACAATGCAACTTCTTCGGGAGCTGACAACTTGGTATGCGTTGGTGGGCGGCCAGTTCTGGGCCCAGTGCCGGCGAGGCGGCGACGCAGGCGGCCCCGCGGGACAGCGAATTCTCGGGCAACTGCAGCCACTGGGGCATCCGGATTTTTAGCAATGTATTCGACGGCATCTTGGATACGGGCCTCCATCTTGTTGATCGTTGAATTCGAGTGTGGGCTTCAAAAGTGGTGGTTATGTTGAAGAGGTCGAAAAAGGTGGCCATTAGGGTGATCTGGCCGTTTGGCTGTCCACCACCAACCTGCCTGGCGGTTCGTTGGCTGGTCCGAAGAAAAGCGGGGCAGGTGGGGGGTGCCACGAGTAATCTGCCTACTACCTTTCCAACGCGCTATCCTCGATTCTATGTATTGTATGTATTGTACAGGCATCTGAAGGCTCGTGTCCGGTTACACGTGATGCGGCTCTCAGTCCTTTGAGGCGGATGCCAAGGCGACAAGGGTCCGCGGGTCGGTTGCAAACAACAAGACCATGCGATGTTGATGTGGGCTCTCCGTGGCGCTGGCTTCCAATTCCACTGAAAGACTGATCTTTACAAGACAATAAACGCCTACATGGAATTATGCCCAGTGAAGACGTGATACTGCCACTGGGTGCTCTACTAGTACAATGCATATTTAATGTTGCTCTCCATACGAAGGTTGGTCGCGAAAGTGTTTTCTATCTCGCTCTGTTGGTGTCAGTCACATACATACACACACTGTGAGTGAGAACACACCTGGAGGCATACATACACAGTATCGGCATATAGTCACGTGACGTTTCCATCCAGCCAGCGCTTTTGCTACTGCACGACCTTCGTTGTCCAATCATGATTCTCGAGAACACCCTACTACGTAGGTAGTATCGTACAGTAAGCGAGCTTGCAACCAATCAGTGCTTTTTCCAATGGCTGGTTGAGTGACCACCTGGCAGTCGGTGCGGAATAAGTACATTACGTAGGCTCTGGGTTTCGCGCCCCACTCTCCTACTTCCCGTCAACTTCAACTGTTCTTCACGCCAGCAGGAAGTGGACCCATCTCAGCATTCCGCTTGCAAACGACCATCGCCCAGAAAGATCGCCAGAACACCCCACACAAGGCCGACAACTAGACAACCGTCACTTTCATCAGCAACAGATCATATGACAGGCGTTCAAACTCATTACAGCCATTAAGCCAAAGTCAGCTGTGGGATAACATCGACGCGAACCAGTCTTTCCGCAGTTTCTCTGCGGATATAATTAATCAGGACTTCCGATCAGCGGAGCATTATTTCACTTGTCCGCTGCCAAGGCTGCCGCGACCCATCCGCGCAACGCTTCCGACACCAACCGCCGACAACACTCAGAATTCCGGCTCGCCCCAGCCGATACGGGCTCAACGATTACGTTCTCCAGACGCCGCGTTGGACTCTGACATCGCTGGTGCAGGGCGCCACCTGGCTACGTCAATGGCGCCCACTGCCGTCGGCGCCCCGCCTGCGACACCCGGGCCGACCAAATTCAAACGCCCCATTCCCCCGGGAATTCAGACCACCGGGGTCACCCCATCGCGATCGTCGCCGTCGCCTTCCATGTCCGCGAAGCGCGCTCCGTCTTCGGCCGTGCGCCAGCCGTCAAACCCCCCCTCGGCGAACAACGCGACAACTCCAGGATCAGCCCGTCCTGCCAACCGGGCACGTCGGGACGTCCCTGGACAGGCATTGGTGAGGGCCCAAAGAAGTGCCGGGCTCAGATCGGCCAGCATTGCCCCAGACTTCGCGGCATCACCTACAACAGACCCGCCACCTTATGGTACATACCATGGTCCCTGGATCCTGCCCAGTTCCCTGTGCGACGTGCTAACGCTTGACTCAGTGGTTACAGATGAATATGTCCTCAAAAAGTTTGCCGGTAACCGCCCATCACTCGTCATCCACCTCCACCAGAGCCACTTCCGCTTCGACCAGCAGGAGGGGATGTTCCAGTACAAGTCACCGATGCGACTACTCTTGGAACATCTGAGGACACGAACAGTTCCCCATGAAATGCTAGAATATCTCACCCAGTGGGGGGTGCCTTTCTACGACGGATGTCTTATTGTGCAGGTCCATGACCATAGAACGGTCAACCAGGCCAAGGACGCTGCGAGGCCGACGTCAGCCTCGAGCACAACCGTCCCGTTTTCCATCCATAATTATAACCAGTACATCACCCCGTCGCCGTATGTACCCTACCCGAAGGAGAACCTCCAGGCGAATGGCGTGTCTGGCGCTGTCCCGGAGAAGACAGCCGCCGAAGTAGACAAGGAGAACATGCCGGCCCCGAGCGCGTCTGCAGACGGACAGAAGAGCAAAGGCACCCCTAAGCCAAAGATCTGTACCATCGTTCTCCACCCTACAGAGCAAAGTCTGCACTCGGATCTCGCCATCAAGGCCACCACATCTCGCGGGACATCGGATGCGCGCACAGACGGGGCGGCTCCCCCACCAACGCCTCATTCTGCCGTGCCACCAACACCGACGGCTGCGAATATGCCGCCACCTGCTAAGAAGCAGAAGCGGGAGCGTATGGAGCTTGATATTAACAACATATACGACGCCGAAGCGCAAATTCGACTGGCAACCACGGCGCCGCTAGACCTGGAGCCAACCAAGAATGCCGAGGAGACGATTGCCAAACTCGAGAAGCTGGCACACCCAGAGCATTCTCAGAAACCGCCCCAGCCCAAGACGCGGAAGAGAACAGTCGCTGAAATGGCCGCTGACGAGGCGCTAGCAGCCGGTCAGGAGCGCTTTATGCTTACCCTGGATGAGCGTCTTCACTCCAAGGTTGTCAGCGCGCAGGCCGGCGGTAACGGTACGGATGGCGACGGCCAGGCTGGAACGGCAGCTTGGGAGCCCAGGTTCGAACGTTTCAAGACGATATTTGAGATTAAGCAGCAGTGGGCCGAGCGGAGGGAACAAGAGAAGATCAAGCAGGCCGAGGCCGAGCGGAAGCTCTTGGTCCAGAAGCAGCAGCAGCAACAGCTGCAGCAACAGCTGCAGCAACAGGAGGCTGCCATGCTTCAAGCAAGACAGGCGGAGGCGGAGCGCCAGAGAAAGGAACAGATGTTTCGCGAACGGCAGGAAGCACAGAGACGGGTGCAAGCCACCCAGGCAGCTCAAGCCCAGGCCCAGGCCCAGGCACAAGCTTTGCAAGCTCAGGCGCAAGCTCAGGCCCATGCAGCTCAAGCCGCCCAAGCCCAGGCTCAAGCCCAGGCCCAGGCGCAGCACACCGCCAACGCCGCAAACATGGGCACTCCTCAGCCGCACCAGCTGCATCACAGTCCCTTGCCGGCAGGAATGGCGGTCGGCGTACCGGTCAGCATGGCCCAGGCGCAAGCACGGTTCGCCCAGGCCTCACAACCGCAGGTGTCGTCGCCAATCGTCGGGCAGAACACGCCACAGGCGATGTCATCTCCCATGGGCATGACAGCAGCGGCCATGCAGCACTCCAACTCGAACATGGGGCAAGCAGGAAGCCCCCACCAAAGACCGCCCTCTGTTGTGCAAAATCATCCTATGGCTGCGCCCATGGCGCCCACCATGTCTGCGCGGGGGAGTCAGCAAAGCCACGCAGGTGGCACGCCGAGAATGCACACGGCTACTCCGAACATGGCGCACGCCACGCCTATCTCCCGGCCCGGTATTGTGCCGACGCCGCGGATGTCGCAAGCGAGCCCGTCGCCGGCCATGATGGCGACTCCGCAGCAGATGGGGCAAGCCATGCTTTTAAACGCAGGCCAGATGCCGAATGTCGGGTTCACGGCGGCACAAATCGCCCAGCAGCAGCGCTTCCTGCAGCAGCAACAACAACAACAGATGTTGCAAATGCACCAGAACGGCATGCCCAACGGGGTGCCTGCGAACATGGTACAGTATGGGATGGCGCCGCAACAGCGGATGATGCAGCAACCGCAGCTCCTGATGCAGCCGCAGCAGCAACGGGGAGGGCAGATGATGGGCCAGCCCAACGCGGCTCAATTGGCCCAACAGTACACGCAACATCTTCTCATGATGCAGCAGGACGGTCGGCTGAACAACCAAATGGCAGCCCAGGCCGCACAACGGCAGTTCCTCGCTGCCCAGGCCCAAGCCCAGCAGCGGCAAAATATGATGGCCATGAACGGCATGACGCCAGCACAGCAGTTGGCTATCATGCAGCAGATTCAACAGGCCCAGGCCCAGCAGCAGCAACAACAGCAGCAGCAACAACAACAACAGCAGCAGCAAGCTGCTGCTGCCGCTCAGCACCAGCAGCGGCAACAGCATCATCAACAGCAGCTGCAACAACAGGCACAGGCCCAACAGGTTCAGGCCCAACAAGCTCAGCAACAGCAGCAAGCTCGGCGCCCGCAACTTCAACCCACCCAGGCGCAACTGGCTGCCTTGAACCACCCAGACATTATGGGGAAAATCCGGACCCAAACGGCAGCCCTGGTGGCGAAGAACCTTCCCCAGTTTACTGCGCAGTTCCCACCGGGCAGTATCCCGGAAGACGCCCTTGCAAACTTCAAGCGTCAGTGCCAGATGCAGGCCCGCACCAACATACTCCTTGCCATGCAGCAAGGACGGCTTCCGAATCCCATCCCCGACCCACAGGCGCAAGCGCAAGCGCAGGCCCATGCGCAAGCACAGGCGCAGATGCTGGCCCAGCACCAGGCCCAGCAGGCGCAGGCGCAGAGCCAGAATCAGGCGGCTGCGATGCAGCAGCAGATGAACGGCGGCGGCGGGATGATGCAGGGGCTGTAGGGGCGTCCGTTTGCGTTTTCGTCGATGCCCCATGCAACTGCGAAGCTAGCTGGGACGTGGGGGCTGATACTAGAGAGCTTGCTGAGGGTCAGCTACTATTTCGAGCTTGCTACTTTTCTGCTGCTTGCTGCTTGCTGCTTTCTTGCTTACTGCTGGGGAGGGTGTGGGCAGGATCGTGGATGGCCTACTGGTTGCTTCGACTGGATGTTCCGGGCTGGAACCACACGTTGGAGAGAGAGAGCGCATCTACGGCTGGAGCTACTTTCTCGGGATAATTAGGAGCGCTATATTCGTTTTGTTGGCTTTCCTCTGCCTTCCAATGGCGCCTGGAGCTGAAGCTTGGTCATGGACGCATGGTTGACGTTGGATGAAGGGAATGGGGTTGACGTCTTGGCGGATTTTGCTTTCCAATATTGCATCTATGCATCGGGCACGATTGGAAGCGCAGGTCGGTGGTTTTTGTTTCAAGGTTCATTTTTGTTTCTTGTGTCTCTTTGCCTCGTACAGCTTGAGGACATGTTACTATATACCCCGGATTCCTGGTCTGGTGGAGGCGCTAGGGTTTCTATCGGGTGTGGTCAGGTCGGGCAGCTTTGTTGGTGTACGATGATGCTGTGTACCCTGGGGAGTTGGCACTGCCCTGGATGTGTATGTGTACTTGAAGCTTGGATGATTTTGAATTTGGGGTCGGTGTTTTTGGAAGATGGAGTGGCGGGCTTATTCAGCTTTTATTAGAGCAGCGGTGCTTGGTACTGTACTAGTAGTGTATTTAGTATGAGAGCTTGCTTTATACGAGGTTTAATTACCTAAGTGTTCTACACTAGCGCACTGAACTGTCGTGTGAGTCGTCTTGTCTCTTGGGTCCATTTGTACTGATTCCAGGTGCGTTAAATAGAAATCTCTGCGGATGATCTCGCCACGCCGTTTTGAATTGCCTTTGGAGTGCCAAAACATCAGTCATTAAAATTGATTCTCTAACGGAGAGGTAGTGCATTATCCGTATGGAAAAGGTGCTCATCATAACAACATTGCTTAGTTCCGAGCATACTTGTTAGCTCTAAGGATACAGCTCTTGGGTAGACAGCGAGTGAATAGCAAATGCCGGCACCATTGTGGAAGAGACCAGAAGTTCCAACAATACCATCTCCCTGATTCAGCCACGATCTGTATGCACTCTTTTTTCTCTGTGGCTTTGAATCCTTGACCCTGTTTGCGACCCTCGCCTCCGTAGTCCTTGCCTCCTCTGTCTTCTCCGACACCCCTATCCATACCGACGCGTAGGCTGATATCTGCGTCTGGACGGTCCTTTTCGATCTTAGGTACAAATATAATCCTGGCACAGACAAATATCATTATCGATGGAGCAGTGACCTAAATCCAGTTGGCTCAGATATTAGAAAAGTCTAACATTGAGTAGTACTTACGGCGTAGAAAGCTCTGAAAAGGAAAGTTTTGTTGACATTCCCAGCAGATGACTCTCTCCTGGGCATGGAATTTTTGGTTAGCTTTTAAAAGAGATCAGATCTCAGCTCATGCTGCACGAGTTTGACGCCGGTTTTTCAGGTCGTGGACACAGAAATGACAGGTATATTGGTAGGGAACCAATCTTTTGGATGATTACAAAACAATCGATTCGACGTCAGCAAGCCCAGCGGGCTAGTATACGATACCTAATAGCCCTGGTTAACAGAGAGTTAAGCAGGACGGGTTCTGGGGATGCCGTGGTTCCCAGGCTCCCTCGACAGCTGATTTAATGAGAGCAGTCTTGTCCTACGCCTCGAGCATCAAAGCCCTTGAATTCTCCAAGGAGCCAAAGTTCCAGGGCCACTCACGGCAAAGAACCAAACAATCTTCTTATTTGTGGGAATGCCGACGACGCCCGGTGACTCCAGGCTGCAGCCGGGGGTCCTCAGGGAGGGATCAGTCGTCAAGGAAGCATGTCTCGAGAAGTACTGGTTCGAATCCCGCCGACACCCGATGGCCGGCGAGGTGTTGGAAAACGTCACTCAGTCAAAGGCTCAAATGTGGTTCACTTTGCATGCCACGGGTTCACCAATTCGAGGCTTCCCTTGGAGAGCCATTTGCTTTTCCAAAAGCGGGAGGGGAATACTTTTGCTGTCGACCGGCTCACAGTGGAAAAGCTGTCCAAGATCAGTTTGGAACACCATAGTTTTCTCGCATTCCTCTCGGCTTGTTCGACAGCCGAGGTCAAGGCGGCCAGCGAGATTGGGGGTCAGGCCCTGCACCTGGTTAGCATCTTTTAGGGGACCGGATTTGTGCATACCGTTAGCACTCTTTGGTCTGCTTCTGATGAGATCAGCATGCAATTGGCCAAGGAGTTCTACACAAAGATCTTCGGCGATGGAAACGGTCAGTTATCCAACGACAAAGTAGTAGGAGAGCCATGCACTCAGCTGTGCAGAGTGCAGATAGTAAGCCCAACCCCCAGGGAGACCTGAAATTTGGGCACAATTTGTTCACTTTGGAGCGTTAGGTAGCTGGGCCATGGCCTCAGATATGATATCTGTTTTTAATATTCGTCTATGATGAACACCGTTTCTGTGACCACTACCACGACTACTCCCTACTAAGTTAGGACTTAAGTAGTAATTGAGATGCACGTGACAAGCGGCGCACGGACCACGGCCAAGCCGAATCCCAATGACGGAATCGGCTTGGGCGTGCTGCTCGTCGTGCCCTGCATCTGGAGCTCCAACAGGAAATCTGGAGCATCGAGGAGGTTTCGCGCCGACCTTCCATTCTGCGGTCCACAGTAGAGCATCCGGCGACAATCTTCTGCGTCGATACAGATCTTTCGATTAACTTCAGCGAGTAGTTTCTTCACTCTCGTTCATTCTCCATTTCCCCTTCTTCTGCTTCCTTTGCGCCGTCTTATTCGTAGTGTCGAGAGAGACACGCGACCTCACTGCTTACTACGTAAAGTTCCGAATCGACACCCTTTTCTGCTCAATCCCACAGAGACCGCAGTCCACTCCAGCCACCACCACCGCCATGAAGAGACCATCAAGTCTGTGGCCCAGCTTCGAGGCGACCACCTTGACTTCCCTGCTCCTCTTGGGGCCTGTCTCCGCAGCATCCGGCGCAGCAGCACTGATCTGCGACAACCTTGTGGTGGACGGCCACAAGTACAATCTCCAACCACTCTCCGGCCCGCATACAGTCATCACGTACGAGTACACGCGGCCGACATATCATAATACGACGTATACCATTGACCTATGTGCGCCGCTTGTGAGGAAGGGGGAGGTACCGGCCGAGGAAAGATGCCCTGACGGGACGAGAGGTGTGTAATTTCTCTATTAACCAACCGAGCCCACACCTTTTGGGGATTTGGGGTTTAGGAGAGACCGGGACAGTCCTTATAAACTAACCGAAACCGACTCCTTGCTGGATAGTATGCGCGATAAAACACCGCTGGGACCCCAAAGCAGGCAAGGTCGCCGACATCGACCAGGTGATCCCCATCGTGATCGAGCACGGGAGCGACAAGCAGGTGACGTGGGAGGCGCAAAGGTTGGCCGCGGACGATCCGGCGCAGAACAAGGATGCGAAGAAGGAAGGGCTCAAGCTCACGCTGCGGGGCGGGACGTACCAGCAGCGGGCGCAGCGGACGGTAGTCGAGCTCAGGTGCAATCCGGACCTGACCGGGGCGGAGAACGAGTGGGAGAGCGTGGACGAGTATGTCCCGCCTGGGAAAGATAAGGAAGGGGACGGGAAGAAAGAGAGCCAGCGGCGGCGGCGGCGGGAAGAGAAGGATGGCGACAAGGACCAGAGTACCCCGGAAACGCAGCTCAAGAAAGACGGCGCGGCGCTGGTGTGGGAGGGGTACAAGCGGGAGAAGGACGGGGATGGCGGGGATATGGATACGCTGTACCTAACGTGGTACACGAAACAGGCGTGCGATGCCGCGGTGGACCAGCCAGTCGAGGAGAGCAAGCATTGGGGGTTCTTTACTTGGCTGGTCATTCTGTACGCCGACCCCCTCCCCGTCTCTCACTCATTTCACCCTCACGCCTTTTTTTAGCGAGTTGAAGCAGTTTCAACGCTAACACAGCCCAGGGTTTTCCTCGCCATCGCATCGTACCTCATCTTCGGCTCGTGGCTCAACTACAACCGGTACGGCGCGCGGGGCTGGGACCTGCTGCCGCACGGCGACACGCTCCGCGACATCCCCTACCTGATGAAGGACCTGATCCGCAGGGTGCTCAACACGCTGCAGAGCACCGGCAGTAGGGGCGGGTACTCGGCTGTGTAGGATGCTGGTGAGGAGAACGCTAACACCGTTCGGAACGGGTCGCGGTCGCCGGACATTAGAGTACGGGTTATAAATAGGGTTCATTAGTGGTATCACCCGTCCGCAGTCCACGAGAACCAGTGGGTGTAGAAGGTGTGAGTTCGTTAGCAAGCACTTGAGGCGTTCCGTATGTATCTTGCTTTACGCAGTATCGTTGCTGGCTGCGTCATCAGCGGGGTTGTTGTATATTTATGTGCAGCGTAGCAGTACAGGATATTGTTCTTACTATCATATCCCGTTTCTTGAATGTGGTCTTGGAGAAGAAGAACGTTATCCGTCTTTTTATTAAGCGGCTCTGAATGTCCCCGTGGGGAAGTGGGACCCTAGGACGTCCACCGGAGTGCGCTGTCACATGCCGCGGCATGTAAACCGCAGATCCGCCTCGTGCCGAGCGGACCGAGCGAATGCCAATCGGGATGTACTGGACATAACGTGCCGTTGTTGAAGTTACAGGACTGAACGAATTACCTACGTACTCGAAGCTGGATCTGATACCCGACTCGGTGAACACACTCCTACGGCTTGCCAGTCTCTCTGATCAAGTACACTAGGTTCTACCGGTCTAAGTGCCTAGTTCCCGCCCAAAGCTGACTCCTGAGGAAGCCCGGAACAAGGGGCATTACCCGACTTGTTTACCTGACGCCCGCAAGTTCGACACTTACAAACTACACACAGTACATCCATCCCAATTCATCCGATCTGGTCAGGATACCTACCTACCAACCAGCACCAACAAAATAAATAACACACAAAATGGCCGCCACCAACTCAAAACCCCTCTTCACAGTTCCCATCCCACCCCTGGGCGCCCACCCGGGCGGCGCCATCGTAGCCACGGAGCCCGCGCCGGCCGTGTACCTGCTCACCATCACCTCGCCGCCCGACAACCGGCTGACGACGGCGTCATGCACGGCCCTGCTCGACGCGCTCGACCTGATCGAGTTCGGCGGCTACACCCCCGGCGTGGTGGTCACGACCAGCGGCATCGCCAAGTTCTACTCGAACGGGCTCGACCTCGAGCACGCCGTGGCCACGGACGGGTTCATGCCGCGGGTGCTGTATAGGTTGTTTCACCGCTTTCTCACGTATGGATACTCCTGATATTATTATCCTCCTTATTTTATGACCACCATGGAACAAACAATGCAGTTGTTTATTAACGCCATGAGAAAAAAAAAAGATACCCCATGCCAACAATAGCCCTCCTCCCGGGCCACGCCTTCGCGGCCGGTCTCATGCTGGCCATGCACCACGACTACCGGGTCATGAACCCGACGCGCGGCTTCGCGTGCGTCAACGAGCTCGAGTTCGGCGTGCCGCTCAAGGCGGCCATGAGCAGCATCTTCCGGCTGAAGCTGGCACCGCAGGCGTACCGGCAGCTGGTGCTGGAGGCGCACCGGTTCGGCGGCGCCGCGGCGGTCGACGTGGGCATCGCGGACCGCGTGGGCGGCCTCGAGGCCGTGCTGGCGCTGGTGGCGGAAAAGAAGCTGGCGGGCAAGGCCAAGACGGGCATCTACGGCCTGCTGAAGGCCGAGATGTACCGCGAGAGTGTGGCGCTGCTGAGCGCCGAGGGGCATGCGGCCGAGGAGGCGAGGGAGAGGCGCTTGGCGGAGAGCGAGGGGGAGAGGCGGGCCGCAGGGGAGAGGAGGGTGAGGGAATTGAGAGAGAAGGCGAAGCTGTAGGGGTGCTGTACAATAGTCCTGCGTACGTTAGCTCGTAATAGACATGTACTGTACTCAACGTCGGTCAACCGTAGCTTCCATTCCCTCTGCTTCTTCTCTTCCTTCGTTTCGCCGCCGACCACATCAATGGATGGCCAAAACACCCAACACATGACAACACCCGTAGAGAGGCAAGTAAAACAGATCACCATAGCCTAAGTTTTTGTCTACACTCTACCGCCCAGACGATCACCAACCCACCCGGCCCCAAAATGTCCAGGGCCCTAATGGCCACTCTTTGGAGAGAAGGAAAAGAAGAAGCTAAGCCGTGGCCCGCCTCGAGTACACACAACCCGGAGAACATCAAACATATGCGTACTACTCATAACAATCTCTACGCTAGAACGGCAGCAAAGACTGCTGTCGAGGGGAAAGGAAAAACAAATGCGACCACAAAACCGATGTAGGGGTATGTTGATTTTGCCTCAACCATGAAACAGAAAAAGGAACACAACGCCCCGTGCGCTGCCGTTACAGAAGAAACCCCGGCCCCAACCTCATCCGTAGTCAAGTAGAAACTTGGATCTTAAGAAAAGAGAAACAGCATAGTTATTCACTCCTCCCTCCCCTCAAATCACTCACTCATTCACTAACGCTCCCCTCATCCTCAGTAACCTCCAAATCCAGCTCCGAAATAGTATCCCCCTGCCTCGAGGGCGCCACCAACCCCATTTCCGCCCGCGTATCCCGCTGGATCTTCAAGAAATACTTCCTCAGGCTCCGCAGGCCCCTCAAGAACCCGCGGTCCGGCTGGTCCGGGTGCTTCGGCGGGCACGGGCGGTCGCGCGCCGACAGGTCACCCGCCGTGACACAGTTCGCAAAGTCCGCCATCTTGAAATCGATCTCGCGCCTGCTGTGCCGCGCCCGGCGGTTGTTGTTGTTGCTGTTGTAGGGCGAGGCCTCCTCCGTGTCCGTGGCAAAGTCCGTTGTCGAGTCCTCGGCATAGTAGTTATTATTATTGTTGTTATTATCGGCGGTATCGTCGCCGTCGTAGAACATCAGCAGGCTGGCCGCGTAGAAGCGGTAGCCGCGTAGCCGCTTGATGATGACTTCTAGCTCGTCCAGTTTCTGCAGGACGGTGGGGATGTGGCGCAGGATGCTGGCGCGGTCGACGCCGTCGTACAAGAAGCGCGTGAGGGCGGCTTGGAATTCGGCGCCCTTTTTGAGCTCGCGGCCGTAGTATTTGTCTTTGAACTCGTAGCTTTGGGTCTTGACGTCCCAGACCTGGAGCCCGCAGACGCGGACGCCGAGCTCGCGCGAGGTGGTCTTAGCACACTTCCCTTGCTGGGATTTCTGCTTCTTGGGATTGGCGTCGACGCCGTATTGGCGTGTACCCATCTTGAGGTCCATGATGCAGGGGCGCTTCATACCGGCGGTCAGGTCTTCGAGGAGGAGGAAATATTCGACGCGCGAATCGCGCTGAGTCTGGGCTTCCTTAGGGTTGACCGGGCGCGGAATCTTGCTGTATCCCAGAGGACCAACGGGTGGCGCTGGAGCCGCGGCGGGAATCTCAACAGCTTTAGTCTCAGCTTCCGGCGCTGTTCGTTCCGGCGAGGCTCTGAACACCTCGAACTGCTGAGCGTCTTCGCGGTCCCCTTTGTAGCCCGCATCGTCCGCCTCCGCGAAGTATTTCAGATCACCGCGGCCCTCCCTGACATCCTTCGGCTTCCTACGCAGACCGGTGCCGGAGTAGCGGCGCTTCCTCTTCTGGGCGGGCGACGATTCCCCCAAGATCTCGGGCTCCGGCGCGCTGGTGCCTGTCACGTCCTTCGGCGCCTCCTCCTCATCCTCGCAGCACTCAAGCCTGCGGCCAAGATCGCTCTGGCTGTGCATATGCGAGCTGCCGGTCGGGTTGGCAGACTCTTCAACGGCGCTGGCCGCTGCCTGAGCCTTCTTCTCATGGGATTCTATCAAACTCGGATCCGACCCGGATGGCCGAAGCACCTGCTGAAGTGCGCGCCGCGGCACTCGCTGATGGCCCTTGCGATGCCGGTGGATGGCGATTGGCTGCTTCAAGAAAGCATCGTTGAAAACCTCGTTACGGAGCTTCTTGTTCACGGTTGTGGCGCCCCAGCTGTTTGGACGATCCTGCAAGCCTGGGCGTGACAGCTCCTCTCGGTTGCCTGTCGCCCGTGCATCCTGTCCCCCTGTGCCCTGCGCATACGCTGAAGCACTCCGGAAGCGCCCAAGGTGACTAGGGAGGTTTGCTGCCGGTTGAAGGAGGTTTCTTGGTAAGATATGTTGGTTATCTGCAAACGTAACGGTCGGGATCTGAGCCGCCGATGACTGCATCGACTGGCTGACTACCCGCGCATCCGAATTCTGGGACTCTTTAGACGGCGAGGCGATCTCGCCATTGGCCGTCCCGTTACCCTCCAGCTGTGCGGGCTCACTCGGAGCCGCCTGAGGGCGTCCAGAGGGAGCAGCTTCGTCTCGTCTCATGGTGGACTTGCGGCGCGGCTGCTTCTGGAAGGTGACATTCAGCACCCCGATATACCTGGACACAGCTGTCAGCAATTTCACTCAGAAATAGCTTTGGTTCAGTACTTACCTGGGCAGAAACGCCAGTAAATCGCGATGGTACTTTTCGACCTTTTCGTAGAATTCGTTCTCACGGTTGTTCAGCTGCTTACAGACAGCTCGACGCGAAAACCTCCACAGCGTGGTATGCCCCCCGACCTGGTGCTTGTAGGGAATGAGTTCAATGGCCTCCAACGGTTGCTTTGGAGTCAGTTGGTGTTCGTGGACGGCATCCTCATAGTACTGGGAGACCGGACGAGACGGGCGGGAAGAGGGGACACCAGGTTCACGTTCATCAACAGGGGCAGATTCATCAACCTGCCTGGAGGCTACCTCTGGAGCTATACTGGCATATTCGGCAGCTTCCGGCCTGACTTTGCTCTCCAAGTCAACGTCATCACCCTTGTCGTCGGTCTCGGGCTCATCAGCTTTGACAAGCCACGGATGGAAATCATCATGCCGCGAGTGTCTCCTCGAGGGCGCAACCCTTTGAGGAATTCCAGGAACAGGTGAGTGTTCCTGCTCCTGCTCAAGACCCTGATGCGGCAAGAACACTGCTGATGAGATCTTTTCCTCTCCAGAGTCCTCGCCCTCCTCGGCGCTCTCCCCAGCTGCGACACCGAGGTCGCCCTCTCCCCGCGGCTTTAGTAATTGTCCCGATTCGGTAGACTCGACAACTTTGTGGTCGCCGTCATCCCCCTCGTACTGGGAGAGCACGGGTTCAGCGGCCACATGTCGGATTGTTTCGCTGTGTCTCTGGGCGAAGTAGTCTTCGGCAGAGCCGTGAGTGACCTTAGCCTCCGGCGACCGTGTAGGAGGGACTGGAGCCCTGTTTTGCTGCTGATGTGACAACCCAGCGTCCCCAAGCACTTGGGGCTCCACTGTTTCAGCGTCCACGGTTTGCTCCTTGATGTCGGCAAGCCTCTCCCCTCTTGGGGGTGACTTGTCTCGCGGGGTCAGTGCAGAGCGCTGGTCCTTCCGCCTCCCTTTCTCGGGCAGGCCTTCCTTGAAGAACCGTAGGCTGTGGCTAGCCTTCCGGCTGCGTGTATTGTGCTCAACTCCCGCGAGCACCTCGGAGATGGATTTCTCTACCTGTCCATCTTGGCTGTTGGTGGAGTCTCCCGCCCCGATTGACCATGCTTTCTCGGGGCCCATGGACACCCGGTGCTCTGTCTTCCAAGCTCTTGGCTGAGGACGGGGTTCTGACCCACGGTTCTCGCCGGCAATCTCATCCTGCGAAGGAGGAGGGGAGTCGGTAAGCCGCGGAGAGGCTAGAGGGTTGGTAGCAGCCTTATCGTGCGAGTAAGTATGCCATCGACCTGGGCGCTCCCTCTCGGTTCCCTCGAACGACCCGGTTCTACCCTTGGTCTTGGTCAGGAACTCGCGGTGGCCATTGAGCACCGAGTTGACTTCGCTGAGATCAATTCTGCCATGGAGTGGAGAGGCCACTGCCGTGGACGTTGCGGTTGCGGAAGGCATTGTTGTCTTTCGAGGGGAAAGTCGTAGCGGCAGTGAATTGCCATCAGCTTGTGTCAGGGAGCCATGACGCGGGTCTCGATCTTCGGCGTCTGTACTCAGCGACTCTTGGAGCTCAGGAGGATGCTGAGGCGGGTACGGAGAATTGTTGGGCTGATGCTGTCGAGGGATGCCACGAGCTGTTGCTAAAGCTTGGGTCAGCAAGGAAGGGCCGTGGGGCCGTTGCAGGATGGCAGGGCCCCGGGCATATTTGACGGGATCAGCATGGGACGCGGCAGAGATCACCGTGGCCTGTTCAACCAGGGGATCGGTGCCGGGCGTGCCTTGCTGGGCAGGGGGTGTTGATGGTGGTAGTGGTGGTACCGACGAGAGGGTCCCTGTCTCTTGTGTCGGGACCGCGGGTGGACAAGGCGGTGGCGCTTCTGCTTCAGGAACAGAGTTCGTGGCGTCGCCAGCAGTCCGTGCGGGACTCACCGCTGCTGGGGCAGCGGCATTTTCAGGGGGAGAGGGCGGGTTGGACATGAGTAATATAGAACATTGGGCGGCGCATGGGGAGGTGCGCTGCTACCGGGTCGGTTTCCAGAATGAAGGAGAGAAGATAAAACGGGATCTCTTCGGAATGGAACTGTTCCCGGCCCGTGTCACCGATCTAACTGTAAACAATCGGTACAAAGCCCAACCGCTAATGCTGCAAAAAGCCCAATACCTCAGCAGTACCTTCAATCAACTCATCCAACAGGTGTGGACGTCTGGTTGTTGGCACGGGACGGTAACAGGTTGCAAGTTATCGAGATAAGAAGGGATGGAAATGGATGCAAAGTGCATTTGGTTGGCGAGCTCTGACGCAAAAGGCGACAAGACTGGAGTGGGGCCATTTGCTGTGGTGGCGGGTCACACGCCCGCTCATTGGCAATTGAAGCTTGGCAGCGGGGAAGCCCACAATGGAGCATGAAGGAAGGTACCATCCTAACACTAACACACATTGACAACAGCGCGACAGCGTGGGATCATGAGCTAGTATAGTCAGTTAAGGTTCTCCCCTGAGTCTAATATCCTTGATGGCCTCAATGAATAGTGACATGCCATACTGGATTTCACCCAATTCTTGGGCGGTTCTCTCGGCCTCCTAGATAATATTCCAACATCAGCCGTACACGCACAGCTATAACGCAAACTTCTTGGCACGTCCAGGTCCCAATGCATTCAAGCAACATTCTTCCTCTGCCTTCAAAGTTCCGTTGGCTATGCACATTGGCAGCAGAGTGAACACCCCGACAGAATGGTCGATGAAAGGCACATCCCCTTCCTCGTGCTGATTGATGGCCAAGATAGCACCGGTGACTTAAGGAGGATTCCGAGATATTGAAGACCCCACTTAATGGATCTGCGCCGTCGATTGGCGGCCGTTACGCAACGGAATCCCCACTGACCGCCCGATCACGTTGCGCTGCTCCAAGACATGAGAGGCTTCTTTGGCAGCTGGAAGGTTTCCCATTGGGCACCGCATGTTCTGGCAACTGAGGCTCGACCGGCGAGAGCTATCTCCAGATATCTAACTCTCTGTGAGCAACGGACACATGCAGCGGCCGGCGGTGCCCATCTGGCATTGCGCAAGATCGTCCGATATCGCTAACGTTACCAGGTACTACCGTACTGCAGTCTGCAGGTGGTTTTATCGCTATCGAAGCTGAGTACCTACTGTATAGAGTTGATCGGCATACCTTATCTCTGCAGCACCTGACGTTACCACACATCCATCCCACCATCTCTCAAGTTCTCAACCGATGGCTGGACGGAAACCACTCCAGTTTGACGGCACGGCACGGCGCAGAGCGCTAACCAAGAACGTTCCCAAGATACTGGGCTGAGCCTATCAACGTGCTCTGTATGCATGAGTGTATGCACATCCGGTACACTGGCACCACTGTGACTCCGGAGTCCGAATAGGTACCTAGCGAATCCCCTCGTCTGGTCGCATACAACTATGAAATGCGGATGGTTGAAGGCCCGGCAGCTGGGTCCCCTGCACGGTCATGGATAAGGTAGGGAGGGGGCTCATCACCGCCAATCAGTCGAAAACGTGCTCCAACGGCCTGCACCGCTTTGATCCCAACATCACTCATCCTAGGTATGTACTTCTGATCTTTCCATCTTCGTCTGCGTCTCCTCACTATAGTACAGACCCTACTTTGCGGCGCTACTTTGTACCTTGGTAGCCCCCGAAAGTCCCGAAGAAGGCAGCGGCTTATAGCTCGTGTCGTACACAGTAGGATGTCTCAACCTCGCCGAGCACAAACCTAGCTTGACTGGGTCGGGCCAGGACACCGATTACGCGGCTCCCGGAATTCTGTGAAACTTTAGGTGGTTTTTTACATTTCCCTGGCCCACGCCGGTTAGGCCGAGATTTGACAGGTTGGGCTACAGGAGCCATGGACTCGGGAATCTGGGGTGGCCCCATGCTGACCGGACTCGTGCAGTTGCCGTCTTCGAAGGAGTTGTCCACTTTGCCCTTTTTACGTGCCACCTCCTTTCCTGTTTGAGTAACAGCAGTTACATGGCTAATAAACGGGCTAGACTAGATTTTGCCTTGATATCTCCCGAGGTGATCAAAATATCATGGATACAGAGGCGTCCTGAGGGAGGCTGCGTGCAACAGACGCCTCCCGCCTCCCTTCTGCCCACCTTATCTGGTTGAAGACGGAGCCATTATCTGTGAGATTGCCTTAGCGCCAGCACGTTCAACGACAAAGCTTGGCGTCATCGGTGGTGGACTGGCCATTTCGCCTATGATTCTATGTAGAACGGTTACACAACATACAGCATTTCCTCTCAAAACGTCGTCTCGCCTCGGCCATTTGCTCCTACACCAGGAATCCACCCAAGGTGAGCCAATGGTTCACCCATGTGGTGCGCGGTTTCTCAGGTTTCCATGCTGTAAGACGCCAGCTCGGGCCCTTGACATCTGCGTCTGAGCAATGAGCACCTCATCTCGTCGTCATGCACCGTCATCGCAGCTCATTCTTTCGCAACCTTGTCCGCTCTTCCCGGAGGCCTCCTCTATCTTTGCTGGAAAGAGCCCACGTGTCGTCCTGCCGGACTGAAGAGACCAGATATGCGTGGCCGATCCAGAGCTTCGGATAGGTGGGACATGAAAGTAGCGCATGCATGAGAGAGGATATGAACGGGCTGCTATTAGGTAAACCCGCGACTCCAGGTTTGAATCTGGGCTCATTCACCGCCGAAAGACGGGGAGCTAAGTCGATAAATCACGCCGTTCGGGTTGACAGGTCAGGGCGGTAACGGCGGTTGCTCGCTCAGAGGGAGATCGTGCCGCATGCCATCAAGGGGCATCGGATCCATAGCTTCAATATTCCGTTTCCACTTCCTGCACACTACCTACGAGTAGCATCCCACAGCGGGTTATGCCTCCTCTGGACGCCACTGTCACTTTCATCTGGGTATTCGTTCCCTAATAACAGCGTTCCTATCGTGTGCCCTCTGCACGCTGCGAGAGTGACTAGATCATAAAAGTTGGACAATGGAGTAGTACTCGTAGTAGTAGCCGACGCCAACATCTCCAGGTTGTTTATCCCAATATGTACTCTCCTACAACACATCTATCTACTCTCGTCATGCGACACTTGGCCAGTGCTTGTGAGCCTTGAAATGTTCATCGACTTAACTTGAAACTGTCAAGCCAGTAATATAACTATCGTGCTGCTTTCTTCAAGTCAACTTCGGCCTATATCGGTCCGGCGTTGTTGTGGTGTAACTATCGGTAATCAAAATCTGATGTTTCCCAAGCACACCTCTGCTCGAGGCAGCTCAACCTGGCACCCCAATGTAAGAAAAAAGGCGTTTACACCAAGCTTCTTATCTGAACTTTTATACAGCAACTCAACTAATAATAAAAAGGACAGAGGAACAAACAAGAACACGAAAAGAAGCGGGGAGGAGGAAGGGGGGGAAGGAAATAGCCCAACGATTTTCGACCTACGTCTTGAGGTGTGAGTCCGGGTTGACATCAACGTGCTCCTGAGTATTCAGCTTTCCTTGGTCAGCCGAAGCCTGGCAATTCAAACTGCTCAGCCTGGTCAAGCAACTGTGAAGGAAGGAGCCAGCTTAAACAGTAAGCATCTAGCAAAAACATGAAAAGCTTGCTGAAGTGCTATGCTTCGGTATGACCGGTGGGTAAACAGACAGCGTTCTTTCCTCGCCGAGGCCGCCTAAGAGAGCTGTGTCCCCAAGTCATGTTGAAGCAATTATATAGAATACTTCATTTGTGAGTACTTTCAACTTTACTCCTCAACTCCGCGTCCTTGCTATGCCACTCCAAGTCCAAACCTATATGGACTCAGTCATGCCGGGGGTATAAACAACCAGCCAAGCCAACTACTACTATCAACAACCCAGATGTCGGACACTCGACACTCTCAACAACTCAAAGCTCTCTCAGTACCAAACCCCAGCATCCATCAACCCACTCAGCCCTACCGCATTACGATCCGCCCGCTTGTTCTCCCGCTCACTCTCAGCCCTTGCCTTCGCGAGGTCCGCATCCAAGTTCCAACTCCCCAAGAAATCATCCAGGTTCTGCAACACCGCACTGACGTCGTCGACCGGCTGCTCCGCCTCTTGCGTCTCCTCCTCTTGCGCATTCTCCTTGTCTTCATCCTCATCCTCCCCTCCTTCTTCAGATCCCTCATCCGGTTGATCCACATTCATCCCTGCCGCGCCCTCACACATCAATTCCACAGCGGAAGAATCGTCTTCCACCACTTCCCCCTGAGAGAGGTCGACGGCGCCCTTCTCAGCCCGTATGAAAGCCTCCGCCATCGCGTCAACAGCAGGGCTCTCACACACCTGCTGCGAGGCACTCGGCAGTAGACGGCGTACGTTGGCCGTCTGCCGCAAGGGTGTCGTTCCAATACGACGGCTTGCCACGGCGGCGAAGTGCTTGCCAAATTTCTGGTTTGCGGCGGGGAGCTTGGAGGCTGAGAGGCTGCTTGGCGGGGGAGAGGCGGCGCGGGATCGGAGGGTAGCCGGCAGGTCTTTTCTGCGTCGAATGGAGTCGCTTGACGGCGCGGCTCCGTATGGAGAGGAGGTTGTCGTGTCGATGTCGGGGCATGGTGTGCTGGGTTCCTCTTCGTCTGGCAGCGCGGCCCACGAGACACGCTTTGGTGTTCGTTTATGCTTCTTCTGTTTGTGGGCTTTTGTGCTTGCAGGCTTAAGCCAGGGGTTGGAGACCGTGGCATCAACGAGGGCCTGTGTGCTAGGGAGATGGCCATATGTTGTGGTGGTGGAGATGCGGCGTCTCTTGGCCGCTGGTCGGGGCGAGGGAGTCATGAACTCCTTGAAGGACTTGACCGACAAAGTGACATCCGGGGTTGGGATGCTTGATCGTTTCGTTTCCGGCGTGGATGGACAGGAGGGATCGCACATATCGATGTTCTCATCGCCAGGTGCCGGTGACTGAACCCCAGCGTGGGCGATTGGAAGACCATGACTGGGAATTATATCTTCAACAATTTGGAGACCGTGGCCGGATATGACATCTTCTTCAACCGGAAGGTCGTGACTCGGAGCGGGCAAAGACACCGGGTTAAACAACTGGGCGCCCGGTATCTGCAGCTGCGAATCGTCTTTGGCCCAGGGACTTTGCGAGGCTGGTTCCTCGAGTGCCTGATTGGCGATGACGGAGAGTCTTTCATTGGAGATGAGCAAGGAAGGGGATCGCCCAGTGATGGCTGCGGCCATGAAGTCCACATCTTTATTCCACGGACTCTGAGTAGCTTTGGGTGAGCTGGATCTGATGTGTGCCGACTCGACATTTTGGTTGGGCCATTGCCATTGTGAGTGGGCATTAGAGGCTTGCCTGGCGAAGAGTGCTGCATCATCCTTCACCCAGGGACTCTGGACCTCTGGAGGGCGAGAAGTAGTTGGCTGTAGTCCACGTTCCATGTCGTCCTCGATACCGGGTTCGATCTTCACCCAGACCTGCACCTGTCCTGTCTCATGGACATCGTCTCCTTCTGCTTCTCTCGCATCTTCAACTACGGATGCTCTTGCTGGTGAAGGTTTCGCAGGTACTTCATCTGGCTCAGCAAATGCAGATCGGTGCTCTTGTATTGGAGTCTCGACATTGCCTTCGGGTAAAGCTTGGACGGCTTCAGGCTCCTCCACAGGCTGGCACCCCGTTTGTTTCGTGCATGTCGCAAGATCAGACAATATAGGATGACCAGGATAGAAATCGACAGGCTCTGGTTGTTTCGGCGATACGATTGGAGTCGATTCTATACCGAAGAGTGGCAAGCCGTCGCCGCTGGCGCTTTGCTGTGGTCTTGGCCAAAGCAGCTTCCTAGGGAATCCCACGGCATCCGATATGACGTCCTGCGACTGCTTCTCGCACGAAAAGTGTCCAAAGCTGGGCATACTTGGATCCTCAGAGCTACGTGGGGACTGCGAAGGAACCAATGTAGGACCGTCAATCTGTGACGCTGTTTCCGTCCCGTCGGCCTTTTCATACTGGCCATGGTCCGATGCCTGTTCGTCCAGCCCTTCGATGCTCTGAGAGCCCCCGGGTTCGGGCGCATCTTCTTCGGTTGTTTCCTGTACTTCAGAGTTTGGAGCAGCCTCATTGAGTTGCTGGATAGGCTTCGGCAGGGCCGTCGTACAACCTGGTGACTTTCTCATTCCAGTATGCTCAGGGATCTTCGTCTCACCCGGCAGCCGTCCTTCGACCGGCTGGCTTTCCACACCCACGAGTTCCGCTGGGTCGCTGGGCATAGACTGAGAGCCAGCCAATCTGCTCTTGCCCAAAGTCGAACCCTTATCTCGAGCGTCCTTGCGTCGGAAGCGGAAGCTTCCGTCCGTGCGGGCGCTTGCTTGTGTTTTAAGCGCCAGAGCCGATGCTTTGGTTTCCAGGAGGGCTTCGCCCGGCGTGGTAATTCTTGCTTCCGGCGCGGGTGCACTAGAGCTGGGGCAGTATTGGCCGATCGCTGCCCGATTCGAGTAGAGAGGCGACCGGGCGTCGTCCGCTGAGTTCGATGACATCTGACAACGTTTCCGCTTTGACGTCGCTGACGAAACTCGTGTCTCAACCTTGTTGGCCGCGCTCGGTGTATACGGCGCAGTGCCCCTGGGCCTGTCCTCGCTTGTATCTAGCGTCAAGTCGGATTCCCTCCTCGTTGTTTGTTGGGTGGCTCGCCTTGAGTCCGCAGACGCAGGTTCTGACTGTAACTCACGCCCAGCTGGACTTGTAGAGACATCGGTTTCCGCCAGCACCTTCTCTCTCCACGCCTGTACCAGGAGGAACTTTTCATTGTCCATGTACTGTGCTGCGGCGCAAGCGTTCCGGCGTGGTGCGGCACTGCCCCCTGTAAGGCGTGGGTCACGGTTGACCGCTTCTACCACCCGGCTAGACTCATGTTGTTCGGCAGCGCTCTTTGAAGATGAGCGGCGATTTCTTTGCCTCGGCTTTGTCACCCTGGATGTCGACTTGGAGCGCCAGGGGTTGATCCAGCCCGATTTACTATCGAACGGTCCGCGCAGGGCGGCCGAGAGCAAGAACACCGGCTTTCCATCGAGGAAGCGCTGCGCTTGTGCTTCGCAGCGGCTGCGCCGCTCGGTCGGGCTGCTGTATGCCTCATCGTCGGAGCCGGGGTAGATCACGTCGTCAGGGTCGTGCGGGGCCTCGCTGTAGACGGGCTCATCGAGGAATTGCCTTGGATGAAGCCATTCGCGATCTGGAGCTCCAAAACAGCGCTTCATGGCGGATACGATTGTGTTCGACAGTCTCTACGCTGGGACCATAATGTGCCTCAACAATTGAGTCGCTCGATAACTACCTGAGGCTGTGAGCTGCATTTCAAGTTGTGTCTCGGTTGCCGACGAAATAAGCCAGGGTGGCTGCAGGTGGAGCGAGGCGCGGTGAACCGCGCTGTTCTAATTAAAAAGCGGCGCGCAGTCACCTGAACTCTGCCAGCTCTCTGGGCTGAGATGCGGGGCCACCTGCTTCCCGGTTGCTAGGGAAATGAGAGGTGGCACCCCAGCCAGCCAATCAGTCCATGTGTAGCTGTTTACCCCCAATACGCGATCGGCCGCTCCCAAAATGAGAGTCGACCAATCTTGATAGCGGCCTCGCTGATTACTTGCATTCGCATTCCCATGCTTCTGCGACCATGTGTCGCTGGTACATTACATTTTAACTTTATACAATCCGATTTCTTAACCCACATCAACTGGGGACGCTCCGTTGCGCATACCTCTCGCCGCACTGCAGTGCCGACGAACCCCGCCAACTAAAATTCCGCCTGCGCTGCTACGTGTTCCCACGCCTTGATGACTGCTTGATACAGCAACTCCGCAGACACGCCGCATTCCTGGGGATATCCACCGTGCGCCACTATGGGCCACGCCTGGCTCGACTCTCTGTCGGAGGACTGGGTGTCGCAGCCCGGATCCCCGGCCAACGACGGCTCCTTTGCCGAAGCTGCAACTCCGTCCCCGGCCACGAAGCCGCTCCCAAAGCCGAAGACTCCTAGTAGGATACCGCGATTTAGCCCGCACCATAAGAAATACCAAAATTCCATCGATGGCAGCAGTAGCAACGGAGGCAAAGTCCTCGGCGAACGGAGCCTCAACGAGCGGTTAGCCGCCTTGTCCCGTCCCACGCCGTCCAAGCTCTCGCAGGAGATCAGTCCCAGTGGCCGCGACTGCCATGCCTGCCGCTCCGCCTCTGCTTCGGCAACCAACTCGGTCGTCCGCAGAACATTCCTTCGCAAATCAACGGGCGCATCACAAGACAAGGGGAAGGAAGGGGAAACGCCCGAGTGGAAGAGGCGCTTGGTCTATGGCGATTTGTCTTATGGGGAACAGCGGGACCTCTTCACATCTGCAGGGACAGGGTTGGAGAACATCTTCAAGCCGCCTCAGCAGACACCGGGTCCATCAAGAGGGGGCGATGTCGATGCTTCCTCGCAAGTAGAAGAACCGCAAGTGGATGCCGCCATGCCATCTAGCCCGCCGCTCTATCAACGCGATCCCTCGACAGTCGACATCCACGTGGACGGGCCGATGGAAGAACAAGAGCTTCCCCAACAACCCCAAAGACAGGGGCCCGCGGGGATGCGATATAGACGCTCTGAGGAGTCGCCCGATGCGAGCAGGTTATCCGACGCCGGTATGCCGCCAAGTGGCCGTTCCCAGGGAGGCACCCAGGCGGATCAAACAGCACTGTCGGAGGACGTTGAGTCGCGCAGAGTCAGTGGCCGAAGCGACTTGCGCCACGAAGACTTTAGTCCCATTCTGCTCGAGCGGCGTGAGGCGAGCAATGGCAAGACGATTTATGGGCCGGCAGACCTTCCGCCGGACGAGCTTCGGAAGCGACTGGAGACACTACAGCTAAGCCAGAAGTACCTCACGGGTGGTGCCGATGAGGGCTCTGTCCGTGTAAACACCGCATCACGGAATGAAGGGGCAGGGGAGTCTTATGGCAGACTGGAGGCATTCATCAACTTTCAAAGGGGTGGTCGATCCAACGAGGGATCATTCCGCAACCGTGTGCTGAGCTCTGCTCTTAGCGACAGCTCTGAGCTCCATCCGGAGGAGTCATTGCAGGCGAGTACGCCGAAGCAATTCCCCACAGTGAGAGTCGAGCGCTGGGACTCGTCTGAGAACAGCCCGGACCTCCCCCGTGCTCCTGATCCGAGCCCTGACAAGGGTCTCGCACCACCCCAACCAGGCAACAACAGCCCTTTGAAACTGTTCCAGCCTTACGACACTTTTACCAGTCAGACACTGATGAGGCGGCTTAGCCAAATGCACGGAGAATTCGGCGATATATCATTCTCAATAGCCGTGGACGGCAACAGCCCGTATCTAGCTGCGACTCCGTCTTGGTTACTGCCCCCGCCGACAGCGAGTGCGAGTGGGAGCAGGGACCAGCACTCCAGCAATCCAAATTGGTTCGGAGTCGGAGAGCTCGATGGCTACGAGTTCAATGAGGAATTTTCTCACATACCCAACGACCTGTCCGCCATGGACGGGGACAAGGAGAACCGCGGCCCCCGCGAAGACTCCATGTCACCTCCGCGGCCCCCTATTTTCGACGTCAGCCACAACTCTTCCCCCTCGTCGGCAGCAGACGTCGTGGTGCACCGGCGACGGCAAAAGTCTACAGCCTCCCACACGTCACGACGTCCTGGCAGGGCGTCGTTCCCGGCCTATTCTGACCTGCTCTCTACGCCAGGCAGGCAGAGAGATGCATCCGGCTCGGAAATCAAGCGGCCCCGCACATCTCCTTCGAAAGACCATCCTACTCCAAAGCGGCGCAGGACCCTGCACAAGTCTGATGTTTCATATGGAGTAGACGACTTCGACTCGGCAGTCGACTCGGTTCAGCTGTCACACCAGCAAATGCAGTCCGCTCTTTCCATGTCCCGCCAAGATGCGCGGAGCAGCGACCGATACGATATGCAAGAGGCTGTAGCACCTGCAACTGGCCAGGCGGTGCGGCCTCGCACACCGACACCGAGCCAGAGGTCCTCATTGCAGCGCGAGCGCCAGCCCCTTGCCGAGATTGAGAGGTCGCCTGCTCGTTCCAGCAGGCATGGGCAGCCTCCGGCGCCGCTCCCAGTGGGCAGCGCAAGGGAGACGAACAGGAAGGTCTCCATCAAGACGGAGGACTTCATAAATGAGGCCAACAAGATCATGGCCATGATCCGCAGCAAGGCTGGTCTGCCCAGCGGCCTGGCCAGCGTGGAGGAATCAGACGAAGAAAAGGTCCAGGGGTCTCCGGAACTGGACGGGTCTTTCGAAGATTCGACCCAAGAGCCGTTCGACCGGCCACCCAGTCGTGAGGGACGCCCTCCTCTTACTCGCAGATCCACAAAGCAGGAAGACCCGATCCTTGCTGAACAGCTCAAGAAGTACAAGGAGGCCAGCGACATGGGCGACATGATTACTTCGTCCGTGCGTTCGAACAAGCTTGCCCAGGAGGTCAATCATGCCGCTGAGGAACAGGAGTCGGGAGCGTGGCCCAGCAGGCGGAGCCGGCACTCGGCGTCTGGTGCCGGGACAGTCAGCGACCTGCCCAAAGTCCGCATTTCCCAAAACACCGATTGGCAAGAACACCCGTCCACCAACGGCGTTGACGATAGCGTGCCGTCTCAGGGCTCGGCCAGCTTCCCTACCCAGAGTACTGGAATGTCCATGCCGACTGGTTCGTCTAGAGGATCATCAAGGGGATCAGGATCCGATGCAAGAAAAACAATCATGCCGGAGAGCGTCTCGCATCTGATTCCGGACCAGATCGGGAGTATGGTTTTGGACAGGCAGCGTAACGTCTGGGTCAGGCGGAAGGGGTCGGAGGAGTCGAGGAGAAGTAGGAGTTTCTCTCAATCCGTGGCCAGCGAAGACGACCCCTTCGCTGGTATCCCAGACCTCACCGTCGACGTCACCAGGGAGATGCAGAACCTGAAATTGGCCGCCAAAAAGCAGTTCGAGCTTCAAGACCGCCTTCCAGGCGCTGCGGAGATCAGTCCTACAAGAGCCCCTAGGGTGGGCTCAGCTACAAGGACGACCCCTGATGCGAGCCCCGAGTCCCTGACCCATATCAATTATGCAAATCATCCAAGCAATGCCGAAGAGACCGGTGAGCATGAACCAAGCGGGGACAGCAGTCCAGCGAACGAGCCTAGGCGACTCACCATCAGCTTCTCCTCTCCCGTTGCATCCGTGATCCAGGATGTCGCCGGTATCAACGACACGGGTATGGAGGGAAACAACCGTGACCAGGCCGCTGAGATGCTATATCGAGACGCACCAGCTCGGGACAGGAGGAATATCTCGATTCAGGCAAGGTCCCGCAGCGCTTCGCGCGGCCCAACCCGCTACCTCTCCGTCAAAGGCCGTCCTTTGATGGGGCGGCCCGTGTCCAGAATCGAGGAGCGGGATGAGGAGTCAAGTCCCAATAGATCCCAGGATCAGGAGCCCACTTCTGGGATGGAACTCAGCGTGCTGGGAGACTACAGCGTTGTCAGTCGCGAGCACGGTCGGCGACAAGCGAGTCTCAGCTTCCTGGTCGCAGCTCCGGCTCAGGGTCAGAACTGCCCTGCCGCAGGGGTTGATCAGGCCGCCGTCATCAGCCAGTACGTTGGGACGTTCTCGCTCAGCCCGCTCTCGGAGTTCACCATCCATTGCGGCGAGGACACGCTCCCTCTCGAAGCCAGTTATGTGGTGGATAATCACCGCCTGGTTACCGGCGATCCCTCGAGGCGCGTCATGTCGATGAGCATGCGCGAGCTCGTGGATAAGCTCGCCGAAGTGGAGCCGTTCGAGCCGTACTGGGAAGACATGCGGGAGCTGGAGCTGCGCGACAAGGGGTTGAGTAGCCTGCATACCCTGGACCAGTTCTGCGGGAAGCTCCAAAGCCTGGATGCTTCCAAGAACAAGATTAGGAATCTCGGCGGCGTGCCGTCCTCGGTCTTGCGCCTGAGGATGACAGACAACCAGCTCTCGAGCCTCACCGCCTGGAACCATTTGATGAACCTGCAATATGTTGACGTCTCGAACAATGGGCTTACCAGCCTTTCAGCCTTCAAGAGCCTCATCCACTTGCGCAGTTTGAGGGCGGATAACAATCAGATTACGAGTCTAGACGGCATCAAGTTCCACAAGGGGCTGCAGATGCTGCGCGTCAGGGGCAACCTTATGGAAGAAGTAGACTTCGACGGAAGCACACTCCATCAGCTCACCGAGCTGGACCTCAAGGGCAACAGAATCAGCCAACTCGCGCACGTCGGGCAGCTCCCCGCGCTGAACTCCCTCAACCTTGAAGCCAACCAACTGTCAACCTTCTCCGTCGAGTCCGACGAGCCCATGCACTCCCTCCGCTACCTCCGCCTGGACGACAACAAACTCACCTTCCTCAACGTCCAAAAACTACCCCACCTCCGCCTCCTGCACGCAGACCGCAACTGCCTCGTGCAAATATCAGGCTTCTCCCGCGCCCGCCGCATCGACAGCCTCTCGCTGCGCGAACAGCGCGGGACCGCACCGCTCAATCTCGCGCACTTACTCTCGCGCGCCTACGAGGTCCGCAAGCTCTACCTCTCCGGCAACCTCCTCGGCTCCTTCTGCCCGACAATCGACCTGCTCAACCTGCAGTTGTTGGAGCTGGCCAACTGCGGCTTGTCGGCCCTGCCCGAGGAGGTCGGGCTCATGATGCCCAACCTGCGCGTGCTCAACCTCAACATGAACGCCCTCGCCGACCTGGCGCCGCTGCGGTGTGTGCCGCGGCTGAAGAAGCTGTTTGCTGTGGGTAACCGGCTCGCGGATCCGGCGAAGGTGGTAAATACCCTTGCTGGCTTCCAGCATCTGGTCGTGGTCGACCTGAGGGATAACCCCGTCACGCAAGGATTCTATGCGTCTGTGCTGCAGCAGGTGCGGGTTGTTCTGCGTAGCAAGGTGGGCGGTGGTGGTGGTAAGGGTGGTGATGATGGGGAAGAAGGAGAAGAAGAAGTTGGGGAGGCGGAGGAGGAGGAGCAGTTCATGCTGGCTGATCAGGACCCAAGGAGGGACGAGAAGTATTGTGCGCGGTTGGATATGGATACCCGTGTGAAGAGGAGGCTGTATGAGACCATGGTGGGGAAGAGGTGTGCCAGGGTGAAGAAGCTGGATGGCCTGTCGTTGAAGAGAGGGGTAAAGGGCGGGGCGGAAGATGAGAGGGATGTGGTGTGGCTTGCTATGGCGGAGAAGGGGCTTGTGAACGCCGTCGACGAGAAAGTGGATGCTGGGAAGGGTAATAAGGCGGTTGAGCGCTGCAGCCGGTGGCCGGCCGAGGACAGCTTTGCTTGACTGTTGAGCTGACGCCGTGTGGGCGTGGGCATTACGGGCGTTGGAAGTGTGTTGCGCTTTGTTTATTTCCAGGGTGGAATGGAAACAGATGTTGGACTTAGGTATGGAGGGTTGGTTTCAGGTTATTTGTAGAGCTTTGGGAGCAGGATCCGGCACGGCGTTAGGTTGTCTGTAACAGTACTGGTCTGGTGTATGGTTACTAGCATTGTATGCGGCGGTTCTGGGGAAGATTAGGATAATGATTCAAGGGACATGGCTTTGGCCATTCACTACCCCGTTCGAGGCATGGCATGGCATTGCTACTAGTACTCTCATCATAACTGTCTGACATAGGGATTCTCTATCAAACCACCCGTAGTAAGGGGCTCTGTTTGACTTGTTAATTATTGATTAGAGCTTAGTACTGTCTGCTACGACACACGGTAGCTATCACTGAATCAGGATCACACTCTGTTTATAGTAACGTCGTCACTGCAAGAAGTTAAGGCCAATCCGATGTCGTTCTGTATTGATGGATATCAACCTAGCCATACCCACTATGGCAGCATCATTCTCATGCGGTATTCGCACTAGTCCTGCTTTTAACCTCCCACGAGCATCTGAAGCAGCGAGGATAGAGATAGACGGGGAAACCCAATACCGTGCAAAAAGTAGATATAAAAAAAAGCCATGTTCCCCAGCGTTCTTCTTCCCATCCTCAACTCCTAACGCCTGCGCAAGCCATCGATCACTCAGATCTAACCCCCCCTCCCCTCCTCCCCTTTGTTTCGGTAAGTTACGGAGCAAGGTGATTCCGACTCCGTCCGGACTCAACACTGATCCGCCGCCGATCCAACCTCTTGACCACGGCACCGAGCACGACTTTGAGGATAGCATCCGCCGACAGCACGTGGTGCGACCCCTGCCTGCCGTCCCAGGTGACCGTGTCCACCATGTCCCTCACGCCGCCGCCCTGCTCGGCCAGGCCGTCGTCCAGCTCCTTCAGCGCTGCCGCCGCGCCGGCCTCCCGGCCGACCTGGAAGAACTGGATGCCCACCTGATGCGGCGGCGCCTCCAGCCTGTCCAGCTTCTTGGCCAGGCTGAGGATGACCGCCTCCGGGTCGTCCGTCGGCACGCCGTCGGTGATGACGATCATGTTGACCGGCTTGACGCCGCACTCGTCCGGGTTGCCCGTGCGCGCCACCGCCGCCTCGTACTCGCGCAGGTAGGGTTTCAGGATGTGGTTGATGCGCGTCCCCGTCGGCGTGCCGCCGGCCGGGCGCACCGTGTGGAACAGCCGCTCGACCTGGTCGGCGCTCTTGATGTTGCAGAAGCCGCCCGCGCTGCTGTTGTTGTTGTCCCCCGTGGAGTAGCTGCTGCTGCTGCTGCTGCCGAAACGGGAAGTGCGGTACCTGGTGTTGCTGCTGTTGGAAGTGTTGCGCGCGTTGAGGAAGTAGACGTCGATGCCGTTCTCGTCGTGGGCGGTGCAGGTTGGGGCGATGGCGCGGATGGCTTCTTTGGTCTCGCGCCAGGATGCGCCCTGCATGGACGCGCTGTCGTCGACGAGGAAGATGGTGTCGAAGGCGCTGAGGAAGGCGTACGGGTCTTCGGGGGAGGTGATGCTCGGGTCGGAGCGCGCGCTGGAGTACGACGGTGCCGGCGACGGGGCCCGGTCCGGCACCGGGGCGTTGTTGATTGTGATACTGGGGTTCGCCGCGGACGACGAGGCACCGGCGTCGGCGGTCGGGGCTATTGCCGAGTACGGCGGCGGAGGTGGGTCATTGGGCCCCGGTTTGAAAGACTGTGGGGCCGGGCTGAACGGGTTGTTGGAATTCGGGCTCGGATTCGGGCTCGGTGAGCGAGAACGTGACTTCTTCGACAGCTTGTCCCTTAGGGACCCGAGCAAGGAACGGCTTGGAGATAGTGGCGGTGTCATCGTGGAGGCGATTTCTTGCAATATGCTGCAGGCCCGGAGGCTACCTGACCAGTCGGCTCTCGTTCCTTAAAGGCAATGGAAGAAGGCAACTGATTTGGAGGCGAAGGTCTTAAATGCCACGAGTGGAGGAGCAAACACCAAGAGGCAAGGTGCGACCAAGTGCTTTGCGCTAGGCAAGATTGATTGCTGAAACTGAAGTCAGGCGCCTGTTGTAACTTGTGCCGCCTAGGGCATTCCCATTCTTTATGCTCCTCAATCACTTGATCGTGCTTTCTGGTGGATACAGCATCTGACCTACATTGAAGACCCAAGAGCGGTTCCTGCCTTGCCGAATGCCTTTGTAGAGGCTCTGGCGCGTAACTGAGTTTACTGAATGCCATCGCGATCGAAAGACACACAGTGACACCTCAGGAATGGAAGTGTGGAGGGTGATGGTGGCTGAGCTATGGTCGTCGATATGCTCAGCCACGGCGACCCACATCACGAGCTATTTGTCTGTTAAGATTCGCACGATGATGTGCCGACTGCTCTAACAGGTTCTCAACAACGGGACTGAGGCGATGCATAAAGTGCCTCGTGCTGGGCAAGCCTTTCACCCCATTGAAAACCGCCGACCCAAAGCCATCGGATCTACTTGGATGTAAGGGACCTTCTGCAAACTGACTTGAGCCGCAGCAGAAGGTCTCTTGCTCGGTGGCTGATGTTGCCCATTCTCGAAGACTACCAGATGACCTTGGCGGTATCAGCCCGTGTCCCGTAGTGGTGTGTGTTGCAGTCATGACTCGAAACCAGTAACTGTGGACTAAAAGGCGAGTGGCAACCAACCCATTGAGAACACCGCCAGTCCCCAATCTCACTCTTCAATCCTTTGGCGGGTGTTAGAGGCCTTGCGTACCTATCTGACGTGAGCCCCGGGTCATGAGGAGCCCGGTCGCTGCCAGGCTGCCTAGAACGCATGACCTGCAGTCGGACACGTTGGTGTAACGACTCTGATGTTCTGTTCAGATCTTGGAGTTGACGACCCGGGCGACCCCCCGCCTGCGGCTATCCGATTTCTTGGCAGGGGAAATGAGCTCGCAACCGGGTGGCATTGCCGGGATTTGCCGCCACCCTGCGACGGACCCCGCCAGATCCACCCCAACGCGTCTATGGGGCCCAACAGCGGGGTAGCTGATTGTCATGGCGGGGTGTTGAATGAATTCGACTTCCCAATTATCATGGTATCCGGTCCCTCGATTCGGAGTCCTCTTCTTGTGTTGCACATGAGCTTCGATGCCAATATCCCCAATTTGTCTACTGTACAAGCTAGAGGCTAGGTTGTGGACAGCTACAGCTAAGTGAAGGTAGCGTAGTGACACAGCTCGCACCCGTAGGTCGTGGCTTCTTCCACTCATTCTGCGTGACCTTGACCGAGCGATGTGCGAGGATGCCACGAACATCCCAGCTTCCTGTAGCCAGTCGGGTCGCCATGTCACCCTGGGTTTACGTGAAATGTGGACGACAGGCACCTTAGACGGTAAATGACGGGGCGACAGTAAACCCGGCGGCGGTGACAGAACTGGCAACTGGCATTGGGCAGGATCGCGAAAAGCTTCCTTTTTGTTGGGTCCATCTATGCAGTTGCGGTGAGCCCGATTCTACAGTCGAGCCGCAGGAATAGCGTATTCTTGTGCCGCCCACTGCCCCTCATAACTGCGAGGTGAAGGAACTGAGGCCTTGTTTTCAGCTGGGGCGTTTGGTATCTTCCTATTTATCTGTTTATTTCCCTACCATCTGCTTCCTCAGATTTTGGCATTCTCAATTTGCTGGCAAACGCCCCATAAAAAGTCTGCGACGCGGTCCTCCCTTATTAGGCAGCCGCCACCATGTCGGACGTCTTTGCGAACCGCAAGTTCAGCATCAACCGCAACACAGGCGTTCCGAGACCGGCACGCCGTTTCTCGGTCGGAGAGCCAGGGTTGAGCGGTATGCAAACATCTGCACGCTATCAATATAAGCAGAGAGCGCGTCCTGGCCTGCTAACATGGGCTACCAGAGGCCAGCAGCAAGGTCCACAGACAGTTCCGCGCTGCTCATGAGGGGTGCGTTAACAGCATTGGTCCAACTCCCTCTTACTCCCAAACACCGTGCCACTGACACGACTTGGCAGCCATCTCCCCCACGCTGGACTAGACGCTACCAGAGCCTCGACCGGCGTCGTCTGGTGCACGGAACAAGCAGCCGAGCATGGCTTCCTCGAGGAGCCCGAAAAGTGGGCCAACCTAGGCCGTATGTATCATCCTTCCACGATGAGTAAGATAGTCACTAGCAGCGTGAAAGCTGACCATGTCCATCAGAGGGTGCTCCCGAGGTGGATGACGATATCGAAGGCTGCTTCCCGCGGCCGCAGCACATCGACATCAGCACCGCCAGCCGTGAGTATGGCCCTACGGCCGGCATCAAGCCCCTGAGAGAGGCAGTTGCGCGTCTGTACAACGAGATGCACCGCAAGGGCAAGCCCAGCCAGTACACCTGGGAGAACGTCGCCATCGTCCCCGGCGGCCGTGCGGGCCTCATCCGCATCGCTGCTGTCTTGAACAATGCTTATGTCGGGTTCTTCATTCCCGACTACACAGGTATGAAGGCAAAATATATGCATAATGGTCCCATGTCGTAATGGCGGGCGACCTGGAGGCTAATTACGGGCTTAGCATACAACGAAATGCTGTCTCTGTTCAAGAACGTATGGAACTTCATCCTACCCCTGAGTAATGATGATCTCAAAACAATGCTGACATGATCAGTTCGCCGCCATCCCCGTTCCTCTCTCAGAAGAAGACGGCTACCACATCCACCCCGAGAAGATTGCCGAGGAAATCGCCCGTGGAACCAGCGTGATTCTCACGTCCAATCCCAGGAACCCCACAGGCCGTGTCGTCCAGAACCCGGAGCTGGCCGAGATCCAGGACCTGTGCCGTGAGCGCGCCACGCTCGTGAGCGACGAATTTTACTCAGGCTACAACTACACCAGCGGCTGCGACGGCTCGACCATCAGCGCTGCTGTAAGTGGCCTTTTTTCCCTCATCTTTTCTTTAGCAAGTAACCTCCCTTTCGCTGACATAAAACCAGGAAAACGTGATCGACGTCGACGAGGACGACGTGCTGATCATCGACGGCCTCACCAAGCGCTTCCGCCTGCCCGGCTGGCGCGTGGCATGGATCCTGGGCCCGAAGGAGTTCATCAAGGCGTCAGTTGCTTCTTTCCCCTATTTCTCCCTTCCACCCCCCAAGCGCTCCAGTTCCACAAAAAGACTAACATCTGTACTCTCTGGCAATCTAGCATCGGCTCGTGCGGCTCCTACCTCGACGGCGGCACCAACGTTCCCTTCCAGGAGGCGGCCATCCCGATGCTGGAGCCGTCGCTGGTGAAGCAGGAGATGGCGGCGCTGCAGCGCCACTTCCGCGAGAAGCGCGACTACGTGGTCAAGCGCCTGCGCGACATGGGCTTCACCATCCGCCACGTGCCCGACTCGACCTTCTACCTGTGGCTCAACCTCGAGGGCCTGCCGGGCCCCATCTCGGACGGGCTCAACTTCTTCCAGGCCTGCCTGGCCGAGAAGGTCATTGTTGTCCCCGGCATCTTCTTCGACCTGAACCCGTCGAGGAGAAGGGATCTGTTTGACAGCCCCTGCCACCACTTTGTGCGCTTCTCGTATGGGCCCCGGATGGAGGTGCTCAAGATGGGGTGTGATGGGATTGAGAGGGTTATTAACAAGTAAGTTGTTTTGGCTCTGACTGGTACCCGACTAAACGTGGCGGGTTGCTAGGTTCGTCTCTCCATATGCTGACTTTTCTGCTTTCAGGTTCAAGACCTTCGTGAGCCACTGAGTTGGAGAGGGAAGTAACGGCCGTGTATGAGCCTGGGTTGGATCGGATTCAGAAGCCCATAGTCTCCTATTGGATCGAAGTTCCGTTGGGGGTAGAGGTGTGATAGATGGTCGTTATATATTGCTTTATGTCACATCTCACCTAGAGCTTGAGGTCATATCCCTGCCATCTCCGTATGATCTCGTCTTTGCCAGGTTGAGAGTGATAGAGATGCTTGAGAAGTTAGAGGGCCCTGATATCTAGATAGCAGCGGGCTCCCTTATTCTTCAACAGCAATCTCCGAATGGGGACATGTCGTCGCGCCCTGTCATTGCCCTACTTTGCTCCTCCAGCTCCGCGTTGACAAGAGTCTTTCACGTATCCAACCCACGGCGGTATAATCTCAATAAGGCCACGTCCCCATCATTGACCATTCACGTGCGGCTGCAGCGAGAACAGCCATGCCGTCCTCCTCATACGCAGTACTACGACTTCGACTAGCTTACCAACGTTGTGTCGGACGCCATCCTGTCTATAACGGGGGTTGATAGCTCATCAGTGGTGAACAGGAAATGCTACGTCCCGTGTTCTCAACGGCCGCCTCGACCACTGGAGCTGGCCAGCAACTCAAAAGCCTCTTGCCCTTCTCTCTGGCTGGCCAAACCCCTGAGTGCAGTCGCAGAAATCACAGCTCGACTTGACGAACTTGTCAGACACGAAGACACATATGTCTCATCAGTCGTCTTTGTAGCCGGTATGCTTCGCTCGCCTTTAGTTTTTCGTAGGCAGTTGCCATCCCTCGGGCCTTTCTCTTAAGTGGGCATCTACCTACTTCCCGTAGACTTGTGGTGGGTTTATAGAACTTGATGCTTGATTTGGACGCTGACTTCACGGAGTAGGAGAGGGAGATACTAAGGCTAGTTAGCTCTTTGGAGGGTATCATAGGGATATTGACGCGGGATACTGCACTGGTGGGAAAGCCAAACCGGCCAATGTGCGAAATCGTGGCAGGCCGGGCAAGGAAGTTGCCATACATGGGGAACATCATTGAACCGACTTCCAACGGCGCCACAACACAAAGTGTCCAAGTGGTTCACCTCGGTGCACCCACACGCCACGGCGTCGCAGACCCTCTCGCCCCGAGATGGCTTGGGTTTGATTCAGATTGTATCCAGCGAAGTAAAACCCCTGGTGGGGGGTCTTCGTAGCCACCGACCGCCCAAGCAAAAAGATGCGATGGGGAGGCTTGGTGGTGAGCCTTTTCTCTCCCATCTTTTTGTGCCTACCCAGCATTCGCATTTCATGTCCCAGTCCACCCATATGGTCCTCACTCAACTGCTGCTCATCGATATCCTCTTTCTTCTTCCCAGAGGCACGGCGCCGGCTGCTGATGGTGAATTAGGTATCGCATACGAATACTAGAATCAGACCCGGTTGCTTTTATCAGCTCATATCATACATACGTCTTTGCCGAGGTCTGTTCCGCCCAAATCCCGAGTACTGCCAGTTTTGTTTGATTTGGTATTGCCGGAGAGAGGAGAGAACTTCATAAAAATGACGGGAAGCTTTGCCCCCTTTGTTTGTGGTACTGAGGAAGAGATAATAAGTGAGGATGCTGCTGCTCTGTATGGTTGTGTGGGCAGTGGCGCTGGAGTAGTAGTTCCTCCGATTGGAACGGCCGAAGGGGCACAGGTCTCCGCTGTCGTTCCGTTCGGGATCGTCGGTGGTCGCAACCAAATACAGGGCAAGGCCAGTCGACGAGTGGGAGGAGCGGTGGTGTAGCGGATGAGGTCTGACGCGAAGCGAAAATGGTGGACGAATGTTTTGGGATCCTTTCTTTGCCGTAGCCTAGCTCAGAAGGCATAATCAAGGGGCGTAGATGGTGGCTGAGAGTTTACCAGAGCACGTGTCTAGAGACGTGACTGTCAGATGAAGAGTACTGTTCGGACAACGGTTGCGGTTTGGTTGGCAATTCGTCGAGGCCAGAGGTGGTTGGCGGCAGAAGGCTGGATTTGGCTGGAACCTTGAAAGACCACCGAGGTCTCGGGTTCCGTCTGTCCCGTTTCGAACAAGACCGGGGCAAGGTCGTGCTGGCATAGGCAGAGAAAGCCGCAGCAAGCCGGAAAGCCGAGAGCAGCACAAGCCTCGGTAGGTAAGCTAGGTACCTGGTAGGTGAAGGGGATAAGATGAGCCCTGGGTAAGATGGCCAAAGTAGTCCTCTGACGACGGAAGCCCCCCACGCTGGGAGGATTCAGGGGGGAAGAGGGAAAGGAGCACGTGGGAGGATGCTACTCGCCTTCCCCCACGTTCGGCCGGTCAGTTCTAATGGTCTGGGCGCGTCGGAGTGTTACCGACGGGCCTGGTTGAGCGGGTTGCCTCTGCAAGACCAGCCAGCTGATGAAGCCGGGTGCTCATCCCAGGTTTCTCTTACCCCATATTAATATAGATTCATCATTCAATAATTTCCATGCTATATTCCTGGCCACATGTGGGACGAGCTCGTGCGGGAAGATGGGTAGATCAGCTACGACACCAGCGTCGTGTAGGGCACACCCGTCCGCTTCACCGCGGGTGCTGTGTAAGGGAGGCCCTCGAGACCTGCCGGATAGGGAGGGAGACATCTATGCAGCTCATGACCCTCGGCCCGAGACTCAGCTGCACGAGACGCGTGTTGCATAGAAGGATGCAAGCCCAGAAAGGGAGGTGTTGGCCGACCGAGTTGCAAAGGACAGCCTACCTAGATACGAGGACGGGAGCCGTTGTCGAGACGCAGAATCTGCATCTGCAGAGATCATTATGCCTGCTACCAGAAGCGGGACAGGGACAAAGAGCTACCGACACAGTAGGCTGCCCTAAACTGACGCCTCCCGACGAGTAAATTGCGTGATCAGGGTCTCGGCTGCCCTCGGCCAGAACAAAGACGCTGCGAGGGACTGGTTCCAGTTGCACGAAGCACCCATCATTGACAGCTACCTACCTATGTGTAGGTAAAGATGTTGCTCCACAGACAACCTACATCAAACAGCTTATCCAAAGATCTAAGCTGTTGAAATTTGCAAACTGCATTTGAAAAGGCAGGCTAGATGCGCGATTGTTTCGACTGCCAAGCAATCAGGGGTTGAAATGTTGACATCCGTTGCTGGAAAGCAACATGGATGTCTTGGCGCTGGAGATCAGGCCTGCCAAGGTGAAGGTCGCTCACCAAGGCTCACCGAAATACACCATGGGAGAGTTCTAGACGTTTCCAGCCAAGCTCAGTTAGCATCATGAGAATTCAAGACAACCAGCCAGCTATTTCACGGGCAGTGCTGTGATATTGAACCCTCGTTGCAAACGTTCGCAAATTCAACATTCCTGAGCCGAAATATACAAGGTTCGAAGCGTGCCAATTCAAATCATATTCTATTCAGATTTCTCAACGTCAACACTCATCTACAACAGTGCCTAGTACATCGAAGCTCACCATCTCAAACACCAACCAGCCAGGCCAAGTCAGAGCCAGCCACCAGTCTTCATCTGCAAAGACTAGCATCCTCGGAAGGGCAGGCAGCGCTGACCCGCTCCTGCACCAACACCTTTTTGGCTCAATTTCTCAATGCCCATCCGCATCCCACCAACCCGACCTCAGGCTTGGTGCAGACCGTCAACAATCATCCTCAGCCGAGCGCCCCTGGTCCGACCCCCACGGACACGGACACAACAACCATCACCGCTTCCAGCCGTCTACCTGCGGAAGATGAGCAGCAGCACCGTCAGCCCAGGTACCACGACAGCCCCGGGCAGCAGCAGCGGCCCCGCACCGGCCGCGAGCACGTCACCGCGCCCCGGTAGCTCACCATCACACATGTCAGCCGCCGCAGGTGCAGGTGCAGGGGGTGCAACACCCGCCGCCGCGACAGCGTCAACAGCACCAACAGCAGCTGCCCACAACCAGCCGCCGCCCACCGTTGAGATCGAGAACGAAGATCAGGGCAACAACAACACCTCAAAGAATGGGAGCGATGGCGCAATCCCGACTTCATCATCATCATCACCATCAACTTCTGAATCTTCTTCCGCCGTCCTTCCTGCACTACCCGCCCCAGAAGACGCTACTAGTAACGGAGCAGAAGGAAAAAACGGCCTCCGCACGGTGGTGGTCAACGGGCAGGCGGTGGCGCTGGACAACCTGGGGCCGATGGTGGTCGGGCGGGACGGGACGGTATCGCGGATCGCCAACTGGGCCGAGATGAGCGAGATCGAGCGGCAGAACACGCTGCGGATCCTGGGCAAGCGCAACCAGCTGCGGCTGGCCAACCTGCGCGCGGGCTTGCCTGCTGATCAGAAGCCTGCTGCTGCTGCTGCTGCTGCTGCTGCTGCTGACTCGTGAGTCCTGACTCCTGAGGGGGGCATCTTAGTTGTTTATGTATTGTATATGCATGTAGATTTAGAAACCTGGAAGGGAAGGGGGGGTTGATGTTAAAGACGGTAAGATAGCTAAGGTAGATAAGAGTTGGGTCGGGTGGATTTTTAAGATGTAGAGGAGATGCGGTGGCTTTTTTGTTAGATCCACTGGCCAAGCAAAACCAGCCTGCGGTCTGCTGTATTTGCATTGTGTTTGTATGTACGAGACGACAAGAATATCAGACATGTTTAAGGCAAGAACGTAATACACGCTTCAGTAGGATCCATGGCATATTCGGACATACGGGGTGTATATTCGCGGGCCACAGTACGCACACAACTACGTCTTCTTGGAGTAGAAGTCAAGAGGAGAGAGCACACAGAACGCCTTGTGAGAAAGCCAAAGCCAAAGCCGATCCCACTCCCATTTGAACATCAGATAGTCCCTCCCATTTCAACAACTCCCTCCCTCTCGCTACCCATAGCCACCTAAAACGCCTCTCGCATGATGATGTTCGTTATATCGACAAAGTCCCATCCAATCCGCAGCACCCCGAACCCATCATGGCCCCCAACCCCAACGAGATTCTGATCAATCCTTTCTGGACTCTTTCTCGTCAGCGGAAGACGACGCGGTCGAGCTCGCCGCAGCATTGATGCTGTCCTTGACCTCCCCGTTCTTCTTCGCCGCCGTCTCCTTGGCAGCAAATTCCTTGAGCAGCTTCTCGAGGATGTCGTCGCGGCCGCCGTGCTTCTCGGTGACCAGGCTCTTGAGCCACTTGTTCTCCGTCTCGAGCGCCGAGATGCGGCTCTCGAGCAGCGTCACCTTCTCCGTCATCTCCTTGGCCGACTTCTCGAGCGCCTGCTCGCGCTGCTTCTTCTTGATGCGGAAGCGCGCGCTGGCCGCCGTGTTGCGCCTCCGCTTGTCCTCCTCGGCCGCCAGCCGCGACGCCTCCTCGAAGCTCAGCACCCGGCCGTTCGGAGGGCTAATGGGCGATTCAGCTTTGCGCTTCTCCCCGGCGACGACTCCTCCTCCTATCCTGGGGGCGGCAGCAGCAGAAGCCGCGGGCGGTACATACCCTGCTGGTGGAGGCTGGTGGTGATGCTGGGCGACTGGCGGGGCCGGGTAGGTCGTCTGTGGGTTGGGCTGGATGGGCTGCAGGTTACCTAGAGCATCTGGAAAGGTGGGGATCGTCGGCGAGGTGTAGGTGCTGCTGAAGTCCCCGAAACTGAAGTCGCCTGGAGACATTGTGCCATGGTCAGCGGACGGGACAAGCGAAGGTCGGACAGAGATGAAGGTGATGACGGAATAGCCAAGAGCAAGCTAAGTGCAACGGCGGCGCCGCCCACGGGAAAGGGCAGAGGCAGAGTCCGGGGGGCATGGAAGCATGCTTAAGCAGGCCGTCCATTGTAGTAGATGCCCCCCCCGGACATGGTCGATGGTGCAATCCGCCCAAAGTCACGAGAAATGGCACCATCTTCGGCAGCGACGATCATTTGTCAGGATGGTTTATGCGGGCCCCGGGATCGATGTTTCGAGGCGCAACGCACAAGACAGACCAGCCTTCCAATCACGACGCAGCCCAAAACTTGGGGTGCCATCACTCCTGCAAGGCGCCTCTTCCCCGATTTCGTGATAAGGGAAATGAAGCTCTTTGGCCCGTAGCTGATAGCTGAGCCCCTCTATTGCGCAATGAGGTTCGAAGTTGCTGAACCTCCCATGTGCTGCCGTGCCACCACGTTGCAAGCCGGCCAATTGCAGCTCGCAATCCGTTGAGAACGCCCCATCTCGGAGCAAAAGAAACAGTGTTGAGACATAAGGACGAGCAAGAAGACTGAAGATGGAATAGAGAAGAGCAACGAAGTAGAGCCCTGAAATGAAGGGAAGGCCGAGTATAACAGAGCTGCAACTCACCCGGCACGAAATCAAAACCCATGATCGGGTCCGTCGACGGCACATCTTCGGTGGGCGATCGTGTCACCTCCGGCTTAGCAGGCGGCGCCTGGTAGTCCGTGTGTTGCCCCGTCTCGAAGTCATAGAACTGCGTGTTGGTGAAGAGGGCGAGGTCCTTGGCGAGGTCTTCGTCCGTGACGAGCGTCTCTTCCACTGCGGACTCGGGGACCCTGAGGTCGCGCAGGTACTGGGAGACGTTGACTCCCCTGCCGGCGCCGTATGATGCCATGGCTTTCCTCCGCTGACAGTTGATCCGAGCGCTCAGATCGCGCCGCTGGTCTTATGCAGGCCCTTTCCCGGTGAAGGCTGGTCGTCCTCGGATCTAAGATTTCGTGGGTGGTGGTCGTCGAGTCGGGGCCCCGCGGATTATGTGGGAATCACGGCCCTTTTTTGGCAGTCTCGGCCTGGTTGATTAGAAAGCAGACAAAGGGTGCTAAGCGGGGTCCTCCGGAGCCTGTTCGGAGCTTTGACTCGGCTTTGGCTTCAACTTTTGGCGAGTCAGACAAGCAAGTTGAAACAAAGAGACCACCGTGCTCCTCTGGGACGGTTGGCAACTGCAATGACTGGTGGTGATTTCTGCAAAGTTGGAGGCAAGAGGGGATTGATGAGGAGTGATTCAAATCAGGGTCTGGACTGCGGGCAAGGCAATCGGAAGTGTGCACAAACGTGGTGGTGCGGACTGCGGATGCAGCCCACATTTGTCAAGTCACCAACTTCATCCCACGTTCTCGGTAAATCTCGAGTTTGCCCGTTGACCCGCTCAACAACCCCACCATCAATCGTTTTCATCACGAAGCCGCTTTACCAATTATTGACTGCCTGTTCCCAGCCTCCAGTCGCGCGCTTCAATTGCACTTCTAAAACCACAAACTCAACGTTCGCGATTTGTCGGTACTCGTCCAAATAGGTGAATTGAGACTGCTCGTCTGGCTGACGCAAACGTTAAGTCTGTGGAGACAAACTTTGCCACGCCCTTCGGCAATCGACATGCTCGATCGGCGCAGTGACGAAAGGCATTGACGAGCGGTCGCGGGCGGTCGGAAGTTCCAGGAAGGGGAAGACGGATAATGGATTAGTATTCACGGCCCACGCCGAACGCGGCAAGGGCTGCTGGAATACCTACCTTACTTACCGTACACACAGTACTACCTGGTAGCTACGGATACATATAACGTACCGTGTATTGTGTGTTGTATGGTGCCGCATCTTTATTGCCATGGCCTAAATTCTCTATAACGTTATCCGGTGAACTTACAGAGCGGAAGACGGATTCCCGGAAGAGAGGCCTCATAGCCGTTGAGTTTCTGCGATGGTTGTTGAGGTCCAATACATGGACACCCATGATCAGTGAATATGATGGCACTAATGGTGTCATTGCTTCCTTTCATTCCATTTTCTTGTCATATTCCTTGGCCTGTCGAGGTGAGTTCTGACACAGGATCGGCAGATTGTATGTGAGAGTTCCCGGGAGCAAAAGGCATGGACCCGACGGGAAGGAACCAAACAACCGGGACCGGAAGAAAAGGATATGGGTTAGGGTTATGGCGACCTTCCTGGCGGTGAAACCAAACCAGGCCTGGGTTTGAAATGATCCGAGAAGCCTCACTCATAAAAGTCCTTGGGAATTATATAACGAGGTTGATGGGCTTCTTTGGATGTCATTGACTCTACAGAGATTCAGATTGTACCCTGTTTTGCTGTTCGACCAACAAACAAACCTCTGTCAACGACACAGACAGCGTTGCCCCACAGATGACCAAATCAATACAACTGCTTCACCCTATGCAACTCATAGGGGAGGTGAATGGGCGCCTTATTATCAAGCTCAGCCAGGGAATAGGTTCATAGGTCTCTGCCAGAAACTGAATGACAAAATTTGGCATCTACACGACAGCAATAACACCGATAAAGGACAATGCCGCGTCTCTCGGTCCCAACAACAGCGCGTCTGCCCTCATCATTACGCGTTGACCCGTCTCACCCGACGGCCACCAAGATCCTCGGTCGTCTATCGCGTTCGTCTCTCCTGACCGTCGCATTGGATTGGTTGGACGACAGCAACCTGCCACTAGCACAGCCGTTTCTGCGCGGGGACGAAGAGTACGAAGAAGAACTGGAAGATGAGGATGCCGACGGCTTATACCCCCCCGCGCGCTCAGTCGAGGAAGTGCGCGATGTCTATTCCTCTTTCCAGGGGCGCAAGGGCTCTAAGCGGGAGGTGCTGGAACGCATCACCGACGGCGACTGGCGGCACGGCCTGACGCTGTACCAGCTGGCCATGGCCGACCTGCAGTACCTCTACGACCACCCGACGTCGCAGCAGTGGTCGGCCTACCGCGTAGTGCCGCTCAAGCCGCCGCGCGACCCGGAAGGCGAGGAAGCGCTCGAAGTGGACAAACAGTCCCTCGCCATCCCGCGCTTCCACCCGTCCACCTTCCTCAAAACCCTCCAGGCCCAGGTCCTGCCGGACGTGAAGGCGCACTACAACTTCGACGCGCACAAGTCCCTGCCGCTGCTCCTCCTGCGCATCTTCATTCTTGACTCCCCCTACAGCACCAACCTGGGCCTGCAAACCACCACCACCGGTACTACCACCACCACCACCACGACGGGCTTCGACGCCTCCAGAACGGTGTATATCGCCTTCCCGGACGCGTCGCCGCACATCTTCATCTCGAAACCCCAAACCACAACGACGACCACGACCACGACCACCATTACCCTCTCTTCCTCCTCCTCTTATTCGTCCTCCTCGGGGCCAAGCGGCGGCGGCGGCGGCGAGTCCAAATCGCTGCGTACGCTCCTGCTGGAGGGCATCCCCAAGGCGCTGTCGCGGCCGCTGCAGCGGCAGCGCTTCACGCTGCAGGCGACCAAGCTGGTGACGCGCAACCTGGCCGAGCTGGTGGCGCGCCGCGGCGGGGGCCGGACGAACGCCGCCGCGGGCGGGTGGAGTGTCTATGCGGATGATGACGAGAAGGACCCGAAGAGGAAGAACGAGACGCCGCTGGATTTGGTCCTCCCCCTGCCCGTCAGCCCGCCGCTTTCTTCTTCTTCTGCTGCCTCTTCTTTCTTGGAAGAAGGAGAAGATGAGGGGGGGAAGAAAAGGGCTGTTGTTGTTGGTCCGCTGCCCTTGTCGGCTGGGGAAAGGAGGGAGGAGCGGGTGAGGAAGCGGGCGAGGTTGGTTGCGCAGGCGAGGTTTGGAGATACGGCGAAGGTGGGGGATGGAAAAGGGGTGGAGAGGGTGGATGTTGTGTTGGAGGATGCGTTTCCTCAAGGACCTGGGGAGAGTGTTGCGGTGGAGGAGGAGGAGGAACAAGATGAGACATACGACCGGGATAGAGCTGGGCGTTCGGCTAGGGCTGGGAGGAAGAGCCAGGTTGATGCGGCACTCGAGAGGGCAGAGGAGGAGGAGGACGACGACGACGACGACGAGGGCGGCGGTGGGCGACGGGAAGAGCAACCCGCGCAAGTGTGGCGCCCGAATGTCAGGCTGACGTTTCACGGGTCGCACGTGTTCGCGGGAATTAGACAGCTTGTCGAGTGTGGCATTATTGACGGTGAGCGGATGCCCGGGTGGATGACGGGCGAGGAAGGGGTGACAATAGGCGCTGTGCGGCACGGCAGGATACGGGGCCACAAGGGATCTGGGTTGTAGGGCGCAACTGTGCAGTTCTATCGGTTGTCTTTGTATGGATTGCGAGCAGATCTAAATACCCCGAAGCGTATTATCCGTCCCCAGAGTCTCAGAGTCAACAGTATACCCGGAAACCCACAATGTGCCGTCGCAAACAGAACAAATCTAGGAGTCTAACCCAAACACCTTAACCGTATTCGCCCAGGCGGCCTCGCAAACCTCTTCGACGGAGACCCCCTTTATGCCCGCCACGATCTTGGCGATACGCTCGATCGTACACGGCTCATTCCGCCCCTTGACCATGGCACCCTCCTCCCACTTTTCCTTCTTCACCGTCTTGAACCGCTCTGGAACCTCGGGCTCCTTCTTCTGGTTCTTCTTCTTGCCCTGCTGCTGCTGCTGCTGCTGCTTCCCCGAGGTTCCAACCTCCCCCTGCGCCGGCGAGGAAGCCGCAGCAGCAGCAGCAGCGTTCGCTTTCACCTTCGCCTCAAACTCGACCAAATACTTCCACCCCTCGTGACTGGGCCTGACCTCGCACCACGGGCCATCCGTCTCCAGCATCAGCCGTGACAGCTCGATCTCCTTGACCACGGCACAGTTCTCGGCCGTCTTGAAGCTGCACCCGTTCACGCCGATGTACAGGCCCAGGTCCATCAGCTCGCGCATCTCGGCGACCGTGCCGGTGAAGCTGTGCACCACGCCGCCCCTCTCCAGCCGCTCGAGCCGCGCGCCAAAGGCCTCCTGCAGCAGGCGCACAAAGTCGGCGTGCGCGGCGCGCGAGTGCAGGAAGAGCGGCAGCGGCGGGCTCAGGGAGGACGCGAGGCGCAGCTGCGCCGAGAAGGAGTGCAGCTGCACCTCCTTGGAGCAGTAGTGCAGTCGGTCGTAGTCCAGGCCGAATTCCCCGAAGGCCACGAGGTCGCCGCCCGGAGGATGGGAAGAAGAAGACGAGGACGACGACGACTCTTTGCGGGCCTGGGCGATCAGGTCGGCTAGGTCGGCGATGATCTTCTCGCTCCGCGCGTGGTCGACCCCTTCGCCGTCCGGGATCGGCTGGGACGGGTCCGGATCGCAGGCTGGGGTGTGCTCTGCCTCGTCCGCGCCCTCGCCCTCGCCCTCGCTCTGGCTCTCGTCGTGGTGTTTGTGGTGTGATGTGCTGAAGATGGAACTGCTGCACGGGTGGATGCCCGCCGTCGCGAAGACTGTGCCGGCTATAACCATATAGCCTGTCAGTCTATCACTCTTGATTCTTGGGTGCCTTATGAACATGGCAGTTCGGGTGGTGTGGAGACTAACGGAATTCTTTGGCGAGCTTGAGCGCATCCCTTGAACTCTTGAAAGATGAGCCGGTGACGATGAGTTTTGTGCATCCGACCTCGACCGCCCTTCCCACCACAGCCTTCAGGTCGTCGGGATGTCTCGATTTGCCATGGTAGCGACCCCTGAAGATGGGATCCGCCAGGTTAATGCCAATCTATGAGAGAGAAATGGAAGATTAGTATGCTTTCAATGAGATTTGCCCGTCAAAAACTCACGTCTATGTATCTGGGTGTATAAGTTGTGAGCGGAGCATCAACGGGCGCGGTTGAAGCGCCGTTTGGTTGATCTGACATGGCTTCGGCCATTTTGGCTGCAGCGGAGAGTGGCGGCCCGCCCCGACTCGGTAGACTAACAAATGGTGTCCGTTGAACCGACTGGAAACATCTATATCTCATAGCCAGGCCAAATTCGGTGCTTATAACTGCTTCCTGTCTCACCTTCAAGTCTTGACTCACAGTTGTCCTCACACCTCAAGTCGTGGTGGTCCTCAAGGAGCTGAGTAGTAAAGCATGCCAGTTGCCAGCGGCTGTCAGCCTGAGGCCCACCTCCACAGCAAGGTAAGATGAAGATTACATAAGCTGCTACTACTCCGCTACCTCGCATGTCGTTATTCTTTGAGTCAGGGAAAAAGTGGCTCCGCCAATACAGAGAACTGGACCCGGGAGCAAGTCCGGGAGGCACGGAATGAGCGTTAACAATCAATTGCAACTTGCATCCTGGCAAATGCTCCGTTGCTGCCTGAGAAATCGAGCCGATGTCCTGGGTTTGACAGCTGCGTGGTGGGGCACAGCGTGAGCTTGGCCCTGCGCCGCCCTGGCTGTTTGTTTAATGGAGCGGGGCAGGAGTGACGCGCCAAAAATCTGGCGGCGCGTCCGACGCGGTCCACCGAGACGTTAAAAGAGTGCATGCAACGCGAGACTTGCTTCCTTCTCCCTTCCACATCCTCACCTACCATACAAACCACGTCTTCCATACACAAGGGAGTTCGTGTTGCGGCCCTTGTTTCAGCCTGTCTGCAAGATCTCGTTGACTCTGAGAGCAGACCAATTTCTTTCCCTTCCCCTTTGACCTCGCTGCCCGATCTTCGGGCCCTTGTATTCCGTAGTCTGAGCCTGGCGTAGCCGACCAAGCTCACGCCATGTATGTCAGGAAGCGTGGTATGTATACACCTGACACCAACCAAGCAGACTGGTGATGCTGATTTCGTGCAGATGGGCGCCAGGAGCGCGTTCAGTTCGACAAGATCACAGCGCGCGTCTCGCGTCTGTGCTATGGCCTTGACATGGACCATGTCGACCCGGTTGCCATCACCCAGAAAGTCATCTCAGGTGTCTATGGCGGCGTGACAACGGCCCAGTTGGATGATCTGGTAAGACATGCACCAGACACTCGTAGCGTCTCGTGCTCAATGGGTCTGACACCATTCTCTACTAGGCCGCCGAAACTGCCGCCTACATGACGGTAACCCACCCTGACTATGCCATTCTCGCCGCCCGTATCGCCGTATCCAACCTCCACAAGCAAACAAAAAAGCAATGGTCGCAAGTTGTGACGGACCTTTACAACTATGTCAACCCCAAGAATGGTCAGCCATCGCCCATGATCGCCAAGGAGACATACGAGTGCGTCATGCGGCACAAGGAAGAGTTCGACTCGGCCATTGTCTATGACCGGGACTTCAACTACCAATACTTCGGCTTCAAGACCTTGGAGCGGTCGTACCTGCTGAAGCTCGACGGCAAGATTGTCGAGCGGCCACAGCACATGATCATGCGCGTTGCTGTCGGCATCTGGGGCGACGACGTTGAGCGCGTCATCGAGACATACAACCTCATGTCCAACAAGTTCTTCACACACGCTTCGCCAACCCTGTTCAACGCCGGTACCCCTCAAGCTCAGCTTTCGTCCTGCTTCCTGGTCGACATGAAGGATGACAGCATTGAGGGCATCTATGACACCCTGAAGACTTGTGCTATGATCTCGAAGATGGCTGGTGGCATCGGCTTGAACATCCACCGTATTCGCGCCACCGGTTCATACATTGCCGGCACGAACGGCACCTCCAACGGAATCATTCCCATGCTGCGCGTCTTCAACAACACCGCCCGGTACGTCGACCAGGGCGGCAACAAGCGCCCGGGTGCCTTTGCCATCTACCTTGAGCCTTGGCATGCCGATGTTTTTGAGTTCCTCGATCTCCGAAAGAACCACGGAAAGGAGGAGGTCCGTGCCCGTGACCTCTTCCTGGCGCTTTGGATTCCCGACCTCTTCATGAAGCGCGTAGAAAAGAACGGCGAGTGGACTCTCATGTGCCCGAACGAATGCCCGGGCCTTGCCGACTGCTACGGTGACGAGTTCGAGGCCCTGTACGAGAAGTACGAGAAGGAGGGCCGTGGCCGTAAGACTGTCAAGGCCCAGAAGCTCTGGTATGCGATCCTTGAGGCGCAGACCGAGACGGGCAACCCCTTCATGCTCTACAAGGACCACTGCAACCGGAAGAGCAACCAGAAGAATCTGGGCACCATTCGCAGCTCCAACCTGTGCACCGAAATCATTGAATACTCGGCTCCTGATGAGGTTGCCGTGTGCAACCTGGCCTCGCTTGCGCTTCCGCAGTTCGTCGACTACAACGAAGGCCTCTACGACTTCCAGAAGCTGCACGAGGTCACCCAAGTGGTTGTCCGTAACCTGAACAAGATCATTGACATCAACCACTACCCCGTGAAGGAGGCGTACAACAGCAACATGCGGCACCGCCCCATCGGTGTTGGTGTCCAGGGTCTGGCCGATGCCTTCCTGGCCCTGCGCATGCCGTTCGAGTCGCCCGAGGCTCGTGAACTCAACAAGCAGATCTTTGAGACCATCTACCATGCGGCGCTGACCGCTTCGTGCGATCTTGCCAAGGAACAGGGCACCTACTCGACGTACGAAGGCTCCCCAGTGTCTCAGGGTATCCTCCAGTACGACATGTGGAACGTGAAGCCGAGCAGTCTCTGGGACTGGGATGCTCTTAAGGCCAAGATCAAGGAGCACGGTGTCCGGAACAGCCTGCTCCTCGCTCCCATGCCGACCGCTTCCACCTCTCAGATCTTGGGCAACAATGAGTGCTTCGAGCCCTACACGTCCAACATCTACCAGCGCCGTGTGTTGGCCGGCGAGTTCCAGGTGGTCAACCCCTGGCTCTTGAAGGACCTTGTCGACATGGGTCTCTGGTCAGATGGCATGAAGAACCGCATCATTGCCGAGGGCGGTTCCATCCAGAACATCCCCAACATTCCCGACGACATCAAGGCTCTCTACAAGACTGTCTGGGAGATCTCCCAACGGACCGTCGTCCAGATGGCAGCCGATCGTGGTGCTTTCATCGATCAGTCCCAGTCCCTCAACATCCACATGCGTGAGCCGACCATGGGCAAGATCACTAGCATGCACTTCACCGGCTGGAAGCTGGGTCTCAAGACGGGCATGTACTATCTCCGCACTCAGGCCGCCGCGCAGCCCATCCAGTTCACCGTCGATCAGGAGGCGCTCAAGGTCCAGGACACCAACGTCGGCAAGGCGTCGTCCGGGCTGAAGAAGCGCGCTCCCCCGGTCGGCAGCTACATGTCGTCACCTACCGCAATTCCTCGTCCCATGGCTTTTGTCAACAAGGACGGCTCGCCATCCTCAGCTCCCACGACGCCTCCTCCCGTCAAGGCCCCTGTCGTTGGCGAGGTGAAGGCCCGCGCTCTGAACTCGCCATCCAAGCCGCCAGCGTTCAAGGCCGATGTCGACGAAGGCGACAGCCCCAAGGCACTGCCCACTGAGCCCATCGAGAAGCCCAAGCTCGAAAGCATCGGGTCGCCGGCGCTCGAGGGCAAGAAGGATGCCGAGGACAAGGAAGATGAGAGCAAAGAGCGCGAGTTGGATATCTACTCTGAGGCTGTCCTTGCTTGTGAGTTTTGCCCATACCTTGTGATATTACCCTTTTCATGACATTTGTATGGCTAACCAAAAATTTTTCCACTTCTAGGCAGCATTGAGAATCCCGAGGCATGTGTGATGTGCAGTGGTTGATCTTGTCTGATCGTGGACGGCATGTGTGATGCAGTGTGATGATGGATGGGTAGGGATTCATTTGGCACGGGTCGGGGCATGTTTCGGTTTGTTTTTTTGTAGGGGGCATCATTGTCATCGGTTTTATGCGGGCATCCTAATGTCGTGGCCGTCCAGTGGGCATTGGACGGGTGTACACATACATAACGTTTGGCGGAAACGAAGGGGAGAACATAAAGATGCCTGATATGTATCTGGCTTTTTCTCCTTTTGCAGGGAAAGGTGTTGGATGATTGGTTTTTATATCTGTCTTTCTCTAGCCTCAAGATACCTTAGGTATTCTACCATTGGCGAAACATTGGGTGCTGGGCAGTCTTGTTCCCCTTGTGTATCATCTTCAGCACGTCTAGAGCTCCTCACGTCGACTTATCTCATACCCGGACAAAAAGCCCAGCCACAGGACAATACCTGCTCACTTGTTGTGCAAAGCTTTGTTCTCGGTTCAATGACACAAGAGGAGACGGGCGAGGTCGGCAGGCGGACCAAAGGTGTGCACCGGTTTACGCAAGCGGGAACACAAAGCCCATCCATTTGTTGGCATTGACCGATGTGCTCCGGCTCTCCAGAAGCAAGCTGCCGAGCTTTTTGTAGTCCGCGCGACCTCTTTTGCACCACGGTAATAAACTGCGGTTGAGCTGGCTAGGGACAGCTACGGTGTGGTATGGGGGTGTTGTTCCTCTTTTCCAACAAGTGCCCCCCGCGAGTGCGCGAGGCCCGGCATTGCCAGAAACCTGGAGGAAGCGATGCTGTCATTCCAGAGCAGATCACACAGAATGGAAGCTGCAGGACCTTTCTTTGCAAAACAAGCCCAAGTCGAAAGCCTTGCTTCGATGAGATAATTAAACGATCTAAAGCTGAGGTGGTACAACACAGCACAGCACACTGTTGGTTATTACCTAGGCCATGTCACGCCAAGGGGGCTGGTTTGTTGTGACGCTTTCGTACCCGTTCTGTGCGATGCTTCCAGACGAGGTGTGTGTTTCAGAGGCACATCCCACGACACCTTTGTGGCCTCGCACCATGCGATGTTTCTCCTTTCTGCTTGTTGGCTAATATTCAGAGGCGCGCACAGCAGGAGATTGAGGGGAGGGCGGAAGGGGGGGAGACAGCGAGACACGATAGTTGGTGATGCATGTCTCACCCGAAAGACAGACGTCACTTCACAGTTTTACCGACGCTAATTGATGCAGCTCTCCTCACCTCAGATGAATGAAGGGATACTACTACGCCTTTCCATTTCCTCTCTCCTTTTCGCCAGTTGTCCATCTCCCTTGCTTTGTGTGCCATGCAGCCATCTGGAGATTCATTTTAATTCTCGGCTGTTTCCGGGGGGTTGCTCGCCGGTGATGTCGTCGATTGGCAAAGACGGTTGTTGAAACTTGATCTAATAAGCGATGCGCCTGCTGACGTCCGTGGCGTCGGGAGCAGTGCGTACGCCGAGGCCAGCCCGAGCCGAAGGCGAGCCAGTCTACGGATAGTCACCGAGGGATGAAGCTTTTCAAACCTGACCGCAAGGGTTCAATTTCAAGACTTGCAAATTGCGATCCGCTGAGCTAGTAAACTGTCTTCACGGCTAGGCTCAGATAATCGCTGGCTTGCTGTTGTCATGAGGCTAAAAAACAAAGTCGGTCTGGTCGATGTCGTCGATCTTGGCTCCGCCGATCAGGTTTACAGGGGCCGCATCCAGCTGTGCTGGGTGTGTGCCAGACAAGGGGTTCCGTGCAGATCTGTCCATTGGCCAATAGGAAGGCGCCATCATAACGCACGGACCTAAATCTGGACGTCCATTTTCGATCCGCGTCAACATCAGCGGAAATCTCAAAGAAAATGGTCCGGACCTTAAGCAGCAAAGCTGGGGTTTTCCGCATCGTGACTGTGCTGGAGGGAACTATTGATGGTCCGTTTGCCTTGGCGGCTTTGTCTTCGTGGCAACGATCCCACCGCGGCTGTCGGTGGAGGCAACCAAACTTCCTCGGATGGAAACATCAAATGAACGAAACCGGCGGTCGTCCAACGTCAAACATGTCCCACGCAAGAGTCTGCCTTTCTTCGAGGCAACGCTGTTCCTTTCAGAGGCAGGCAGCAGGCAAGCGATCGATGACTTCGGTGGCTGAACGTCGTCATACTCTACAGTCACTCGTCAGTGATTGGGAGTTGATTCCCGGGGTACTGCATCAGTGGACTCGTCGGACGGCACCTGCTTAACGTCGGTTCCCATGTGGCTGCATATCGGGCCGTGATGTGGCAGACAGAAGCCCCAATCCGTCCATGACAAGCTGCGGGCCGCAGCAATGTAGAGCTGACTGCATCTTCTCCCCACGTCCTAGATCTGTTCCCCTCATGCTGGGTGAATCCAACATCCAAATGAGGATCCAGCAAGCTGAGAGTTACCTAGATTTCTTGCTTCCAGAGAAGCGGCAGCTATCTTACGGCAGGCCGCCGTCTGCGGAACGAATGTCAATAATACCTAGCTAAGAATTCTGAGGTGCAGGAAGTATACCTAGTACGCAGCCTCCTGGAGCGATGATCTCAAGAGGCTGGGCCTCATCAGGGCGGCCTCCATTGTACAGGCCTTTTTCCTTTGTTATTGTGGAGAGAACAAACCACAACAGCCCGAGGCAGCTCCAGCGAACTTATGGGCCGAGTCGCCTTACTTTGTTTTCATCCGGGAAGGAGCGTTCGTCCTCCCTGCCACAGCCGGCAAGTACCTGGTTTCGGTGACGCGATTTCCCTCGCAATATAAGCCCTCATAATTTTCCATTGTGCCCCCCTCAGCGTTCTTCCTTCCCACTTCTTTCAAAAGGCCTCACAGAACTTGAAGCGTTTGGTAGCCAGCTTGGTGGAGTGATTCGCAATCAAGGGCCACCTTCCTACTTCCCCCCCATCGCACAACCTTATCTACACGAAGCTCACAAATCCATTGAACCTTCCAAATCTAAGAGTTACAAACCGACTTTCCCCAATTTGCACCCTTCACCTTTCTACATTACCCAACCTCATCCTACTTCGTCGGATCGCTTGGGACGTCTGTTGGTGCGACGAACAACCTTTCCAGCTACTCAGCTAGATCAATTCGAAAGAAAACCCGAGGACACATACCGACCGCGTCACCATGAAGATCTCCGTCAGCGCCGTCTTTGCCGTTGTCGGCGTTGTTGCCGTCGCGGCCGCCGAGGACTACCCCGCCAACATGCCTGCTTGCGGCGTAAGAAGCGTCCCTTTTCTTTTGGTTTTCGCATGACTTTCATCTTTTTTGCATATCCTACCGCATATGACCACATGTGCTGACTGGAGGTTTTGACAGAAAACTTGCGGTGACAACATGCTTGCCAAGGCCGGTGAGTTTAACTGCACTGGCACCGACGTCAAGCCCTGCATCTGCGAGAAAGCCGACTTTGGTTATGGCATCCATGACTGCAATGTCCAGTCCTGCCCCGACGTTGACCAGGCAAACATCGCCATCGGCTGGGCCAACAACATGTGCGCCAATGCCGGCAAGCCGATCAATATCCCTTCGGCCACTGCCGTGAGTGTAAGCACACCCCCGACCTGTTATCGGTGGAACAGGGTCCATTGACGCTCATTCTCAGGCAGCAGGCGGTGCCTCGGGCAGCCCCGTGGCGACTTCGTCAGTGGTTACTACCATTATCAGCGGCTCGTCGACCTTCGTGACCACCTCTGTCACCACGGTGTTCGGTTCTGGTGCCGGCTCGAGTGAGAACGTCTCCCCGACACCCATCACCACCAGCACTTGGACCTCGGTCTTCACCAGCGGCTCGCTTACCACCACGCTCACTGGAGAGACGACCGTCTCCGGTGTTAGCGGCGTAGCAGGCGCCACGTCGGTCCCTCAGACCACTGTGACTTCGCCGATAGTCTCGACGCAGACTAGTGGCTCGTCGACCTTCGAGACCACGGTGGGATCCACGACCATCGTGTCCAGCGTCACCGGGGACGCTCTGAGCAGCGAGCTGTCTAGCCAGGCTTCGGATGCCACGTCTACCAGCAGCGGCCAGGTATGTCTTGCGCGCAATGGCGGTCTTAGCATGTCACTAACTTGTTGTTAGGGTGCCCAAGTGACTGCCGCTCCGGCCCTTGGTGTCCTCGCCGCCGCCGGTATCGCGGTCGCTCTTCTATGAGCTTGACCTGCGCAGCTTGCCGGAGTTCGGCACATGATTTTTGATGATTTGTTTTTGATCGATGCTTTTATGACGCCATGACGGCTGGGGTTGCGGGCCGCACGATATCAATCTTAATGGGAATTGGGACATGGTTACCAATGGAGACCCCGGATTTTATGGCCGTTTCTTTGCTTTGATATCTCCCATCGATAGTCTGTCGTTTGACTGCTGGGCATCGTTCTTGTACATACTAGAGGGAGGCGTTCTAGGTATGGACAGATACCCACGATGGGGTCTCGCTATAGTGATTTTGCTCCTTGTATGACCGACTGCCGATTAATATTCGACCTCAGGCAATGGGTGCCGGAATCAAACTACCGTTTCATCCATATCTGCTGTTTGGCTCGAAATGTCAGGTTGGAGGTACGAGGAGTGAAGTACGGAACATCGTCTGCATATCCAAGAGTTCGAGGTTGAGGCGCAACGACACCTTCCGACAGTGAACTGGAGGAAGGTTGAGAGTAAGCCCCTGTCTCAGGCTTCAAGTTGTGTTTAAACAGAACGAGATCTCTCCTGATATCCATCGAAGCTCATCGCCACCGACTCGGCAGAGTACATAGATACCTCAGGTATAGTACATGCTTACGCGGCCCTTTCCGACTTTCACCGTAATCAACAGCACCTAGCTGGTACCTACTCACCGTCTTGCTCAGTAGTGGTAGACAGGATTGTATGCGTATATGCCAGTAAAGTGTATCTGTAGCAGTCTGGCCAATTTCTAGAGGTGAGGTTTGAACGGAACCCAGCAGCCTAGTGGTCGGTTATGTATCGACTAGTCTACACAAGAGCACGCCCAATAGCCAGTTTGGATTGTTGTTTGCTCCGTCTCAACTGCTGGAGCCGAGAGCTGGATTATACTGTCCAGCGGCAGTTTGGAGATCAAGATCGACCCAGGTTTGGGATTCGAGGACGGTCTTCTGGGTTAATCGTCAAGATAATCATGGTCTTGAGAGATTTCGAAATTCATGTTGCTCTCACTCCGTTTCTTGTTTCGGCTCTGGCATATATACACTACACGACGGTGAGGACACTCCCTCGAGATTTGCCCTGGCGAGAGAATAGTCATTTGTTCCTAGCCAACCACCATAGAAGGAAAAGAACATGATACCTACAGTCAGGGCGTAATTGCCTAGGTAGGCTGGTGAGCTCGTGGTCGCCTTGACTGAGTGGTGCGTGTTGTTTGTGTTGCTGGGCACCGAAAAAGGGGCTGACGTTTTTGTTTACATTGGGCCTGACCTAGACCTTTCACACAGCACTACAACTGACACAAACGATATGGTATTTTCCCTGAGACTAGCGGCGGTCATTTGACTAACTAGAAGTACCAAGCAGGGCAGGTAGTATGTACAAAGTAGCAGCCTATCCATGTCACTCAAGGGAAGTGGTCTTGATGCTTGATCAGGTCTCGTTCAGGCAAAGGATCAGTGGTCATACGATATTTGCCCGCGATGACGTACTGTAAGTGGAAGACGTTGAAGTTAGGGAGCAGCCGCGCCTGCATGAGCCGGAGTTGCATACCTTACCTACCTACACAGTGAGGGGGGGGAGAGAGAGACATCAGAGAAACCTGCGGGGAGACGGGCTCGCGACCTCCTCCTGCCAAACGTGGTTTGAAGTCAAAGTAACTGGTACTGGACGATCTGGACTGGTCAGGTCTCGAGTCCCGGTCCCGGAGCGGCTTTTTCGCAAAGCATACAAGATTCACACCCGTCACGGAGCGGGAGGCCCCCGTGTTTCGCCTGAGTCTACCGAGATCAGCGGCATAACGGCCGCGGGTGGTGCCAGATTGCAACTCTCTGAGCCGGACGATCTACGTGGTGCAGGCGGGAGTGCATGGCTGAATTGGTGTGTTCAGACGCTGTGAATCAAGATGGCCAAAGAGGTGAGCTGCATTTCCCTGCTGCGTAAATGCCTCCAAATGTTGCTTGCAGTTGCAACGAGTCAAGACATCCTACGCAACTCTTCGGAAATAAGATGGGCAGTTCTTGCTTCGCCATTCACGGCACCAGGAGGGCACACACGCACCCGGCTCCCCAAGGTGTGCTGAAGGGGGCTCAGCTGGAGCCGCCACACACCTGAGGACGTCCAGCTGCCATGGATACTGTATGAACTAGACCAGGCTATTGGCGTGGAGGACTCTCTAGCTTCCCCTGAGCACACCACACCGTTGCCAGGATAGCGATAGCTCACCTTGAATGTCTCAGAGTCCTGCTCCAAACACGATGTTGATCTAATATTCGTATCGATACTGAGAGGATCAGGAAAATCGACAGTCTGGACGTAACTACTACGCCGGTGTCGCATTTGGGCAGCTCGATCTGCACCGAGACGGGCACATGTCGACTTCTCAAGGCAAGAAGTGTAGTTGTGAAACAGATGTCGGTAGAACTCCGGTAGTTGCTCCTTACCGTTGAGTTGAGCCCAAAGTCTCCACAGAGGAAGGTCTTCATCAGCTTTATCATGCTTCTCGCCCGGGTTTTTGCTGCCCGGCGGTGATCCTGCGATCGTCATCCTCAGAACATGCCAGTCGAGACGGGAGTGTCGCACTGCTGCTCCACTACGTAGCCCCACTCACTCCGTTCCCGCCATCGATGGCTCCACCATTACCGCTGCTCTCCACCGCGCTAGAGCCAATCGAGAAATCTCCGCATTTTGCCAAGCACCGCGAGGACGACCTCCTCTGCTCAGAGCATGGGATGCAAGTGGCGTCCAACCGCCAACCACAGGGCCAAGCCAGAGTGGCTTTCTCCGTTGCTCCTTCATGTTCTGTTTCTATCTCCTCTCCTTGCCGGTGCATTCGGCGATATGCTCGGTTACGCCATATATTCGCCTGCACTGCTACCTCCCTATCGTGTCTCCCGTTATGTATGATCCCGTATCAGCGAGATCAGCGAGCTGCACCGAAAATCGAAGAGAGAAGATGGACGCAGAATGCGGGATAGCTGGGAGAAGGAAGGCCGCCATTGTCAAATGTCGAGCCTAGTGGAACCGAATCACCAAAGGGTCACCCGGTAGACCGTGTGGCTGCGCTGCCTCTCCAATGAACGTTACGAACTTGAGGGATCGCAACAATGGAGGCAGCAAACAAAGCAGCGGGATCAGGATCTTTTGCGGCGCGGACATAGACGATGGCTTTGCTGCGCCGCTGCCCGTGAAATCCGGGGTCAAAGGACCGTACTGTCGGATCCCGCCTGTCGTTTCGTTGTGGCGTCGCTCCGCCAATGATGTTTCTCATGAGCGAGCCCTGGCGGCAGCGCCGGAGAAGCCACTCCCCTCTCCGGGGTTCTGTGTACGTATGTACACAGTATGCTTCTCAGTAGGCGCTTCGAACCTCATTCTAATAAAAGGATGCATGTCGAGAATGTACTATTGTAGAGGATACATGTGGCTGACGGTACAGCGTTCCCACGGTAAGATGTCAAGAAAGGACTTCTGCTTACGATGGAGATTCCAACATGATCTGGCATGCGATCGGAGCGGTCCAGCCAACCACCGAACCCCTTCCCTTCGAGCTAAGGCAGGTTTTCCGCGGTTTTGGTCAAGGCCAAGCACGCTACGAATGCGACCAAACAGGAGCCATGAAAAAGATCGTGTAAGGATCGTGTGCTCCCGGCTACTCGGGGCTGAGAAGACTGAGTGAGGGCAGGCGAGACATGCCCAGTTATTAGTCCAGTCTAAGTGGTGTGGGTATATTGTAGCCCAAGCTCCACGACTACCAACCGACTTGAAGCATTGGCTTGTTGAACATGCTGGGGCGATGATGGACATGTGCGATACCCCATCATAATGTCGATGTCGAACCTGGTCACATGTCGAATCAGGTGCTAAGTCAAAATGGCCGGCTAAAGGGAAGGAGCTGGGAAGGCGTACGATGCATCAGGTTAGCCGAGACAAGCCAGTGGTCGACCCTCAGCATCACGGGCTGCTGCACATGAGATTTCTCAGATGCAAGTTCATGGCACAGCCTGCGTGGTACAAAGCAATGACCACCCACCAGAACTCCGAAAATGACGTGCATTGGTGAAGGGGCTGGCGTCTGGTGATAGCACGGGTGCTATTGCCTCGATATTGCCTTGTGGAGAACCAGCTGCAGGACAGCGGGAAGGGAGCAGGCCAGCCATGCTCCCGCAACTGGACGGGCAAGTCATCCTGGGCCTTGGAAACTGCCACGGCCAGATTCGAGAGGAGCGTTGTATCGACGGGAGGTTGGAATCAGGGTTCAACAAGCGTCCAAGGCAATGCGATCCTGCGCTACTTGAGCGTCAGATACTCCGTACTGCAGTGCAATTCCTAATGCTGGACGAAACGGAGGCAATCAGGCCACCGGCGCATCATCGCATTTGCCCGCGGCAACCATCTCCCGTTCCCGTCCTGATTCCTTGCAGGAGAATGAGGGTTTTATGGTATCCGCAGCGGGAAGCAAAGGAGCAACAGCGACAAGGGCGAATGAAGACGAGTCGAGGATGGGAACAACCTGCAATTCGAACGGCGGCTAGGTATACAGCTGCCTGTGTTTCACCGAACATTTTAGAAGGACCCTTGGTCGAAAAAACGGCCCTGAGCTCGGGGGGGGTTTCCTTGAGTAACCAAATTGCCTTGCCGTGACCGTAAATGTGCACGACTTCGAGGGGGTTCTTCTCGTCTCGCTCTTCTTGCTCCGTCGGTCGATTGAGGAAACGGAATCGGAACTCGTCGTGCCGGCTTTTCATCTTTCCATGCCGTTGGCATCCGACTTGTCACCTCTGCCATGTGTGAGACCAGAGACCTGCATGGCAGCATGTGCCCTTGATTGGCCGTGGCGAACTGGGGTTCTCGAAGCCATTCCTGTTTAGGACCTGGAGGGTAGGTTTGCATGTGTTCGCGATTGTGGACGGTGGTTCGATAGCGAGCTGCGATCCCAGCGAGACGCACGGTTCATACATTACCGCGTATTTTGGTCTGTATACTGTGCTCGAAGACCAAAACAATGGAGAGGGACGGGCATGGGAAGCTGGCTCTGGGTACGTGGTTTGGCTTGAAGTTCGAAGAAAGTTCGACAGCGTTGGGCGGGATGTCAGCATATTGTGGAGGTCCGTGCCAACTCAGCGATCCAATCAAGTTTCGAGGATCTTTATCCGTATCCTTCGCAGATCTGCTCTCGTGCTTGGTCGTGGCTGGCTTCTTCCACTTTACCCACTCCTTCGGTATGTCCCTGATGGGATGTCACGATTTCACACAGTACTGTAGATATGGACTGAGGGGCCGAAGATGGTAGATTTTCCACTACCTTACGTACGCAGTACATACAAGGCGCCCTTCTCCAGTTTCAGCGCAGGGGGCCTACAACTACACGTGCGTAGTGCGCTAACTATACCTTGCGCTGTTCGGTGCTCGAACCGCAAGCGCGGGTGCCTTGGGCACCGATGCCCGGAAGTCCCCAACCACTCAGGACTGCAGGAAGATGTACTGACACAGCGACAAGTCTGGCACAAGCCGGTAACGGTCTGGACCGCCTCTGAATTCCACGTTCCTCAACACGGTTACCCGAGCCTGACCACGCAGCCCGGTAGAGCTTCTTTTGCTCGAGTCTCCTTACGTCAAGCCTAGATGACATGGACGAGAAACATAGTGACGGGGATTCCCACGCGTTCGATCAAGAATTCAGTAGAGGCCGCAGTCCTGATAATCACGTATCACGAGAAACGTCACTGAATTGGCTTTCACTGCTCTAATACTACAGCGCACCGGTTCACTTCTCCAGACCGAAGCGTCTTTTCCACGAGATCTCTATTGAGATCGGGCACGCTAGCGTGACAGCTTATGTGTATGTAGTGGAGGGGGTTCCGGAGCTGAAGCATCCCGTTTCGGTAAGCCGAGATACGTATCTCCGTATCACCAACTTAAACCTAGCCTTCCAGCCACGAGAGGCCGGTAGGCTAGCGACGACGCATTGGATGTGTTGGTCGTCGTGTGTACTGAGTACACTGCATCGTTCAGCTTCCCATCAACGTGGACAGTCAGATGATGCCTAACCAGATCTCTGGCCGTTGAGAAATTCGACTTTCGCATCTACGACATCCAGCCGCCCAGCCACATCTGCTGTGATTGCGCGGAGTAAGCTTCCAATTGGTTTGCCGTTGTGCCGACCGATGCACCTCGGGTTATCGGCAGAGCACCGGATTGGAGCCGCAACAGATGGCCTGGTATGCGACTACACACCACATGTATCGTCAACTTTGCTCTGAGAACCTGTGCCGTAAGTTTGCCTCTTGCGATTGGTATCGTCCCGGAGGCTTGCGATAATTGTTGAGCCGCGGCGTAGCTGGCGCGATTTGGACCCTTGAGATTCCGTTCCGGCAGCAAGGCGCCGTCCCGGAGCTAACCGAGAGGACAGGCATTGGTGATAGGTGTGACGCAACGGACCTACACACAGCCAGGTTAGGCCTTTATTAAGCACTCAGGTAGGTAGTTAACTACCTTAAGCTTGTTTAAAAGCCTCATCATCCTCCTGATAGATTGGGTCACTACCTTAGGTATTGAATAGCTATAACTAACATTTTCGCCGGCCCGAGCGGGCAAGCCGTCTGGAATTGTACGGTGTTGATCTGTATCGAATTTCGCGACGCATGTTCGTTGACCTTCGACATGTACCCACAGCAGAAAACCCACCACACATGCAAGTCAAGGAGGGTGGTGAGGGGACGCTGCAGGAGTGCTCGAGGGGGGGCTCATCAGGCTTCCCCGCCAATCATTGCCTGCATGGGTTAGCCGCGATAAGGCGGGACCTCTTTGCTGCTTGTTCCAAGTCCCCGCCAGAGTCTTGGCGATTGTCTGCACCGTGTGTGTGTAACTCCAGAAGTATTGAATCCGTACAGGTATCAATGCCGGTCTCGGTCCTGTCGCTTCATGAGTGTATACACATTAAATCACTCTCCTTGTTTCGAGGCGTGGTCGATGGATTTGATTGTAATGTTGTGATGGGTCTAAGTTAACGGCGCATGGACATCTTTAAACCCCTCATCATATATCCTCCGGCGATATAGTGGGCGATTGAGGGGCAGAGCAACGGCCCAAGTGCAAATCAATGATATTGCAATGCTTCAGGTACCATGTGCTTCAGAGCACACAGTGTTTGTTCTCTCGACGTCACCCCGCAGCGCGGAGTATGCACAGATGTAATTCGTACTGTACTTACTGTGTACTTTGGCCATGCAGGTGCCTTTGTATGTACACGGTACTTCGGACGACGCCTCAGCAATATGAGCAGCCACTAGCGTCAACCGGAGCCGACCAAAATCTGTGCACCGGTCTTGCCTCTTTTACTTTTGACACCACACATCTGACGTTGATGTGTTCCACAGCCCCCGAACCATCTGATAATTTTGATGTCGCGCTGTCAGCCGAACACACCCGTCTCAACTCCTTTTCGTGCTTGTTTACGCGGTCCATGTGGCAACGGTCCTTGTGGCAACGTGTTATGGCTGTCTAATCGCCATTTCAATTGCGCCAACCGCTCTGGACAAATGCGCTGAATGCCAGACGACACTGCTGTCCAGCATGACGGCCTTGCTTTACTGTGCTCAACAGGATTCCCACCATGGAGCCCCAACGACCACATTCACCGTTCCGTCGACCCTCGCAACCCTTTCTTCACAATATCCTCCCGCCGTCGAATGTTACGCACCGGAGCGCCAATAACACGCCGGTATCATCGACGGGCCTCTTCAGTCCGACTCTCACCCGCCCCCCCAACAGAATTCTTCTCTCGTCGCAGCCCGGCCCCGAGGCTGCGGCACCCGGAGGCTCGAACATGTCGTATCTGCATCCGTTGCAGCTGCGCGATTTGCAGGGCAACCTGCACAGCCTACACGGCCACAAGGTCCGAGAGTAAGTGTTGAGATCAGGATAGAGAATGCTAGGCTTCCAACCCTGATACCACTAGCTGTCCCAGCCCATTCCGCTAACCTCGCCACCAGGACACACAAGGCCAATGTTGAGCATGACTACGCAACGGGCAGAAAGCACATCAATAACTACGAGATCATTGAGGAGATCGGCCGCGGCATGCATGGCAAGGTGAAGCTCGCCCGGAACGTATCGAACGGCGAGTATGTTGCCATCAAGATCATTCCAAGGTTTTCTAAGAAGAGGCGATTGGGCAAGGTCATGGCGATGTCCACCCAGGACAAGAGCAAGAAGGAGATCGCTATCCTCAAGAAGATCCGGCACCCTAATGTCGTCGCGCTCCTCGAGGTCATCGACGATCCGGAGTTGAAGAAGATCTACATGGTGCTCGAACACGTCGAACTGGGCGAGGTTGTGTGGAGGAAGAAGGGCCTTCCCCATATCTGCGAGTACGAACGCCGTCGTGTTGAAAGAGAGATGCACGGCGCTAAGCCCACGCCCGAGGAGGAACGGTTCGAACGACTCCTGCTGCAGCGCCAGGCTGCGAAGGACGCCGAGCGAGCGAAGCTGAGGGCCAAGGCCCAAAGACCTTCGGCCGATTATTGGAGTTTCGAATATGGGCCCCTGGACGATGAGGAGCTTGACGCATACGTTGGTTCGCTAGGCAGAGACGATGCGGTCTTGTCAACAATACGTCGCACCCCGTCCATGGCGAGTTCTCTGGCTGGGTCAAGAGCCACGTCCCGGGCACCTTCTCGGACACAGTCAAGTAAATCGCTGTCGAGGCACCTTGAGGTTCCTCGTGCCGAGTCAAATGTCGCCTCCGTTGCCCAAGAGCGTGAACCGGAAGCGAGCGGAGCTCTACCAAGCAAACCCGACACCTCGACGGCGCTCGACGGGACCATGTACGGCGCGTACGTCGAGGATACTGGTTCGCGTGCGAGGTCGCCCAGCATGGCGGAATCGATCACTTCGCACATCTCCGCCTTCGACTTCAGCAAGGTGCACGACCCCTATGTGGATGACTTCTCCTACGTGCCCTGCTTCACCATGGAGCAGGCAAAGAACACATTCCGCGACACTGTCTTGGGTCTGGAGTACTTGCATTATGAGGGCGTAGTTCACCGGGACATCAAGCCGGCGAACCTACTCTGGACCAGGGATCAGAGAGCGAAAATTGCCGATTTTGGCGTGTCCTACTTTGGCCGACCTGTCAGGGACGGAGAGCCGGATGACACCATCTCGGAATCGGAGGCTAAGGATTTCGACAACGATCTGGAACTTGCCAAGACGGTTGGAACACCCGCTTTTTTCGCACCTGAGCTCTGTGCCACCGATCTCTACGATGCGCCTCCTGGCGAGCAGCCCAAGATCACTGAGCAGATTGATGTTTGGTCCTTGGGGGTCACGTTGTACTGTCTGATCTTTGCTCGCCTTCCCTTCCTCGCTGAGGACGAGTGGCAGATGTTCAGGAAAATCGCAAACGAAGAGGTCTACATCCCTAGCCGACGATTGCGCCCTGTCGATCCCTCCACCAAACCCAGCGAAAAGTCCTTGTACACACGTGTGAACACGCCGCCCTACCGCGATGACGATGAGCTTGCTTATGAAGACATTGAACCCGACCTCCAAGATCTTCTGAGGAAGATGCTCACCAAGAACCCCGAGAAAAGAATCCGCTTGCGTGACGTCAAGAGGCATCCCTGGGTGATCAAGGACATCGACAATAGGATTGCGTGGCTCGACGACACTGATCCGTCGAGGACGACATCTGGCCAAAGGATTCAGGTTGATGAGAAGGATATGGCTCGTGCTGTTGTTCCGCTGAATATCTTCGAGCGTGCGAGATCGGTAATCAGGAAGACCGTGGGCAAGGTCATGCATCGTGGCGATCGGACGGAGAGTGTATCATCTAGGAGGCGTGCTGCCAGCAGCGCAGCATCCTCCGTAGGAGGGGACAGTCCCATAACCGGAATGAGCGCCCCTCATCTCCGCGAGACCCGGCGAAGAAGCTTGCGCCCCGATGATTACTTCTCTCCTCCGGGCCAAACCAGCGGTCACCCCTTGACACACAGTGTCCTGGCTAGCCCCGAGGAAGGGTCCCCGGCGGACACCCTTGCATCTTCCCCTGCGGCGCAGTCATCGAATTTTAGCCACGCTTTGCGTAAGCCACTGGAGTTGCTCACGGCACTTGACGATCAATGGGCTCGGCAGGCAGCCACATCGCCAAACAAACCAGGACCCCGTCATGGACATGCTCGGTCCATCACAAACGCATTTCTCAGTCTGAGCCCACACCACCACACACCAGCCGAAGCGCAGACACTCCCGCCAACGCCACTGTTCGACAGTCCCATGGATGACCCAATCAGCGCACTGAGGAAGGCCCGCGACACGAAGCCTAAGGCAGACGAGCTTGGCCGAGCACGGTCCGTTGACCGCGGACTGTTCGGGAGCAACGATAAACGCGCCGAGGCAATGGTGTCGCTGAGCACGGCTGTCGCGCCGGGCAACGTGCAGTTCACCCCGCGGCCTCGCCATAAGCCGTCAATCGAGCTCATTAAGGGACTTGAGCGAGCTGCGTCTTCGATGCCTCCGACTCCCAATCCGATTTCTGAGTCTCAAAGCGGTCCATTCAAGTCGGAACCAAATATGCACAGCAGGCAGCGTGTTCTTGTCGACGTTGAAGAGGAGCCAGCAACGGCTCATCGCGTCGACGCCTCCGTCGACCCTGGGACACCCCAACGTGACCGGCCGAAGCCATCGACGCCTGAACCAGTGGATCCAGGGTCTACGACATGCCCTCCATCCCCCGGAGACGAAAGATCCCCTCCGAATGAGACGCTTCCGACAGGCAAGTCCTCGAGCTCAACGTCAATGGGCGCACTCACGACCCCATTGACAACCCCAAGCGAGTCGGCGAGCCCGATCTGTGGGCTCAGCAGTCAGATGACCAAGGAGGTTACTGATCGGATGCTCGCTTTCCAGTCGGATCCCTCACTGCCGGCTCTTCTCAGCAGCACAAGTTCGGTATCGGCAGACCCAGAAGGAGACTTCCTCGGCAACCCAGGAGTCGTTGGACGATCTTCGGTCATCGACACGACCGACTCCCTCACGCCTCCGGCCTTGACCAAGGAACCCATCTCGGGATTCCCGCTGGAAGCGCAGGACATGCCGGAAGGCGCAGTCCGCGTGAAACTGGATAGCGCCGCCGATCTCCCTCCGAGCCGCGGCAAGTTTGGCACTTGGAGAGCATCGCGAAGTCACCGTGACGATGATTGTGACGACGATGATGATAGTGATAGCGACGAAGGCTTAACCATGGCCATGCCGAGGAAAAGGCTGCCGACCCCGACGGAGCCTGATTCTGGCTCGCTTCCTAGAGACGCGCAGGCGCCCCAGACACACCGGGTGGACCGACTGATTGGGAATGCGAGACGGAGAGACACCAATTGGAGCGTGGGCAGTACCGAGACGGCCAAGAAGCTCGTCGTAGATGGCGAGTGAGCATGCTGTCAGCATGTCGCCTGTGTTGGGTCCACTGAACGCTCGAATGCACACGCAAATGCCTTTTATTCGTTCCAGTTTCCTCCGCCATCCAGCTGACTTTGTTCCGCGGGCCTGGCTTCCTGATGAAAAAGCGACCAAAAACATGTCTCTTTGTCTTTCCTCGCGGCGCATCGCTCTCGGGAGAGGTTTTCATTTGGCTTTTATAGACAGACTGCCCGCATTTTTTTGGAGTTACATGGTTGCATGGACTGGGTGTTGGGTCGTCGACCCGGTGTCGGTCTCGGATGAAGTGAATGAATAGGGCGGGGGGAAGTGACGGGTGATGGATGGATGACGGATGCTTATAAGTCCTTTTTTCTTTTTTTCTTTTTTTGTTTTGTTTTGGCTTTGGCTACGGCCTGAAACACATGAACCGGTGAACTGATTTCTACTTTGGGGGAGCGGAGTCTTGATTCTTTGGTGTAGGTTGGTTGGAACAGGAGATTGGGGGCGAAGCTTTTCTGGAGTGGGATACCTTGTTACTACTATTACCGCTTTTACTTACCATCCTGTTTCTAGTCTTCTTTTTCTTCATCTTCTTCGGCGGGTTTCTGTGCATATATCTAATCACACTCTCAATTCAGAAATTCGGCAGGCATAACTTGATGAGACATTGATGTATGGCTTGTTCATCGCCGTGGCTACTCGGGTGGGAAATGGGATGTGGGCGTGGTTGGATGGGCAGTCGCGGAGGCGCCAGGTGAATAGTGCAGTAAGCGTTGGTTATATCCAGGGGCTTTGATCTTGTCGGCGGCTAGGATAGCGAGGCTTAGTTCATGCTGTAGAGGTGAGCAATTCAATGGACTCTCTCAGCGATGGGAGGGCGTTGTGTTGCCCCATATCCTAGGCTATGATGCCCATCTGTCCTTGTACTGGTTGTTCTCCGTTTATTGCATAGATGGCCCGGTTGCCCTCGCTGATTCAGCGAAGTCCCCGTCCCTCGGTTCTATCGTATGTCGTATTAGGGACCTGTGTTGGGCCGATATGCCACACACCGCATCTACAAGTATGTATTATATTGTATTGTACATACATACAGCTCCTGCCTTTGGATGGACTCAGATAACTAACTATTTGTCTCGAACATGCTGATCCATACCATGGTATCCGTAGTTGCTGGTGTAGATCGACCGAGGCAGTGGGTGGGTATGCCACGTAACGTATATGGAGTCCGGCCGATGTTACTCGAGCCGGACCATCGTGAGAAAGTCGTGTTCTACCTCCGTACCGCGGTTGTTCTTGTCCACCATCCACGCTAGATGATCGTGGGTTTGGTGGTTCGGTTTTCTCGAATCGGGAAGCCGTGAGGGGTGGAATTGGAGATGCGGCGGTGAGGCTCGAATTGAGGTGAGAGTACGGATTACGGAGTACCTTGATACTTACGTGTGATCGGTACGAGATATTGGTAAATACATACAGGCCTGTAATTTACGCTTGCCTGCCGGAATGATCTAGATGCTTGGCATTATCGGACTTGGAACTCGCCAAACGTCGGCCGGCCGCCTACGGCACCCCACATCATAATCGTGAACCAGCCGTCATTAAGGTATGGCCGGCGACAAGAAACGGAGCAAGACCATAGTGTTCCTGCACCCGGACTTGGGAATTGGCGGGGCCGAGCGGCTGGTGGTGGACGCGGCCGTGGGACTGCAGAAGCGCGGACACAGAGTGGTCATCTTCACGAGCCACTGCGATCCCGCGCACTGCTTCGACGAGGCCCGCGATGGTATGTATACAAAACTGACTGCAGGTCTACAGTACCCATTGGTCATGGTCATGGTCATGGTCATATGCTAATTCAGAAACGCCAAAACCACACAGGCACCCTCGACGTCCGCGTGCGCGGCGACACCGTCGTCCCAACGAACCTTCTCGGCCGCTTCGCCATCCTCTGCGCCATCCTGCGGCAGCTGCACCTGATCCTGCACATCGCGCTCTTCACCTCGGAACTGCGCGACCTCAGCCCCGACGCCTTCTTCGTCGACCAGCTCAGCGCCGGCCTCCCGCTGCTGACATGGCTCTCCGCCACCACCACGCCCATCTTCTTCTACTGCCACTTCCCGGACCTCCTCCTGGCGCAAGGGCGCGCCCGCCTCTGGAAGCGCCTCTACCGCGTCCCCTTCGACCGGCTCGAAGGGTGGAGCATGGCCTTCGCCGACGCGGTCGCCGTCAACTCGGCCTTCACCCAGTCCATCGTCTCGCAGACCTGGCCGGCCCTGGCACGCAGCAAGATCCTGCACGTCGTCTACCCCTGCATCGACACCTCCACCTCCACCTCTATCTCCTTCTCCTTCTCCCCACCCTCCGGGCCCGATAATGACAATAACAATAACAACAACAAGGTCGTCGAACCGCTGCCCTGGACCAGCGACGGAATCATCCTCTCAATCAACCGCTTCGAGCGGAAGAAGGACGTCGCGCTCGCCCTGCGCGCCTTCGCCCTCCTTGCCCCCCGGCAGCGCAAGCGGGCGAGGCTGATCCTCGCGGGCGGGTATGACAACCGCGTGGCCGAGAATGTGTCGTACCACGCGGAACTGGTGGCGCTGGCCGACGAGCTGGGCCTCAAGAACGCCACGGCCAAGACCCTGCCTTCGGCGCTCAGCGTGATGTCCTCGTCATCGTCGTCGTTGGAGGAGAACGAGGAGGAGGGTGTGCAGGTGCTGTTTCTGCTGAGCGTGCCCAACGTGCTCAAGGAGATGTTGCTGCGCTCGGCGAGGCTGCTCGTGTATACCCCGTCCAACGAGCACTTCGGCATTGTGCCGCTCGAGGCTATGTTGCGCGGTGTGCCGGTGCTTGCGGCGGATAGTGGCGGGCCGAGGGAGACGGTTGTCGAGGGGGTTACGGGCTGGTTGAGGGACCCCGGGCAGCCGAGGGCTTGGTGTGAGGTCATGGATCGGGTGCTGAATGAGATGGGGGAGGAGGAACTGAAGAAGATGGGCAGGGCCGGGGTGGAGAGGGTGAAGGGGAGGTTTGCGGAGGCGCAGATGGCGGAACGGTTGGAGGGGATCTTTGAGGGAATGGAGAAGAAGAAGGGGTTGAGGAGGTCTGGGGTGTCGGGGTTGGTGGTCTTGGTGGCTGCCGCTGCCGTGGTAGGGGCCTTGATTGCCGTCATGCAGGCTGGTAGGATAGGAAGGTAGATGGTGTCTAGTCCACAACCTCTGGTTCTCGACCTTATCATACCGTGAGCAAGTCCCCGCCAGTTGTCAGAGTAGCCGATCGTCATGTAAAATCCCGATGCGGATGCGGTGCTGCCTGCCATCACCATACTGCACCCTGACCTACCCTCATATGCTTCCTGTTCCTCACAGGCCAGCTTCCAGAGCAGATCTTTCACATCACATCACATCATCACCAACCCCCGGTTAGTTGGAAGTCATTGAAAACCACAAACCGAACTTCTGATTATGCCACGCGGGCTCCTGTCACTCCCGTCACTCCCGATGCCAGTGACCGTGATGAATGTACCCTACATATCGCCCCTTGTTTTTGTGATTCCATGCCGTCGTCAGTCCCTGAAATAAAGCAGCAGCAGCAGCCATTGCGCCCAATCCGGCAATAAACAGCAACGCCCAGAGAGAGCCAGAGGGCGCCCATCTCACCCGAAGGTTACTATTACGGCGCCCCTCCCCCCGACAACCGATCCACCACCCCTCTTGTTTGTGAACCCTATCCAGTCCTTGAGTGAATGTGCCATGCCATGCCATGCCATGCCCATGCCTTGCTCACTGACTGACTTGACTGACTGACCGTCCCGATACCATTGGTAGAGAGAATCGGAAGAAAAGAAAAACGAAGAATTAATGAAATAAGAAGGAAAGGCCCAGAGAAACAACCTTGATTCGAAAAGCAGAACCTTGCCATGAATGATGCATCGCTCATGAGTCTAAAGCTGGCGTGATGGCAACACAATGGCCCCCATGCGCCCTTGCCCGACTGCCCGTGACGACCGTGCTGGTATTGTATTGGTATTGGTACCACGACCGCATCCGCATCCACCCTTGCCGTCGTCAATACTGTGCTGTTGCTCATGAGCGAAGTGAAGAGCTGGGCCGTCATGACATGCCCCCCCGTGCCCCGTGAGCGACCGTCCTGATTTTTGATGCCACGGAAATAAAAGGAAAGAAGAAGAGAGAGAGAAGAAACTCCAGAACAAAGCGACTTTTCTTTTTGTTGTTGGAAGCCAGACCCTCAGAATTTCTCATGGCGCCACCACCGCAGAACCGGAGAAAGAGTCCTGCCCAAGCCCTTAACTAGGCTGGCCCGAGTTCGCTTGAGACAAATGCGACGCAGCGCGGCCGGAGAAAGAGAGAGAGAGAGAAGGGGGGGGGGGGCGGGGGGACCCCTAGTATTTCATAACGAGAACCGAAGCCTTGAGGATATTCTTGGCATGGATCGTCGAGCCCTGATCCTTCCGCAGGGTGATGGCGGGCGTCACGCACAGCTTAACGCGGCACTTCTCGGCCTGCAGCTGGCGAGGGTCGGTGGAACAGTCCAGCGCCTCGTGCATCTCGGTCATAAACAGCGAGTTGACGTCGTTAAATGTGAACACGAAGGTGATGGGCGCCTGGAGGACCTTGGCCGAGACGTCCCAGGCGGTGCTGGCAATCACTGAGATGTCGTAGACCACGCCGTCCTTGGCCGCTTTGGAGTCCATGTCGCTGGGGAGAAAGACTGCAAGGATATCCTTGAGTCGGCTCGCATGCTGTGTGATTTTGTTGGATCGGTATTTGGTTGCTTCCGGGCTTTCGACAATCTCCCGAATCAGCTTTGCGCGTCGCTCAATGAGAGCCTGCCTCTCGTGCGGCTTGGACGCTATATGGCGGGGGAAAGATGACTAGTCAGTTGACAAGCACGCACGATATTAGGGGGGAATGCGTTTTGTTTTACTCACCGTCTATGGCGTCCAACTCGCGCTCCGTCGCCCGCAGCTTGTCACCACAGTCGGTGGAATAGTCGGCCCACGCTTGCACGCTCATCATCGCTGTGAACACGTACTGGAAGATGAGGCGCTGCAGGAAGTAGGTGCGGGCCCCGGGGGAATTCAGCAGCCGCAGGACGTACTTGCCACGGCTCGCTTCCTGGTCGTGGGCCGCGAGGTTCGAGATGAACCCCCAGAGGTAGCCGTCCGTCTGCTTTTGGAGGCGGGCCTTAAGGTCTCCCTCGACAGGGGGCAGCTGCTGGAAGTACTGCACGCAGAAGCCGCGGATCATCGAGAAGAGCGTGTTAAATTCGTCCGCCCACTTCACTGTCTCCGGGTCGGACAAGACGGCGCGGGGGGTGTCTCTCTTCCGCTCCTTGGGACTGCCTTTCCCATCTGTATTGAACCTGTCGCCGGGATGCAGGTCGAGGGACGAGCCGGACGTGTCCGCGACCGACTTCTTGCGCTGCAGCGGCGGGTTATTAGCGGGGAGAGGGAAAAATGGCGGCGGCCCGTAGTGCTGCACGTATCCGCCACGAAACCAGGGGGGGCCGTAGTTCCAGTAGCTGGCAGGCATTGCGTTACTCGGCGGCTGCGCGGTCTTCGGACGGTTGTTGCCCGGACGTTCGGCGGCGGCGGGCTGCGCAGTCTTCGGGCGCGTGTGTCCCGGACGTTCGGCGGCGACGGGCCGCGCGGCGGCGGCACTGGTCGCGCTGGTAGTAGTAGTAGTGGTGGCCGCACGTCGCCCAGCCATCGGTCCGGTCGGAGGGCGGCGGAGTTCCTCCAGCAGGGCGGCGCGCTCCTCTGGCGCAGTGTGAATCTGCATCCAGAGGTACCGCTTATTGCTAACCTGCTCCTGCAGGATCTGCCATTTCGATTTGATTGTTAGTGCTGCAATCCCCCAAGGGCCCGACGCCACCAGAAGAAGGGTCGGTCCACGTACTTTCTTGGCCTCCTCGGCCTCGCGCAGCTGCGCCTCTGTCTCACGAAGCTGCTCACGCAGGGACTGTGGTCAATCGACGGTTAGCTTAGCTGCTCGCAGCTCGTTCAGTCGACGATCTGCGACTGTCCGGGACGTACCTGGATGGTCTTCCGGTCCTCGTCACTGCGCCTCACCACGCTGGACATGGCCTTCTCGGACCGCTCGCACCGCTGCTTCCAGTTCTGCAGCTCGGCCTGCAGGCTCTGGATCTTGCCCTCGGCACTGGCGGTGCCGGGGAGCACGTTGTTCACCGCCGACTCCAGCGCCCTGAAGTCGCGGGCGAGGCTCTCGTTGGCCTCGCTCAGCTTGACCGAGCTCCTCACCAACTCGGTCATGTCGTAGTCGAACGAGACTAAAAAGTCTCGCGACAGCGCCGGCTGCCGGTAGAGGCCGCAGCGCAGCCCCCACATCCGCGCCTGGCCCTTCTGGATCTGCTCGCGGTGCGTCTGAGTTTTATCAGTCAGCACACAATGAAAGATGTTTTTATGTGAAAATCATGATGGAGGTGATGGGGAGAACGAACGAAACTGGGTCATAGAAAGGAATCATGAGTGGGTGATCATAGAAGGGAAATCTTGGATGGGTGATCATAAGAAGAAAAGAAAACGAAGCTGGGTGATAATAAAAGCGAACAAAAGTCGGTAATAGAAGCAAGATTGAGAAGTTTGTGATAAAACAGAACAAAGTTGGGGGAGGAAGATAAATTTACCTTTTGCGCCGCATGGATCCCGGGCTCCAGGGGGTCCAGGCGGACCCCCTGCGCCGCCTCCATGAACGCCTGGGTGGTTGACCCAGGGAGGAAGGAGGGCGTCGGGGCAGGCGGGAAGGGGGAACCGGCGAAGGGCGCGCCGGGAAACACCCCAGCCGGGGGCGGGCCATAGGGCAGGGGCTGCGGCGGCGGGGGGTACCCGAACGCCATGGCCGGGCCACGCGGGGGACCAATCCCGGGGCCCGGGTACGCCGCCAGCGTTAGGGCCGGCGGCGGCGGGGCAACGCCACCAGGGGGGAACCCACGCACATCCTCTGGACGCAACGAGCGCCCCTCGCCCGCCCGAGGGGCGCCCGTGCCACCGCGGGGACCACCGCGACCGCCACGACCGCCAGCAGGGGGCGCCGAACCACGAGGAGCTCCCGACATGATGATGATGGCCGGTGATGTGAGGGTCGGCCAAGGGGTGCAGAGACGCGAACGGGACGCGCACACAGAACGGCAGACGGCCGGCCGACTTGGTCTGCTGAGTGAGGGAAGTTGGGTTCTGAGGCGGGCGGATGCGGCCCGAATTTTCTGGATGAGAAGTGTCCGCGCGTAAGACAGAACGTGCTGGTTTCTGCTGCCGTTGTTAGCAACACGTGAGGCTCGTTCCTGTCTTGTGGAGGGCTTTACTTACTTAGGCCGCGGTCTTTGCAACAGGCCGGGGGGAGATAAGAGAAGTGCTGTGATAGAATATCAGTATGTCAATTGCCCATAGTCTCTGCAGTAAGGAGAAATACCTTAGCGATGCAGCCGTCGAGCTCCCGATGGGACCAAGTCGTGCTGCTCTGAACTGCTGAAGAAATGGGAGAAGATGTTGGTTCAGAGAAGTGAGGGAAGTCAGTAAGTCCTCGGAGGGAAGTTTTCAAGGGCCAACGCTATCCAAAGAAGGAGCACAATGCCGATACGCGCGAACCGCTCGGTGAATGGGCTGAAGAGAAAGTCCTCAAAGAGTGACGTGGTCAGAGAATAAGTAGCAGAAGACCGATGAACAAGATGAACAACCGGTAGCTGCTGGGAAACGATTGGGGGAATGGTTCTCGAGGCGCAGATAAGAGGTCCAGAGAAGAAGAAGGTTTCCAGGCGAGGACTGCAAAGTGAATCCTGGAAGAAATATTCTTGAGGAGGGAAGCCCCGTGAGAGTCGGTCGTAGAATAGCCGAGCTTTAGCCAGTGAACCGTGGTGGGAGGAAGGCACTCGGACTTCCCGGGGTACCGATGAAGACCAATACGCGGCTGGGAGAGACCGACTGCTCGTTGTGGGATGAATGTGCAAGAGAGCCTAGACGCGTCCCTGACCGTGGCGATACGCGGCTTAAGAGGAGGTGAGGCTGGGCCCGGGCGCTGTGTCTGTGTGTCAACGCGGTCCAAGCAAGCCTCATGGCATCCACAACACCGAAACCTGACTCGCCGAACCGTCTGATATCGGATGAAACCGCTCGAGCCATGGGGATCCATGGGCGTGAGCCGCCATCTAAGCGGCGCGGGAAGAACGAATGTCCGGCCGGCGGTTCGTGGACGAACGGACACATAAAGTCCTTCACGGAACGTACCTCAGAGGTGCTGGCGGGCATGTCTTCGACCTGCTGATATCGTCAGTCAAGCCCTGGATGTGCTGTCATTAATGACAAGGAAGCTAACTGATACTGAGCATTCACACAGAAATAGGAGACGACAGGGGGAAAGAGACCAACAGACCTTTCATGCCCCAATACCACATCACCATCCCAAAGGCCTAGCCTAGGAGATCGACCCTAATCCTGAGAGCTACGTCTCGGCAAAGAGGGCCGCCCACTGGGGCGACATCCCTCACCCTCGGAGACACTGGCCGGGGAACGAGCTCGATCATCAAGCTAAGGGCGAGAGGATGGTCATCGAAAAAGGGCTTTCTTGCCGGCTATGGCGGCCCCGCGCCGTGCCGAGGTAAAGAAAGAGGCACACACATGAGGTCGACAAAGGCCTGGGGGGGGAGGCAAGCAAGCTCGCCGGGCGAACCACCAAAGCCTTTGTGAGACAAGCCACCGCGGCAGCGAGGTCTGCGGATGAACATGTCGCTGCCCGTTCACCTTCAGTGAAGGGGCAGCCATCAAGGAAAATCGCCGGCGCACTAACCCAACCCCCCCCCCCCGGCCAGAGCAGAATGAGAGCAATCCCCGCCAAAGGAGGGCGCCCGGACAAAGCTGCTCATCCCCCCTAACCATGTCGACAGCTGAGAGGATATCCTGGCTGGAGAGTAGCCCTGCGCTAAGCTAGGAGTTAGTATGAAGGTCACGCCCCTGCTTTGTCAACATGAAAGCGAGGTAACAGAAGATGAACAACGAAGGAGGTTGAACAACGAAGGAAATGGAAGAGTGAAGGAAGTGGAAGAACGAAGGAAGATGGAGAACAAGGCTGGAGGGAGAGCCCTTTATAGGGGGAGCAGAGATGGCCCCCACTGGGACGCATCGAGAGAATCCCGCTAGCCACATCGCCCGGGCCGAATCGTAGATCAGATCCTGGTCCCGGCCCCCATCGTCTGGAACACAGATCCAATAAGATCGTCGATCTGATGTCGAGAGGCATCACGCGTCGTCGGAATAAGGTTTAGTGCGGTTCCGGAAGGGTTCCGGAAGATGAGACCACGTCACCCGGGTCCGGGGAAGGGGATCCAGGATCTCGGTTCCCCGGGTAGAGATCAGATGGTGGTCCGGGTATTATCTCCGTGAACCGGACTTTATATATAAGACGGTGGTCTGATGCCGAGAAGCATCACACGTCGTCGGATTAAGGTTTGGTGCACTTCCGGAAGATCTGATCGTGTAACGCAGGCCCGGATAAGCAGGTCCAGGTCCAGAGATTCGGGACTAGGGATCCGTGATCCGGAACAGTTCCCTGGGAGGTCAGATCGCCGTCCTGGCACTGTCCTCGTATAACACAGACCTGATAGGATAGTAGTCTGGAATGTGAAAAGGAATCACGCGTCGTCGAATCAAGGTTTATTGCAGTTCCGGAAGATTAGATCGTATAACGCGGGTCCGTATAAGCGGGTCTATATCCGGGGATCCGGGGATGGTGTTCCCCGGGTGGAACGGATCACGGTCCCGGCACTGCCATCCGCATAACTAAGATGGCGGTCTGATGTGCTAAAAAGGCATCACGCGTCGTCGGAATAAGGTTTAGTGCAGTTCCGGAAGAGTTCCGTAGGTGTTGTGGAAGATCAGACCATGTCACGAGGGCCCGGGGATGCAGGTCGAGGAACCGGTTCCCCGCGTGAAGATCGGACCGCGGTCCCGGACTTGCATCGGACGGAAAAGACGGCCCGATGTTGAGTTGGGAAGAACTATGCATGCGCCTCACGTGGGTGAGAGCACTGCTCAGGAACAAGGGCGACAGAGCAGGCAGAGAACAACAATGTAAGGAAGAAAAAGAAAGGAAGGTTCTCACCGAGCTGGCACGGAGCCTGTGGAAAATGGAACTTAAAGTTGGTTGACATGGGAGCAGCCTTGGTTAACAAGTCCCTCCGGGTTGGAACTTGGAAGAAATAACGGGGTAACGACCGGCTGTCGTACCCCGTGTTGGCTGAAGAAGGAAAGAAAGGAGGATCCTCGGAAAGCCCCGGGGGAGAAGGAACTTGAAGTTGGCACGGGTGCAGACCGGCTGCCGTACCCAGTGTTGGTTGAAGAAGAGAGGAAGATGTTGGTTCAAGAACAGAAGGTATTGGTTGAACAAGAGACGACGCAAGGTTCCCGGAGTGCTCCCCGGCGTGTGACTCCTTAATGAGGAGCCTCTGGAAGGACGTTGAAGCTGACCTGGGAGAGAAAAGAGGGCCAAAGCAAGTGGGTCCTCCCAGCCGGACACCCACTTTGCCCGTCGCCGGAAGTGGGAAGTCAGCACAGCATACAGCCAGCCGTCTGTTGGGCACCGTTCCGGAGCCCCGGAGACCGCTCCGGGAGAATTCGAGGGCTGCGAGGACACACTGAACGCCGGCGTTCTCGGAATTGTTGGGTTTGCATGCGACATGGTGCTGTCCGTGAAGTAGCCGCCTTCCGGCACGCGCCCGTAGTCCGGTTGGTGGTGTGGTGTGGTATTGGGTCACGGTCCGGATCAGAGCTGTGATTGTGGGATGCGGAGGGGAAGTTCTAGCTCCGCAGGCGTTTGCCGGGAGGAGGTGCGCGTCCGGGACGGAGCAAGGACCAAGGAGCACACCTGAGTCCTGACCTACATATAGGTGAGCATATGCATCCTCAAGATGGGCTGATGGTCTGACCACGGTGAAAGGGGCTGGGCTCGGCACCGTGGCACGTACTAGTACCGGGCAGGTCAGACGAAATCGAGAGAACTCGGAACGCCCCGGGGGGCTGAGTTTGGATGCAGGACGCAAACAGGCAGGAGTAGCTCAGATGCACTTGCTCTTCGTCAACGCTTCAGCTGCCGGCCGATGGCGTCTGCCGAATACTGGTAGGACGACGGCATGGGACCCGACGACAACAACGCTTGCTCGGCCCTGTGCAATGAAGCCCCGGTTAGCAACGATTAGGATGTCGGTATTTCTCGGACAGTCGTGTCAAGACGTTGGCATTGTAAGAACGAGGACGCACCAAGTCAGGGGAAAGAGTCTCAATAATATGGAGAACAGTCGTGCCATGATGTTGGAGGCCGGCGTTGTAACAAAGAATGAGGACGTACCAAGTCAGGGAAAGGAGCCTCGATGTTATGGAGGATAGTTGTGTTGTGATGTTGGTGATGTTGGAGGCAGGCATTGTAACAGAAGGAGGATGCATCACGTCAGGGGGAGGGCGTCTCGAAGCGGTAAGGGGGCAACAGAAGCTCAAATGAACCCGCTTGAGAACCTATGACTATGGTTAGTGCTGGGGAACCTTTGTTTCGGTGTTGCCCACTGTAGTAGCATAGCTAAGGAGTGAAGAGAAAGGGGTGAAATGTGCTTGAGTTTGTGGACTGGTGGTTGTGGGATGTGAGAGTTCAGAAGTCCAGAGCCCGGCCGGTTGGCCAGACTTTTTGCCTTTTATACCTACCCCAGGTGTACGTTGCACCTTCCAACGGAGAGGCTTCCAGGATTCACCCAAGCCTCCCCTTTTTGCTAAGATACCTGGTGGAGAAAAGCAGGCACAACAGGTCCGCAGACTTGGAGTCACAGCATCTATATCATTCAGTGTCAGCAGTGAAGCGACTTAGAGCACCGCAGACATGGAAGTGCGGGCAGATGTCATGCATAAAAAAGCCTGAAGGTTTATTCTCATAAGCAGACTACCTGAATGGAGCAACGGGCCAAAGTCTTAAGGAACGCTGCTCTCTGCGGGCGGATCGCATCCCCCACCTATGCGAGCCTGGTTCTGCCTAGGTACAAAAATCAGCAACTGCAACAACGCCAACGCCATGCGGGAGGCTTCAGTGATCCGCTCTTGCCAGGGGTTGATCAGCCAACAGGAGATCAAATCGAGAAGCAAGGCAGGTCGAGTCTATGACCGTAAATCAGGGGTTTTCCCACTGTCTTAGGAAGCCGGGAGGGTTGGTGGAATAGCGGACGGTGGAATAGCGAATGATGCTGGCGAAAGGCATAAAGCCATCGACTCCTAGAATCGGGGAAAGATAATCCAACAAATGAGTACCTAGTCAATGTCGAGACTAGGGCTAGAGCGCGGACAGCCATCGCCTTGTGCGGCGATACGGTAGCCTGATGGCATGTTAGAATCCCGCTGCACAAGCGCAGTAGAGACGGATGGCTCACTGTGCGGGATTCCTATGCAGACAACAGGGTGCCGTGATTAGTGTCTCAGATGGCCTTGGTGCGAGAGAACAAACTGCTGTAGACCGCGTCCACAACCGGAGCAGCTGTGATCATCCGCCCATCGAAATAGCGGCCGTTCAAGCCCTTGATGGCGTTCTCTCCGCCCTGAACCTTGTCAAACTTGAGGTATATGTCACCCGCGGAATTGGCGTCAAGAGCGATGTGGACGACGTGGCCGTATTTCTCCTCGGCCTCTTGTCGAACTTCTTCTTCGAGCTCCTTGGCCCAGTCCTCGCCCTCTTGTCTGTTGCCGCGTCAGTATAACTCTCTTCAACTGAGTGGGAGTTTGAAAAAGGGAGGTACGCACTCGGCAGGGTCGAACATGTTGTGCAGGACCACACAACGACTTGCCATGCTGACATTGACAGGCAGTGGCTTCGGCGCCTCGGTCTTGGGCTTGAGAATCTGTCGCTCAGGTTGGCCGTTGGTTGGCTCGTCAGTTCTTGCCAGCTTCCGCATGAGAGCGTCACGGCTGTAATTGTTAAAGTTCACACCAGCGACATCGGTGTCATCTAACGCACTGGCACCGGTACCCTTGTCGTTGTCTCGGCCACCGGCCCGGTCGAAGTTGGAAGCCTGGGGGCCTCTGCCCCCGGCGCCGGAGAATGCGGATCCCTGTTGGTTTTGGCCTTGGAATCCCCGTAAAAGGTTCGCAGTTGACTCTGGGGTAAACTTATCGTTTCCAAGACCAACGCGGATCGGACGACCGGCGAGGTCAAACCCGTTCATCTTCTCAAGAGCCTCACGTGCCTGAGTAGCATCGCGGAACCTATGCGGGGGGTTAGTAAACAGTTGGTGGAAAGAGAAGGGGGGGGGGGGGGGGGGAGGAGGGGGAATGAATCAAAGAGTGAAACATACTGGACAAACCCGTAGCCTCGGCTCCGACCGTTATCATCTTTCTGCAGCTGGACGAATTCGAGCTCACCAAAGGGCTCAAAAACATGCTGTAGATCGGTCTCCGTGATACTAAAGTGGATGTTCCCGACATATAGTCGGTGGAACGGGATGGAATTCGGGTGGCCCGACGACTCTGTGTTTCGTGCTTGACGATTCTTCTCCGCCTCGGTAGGCTGAACGATAACCGGAATACCTAATAGTTTCTGACCAGTGAGCTGGAGGGCGGCCGCAACGGATTCTTCATTTTTGAACTCGACGTAGCCGACACTGCAAAAAAAATCTGTTAGCCTTCGTCGCGCCATCACCAAGGAGGAAAGAAATCAACGGAGTGAACGCACCCTTTAGATCGGTTGCTAACACGATCCTTCACGATCTGGGCTTCGGCAACGGGGCCGGCCTTCTCGAAGAACTCCTTCAGCTCGCGAGTACGGAGGCGAGCGGCCAGCTGCTGGACAAAGACGGTCCGGCGGTCACGCTCATCCGGGGGAGGCGACGGCTCTCGGGGCGTGCTGTTTCTGCCGGCACTGCCACGGCGCTCATCATCGCGGCGCCGATAGCTGCGATCGTCGCGGTCACGGCGGTCGTCACCAGGGGGTCGATAGTGCCGCGTGGGCGAGCGGGAGCGCGAACGGCCGCCACGCCCACGGCCACTGCCACTGCCGCGGTAATAGTCTCCGTCGGGTCTATGACGACGTGAGTGTCGGCCAGAATCACGGCTCCGGCTCCGCCGCCTACTCTTGTGGCTTCCGGCCTCACTTCTGGGCGTGTCTCTTCCGCTCGGCGACGAGGTGCGGTGCCGGCCGCCGCTGCGATCCCGGCGGCGCTCACGACTCCGGTCACGGCTGCGATCCCGGCCACGGTCTCGGTCGCGTTCGCGGTCCCGACGTTCGCGGTCGCGATCATACTCGCTGCGGCTTCCGTTCTGGGGCGAGTCGCCATTAGCGGTTGCCTTGCTGCCCTGCTCCTTGGAGGACGCAGTCGAATCAAGGAGGGCCTCCACGTCTAAGCCTGACATTTTTGAATCAAGCGCAGCGGCGCGTTGATGTCGATTTTACTGGGTTACAGCTGAGATGCAGATTGCAAACGTGGAAAAGCCGCGATGTTTACGATGTCGGGGGGCGGCGAAATAGCCTGACGAGAGGGATCAACTTTGAAGGTTGGGAAATGGTAAATTGTGGCTCGAGAAGTTCTTTGCTATAACTGAAGGATCACGTGGTGGCTTGGCATTTTAGGCTTCGGTGCACCGTGTGAATACAGACTGAACACGTCTGTAGCAGTGCTTACACAGGACAGCTTCGATATGTGAATATGAAGGACCCCAAGACTGAAGCGCAGGAGGAAAGGCTTGTTGATAATATCTTTGATATCTTTCTTTGACAATTGCCACAAACCCAGTGAATTACTAGTATTAGGGTATTTCCAACACAGTACCACATGGAGAAGCCGTTTTGAGAGAATTAAATCCATGGCATCCATCACATGCCTCACTCAAAACTCAGTTGTAGTTTGGCGGCCGAAAACACCCGCTGCTGCAAGGCCACATGAAAAAGCTGCAAGACCACCCACCTGCACCACCCTTATTATGAAGGGCAGCCGGCAGATGCCTGCTATGTACCTTGCCTCGCCGGCCTCATTACAAGATATATGTCCCTCAACCCAGTCATTAACTCGTCATGCAGTCGCCTAGATCTTCTTCTTCGTCGCCGGCCCGAGTTCGGTGCCGAACACGTAATCCCAGAAGGGGCTGGTGACACCAAAGCCGTTCTCGTAGTCGAGGAAGTGGTGCTCGAGGTGGAGCTTCTTCAGCTGCTTCCACCACAATGGCAGGTTCTGGTGGTGCAGGAAGTAGTGCGTCAGGTCGTAGCAGATGTAGCCGAAGACACCGCCGCAATAGACAGCCGTTGCAATGTGCCAGTTCCAGAAGAAGATGGTGTGGGCCAGCTTCCAGAAAGGCGTCGCCAGCGCAAGGAACAGTGTGGGCGGCATGACAAGACGGTACTTGTCCATGGGGAGGTAATGGTGGATGCCGTGTAGAGTGAAATGTAAGGTGATGCCCACGCGGTTATCGGGAAGGTAGCTAACATGTGTCAGCAGGAAGCCACACAAGGTGCAGAAAGCAAGAAGCACTCACTAATCAAGGTGGAACAAGAACCGATGCATGATGTACTCAATCAAGGTCCACAGACACAAGCCAGCCACAAAGCAGGCGACCTCTCCAGCCGGATTGCTGAACCCCTTGCTGGCGAGGTAGAGACCGTAGCAGACAGGGGGGACCCAGACCAGCGGGATAACCCACCACGGCGTCTTGGTGAGAGGCTCGAGGAAGTTGCCAAAGAGAGGAGCCGACGCCCCGCCCCTGTAGTGGCGTGGCCTGTGGACCTGGTCCAGGTAGAACTCCTTGGAGAAGCCGCCATTCCAGACTTGCGGGAACAGCGGCCGGCTGAGGTCAAGGAACTTGTGCGTCTTGTAGTCGGAGGCGATGTCGGTGTCCTTGGTCAGGTCCTCCTCACAGGACATGCCCGTCCTCGGGTGCACGTTGGTGCCATTCGCGCCATTGGCCAACCCATTGCCGCTCGCCGACTTTGTCGTTCCGTTCGCAGAGGCAAGGAAGCCAACCAGTGAATCGTCAAGGACCTCGTAGGCCGCCTCGGAGTGCGCATGCGACGCCTCGTCCTTGAGAATGTCGGTGATGTCCTTGCCCGCGTAGTCGAGCACCAGGTCGGCGCCGCCGGGGTGGGAGTCAACGAAGTCCGTCACGTCGTAGACATTGTTGCCTACTGTGACGAAACAGGACTTCCTCGAGTTGTGCGACTCGACCTCGGCGAGCGTGAATGTGGGCAACGTCCGGCCGGGCATCTTTGCGGCTGCTTAGAAGCAGAACGGCGATAGATAGATAACGCTCTGGCACTGAAGGGCGAGACCGAAGCGTAAGAAGGCAGGTTCAGAGAGCGACGAGAGCTATGGAGAGATCATGAAAGGGAGAGGAACACCCAGGACATCGCAAAACTTCTATTGACCGCTGCGGACTAGGCGGATGAGATTTTGTTCAAGATTCAGGGGTCCCGCGAATCACAGGCGCGAACAGATTCGGATGCGCGTTCCTGCCATCGGACCACAGTGGCGTTACGCACTGGACATGGCCGTAAGAACCGCCAAGCTTTCACGGAAAGCATGTAAAAATCACCCGATCTGAAGCCTTCGGAAAGGAGCGAATCCGAAGCTTACCTAGGTAGGCAAAGGAAGGCTCGGATAGTCTGTTCTAGGGCTGCAGAAGTACACCCATAATACCTTACTTGGAGGAAGTGACGACGAGTATTGTAGGGCTCTGAGACCTCTTTCGGACCTTCCGGATCGAAGACCATCTATGTACCTTAACCACGTATCGTATTTACTACCTTAGGTAAGGTACCTTACCACTGCCCGAACTTGAAACGTTCCATTATTGTTTTACCAGCTGATGCATGAAATTGCTTTTCCATTACGGCAAACGAGGACAACGCTCTTGGCGCCAAGCTAGGTATTCGCCCAACGAGCGCTCGGCCAGCCGATGGCGGGGTCTTGCAGTGCCCCTCCTCATCCGGGCATTTTTTTTTCAATGCTGCCCAGTGGGAAAGTTGTCAACTCCTCTCGTGACATAGGGGATCGTAAAACGGAAGGCTATGTTAGGTAGGTAATTGGTAGTTTGTCTTGCGTGAAAGCCTTCACACAATCTCAATGCAGCCTATGAAGAGGCTACTATATCATAAACGATGGCAGTTGTAATGATGCCTTGAGAGTGCAATGTGCCGCTTACACCGTGAATTCCACTGACGTAAAGGCATCGCCTTCTTGGCATCCACCACACAAGTTCAACTTCAGCTTGCTGAGCTTACGGAGGCCGCCAAAGTTTACTCATCTCTCTTCAACTCTAAACTCTTGTTGCCGTGTCATCATCATCTAGCAGGTCAAATTTACGCACCAACGTAATCTGTGTGTGCGTGTACCCGTATCCAAGTGCGGAGGACTTGAATACTGACAGAAGTTCAAGACTGCTGGATTTCATTGCTGATATAGCCAACACATCTCCCACCATCAACGGCATGGCAGGGCTCAGGATGGGCTGGAGCAGTACGCTCCTGGTCCTCGCTCTGCTTCTTGTCGTTCTTCCGGGAAAAGCTGCCGCGTTCGGTGCTGGCAACATTCCCTCAATCGCCCAGGTTGAGGGCCACAACTGGAGACATGGAGGTGCGTGAGGGTTACATTTTAAGTCCCATGCATGAGCATGACTGACAGGCTGTGATGCAGACATCGAGGACGTGCTCAAGACCCTCGCCTTCCTGCATGGGAAGAAATGGACGACGCTGATGGTCTCGCGCGTCTACTTTGGCAACTGGTTGCGAGACTACTCGCAGGCGGTCGATGTCGGTAGCTTGAAGGGAATCAATGCAGCCACCATTAGAATCATCGTATGTTGTTCGTGTGCTCACATACTCTACCCCCCACACTGACGGTTCCAGGTCTGGGTCCTGTCCTTCATGGCCCACGGCTACGCAACCGAGGAATTTGAGGTGACCGACGAGCGCTTGGGCGTCTACCGACCGGAGGAGCACATCGACAACCCGCTTGGCTATGCCGACAACCAGGATGCCCGCAAGTATGATCCCCGCCTGCGCCCTCCCGTGGATCCCAGGGAACTCGAGATCGACCCGCGGACTGGCATGAAGAACTACATCGCCAACGAGCACGGCGGCTGGGCCACCAGCGCCGGCTACTTGCGCTATAGCTTCACCCGCAGCATCCACTATGGCCGGCTCTACACCAGCGGCTCGCATGGCGCGGCGGGCAAAGAGGCTGATCTATGTGAAGCTCTGCGGTGCCTGGGTCAGGCCCTCCACTGCATGGAGGTGCGTCGGTTCATACCAGGGAACGGCATGACCTGTTTCTGATAAATCTGGCAGGACTTCCCCGCTCACAGCAACTACTGCGAGCTTGCCCTCATTGAGATGGGCTACCACAACGTCTTTCCTCACTGCGGCAGTGCTACCCAGATCCACTTGAATGGCAGGACCGTCTATCCTCTGGTTACTGGTACGGAGAACAGCTGTGAGATCTGTCGTATCAGGGCGGCGCTGATAGCATGCAGGGACGTTTGGAGCGGTCGATTTCTTGCACTCTGTTCTCGGGTAGGCATCTCTTCTCCTCATACTCCGTTACGGAATCCCCCGCTAACCCAACCACAGCGAGGCCAACGACCATTTCACTCAATCCGAGGTCGATGAGATGAATGTTGCCCTCCTGAACGCCGAGCAACTGAACAGAGCCAGCGGCGATGGCCAACGCGGCATCTTTGGCTTGAACTTTGGCTCTGGCGGCGGCGACTTTATTTCCATGATCTCCAAGCTCCCTGGTGTCGGCGATGGCTACGCCTCTCAGGCTAGAAACCTAAAGGCCATGTCAGAGGCTCAGGAGCAGGAAAACGCCCGCTCTGCCCACAGCGATGTACGCGCCGCCAACGCCAACGTCGTCCCTGGCATGAGCGCCAACTTCGATCCGGTCAAGGTCGCAGGGCAGATCTACCCGATCCTCGAATTCCGCGACAAGATTGTCCGGTCCATCAACAATATGATCTCCAAGATCCCCGGCCTCGAGAGTCTGCTGGAGCGCATTAGCGAGACGCTGACGGCTTTCATTCTGGGACTGCTCGCGCCCTTTATCCGCCCCATCATCAACCAGGTGTCGCAGGTGCTGAAGGAAGGCTCCTCCGGCCTGATCGAGACGAGCGCTCAACAGCAGCTGGAGCCGTGGACCAACCCGCGCTGCGACAACCCGACCCACTCGATGCTGTCCAAAGACCACTTCACCAACATCCTCAACTCGTGCGCCGGCCGCGTGGCCGCTACCATCCTGGAATATGTCGTTCCGTAAGCTTCGCTCCCTTCCCTTCCCATCCCTGCTCCTACTTCTGACCCCTGACCCCTAACCTCCCCCGGATGAAAGCCGCGTCGTCTACGCCTGGGAGAACCCTGGCGTCCCCGTCGACGAGGTCGTCAACGACGTGCTCCGAGCCTTCCACCACCCGGCCGCCCGCAACGAGCACATCCAGATCCAGCGCGACATGTTCGAGACGGTGCGCAAGTGGACGCAGGAGACGCCCCACCGCCACCAGCTCAACCACCTCCTCTCGTCCGAGTCCGTCCGGAACCACAAGAACCACATCCTCCCCAGCGGCCAAAGCTCGCGCGGCCTTGGCGGCGGCGGTGGTGGTGCAGGCGGATGCGGCCACGGCGACGGCGGCCACGGCAAGCCCGCCGGCTCGCTCTGGTCGCAGATCCAGACGCAGAACCGCGAGAGCGCCAGCGGCAGCCACTATCATGCGCCGCCACCACCGCCCACGCACGGCCAGGCAGCGGGCTACTACGGCGCCGGCGCACCTCACGGACGGCCTGATTCCTCTGGCGGCAGCGGGTATGCGGGGAGCTACGGCCACCCTACACCGCCGCCTCCTCTTCAACCTCAACCTCACTCAGGGTATGGGTACCAGCACCAGGGTCCGTACGGACAACATCCGCCGCCCGGCCCGCCGTCGCATCAGGGAGGGTATTACCAGGGCCCGGGTCCGGGACACCACCAGCCCCCTTACGGTGGAGGAGGAGGAGGAGGCGGATATGGTGCGCCGCCGCCCCAGCCGTCGCCGTATCCGCCTCACGGACAGCCGCCTTCGTGGGGCCAGTATCCGCCGTATTAAGAACATGGCAGAACGACGTGGGAGGTGGTATTGAACTGAGCCAAAAAGGGGTCTCTAATGAAATGATCATGTTGTGATATCCTGATTTACTTTGTTATCATTTCAGACCGGGTCTAAGATGGGACACCCCGTCGTTGTCTCGTTGCGTTGGCGTCTATCTCGCCGGCTTTTCTTTCTTTCTTTCTTTTTTTTTTTTTTTTTTTTTTTTTTTTTTTTTTTTTTTTTTTTTTGCGAAAAGCTCACTATAAACAGTAAACACACAGATCGAGGAATCTAGATAGTGGTAGTAGTCTAAACTCATCCCATCCCATCGCCGGACCCCACCCCAAACAAAAAAAAACGCCGTTTCTCCATGCCATGAGGGTTACCCCCATCTTTGTTGCTTTTTGCCCGATAAACCTCCACCGTCACACAAAATGCTTATATAGCTACCTATACTGACTGACTGCTTCTCCCATATATGCCCTTTTTCCATGCCATGCCATGCCATGCTATGCAGAAACTGCTGAGGAACCCAGACCCCACGATGCCGTTGTTAAAAGAAAATAAAAAATGTAGAAACAGTAGGAAATGAAGGGTTGAATAAACGTAGAAGTCAGATAGTAAAAGAGTAGTGGAAAGGAAAGAAACGACAGAAAGAGAGAAGGAATGAAGGGGAAAAAGGCCAAGGCCAAGGATGGTTGAATACTAGTACCTCAGATCAGGTACTCTACCTGCCCCGCCGCCGCGGATCGCAAGCCTCAGCCCTCCTCATCTCGCGCATCTCGCGCGTGCCCAAACTGCCCACACCACCTTCACTCCTCCTCTCCCACCCGCCGAGCCTGACAACAAGACACGTCGCATTATCCCCGTCCCCGCTCACCTCGGTCGCATACTCGACAACCTTCCTGGCGCCTTCCTCCGGGGTGCTCGCCTCTTTAATAACATCCACAATCTCCCGGTCGCTGAGCGTGCCGCTGACGCCGTCGCTGACTAACACCAGGAAGGCGAACTCGGCCGGGCGGATCTCGACGCGCGTGATGTCCGGCTCGGCCGACACGCCAATGCGCTTGCTGAGCATATCGCCGAACGCGCGGCTGTTGGCGAGCCCCTGGAAGCGCTCCTCGCCGAACGAGTCCGTCACCAGCGAGTCGGTGATGTACTTGCGCAGCCGGCGCGACTCGGTCGGCGACGAGGGCCGGTGGTCCGACGTGAGCGGCACGGGCAGGCCCGTGGCCGTCTCGCAGAGCAGGATGCGCGTGTCGCCCACGTGGGCGACCACCAGCGTCGAGTGGGCGGACGGGTGCCAGAAGGGGGACGGCGTTGGCGTGGAGATCAGCGCCACCGAGGCGGTCGAGCCGCCCTTGAAGCGGGCCGGCCCGCCGATGCCGTGTCCCGAGGGCGGCAGGTGCGGGCTGCCAAGGATCTCGTCCTTGTTGAGTGGGAAGTCGGAGACGTAAGGGTCGTCCGGGTCCGGTTTGCGGGCTTGGGCCGTGACGAAGTCGAGATCGGCGCGGAGGAAGGCGTAGGTGAGCACTGCTTCGAGGCTTACTCGCTGTTGTTGAAGGGAAGAGCCGTGAATGGAGGAGGAGGAGGAGGAGGAGGAGGATGGTTCGCGTGTGGAGGCGGCTACCGGGACGCTGAAGTAGTTGGGTTGGAAGCGTCGGAAGTAGCCGCCTATCGTGCGCTTGTACTCGGCTAGGAGTTCAGATTGCAGCTTGGTAGCCTTGATGGTATCCGGCAGAGTCTCTTGGTGTTGTTGTTGTTGTTGCCTCGTCTCCGCCGCCAGGCCCCCGGCCCCACTGTCGGGGTCTTTGGTTGAGTCGGGGGCGCCAGGATCCCTTTTCAGACTGCTCTTCAGTCCAAACTCGGCTGCAGCCTCCTCGATGTACCCGTGAAGCTCGTCTCGGAGGAACTCGCTGCACTCGCTGCCGCCATGTCCGTCGAATACGCCAAAGTAGAAGATCTGAGGATCCCCTAGCGCGCTGGCGGCGTTGGTGCCCTCGCCCGCTGCTGCCGTCCTCGCTGCCTGGTTGCGCACCAGACTTATGGGGACGCGCTTTGCGAAGGCAGGCATGTGTATTGTCCCGGCCTGGTTCGTATCCTCGTTGTACTTGCGCTGCCCGCGGGAAACGGAGACGCCGAAGTGGTGTTTCGCGCTTCGCAGAGGTATACGGACGACGGTCAGGTCGCGGCTGGGCATGTCTGGGGGGGCCACGGCCGGGCGGGAGCCGGGATCCGGAGTGTGGGGTGTTGAGGCGGAACGCGGAAGCTTGTGACCGGGGCCGGCCAACGACCGGGAGTCGGGATGCATCGAGGACGAAGGGAGGTGCGTTACAAAGTAGGTATTAAATCCACGCCGGATGAATCGGCTGCCTAGTTGCTGTCCATAGTAGCCGCTATGAAAATGCGTCGCATCATGGAGGGTCACGGCGGCCGTTGTCCGCGCCGGAGCTCGGAGCGGGCGCCGGATCCCGGCGACTCGTAGAACGCTTGGTAACATGGCGACCCCACTGTTGCAGCCTTGTCCGTGAAGGTGAAGGAACGTAGCGACATAGCCCATGAAGGCATCTAGAAGGGTTGCTGGCGGCCTGCGAATCGCGCGAGTTCGGGCGTGTCCCAGCGGCCGACGACGGACTGATGGCATTCTGGGGCAACCAGCCAATGCAAGCCGCACTATCCAAGCAAAGATCGATCAGGTGAGGTGTCGGGTCGTACAGCCATGACACGACCGGGTGGCTCGCCGGAAGGAAACTATCAGGTAGGGCTGAACTGGGTGTCGGGGCTGAGGAGTGTGAGGACAAATGTTGGCTGCTTCTCGGCCTTTTCCAGAAATGCGGCGTTGCAGCGATTGGTGGACAGGGTCAATACTAGCGCCTAGCAGGGGCCGATGCTTGGCAGTCAGGGGCCAAAGGACATAACCAAAACAACCGTTCTATTAATTCAGTTATTTCTGAGTTCAATTCCATGTTCTGGAGGATCAGTACACTATCCAGGGGCTGATACACCAACTAAAAGTTCCACATTCATGTTGAGGGTGAGATGTGTACATCCTTTTCACTCTCGCTTTCATCCCAAGAAAATCCCCCGCCGAAGTTTGGTGGGGCGCTGCCAGTCGGCCAACGTCATTGTGTGGAATTGTGGGTAAAGTTATCAATCCATGGCTTGGCATTCGACTCCTTTGCTGCCTCCCTAAACCTAACGGACGTCGGAGGCCTTGGATCTCACCCCATGAGATCTGCTCCGATCTCACAGATCTTGCTTGGATCCAAGTCGATTTTCCACCTAGGTCCTGGAAACAGACCAGGAATCTCTTCAGAGATAGTTTCTACTTTCTTCGGTGTATTTCTCTCCTGCTCCGTCCCACCGTACATGGTGCCCAAGTTTGCATGACGGCCATTTCAAGTAATGGGCGACACGGCGGAAGGTCAAGATGGCGACCCGACAGATTCGGCCACCAAAGGGGATCTTCAGATCGTTGAGATTGTGCCGGACGGGGACATCGTGCTCGATGTGACCTTCGAAGCGTCCAGAGAAACCCTGAAGGCAGCTAGAAAGGCGGCCAGGCCCAGACCGGGACAGAAGCCTGCACCTCCACCGGCTCCCGAAGCGAGGCATCGTGTAGGATACAGGGCCAAGCTCGCCGTTCTGAAGCAGAGCTCGAAATACTTTGACAACCTGCTTAATGATACCAGGTTCGCCGAGGCCAGGGCGATAGAGACCGGTTTCCAGCAGCTGTCTCTGAGAAATGTGAACCCGTCAGAGGCGGATGCCGCGGAACTCCCTGTGGTGAAAATCCACGAGGACGACGAGGCAACGCGGTCAGCCGGCCAACATGCCGTGTTTGAAGACATGCTGAGGATCCTGCATAAAAGGCCGCCTGCTGCTTCGGGAACCGTAACGATGCAATATCTTGCTGTGCTGGCTGTCCTCTCTGACCGGTTCGACTGCACGGCGACTGTGTCCAAGTCGCAGGTCTTGAAGTTCAATTGGCCGGTCACACGGACTTCCGCGTCGCGGGACGGGCCAGCCCTCGCTAAGGCGGCGGAAGAGACCCTGCGGCAGAAGATCCTGGTGTCATGGCTGCTCGACCAGCCCCTGAAGATGCAAGTCACGACCCGTGAACTCATAATGTACGGCTCGAGGAGGTGGAGCGCATCCTTCGACGAGGAAGAAGATGGTAACGTCGATGCTGCTGCGTGGTGGGATCTTCCTGACGATCTCGAGAGTGAGAGCCAACCCTCCCCCCCCCCCCTCCCGGGAAGCCAACCCCCCATTTCATGTGTTGACCATCAAAAACCCAAGGAGAACTACACTACCGCCGCGAATGCATCCTCAACACCATCGCCTCGGTGCAGCGGCACTTCCTCCAGCTCTACACGTCGCGCACGCGGCAGTGCAAGCTCGGCTACGACTCCAGCGCCAGCTGCGACTCGTACCAGCTGGGCGAGATGGTCAAGTTCCTCGCCAGCCGCGACCTGCTTTTCCTCGCCGACTTCTCGTCCCTGTCGCCGGACGCCACCCGCCGAGACTACGCCACCGTCGACATCGGCCAGATCCTCGCCGCGCTGAAGCAGTGTCCCAGCTACCAGATCGACAAGAACCACACAAACTGCGGCCTGCGCACGCGCATCCTGCCGATCGTCGAGTACATCCAGGCCATGTTGTCGTCCAGCGTCGTGTTCATCTCGAGGCGGGCGTGGAGCAGGGATCGGAGGGCGACGGCCTGGTGCCCACAGGAGGAAGCAGATGAGAGGGCCGAGCCGAGAGTGTTTCGGTTCACGCGGTCCATGGCCGCCGAGCAGCGTCTGCGCTACGAGGGGGCCATGGGGTTGGATAATGCGGCAAAGGCGCTGTTCACGGCTGATCGGTGGGATTGGACACCCGAGGATCGGGATGAGTCGAGGGGTGCCGAGTTTGGAAGATGGCCCGGCAGGTTGGTGGATTAGGTGAACACACAGACCAACACAGAAATGAGAAAACAAGGTCCGTCATAGCGGAAGCCTTGATATCACGGACCTCGGTCGATACACCGGGCAGCCATCACCACCGAGAAGTCCTACCTCGACTCTGTTCCGTGCAGTGAGACTAGCTTATGAATGCGATGCTCATAAGTAGATTCAAGAGACGTGGTCAAGCCCTATCTAGAGGGCGTGTATCCCTGGCTTGCCCCAATCACATTGCGTACCCTATGCTAAACCCCCAGCACAGTTACCTCGTCTCTTGAGACAGCTTTGTTGTCACCCGCGCCTCGACTCGCAGGCTTCTCACTACTCTCCTCCTCCGATCCTGCGTCGGCCGCAAGCGGAGCGCTCTTGGCTTTCATCAACGGCCAGTGGCCCTTCACCTCGCGGTATCTCATGACGAAGAACGAAGCCATCACGCAAATCCAGTACACGTTGTACGAGATGACCGAGCCGTAGGTGGCCGAGTTCTGCCACCCGAAGATGGCATTGAAGAAGCCCCAGCCGCCACCGCCGTTGTAGTTTGGACTGCAGCACTGTATAATGTCGTCAGCTCTGTGTCTCAGGGAGGTGGGAACTCGAAAGGATACGGTAGGTAGGTAGCTTACATTGACATGCCACACCGACCTGTCGACGTCATACGAGCCGGGACCCTCTCCCAGCTCGGCGGCGTCACTTCCCACGATGTCTTGCCAGTCCTTGGCCTCAAACGACCACACGGCGCGCGAGAAGAGTCCGGCGGCAACCAGGTACAGGAGACACGTCGAGATGACCAGGAAGAGCTGCAACTTGGACGTGGATCCTCCCCTGAGCGGCACGTAGTTAGTTTAATTTTAGTCAATAACGGGAACCCCCCACCCCCTTAGCTGGAGAGTTCCAAGCGAGTTTATTTTTTTTTTGTGTTGTTTCCACTCACTTGTACAACAAATACCCGACGGCAGCCCCGGCGGCAATGCCCACCACAACCGGCAGCGGCACCGCCGTGGCCGGCGCCGTGAAGGTCACGCCGGCAATGAACACCACCGCCTCGATGCCCTCCCTCAGCACGGTCACAAACGGCAGCGCGAACATGGCATACCGCTCCATCCACCGCTTGAGCGCACCCCACCTGGTCGTCATCGTCATCGTCGTCGCCGTCGCACCAGTACCAGTACCGGTCTTGTCAAGCTGCTGCTGCTGCTGCTTGTCCATGACACCGGCGAGCTTGGCGCGCCACTTGTCCTGCATCTTACCGATGCGCAGCAGGGCGGCGCCCACGACGCTGATGATCAGCGACGCGACCAGCGAGAAGGCGCCCTCGAACTGCATCTCCGAGGCGTCCCACTTGTTGGCGCCGGCCGTGTAGAAGACGGCGATCAGCGCCGCCGCGATCACCAGGCACACCACCAGGCCGAGCAAGGTGCCCAGCCATACCTGCCGCACGAGCCGCTTGTGCAGGGCCCTGTCGCTGTCGTTGTCGTTGTTGTTGAGGGTCTGCTTGAGGAAGGCGAGGAGGACCGAGACGATGATCACTGTCTCGAGGGCCTCGCGGAAGGTGACGAGGAAGATTGGGACGGAGAAGACGTCGGGCATTTTTCCTTTTTTTTTTTTTCTCGATTCTCTTCCGGCCTCTCTCTCTAGTTGATTTTCGATACCTTTTTGGCTGGGTGCCTTATTAGACCAGGAGAGGGAGGGCTGGGGGTGAAGGGCAGCGAGGGGGAGCACGCAAGTGATTATCTGATCTGCCGATAAATTCCATCAGATAACAACGTACCTATGTCACACAACTGCAACCCGTGCTGTGCGCTCGGGTTCGATCTGCGTGTTGTAGTGGGGGGAATTGTCATACCAACCAGGGCAATCGGCTGATCTCGGCCTGCCTTTGCCCAGGTTCCATCAGATACGATCCCTGTTGATGAATGAACTTTTCAATAAATCGCGCTTCCATTCCGTGTCCGGCTACGGAACTCGGGAGCGAGGTTTGGATTTCATCTGCGGGCGTGATATTCTGCTGCTCAAATTGCTTGGTCTTACTCGTCCAATAACATGTTGTGTCTACCTACCTAAGGTACCTAAGTCTAGTGAGCTATGCAATGTGTTCATGATTGCCTGTTTGAGTATCATCTTCGATGCAGCCCTCCATCCCCATCCTCGAGCTGCTTCATGAATTTTTACTATCGTGTGGAGCTGCGAGCCTTGTCACACGATGATCGAACCACGAGAAAGAAACCACTTCAAGTTCCCGCCAAGCTCTAACCCTTGTGGTCATAGCCGCCAAGCCATAGCCAAGTTTAAGCCAAGTCTGGTTAAGCATTGCGGATCCCTCCGGTCTCGAACGTCAGGAACAACAAGGTTCTCGCTCTCCATTGCTGTGGACCGAGGTTTCTTCGAAACCGTCCGTTCCGAGCCGATCTCGGCAAAAGGACAGTTGGGAACTTCGCGCAATGTGGGAATGTAGATTGGCCACTGTGGCTCCTGTTTGTCGTTCATTGGGACGGTGCAACCTCCCCGCGCGGGCTGGATGGGCAGATGGGGTACCTTACCAAATACCAATAGTGTGGGACGTGTGCCGGGCATCGTCCCATGGAAAATCTTCATTCGCCTGTGTTGCTTCCCGCTCCGGGTTTATGATCTGATAGGCTGTTTAAGGTTCCCGAAACGATCTGATTATCTGATTTGATTGATAAGATGCCCCGACTTCTCCCATAACCCTTCCTCTAGCCGAGAGACTGGCCCGTTTCCATACGGTTTTTCTCTTCAGCCGGGGATTTTTTCCGGCACGTTTAGAGTTCAGCAGAGCGTCGACGAGGGCTTCAGCAAAACAGTTGAGCTCCTCCCACCATCAACGCTCAGTCAACGATGGCCCAGCTGGCCGGCACTAACACCAGGCTCTTCAGCCATGGTCACGCCCAAGTGTACAGCCGATCTGGCCTTGTTTGGCTGGTTTGGCTTCTTCTCTGGCACGGTCTCCTTGCGCAGGCCGCGACAGTGACGTACGACTTCAACATCACATGGGTCACGGCCAACCCGGATGGCCTGGCCGAGCGGCCCACCATCGGCATCAACGGACAGTGGCCGATCCCAACCGTCCGGGTCGACGTCGGCGACCGGCTCGTGGTCAACGTGCTCAACCTGCTGGGCAACCAGTCCACCTCGCTTCACTTCCACGGCCTCTTCATGCAGAACGCCACGCACATGGACGGTCCCGGCGGCGTGTCGCAATGCCCCATCCCGCCCGGGTCGCGGTTCACATATAACTTTACAGTCAGTGAGGTTCTACCCAGGTCCAGGTCGAGCCAGATTATAGCAGATAGCAGAAGTTGCTGACCCTCAACCCCAACCCCCCCCCCCCCCTCCTATAGATTGACCAGCCGGGAACGTACTGGTACCATTCGCACGTGCACGGCCAGTATCCCGACGGCCTGCGCGGCCCGCTGATCGTCAACGACCCCGGCTCGCCGTTCCGGCACCTGTACGACGAGGAGGTGGTCATGTCGGTCTCGGACTGGTACCACGACCAGATGCCGGGCCTGCTGCGCTGGTTCATCAGCAAGGCCAACCCGACGGGCGCCGAGCCGGTGCCCAACTCGGCGCTGCTCAACGAGACCCAGAACCTGACGGTGGCCGTGCGGCCGGGCAGGACGTATCTCTTCCGCGTGGCCAACATCGGCGCCTTCGCCGGCCAGTACCTGTGGTTCGAGGGCCACAACATGACCATCGTCGAGGTCGACGGCGTCTACACGCACCCGGCCGAGGCGAGCATGATCTACCTCTCCGCTGCCCAGCGCTGCAGCTTCCTCATCACGGCGAGGGACGATACCTCGGTGAATTTCCCGATTGTGGCCAGCATGGACACGGTGAGTGCCCTTACTCTGCGGTTTAATGGTGTGTAAGGCTGAGTCGACCAGGACCTCTTTGATACGCTGCCGGGCGACTTGAACTGGAACGTGACCGGATGGCTGGTCTACGATTCTTCCAAGACCCTTCCCGAGCCGGCCGTCCTGTACGACCCCTTCGACCCCTTCGACGACTTCGGCCTCGTGCCTTGGGACAACCAGACCCTGCTTGGCGAGCCGGACCAAACCGTCGTCCTGGACGTGATCATGGACAACCTGGGCGACGGAGCCAACTAGTAAACAAACCCTCCCCTCTCTCTCCTTCCATCCTACTAGCAGAAGCATCCCCTCCCCTCTAACACCAATACCTTTCTTATCCAGCGCCTTCTTCAACAACATCACCTACGTCTCGCCCAAGGTGCCGACGCTGTACACGGTGCTCAGCGCCGGCACGCTCGCGACCGACGCGACCGTGTACGGCAGCTACACGCACTCGGTCGTGCTGGCCAAGAAGGACCAGGTCGTCGACATCGTCGTCAACAACCTCGACTCGGGCAAGCACCCCTTCCACCTGCACGGCCACGCCTTCCAGGTCGTGTGGCGCTCGGAGGACGACGCTGGCACCTTCCCGGTCGCCGACTCGAACGTCACCACCGATTTCCCGAGGGTCCCCATGAAGCGGGATACTGTGGTGTTGAGGCCCGGCGGGAATATGGTGCTGCGGTTTAAGAGTGATAATCCTGGTACGTACAAGTAGTACAGTACAAGTACAATACACTTTTCTGTGAACCCATAGGTACCTGAGGTACTAGTAATTACTAATATGTGAGAGAAAAACAGGAGTCTGGCTCTTCCACTGCCACATCGAATGGCACGTCCAGTCCGGCCTGATGGCCACCTTCATCGAGGCGCCGCTCGAGATCCAAAAGGCCCTCCCCGCCCTCCCCGCCGACCACCTGGCCGCCTGTGAGAAGGCGGGCATGCCGACGGCGGGCAACGCCGCGGGGAATACCGTCGACTTGCTCGACTTGTCCGGCCAGAACGCGCCGCCTGGGCCTTTGCCTTCCGGGTACGTTCCCCTCCTCTCTTTTTCTTTTCTCGCCTTCTATTCTGCCAATAATGAAATATGATGAGATATTTTCCATAACTGACTTGTCGAAACGCACAGATTCACGCCCCGCGGCATCGTCGCACTGGTGTTCAGCTGTGTGAGCGGCATCCTCGGCGTGGCGGTGGTCGCGTGGTATGGGTTCGCGGAGCAGCCTGGGCAGCAGCAACAACAACAAGAGGGGAGCCGTAGAGGAGCGGTGACAGGGCAGGGGCAAAAGCAAACCGGGGTGGTCGAGCCGCCGGAGGGGGGAAGATCAGTAGTAGTGCTGGGGGAGGGTGAGGATGGGGGTGGTGGTGTGGGGCGGACGGAGGGTGTTGTTGCGAGTGTTGATGGGGACGGGGGGCGATGATCTTGTTTAGGTATTTCCAGGTTACCTAGGTAGTGTAGAGGGTGAAAATCAGGGGCGAAGAGTTGATTACATCCCCCACCGACCGGGAAAAGCCCAACACGGGATACATCATACCTACCTACCGGTAGTTTATCTGCCCGGATCTGTTCTAAGCAAGCATCCAAGATCGAAATTCTGCGATGTATGCTGCAACCTATGGGCTGGGCTAGTCAGATCTCCGGGATCTTTGACCCTATATTACAGTAGTACCTTCGACGCCTCCAACAACCTTCTGTGCATCTTCTCACCTCTTCCCCTGTAGACCTCCTTCCCTGCCTCTCCTCACCTGTATCCATCCCCGGACCATTGGCACTTAGAAGCGCGGTGCGGTGCCAGACCGCAGCATACAGACAATCTTAAACTCCAAATATCCCAGCAAAACAACAATTGTAGAACGCCGTTCCCCCAGCAGCCTTATTATACCAATACCCAGACTCAGATTCTAGCACTCACCCCTAGCGCCTACCCGCATTCGAGGGCCTGCGCTCCCGCCTCGGATCCCGCTGCGGCTGTACCGGCTGTACCGGCTGCACCGGCTGCACGGGGACAGGCTGCACGGGGATAGGTTGCACATACATGGGCTGGACACGCTGTGCCAGCTGCGGCTGCACATAGACGGGCTGCACCGGACGTACAGGTTGTACCGGCTGCTGGGCACGGTGAGGTTGAGGTTGAGGTTGAGGCTGAGGCTGCGCCGGTGGAACATACGAGTTCTTGCGCGGCCTCTGCTGCTGTGGTTGTTGCGGCTGTGCGGGCTTCGGCTCGTACACGAAGATGGACGGGTCGCGGCGCGGCTGCTGCGGGGCGGGATGAGGAGCCGGCGGAGCCGGGCGGACTGGTAGAGGAGCCTGAGGAACCACCGGCTGAGCTGCCCGGCCTGGCTGCGCGGCGGGATACCCCGCTGCACCTGCATTCGTCGACCCACGACGCTGACGCTGTTGTTGTTGTTGTTGTTGTTGTTGTTGTTGCTGCTGCTGCTGCTGTTGGTGCTGTTGTTGCTGAGCGGCGGCGGTGGCCTGCTGTTGCTGCTGACGCCGCTGCTGCCGCTCCCGGAGCTTTTCCTCGTAGCGGCGCTTAGACTCCAGATACTCTTTCTCCGCCTGCTGCACCGAATCCAGAACCGGGACTGCTCCAGCGGCAGGCTGCTGCTGCTGCTGCGGCGGCGGCGGCATCTTCGCTTTGGACTGGGCCAGGAAGGCGGCGCGTTCGGCCTTGGTGTACTGGGCGCCCGGCCGTGCCGGCAGCTGCTTGGCCTCCTCCTCCTTCTGCCTCTTCTGGAAGTCGGCCCAGTCGGTGATGGACTGCCGCCACACGGGGGCAGCGGCCTGGTCGCGCTCGCGCGCCCGGCGCTCCACGTCCTTCTGTCGCTCGCGCTCGCGCACCATCCATTCCTGGTACTGCTTATACTGCTGCTGCGCGCCAAAGAGCTTGTTGATGCGCTCGCCTTCCTTCAGCCGCAGGGCATACAAGCGCGAGCTCATGCTGCCAGCCGTCGGGCGGTCCACCGGGTCGATCGAGAGGCACTCGTCGACCAGATCCTGCAGCTCCGCGTCGTAGCACGACGGCAGCCGAGGGAAGGCCGTCCCCGCCGGCGGGGGGCTCCGGCCGGTGCAGATCATGTTGATGAGCACGCCGACGCTGTAGACGTCGGCCATGGGCGACTGGTGGTTGTAGAACAGCAGTTCGGGCGCGCTGGTGCCCAGCGTCCACCGCGCGCCCGGTGCCATGGTGTACGCCGACCGCTCCTGCACCGTCCTGTCCCGGCTGAGCCCGAAGTCGGTGAGCACGCAGAGACGGTCGTCCTTGCGGGCGAGCATGGCGTGGTGGTCAAGGAGGTGCTTCTCCGCGGCCGCATCCAGCGCCTTTCCCTCGCTCAGCCGCCACAGCGCCTGGTTCATCCCGGGCGTGACCTTCATGGTCATGAGCACGTTGTCCGTCTTGATGTCGCGGTGCAGGATGTGGGCCGCTTGGATGTCGGCGAGGGCGCAGGCCAGCTGCCACGACACGTGCGCGACGATCAGCGGATGGATCCGCCGCGTCTTCTCGTCCCGGCTGCTGGTGTACATGTTGTTCATGAACCGGTGCAGGTCGCCGCCCTCGAGCAGCTCCGTGTAGATTCGCACCTCGCGCGTGTCGACATTGTATGACGCGTCGTACACCTGCACCACGTACTTGGACCAGCTCGCGGCCTTCCGCCACACGTCCAGCTCCCGCTTCGTCGCCCATTCCTCGTACGAGCCTTTCACCTGCTGCAGCTTGCACGCCATCATCTGGCCGTTCTGCCTCTTCTCCACCCGATAGACCGTGCCATACGTACCCTTGCCTAGCTCTTCGTGTGTTCGGTAGTACTTCGAGTCATCGTGCCTGATCTGCCTCAAAATAAAGGTGTCAGGTTTCTTGTCGCTCTCAGGTTTCTTGTCGCCCCTGCTGGTGCTCATGGTGGTAAAGGAAAGAAGAAACAGAAAGCCGGGGAGGAACGGATGACAGAGCCGCAGAACAGGTAGTGCCGGACTGCTGGATTTAGGGGAAGAGCGAGGCAAATGTGAGTATAAGACTGGGCGAGAGGGATAGCAACGTGCTTGCAGTACCAGACCGCAGAATTCAGACTGATAACAGAGGACAGAGGACAGGGCAGAGAAGAGGATACTGGTGCCGAAACGCCACTTACCTTGGATCCAAACTCACGTTATATAAACCTGTCCATCCATGACTTTCTCACCGGCTCGTATCATCTAACTGATGATTACTGATCGCACAGCTAGGAGTACCGCACCCAACTGCACCAAGCTGACTCGGCCGCCTCCTTTAGACATAAGCAAACTAGGTCAGGACCGGGTGGGTACTTAACTAGTATCGATGCCGACATTTTCAAAGCCCCGTCCGGCCTTAGCGTCCCTTGGTTCCCGAGGCGTCGGCGGTGCTGTCTCATCCCCAGACAGATCAACGAGAAGAAAGATTGCATCGCGCTGTCAGAGCTAGGTACTTAATCAGCAAATGACCATCTTGCAAGGCCCCAAACCCCACAAAGTGAGCGGCCCGAAAACCAAGCCACTTTGAAGGGGGGGAAGGAATATACCTTATATGGCGAGACGGTACGGCGTAAGAGTTTTAAGAAACTTTGAGATGCGGCACAGCAACAACCACAGAGACCACACCGGGCCTTCTGCTCGTATCCTCTGACGAGAACAAGACGGCGTTGCCCACATAGTCATACAATACACAGCTTTCAATTCAGGCAGCAGCGGCAGAAGTTGTTTCAACCACGAGACAACATTACGGCTTATGGAGCGATAATGTGAGGATGATGGCAAAACGGTGTGCCATCTACCATCTCAGCTCTCAGATTGATTGAGAGTAATGGTGATGGGGACGTACAAGCCTGCTACGAGGAAGGTGCGACGGATGATTAACAGAAGGGAACGGACCGTGACTAGAGGTATGTATTGTCGCCCCCTGTAACAGAGTCACAGTCACTACGGCAACCGACACCGGCCTTGCAATTGACCCAAGCAGCTTTTGATCTCAAAGCACATCACATTGCCATCAAGCTTACGAAACTATCTCACAAAATACAGGCATCACTCGTCACAATCTGTCCAACGAGTACCATTCAGGGCCTCCGTTGTTTTCATGTTCATGGCCCTCATCTGATGAGGGGTCGTCCCATTCCCGAAGCGGCCTCCCGTCGCTCAACCCAGAGCCATTTGCGCGTCGAGTGCTCGTTTCCCATTTACCCACTAGCCCCTTACCCGAACGCCAACGCTTCCAGCATCGTCGCAAAACCGACAGGATGAATACGGTCCGACTCGGTGAGGAAGTCGGGGGGGGAAACCCGTGCATATTGCAGTCTTGAGTCTCCTTTTGGCTTTGCGGAGGGGAGTCAGCCGTTTTAGAACAACGCGCCCTGCATGTTGATGGAGACGCTCTTGTGCTCGGTGTAGTTCGACAACGCAATCTCGCCGAGTTCGCGCCCGATGCCCGAGGTCTTGTAACCGCCGAAGGGGACCTGGTGGGTCAACATGTTATGGCCTGTCGCAGTGACCCTGGTTAGTAAGTGAAGTAGATGGCAAAAGGAGGGCTGGCATAGTTGATGGATGGAGGGAAACTTACAGTTGACCCAGACGGTGCCGGCCTTGAGGCCGTTGCTGACGCGGATAGCGGTGTTGAGATCCTTGGTGTGGACGGAAGCCGCGAGGCCGTATGATGTGTCGTTGCCCAGCTTGATGGCCTCCTCCTCGGTCGAGAACTTGGAGATGGCGCAGACGGGCCCGAAGATCTCCTCCTGCATGATTTTCATGCTGTGCGTGACGTCGGCGAAAATGGTAGGTTGGATGAAGTAGCCCTTGTCGCCGTGGCGCTCACCACCCGTGACGACCCGCGCACCCTCCTCCTTGCCGGCCTTGATGTAGCCCATGATGCGGTCGTACTGAAGCTGGCTGACCTGCGGGCCCTGGAAGGTCTCCGGGTGGAACGGGTCGCCGACCTTGTTCTGCTCGGCCCGCTTCTTGAACGCCTCGACGACCTTGTCATAGATGCCTTCCTGCACGTAGATGCGAGAGCCGGCGCAGCAGCACTGCCCGTGGTTGTAGTAGATGCCGAAGTTGACCCAGCTAACCGCCTCCTCGATGTCGGCGTCGTTGAAGATAATGCTCGGACTCTTGCCTCCCAGCTCGAGCGTCACCTTCTTCAGGTTCGAGTTGGCCGCGGCCTTCATGATGGTGCGCCCGACAAGGGTTGAGCCGGTGAAGGCGACCTTGTCGATGTCCATGTGTGCAGAGATGGCGGCACCTGCGGTCTTGCCGAAACCAGAGATGATGTTGACGACTCCAGGCGGGAAGCCGGCCTCCTTGATCAACTGGGCCATGACGAGACCAGAGAGCGGTGTCTGCTCAGCTGTCTTCAGCACAATGGTGTTACCGGTCGCCAGCGCAGGGCCAATCTTCCACGCCAACATCAACAGCGGAAAGTTCCATGGCACGATTTGCCCGCACACGCCGATCTAGATGCCCCGTCGGTTGATTAATACATAGCTCAACACAGGTGGCTTCTCGGGTTCTGCATACCGGCTCTCGCTTTGTGTAATGGAACATGTCTGGGTTGACATCGATCGTCTGCCCATAGATCTTGTCGGCCCAGCCGCCGTAGTACCGGATGCAGCCAATGACGGCGCCAACGTCGCCACGCGCCAAGCTGATGGACTTGCCATTATCGAGCGACTCGACCGAGGCCAGGAGGTCTAGGTTCTTCTCGCAGAGCTCGGCCAGCTTCAGCAGGTAGATGCCCCGCTGTTGGGGTGTTGTGCGGCGCCAGACGCTATCGAAGGCCTTCCGCGCCGCGGCAACCGCAATGTCAACATCCTTCTCTGTGGCCTCATGGACTGAGCAGATAACCTCCTCGGTCGCCGGGTTGATGACCTCGAACTGCTTCTTTTCAACACCCTCAACGAACTCGTTGTTGATGAACCTTGGCGCAAGTGTCAGTTCGCTTCCAAAATCTCATAGGCGCAACATGACGTACAGTCCGGTGGGCTGCTTGTATGGCCCGGTGACCGGTGTCTTGAGCTCGACGAATAGGTTAGACATGTTGGCGGATAAGGGGTATCAGTTTGAAACAATCCGACTTCGAATGGTAAAGGAACGGAAAGCTGGGAAGTGGGAGACGGGTAGACTTGAAAGAGCTCCGATGGGTTCCCCCCCGCAGTTATATATCTTAAATCCGAGCAGAAGGTGAACGGGACAAAGCGTGGCGAGGAACTTGCCGGACAGCTCAGCACTCGGGCGATCCACAATGAAGCTCCTCGTGCTGCTCCCCCTCTCTCCAACGGTCGAGTGGAACGAGATGATGCACGGTTTAGGGATGCGAAGCGGGGTTGACGGGTCAATGGGGTGCGACAACAGGGCTGGGCATTGAAAGGCGATAATTGTGATTCGAGGGGAGCAAGCCACCTCGACGGCTGGCTCCTATCGGACGTGAGGAAGCTCACCTCAGACGTACAAACCTTTTGTTACATACAGGCTTTGTCACGACTCACTACGGGCCGTGTCCAGGGCGATGCCACCGTACAAAAGCTTATTTGCTATTGAAGCATTCCTACACAGTACCAGTTTCTCGATGCGACGGGAATTGCGTAGTTTGGTAGTCTATGATCGGTAACTGGAGGGCGACGTCCCGCTGGATCGACTCTCCTATCCACGCGTGCTTCCAGTTCTCATGCCTGGTTTCCCGCCTGAGCCTGCCTTCCCGCAGGCTGCCGTGGGCCCCGGTTCCCCGCAGGTCGGGGTGCAGAGCGGGGAAGTGCGCCCCACCATTGTGACGCTAAGCCGTGCTGAAGCGATCCCGATGCCGCACCGCAACAAGGACTTGTGACGCCTCCTCGACTATTGGCATGAACTTCTCAAAGCCTGTAGACCTGATTACCCTAGACAGCTTCCATCTGTCCTAGTTGCATGTTCTGCGACGCCACCTCTTGCAGTGCAGAAGTTACATACCTAACAGTATCGAACGTGTGAACACTGAGTCCCTCCCCGCATTTGAGAGACATCTGCAGGAGACGCCGTCCCACCTTTCCCGTCGGCAGTCAATGGCACTCTTCCCTTGTCATGTTCCTGTCGGAAGGTTGTAATTGCTGAATGGTGGATGTGAAAATGGAAAAGCGGGCCTACTCTGAACGTACCTTACATATCTCAAAGTGCTTTAAGCTTTGCCAACTGCAGGTTAATTAGCAACAATGTATTGTAGGTCGGGGAAGCTTGCTATGAGCTCGGGGTAATGTTTAGCGAAGCAATTGAGGAGTGGGACTATAAGTCCGCATGGCGTGGTTCTATTAGCCCCTTCCTGCCAACTGACGGCGAGATCCGGACACCCGGACAGATGGCGGTTAACGGCTCCGCTCGTCGATGCCGAAAGCAGGCTCCGGAGGGCCGGGATCCTTCCCTCTCCCCGTTCTGCATGCAAGGCCATTGAAGTCTATTGCTTACCGTCGACGTCTGCCTGACAGGGACCCGACCGGCCTGCGATATGCACTGGTTCAGTTGCAACTCAAGAGTCGTCTCAGACACCCCTCACTCGTTGCCGCCTTGCCACACCTTCTCAAACTGAGTATGAAGCGAAGCGCCTGGCTTCCGATTTAAAGGAGCCGCAGGGTGCTACTTGCGGCTAGCAGTATCAGTTTAGGGCGTTGTCTGGGCAGAAAGGCTCAAGATTTCGGCATTCCGATATCGACATCGCTGTTGCAACTTGACGTCACATGGAACGGAAAATGAATTTACCCTATGACACGCAAAAGGTTGAGAAAGCCCTGGATGCCGCTTCACGCTGTTGCAGCACTGAGATGGTTTCAATTTTGCGCACGGGCGATGCAATTTCCTGGAGTTCTCGGCCGATTGTGTATCGGAAGGCTGGGGCAGAAAATGAGGGCAACTTTTGGAGATCGGAGCTCCCAAAAATTTCTCCGACACCTCGTTCTCCCTCGCGCGACAGGCCACGACGGCATCGATAGCCAACATCCAACACCGTTGTAGCAATAAAAGCGATCTCGCGAACTCTAAAAGACCTGTAACTCACTTTGAGGCGCCGGATTGCGACTGTTGCCGCGTTACCATCCTGACAAGATCGGTCTCTGCACGAACTGCCCCGCTCAAGGACGCGAACAGGCCATCAGCTAATTCACCTCAATGGGCCGCGCAATTGCGACTTGCTCAACATGGCCGACGCGACGGATTTAGAAGCGGAGCTTCTTGCTGCCCTGGGCTCGCTCCCCGTGCCAAACGAGCTTGCAGCGACGAGTACGGATACGCCTCAACCTCAGCCGTTGGGCTCGCCAACCCAAGGCGAGAATGTAGTATCCGCGTCGCTCATGTCTCCTGATCGTCCTCCTCCTGCTCCTGCTCCCGACTCTTCTGCTGTTTCTATTGCTGCCACCGTCGCCGCTCCAGCTCCAGGGCCGGCCACGCCTTCTACTGTGTCCACTCTCTCGGCTCACGGTCCACTCCCAGCCCCCGAAACGAGCACGAAGGTTCCGAACCCACCGCCTCTTCAGCCAGCCCCGTCGTTTATGCAGGCACCTGAGCTGTCTCATGCAAATGCGACGTCTCAGCAGCCTCAGCAGCCTCTACAGCCTCTACAGCCTCTACAGCCTCTACAGGGTGTGCCCAACCCTGCGCCCCAAGAAACCGGTGGTGCACGTTCCCCGAAACGCCCTCGGAGCCCAGACGACACTGATGGAAGCAATGTGAAGCGTCAGAGGACGGATCATTCGGGGCAAGCTCAAGAGAATGGAGTGGAGGCGCCCAATTTCGATCTGGCAGCCGAGCTGAGCGATGCCCTTGCCGAGCTCGACCAACAAGCGAGACCGGAGGGCGACGATATCATCATGCCAGATGCGGACGCTGCGCAAACAGCCGTTGCGAGAGTCGCGACACCCGAGCTCGAAAAGGCCGAGAACAAGATCATGAAGGCTTCCAGCAACCCTTTCTACGTCATGCGCTCCATGAGCCTGCCCGTCTTGGGAAACATTGCGGTTCAGATCCTGCTCAGGCTGTCCCAGCAGCCGCTGGCTGAGACACAATCACTCTTAGCCGACCCCGAGTCCGAGTTCCGCAAAGCGTACGACATATTGCTCGATATCTTCCGATCGACCAGGAAAGCCTTTTCTGATTCTCCGCTGATGTCGCCGGACGAACTGGAAATCACCGACGTCGAAGACCGCGAGACAGTACGCATGTCGAATCTGGCCGCCACTGCTGCGAGTGTATTCGGCGCCCATGACGTCCCTTTGAAAGATGTACACGACGCCTTCTTCTCGGTCTTCATACCCGAAGATGGAGAGTATGGTTCACCATTGACCGAGTTCGTTGTCTGTTTGAAGACTCGTCTCTTGCTGGACGCTCTCGACAAGCCTGATCAATCCCAGGTGGTCTCGCGGCTTCTCAATGAGCTGTTTCCGGCGAATTTTGACAACATGTTGAAAGAGCGCAGCGGCGAGTCTCACTTGAACCCGGATGAGGAGGTCCTCGTCAGTCAAATCCGAGAGCGAAGGGAACTGCTGGTCCGGAGTGCAGCTGACGAACCCATCAAAAGTACGTGTCTCCCTTACACATTCACTTTTAGGCTTACATTTTGCTAATTCCACTAGAATCTCTTGAAGCTCAGTCGTCCTCCGCGAAGCTTGCAGAGGGCTTGAGCGCCTTTCTGCAGAGCCACCTCGGCGTAGTCGTGGATTACGCAGAGAAGTACGGTGTGAATATTCCTCCCAACGAGGACGAGATTGTCACCTCCAACGCCCCCCAAGAAGAGCATGACGGTTTAGCTGCCCTTCTGCATTCGCACCTAGCTAAGTACGAAGGGGTCACTGAGCCAGGGCAGGGTGCCCTCTCTGCTGGAAGCATCCCGGGGCAAGTCGGCTTACTAGAGAATGGCAACGATGACTTGACAAAGCTTATTGAGGAAGGGATCTCTAAGCACGTGCCTGAGCTGAGAGATGCGTCGACGAACCAGCATACTTCGGCAGGACTTGCAGACTTTGATTCCAAGAATCTAGCGTCGTTGATATCCGAGAAACTGAAGAACGAACTCGAGATTCCTACCCACGGACTTCCGGGTCTGTCCACGGCCGACGGGTCCAGCCTGGCAGGACCAGCAGCAATGCATCCTCAGTTCATGGCGCAGCTCACCCACAACAGTCAGGCAGCATACCAACCATACACACAGAATTCAGCTTCTGCAACCCCTGCTGCAGCGGATGGGGAGGCTCTGCCTCCCAACCAGTCCATGCCGACCGCTGCACTGTATGAGAAAGCCCGGCAAGCGGCCGTGGCCAAGTCTTCTAACACAACCAGACGCGAAGGCTTGCATTCTACACGGAGGCCGTGGACGCCTGAAGAGGAGAAGGCGCTCATGGCCGGGCTTGACATGGTTAAAGGGCCGCATTGGAGCCAAATTCTCCAGCTGTTCGGCAAGCAAGGTACCATCTCGACCATCTTGAAGGACCGCACGCAGGTCCAGTTGAAGGACAAAGCAAGAAATCTGAAGTTGTTCTTCCTGAAGACAAACTCAGAGATGCCCTATTACCTCCAAAGCGTGACAGGAGAGCTGAAGACCAGAGCGCCGAGTCAGGCGGCTCGCAAAGAGGCGGAGGAGAAAGCGCGCATGCAGGTGGAAGAAGAGCAGGCGAGAATCCAGGGTATCATGACTCTGGCGGGCGGCCTGCAGAACCACCGGCCTGTCTCTAGCGCTCCGCTCGCTGCCTCGCCGCCGAAACAAAGTAGCCCCGTGACGGCTGCGGTGGGAGGAACCAGCATGTCAATGAGCAGTATGACGGTGCCGGCGGCAGTTCCCATCTCGCCGCGGGTGAAGACGGAGCCGTCAGACCATCAGTTGTTCCCCAAAACCACGGCATTTCCTCCGATCCAGCCAGCCCCGGCTCCGGCTCCGGCTCCAGCAACGCCACAAGCCGCCCGACATCCTTTGCCACCGCTTCAGCCCTTTCCGAGTCTGCCGCCACTGCAGCAGCAGCTGCGCGTCCAGCAACCGCAACAGCTTCGTCCTCAGGAAGCGCAGGATGCGGCGGTGGCGTTACCGCAGCAGCGACCACCGCAAACCCAAGCATCAGCACAGTTGCAAGCACTTCCCCAACAGCAGCACCAGCAGCAACATCACCAGGTGCATCCACAACAGCAGCAGCCGCCACCACTACCGCAGCAACAACAGCAGCAACAACCGCAACCGCCGGTCCAGAGCCAGATTCAACCTCAACCCAGCAGCGCACAACAGCCCGTTACGCAGCCTTCGCCGGCCCCTCAGCCAGTGCTACCTCAACCGGCCACATCTCAACCCACATCTCAACCTTCACCGCAAACTTCACCGCAGCAGCCGCCACAGGGCCAAGGGCCGGCAGCCCCCCCTGCTGCCGCAGATCACCAACACCACCAACCTTTGCCGACACCGCCTATTCCGCCCAATCACCATTCCACGCCCGACCATGCCCAGGATACTGAGTTCATTGAGAAGCTGCAGGCTGCCATCGCTGACGAGAACCACCTCTCCCAGGCTAGTCAGGCTACAGCGGTGTCCGGCGGCTCGGTGCACTAGATGTGATATTGGGGATGGTAGGCATACAGAGAGCTGTGCAACACTCCGATTACTATTGCATCGTCTACACCGGGTCTAGGGAGCTTGGACTTGCTGCGCATCCTGACACAACGGATAGAAGGAGGGAAAGAGCACGATTAAAAGCGGTGACCATCACAAGAGCGTTTATCGTTGAAGTATTGACTTTGTTTTGCGGACTACACGCATAAAATGCCTATTACCGGAGAGGCTTTATTTTGGTTTTAGTCTAGCTGGCAGTCAGTCAGTCAGTGGTATGGCGCTCTGATAGACTGGATGGAGAGGGTTTTGGGGCTGTTTTCCTTTCTTTAGAAAGAGTCCTAGCAGATGATACCATGGGATAGGCGTTGGCCTGGTAGGTCTGAACTGAGATTATACATTTGTCAAGTATCAAGTATCTTCACCATTACTTACCTTACGTACCTGGTAGACTGTGGATGTGAGTCGAAGTGTGAGCCGTTGACTTGACTTGAGCAGCCCAGACCTTTACGGCCCGTGCCCTCATCGAAGCCAAGTCTGAAAGAAGAAGAATGAATGGACTTTTGACATAGTCTGCTTGCCCTGTATACATGGGCCTGGTGGCAATACGGAGAGGGAAATCGCTGATATACCGAGTGAAGTCCCTATAGAGAGACATGGCTTTGGGCCAGTCATGATGTATTAATACTCCAATTCGGACCTCTTCTAAATAACTATTCTGAGCGCCTGTGAACCTTGACCAGGACCCGGATATATATATATATAAGTTCCCCAAAACAACCAAGGTGAGCTCCCTCTAGGTACCTGGTAAGCGTAGTATATCTCTCCCACTTCGACACCAAAGCAAAGCCCCCTCTTTTCACCCTCCGAGTCCTCAAAAGGGCACATACTGATTCAGCAAACTCCAGACACTATCATCCCCAAAATCGCCCGCAAATTGACAAAACGCCGGACCCGAACCCGTCGCCCCTATCCCTCCCCCTCCTCCTCCTCCGCCTCCGCCTCCGCCTCCATCTGCTATCTCTGTGGTCACATTGCCATTCCCGTTCACCTCCACCCCGTTACCGTTACCTGTCCCTGTCCCGGCATAGTTTGACGCACCACCACCATCACCACCACCCGAACCCGAACCCGCACCAGAACCGTGAAACTCAAACCCCCACGCGGAACCGGAACCGGAATGATTGAGACCAAACCTCCCGCCCAGGTCGTGATACACCAGATCGCTGGTCGCATAGATAGGCTGCAGGCTGGCCCAGTCAAAGTCGCTGGGCAGCGTCCAGTCTATCGCGCTGCTGCCATCGCCGCCATTACCTGGTTGGCTATGCTGGGTGGTGGTGGTATCTGTGCCTGTGGTGTCGGTGGTGCGGAACAGGTCCGGGTCGAGGTTGAAGTTGAACTCGCCCGGCGTGGCTGAGACTGATGATACCGACGAGGAGGTTACACGGTTGTTGTTGCTGCTTGAAAGGGGGTTGAAGGAGGTGGTCGTCTGTTGAGGAGGACGGGAGAAGTCGTTGGTGGTGTCTGCTGTGCTGCTGGCCGGAGTGGATACATTTAAGCTACTGTTGCTGGTAGGTACTACAGGTAGTTTGCTGACGGACGGAGAATGGTTGGAAAAGCTCGTCGTGCTGCTGGTGGTGGTGTGCGGCGTGTCGGCGAGAGACGGGACGGTGCTGCCTGTGCTGCCTGTGCCGGTGGACGAAGACGACGGCGTCAGCATGGCGCGCGCCGCGCGGCAGGATATGCCTAGCGCCCGCTTCAGCCGCGGGTAGATGGCGCCGAGGACGCCGAGGGCCGACCTCGCCAGGGGGTTGCGCTGCGACATGGCCTCGAAGCGCTCGACGGCCCACTGGAAGTGCTGGAGTGCGCTCTGCACCAGGTCCGGGTGCTCCTTAGGGAAGAGGATGTAGATGGCGGCCATGAGGACGATGGCGTCGAAGGTGCCGAAGAAGAGCGAGAACCTAAAATGCGGTTAGGCATCTACAAGAAAAAGGGGAAACAAAATTAAGATAAAATAAAATAAAAGAATAAAACAGAGAACGCACGTCTTGTACATCCGCGGCTTGAGCGCCATAAAGTGCAGCCGCTGGGCGTGCAGCATGTCCAGACTCGCCTTGAGCGCCTCGGTCCGGCTCTTGGGCCGTGTGAAGATGTACGGCCGGTGTAGCGCCATCAGCTCGAAGCTGGTGATCTGCGGCAGGATGGCGCGCGCCAGGTTCATCCAGTAGCACTCGGGCAGGCCGTCGAAGCGCCTGTCCGGGTTCTGCAGCCGGAAAAAGGCGGGCATGCTGGCGTCGAGGCGCAGCACCTCGTTGTGCAGCCGGTCGACGCGACTGAAGTCCTTGGGACACGGCCCGTCCTTCTGCAGCTCGAGAACCTCCTTGAGCGGCTGGATGATGTGGTGCGTCCAGAGCTCCCTCGTCAGCGGCGTGGGCGGGTCGTTGTCGCCGCGCGGCACCACGGGCGTCCTGGACCGGTCCCTGGGCACGGGCGCGTCAACGGGCAGCGTAGGGGTTGCCATGCCCAGGCTCGCCGTGGTCGGGCGGCCCAGCACGCAGGCCATGTGCAGGTCCCAGCAGACCAGCGTCATCCAGCACTTGCGCCGCCGCTGGATGTACCACTGGTTCTCCAGCACCGCCTCGGCGCTGTCGCTCGCCGGCTTGGGATCCCGGCTGTCCTGGTGCAGCCCGATTTCCTGCGCGTCGCGTATTGCCGAGCCCACGGCGTGCCACTGGTAGAATCATCCCGTTAATAACCCTCCCCACCACACCCTGAAACGAGAGAGACCCCAAGAAGAAATCACCTACCGACTCAGTCACCCACCCAAAATACTTCAGAAAGCTCGCCCTTACCCACCCGGCCAGGACGGTATTCAACCCCATCCCCCGCTTCCCCAAGACCGCCAGAATCTCCATGCCGCTCTCACTATACTCCCTCGCCAAATCCTCAAATGTCATGCCGCCGGCATACTTGAGCCCTTGCAACACCCCGTCCCCCCAATTCCCCGCCTTATCACCGCCCCCCTTAACAACGTCAACGTCATCATTACTAGTATCATCATTATCATGATCAAGCGTAAGCAGCGCAACAGCGCAAACCTGAAACACCACGGCCGGGAACGCCCTCAACTCCACGTCCAGCGCCCCCGGGCCGGGCCCCCCGCCCGAGAGCAGCGTGAACGGCTGGCGGTACCATTCGCTCAGCTGGGCGTCGAACACGTCGCGGTCCAGCATGTCGTACTGCCAGTTGAACTCGGTGAAGTAGATGGTGCTCAGGCGCTCGATCGCCGCGCGCGGGGGGAGTTGGCGGATCAGGCTGCGGTAGCGGTCGCGGGTGGCGATCGCCTCCGGGGTGGTGCACGCTGCTGCGGCTGCTGACGACATGAAGGGTTGGGAGGGGGAAGAGGAGGAGGAGGTAGCTGTGTTGATGGCTTCGATGCGGGTGAGGAAGTCGAGCGTGTTGACGCCTGTGTGGGAGTAGCCGAAGGCGGTTGCTTTGGTGGGGATGCCGGTTATGACGGTTGTGGTTGTGTCGGTGGTGGATTCATATTCCTCATCGAGGGCTTGTTGGGCCGCCATGGTGATGCAACCGCCGGGGGAGGCCGACGACGCCGTGCCCTTGCTGGTCATCACCGCCCTGCCATTGCCATTGCCATTGTTCTGCAGCTGTTTGGCAGTCGGCGCCCCCTTTTCATATTGGCATGCGCTCTGTTTGTTGCGCGAGACGCAGTTTGTGCAGGGAAGCTTGCGGTCGCACTGCGGGAATATATGTGAGCCTTGGCTCTGCCCGTCGCAGCTGAGTTGGAAATTCCAAAAGAAAGAAAAAGAAACACAGTTACACACACCTTCTGCTTCCGCCGATGGCACTCGGTGCACGAGATGACGATCCTCCTCCGCTTGCGCGGCGGCGGTCTCGCTTCTTGTTCCTGCTTAGTACTAGTAGCCGCCGGCGCATCGGTCCAGCCCAGGTCCGCCGCGGGTGCCCTGTCTCCCGGACCGGTCGGCAGCGTGGAAGCTTCAAGGAACATGACGGAAACTCGGCCTGACTACCTTATTACCTAGTCGGGGTAAATAGCAGGACACGGACTGCGTTGAGTAAACAATTCCGGCGCCGGATCGAATGCGAGCCCCGCGCTTATGCTTATTCATCGCTCAGTTGTCGCGGACTGGGCCCTGCTCCAGGCGAGGCAAGTCGGGGGTTCAATTGTTTGTCAACCCGTCTCGGATCTCGAGAGATGAGGTCGCACTCTTTGAAGGATTGGTAAGCTGGCATCCGCCGCTGCACGGCTGCCCGGTTCGGTGGGGGAAAGAGCGGGCAACGGTCCCATGTCTCCAAGCTTTGCCGGGACTGGTCCTTCCCGCACGCTAAGGCCCGTTATCTCCAGGCCCCCTGCCGGCGCTTGCAGCCCCTGGAGTCCGTTAACACCGAACCGGAGGCACCTCCGTTACCATGGATGTTTTCACCCTTGTTCAGAGATCACATGTCTGACGCAGTGAAGCCAGACTTCGGGTGTTTGAAGCAAAGATAAGGACACCACCCCGTACGGAGTAAAAGCGTATAATATGCAGCACCCTGGCGGAAGCCTTGTTTTTTGCCTTCGCCGTCGAACCCAAAGTTTTACATACGGCAGAGACATCATCCTTAAGTTCTAATAAACCGTGTCTTTGTTGTCCCCCCCGCTCCTCCAACGTAAGACGCAGGCCCCGCAATATTTGTCAAGGTAGGTAGTTCTCCTGTAGATCTTCCCTCTTCCCCCCCTCGCGAATCATCAGGGTATGTGTACATATGTGAAGCTGCCTAACCATCATCCACTTGAAGCCCAACCAACAAGCTTATTATTAAACTCCCCCCCGCTCCATTATGCCAGACGCGCCAGATACGCCTTCCATGCCTTCCTCCTGTACCGCTCCGCCTCCGACGGCGGGTCGCCGGCCGAAATGATGCCGCGCCCCACGATGACAATGTCGGTGCCGCAGACGTTGATCAGCTTAGCCGGCGTGTTGTACTGCTGGCCCAGGCCGTCGCCCTCGAGCTCTCCATTGTCCTCCTCGCCCGGTGGCGGCAGCTTGCAACCGGGCGTCATGTGGAGGAAGTTGTCGTCGGGCGCCGAGTTGAGGCACTCCTGCGCCACGTAGCCCATGACGAAGCCCTTGTGCTCGCGCGCCGCCTCGACGCACGCCTGCGTGTACTCCTTGGTCATGAGGCAGCCCTTGGTCGACATCTGTGCCAGCAGCAGCAGGCCACGGTCCAGTGGCGCCTCCTCGATGCCCGGGAAGATGTCCTCGTCGCCCTCCTCGGTGGTCTTGGACAGCCGCGGCGAGTCGGCCGGCTCGAAGGACTGCGTCACCGTCGTGATGGAGACAATGCTCCCTTTCCGGCCGTCAACGTTCCCGTTGTCCTTGGTCTGCTGCTCCTTGGCCTCGAGCCTGCTGCTGCGGGGCTCCTCACCTTTCTCGTCGCCGCCACCGGCCGGCGCCTGCTGCGCCTGCGCCGCCTCCTCGCGGTCGTCGAACTGGTCCGACACGGGCGTGCCCACCGTGACCGACGTCCTGACCTCGTACGGCAGGCGGTGCTTCCACTGCGCCGCCGCCTCAGCCATGGCCCGCACCATGTCCTTGCCCGCGTCGATATTGGCGTTAGTGATGTGCGCCCACTCTATTATGCGCGCCGTGCCGGCCGTGTACTGCATCTGCACCGTCTTGCCGATGTCGACGAACTTGCGGTCCTCGAAGATGAGGAAGCCGTGCTTCCTCGCCAGCGCCGCCAGCTTGGCGCCCGTGCCCGTGTGCGGGTTGTAGTCCCACCCGGAGACCAGATCGTAGTGCGTCTTGAGCACCACGATCGACGGGCCGACCTTGTCCGCGAGCGTCAGGAGCTCCCGCGCCGTCGTCACATCGGCGCTGAGGCAGAGGTTGGAGGCTTTGAGGTCCATCAGGCGAAAGAGGTAGCGCGTGAGCGGGTGCGTGGCCGTCTTTGCCCGCTCGGCATAGCTCTGGGCCAGAGTTGGATGGCGGTCTGACATCTTTGTCGTTTTGTGATGCAGTGCAAGCCGCAAAGAATGGCAAGAAGCGTCGCAAGTCAGGATAAATCGGGGTTCAGCAGTGGGGAGGTCTGGCAGCTCTTCTCGATCTTTTGTAGACCCTGACCGCTAGACGAATTGTGGCGACCGGCGAGACCCGGTAGCTTGGAAGCGACCCACGGAGACGCAGGTATGCCCGAAAGTGACGATGAGTTGGCCGACTATATTAGCGGACGCCACGGAAATGCGCCGCTATTTTGGCGTTTTCTCCGAAACGTTGCAGCTGGTGAACTGAGCAGCTGATCGGGGTGCCGACGAGTCGTCACTGATGGAAGAATGAGAAAGGAAACGGGAGGGAGCAGGCGCACAACGGCCCGGATGGGAGGCTTTGGGGGGCGATATCAAACAACGAAAGACAGTGTTCGACAGAAAAGAAAGGACAGGGTCTCTTCACTCTCTTCAACTCTTGATGGATCTTGGTGCAGCGGGTCCCGTATGGGCGGATGCGAGTTTGCTAGCTCGACCCCGCAGCCCTGAGCACGCTTTCCACTTCGGGAGAGCAAGAGGACAGGAGAAATCGCGGTCTGGACTTTGCACTGTCGAGCTGAAAAGTGGGATACGACACCAAGCTTCAGAAAGAGGCGGCAATGGGCTGGGAGCCAAGTCTTATTATAGTCAATGGCCGTCCAGGCCGCATATCATGGATAACTGAATGAGAGTGTAGCCCAGCAAATCCAGTCGAGGCCCCGCGGATTTGCAAACACTCAGAAAAAGCAAAGCAACACAGCAACAGAGTGGAACGGATCGATCCAACGCCAGCTAACGGCTCTAACCCCCAGCCAGTCATGCGGGCTTGGCGCCGACCCTGTGTGCACAATGGGACGATGCAATGCAGGCACCGGTGAGTCGAGACTCGAGCGCTAGAGGCGGATGCCGATTGTGCAATGCTTATGTCCAGCTCAAGCAACAGACCAGAATTGGTACGAGACTCGAAAAATAGAAGTAGATGTCTTAGAGTATCGGTATTGTGCCCGGGACATCACCGCACGGCGACACCCGCCATAGAGATGCGGCTGTCAAATTCCTGTTGAACTTGAATCGGAACGGAATTGCCGTTTGTGCCGGCCCTTGCTGTGCACAAGCTCAAAACTAAGCCCCAGTCGTCTCTGTGGGGTCACAGTGCGCGGGCCCAGATCTACCAAACATCTCATCCGAGCCTCGGAGAGACCACCGAGCTCCGGATATCGCATGCTATGAAGAGTATGATTGGACGCCCGTTCCGAGGTCAGGATGCAATGCTGTCTCCCTGGGTGGCTTCATCAGTCATTGAGAGTTGACAAAAAGCTCAGCCTTGAATAACCATCCGCTAGACCGTGTCTTGGTGGTCTTACAGTCCAAAACGGGAGACTCTTGCGGCTAGGGCCGGCTTGATTTAGAGAAGATTATACCTCACCGGCAGCAGCATCTTTGTGGGCATCTAGACCATTGCAATCTCCATGCAACAGCTTTGGCCAAGTAGGAGCAACAGAGAGCGCTAATAAGCTCAGCCCCAGCACACTGATGCAGGGCATGCTGTAGTCGAGCGAGACCTACATGGTCCACGGACCACATCCCCGGCAGCCGCATGCAGGGCAGCAATCTGATCTATCTCGAAGCGCCCGGAGCGCAATCCGATGGGGTGCTTGAGATGTGCGAGTCTGCAGCTTCGATTGCCCGCAAGCTGCAGGGCTGCTCAATACGAGCACAGACCCAGGGCAACTCCCGTTCCCACAACTGACGGCACAAGTTGCGAGGTGGGCATGCTCGCCGCACGCGACGATGTCCCTGCCAACCACACACTGAGTAGTTGAGGTCAGAGTAGAAGCCGATATATGGTCCGCTACGCAAGGCGGACATCGTCGTCGAAAGGCTCGAGACGCTCCAGAGTCGAGGCAAAGAGGATCGATGCAGTCGTGACCTCGGAGCAACCAACCAGGAACGGCCCGGGGTTCCGCGTCATTGTCCCTTAACCTCAAGGAAATGCTCCGCGGTCCGCGAGAATGCGGTCAAATACCGGCCCGTTCGTGGCGAAGGGCACGAGCGGGTCAGCTCCATCCTCTGACTCTCTCACCAAGCCAAGCCTCAAATAATATTGAACCGTGTTCCACTTTGTACGCGCAGCCACTGCGCAGCACCAGAAGGATCCGCAAGAGATTGTCATCAGCGCGTTCAATTGGCGCTCATCAGCGAACAGCGGACTTAATATCAGAGACACTCACGACACCCTATGCTGGGAAGTTGTGTTCAGGGCTGATGAGGCGATCGTATGTAGCAGCCTCGAGACAGCCCTAGCGAGGCGTTGGGCGCCCCACTTGCTCATCTTATCGTCTTTCGGCAACGGTGTTGATTTCGAGATTTCGCGTACTACATAGTGCCAAGCTTCTTATCGATATCGCAAATTCCGAGACCCAACGATCGATTACGCGCCACTCGTCATCGATGCCATCGAATGTTGTCCGACAAGGCCGGTCCGCAAGTCCACAACTTCCGGAATCCCCGAGACCCCGAGAGTGCATCTCAGTCTTTGCGGTCCGTCTCCAACGGCGATCCGTTACACTCATTGACACCATCGCTGCCCTTCCAACCGTCCGGAGCTTTCGCCTGCTCCTTGTCTTTGTTAATACCCACATCAGATTGCGAATTCCGCATCACCCGGATCGCTCGGGGTCCAGCTGTGCAAAGCCGGTCCGATAAAACTTCGAGCGCAGTTGATCGAGGCGGGAGGAGTAAATCTCTGTATCTCTTTGGATGATTCACGAGTAGAGACGAGCACCCATGTCTGGAACGAAGAATCGGAGACAGGGCACAGCGGGTGCCTCCCCGGAAGATAAGGAGATTGCGCGAAGCAATGGAAGCGCCCAGGTAGCAGACGATACCATCGCTGATGGGGAACCTCGGGAGAATATCTTTTTGCTGTGGCCAAACATTATCGGTACGAATCGCGAAAAGGATGGATGGGTATACTTGGCGCCGTCGCAAGCTAACTGTTCCATTCCCCCCGCAGGCTACTCCCGCATCGTCCTGGCCGTTGCCTCGCTCTACTACATGCCACTGCACCCACGCACCTGCTCTATCCTTTATAGCGTCTCCTGCCTGCTCGACGCGCTTGACGGCTATGCGGCGCGCTACTTTGAGCAGTCGACCCGCTTCGGCGCCGTCCTCGACATGGTGACGGACCGGTGCACCACGGCCTGCCTGCTCGTCTTCCTGTCGTCAGCCTTCCCGCGCTGGGCCATTCTCTTCCAGGGCCTGATCTCGCTCGACCTGGCCAGCCACTACATGCATATGTACGCGACGCTGGCTATGGGCGGCGCCGAGAACAGCCACAAGAACATCGACAAATCGCGCAGCCGCATCCTGTCGCTTTACTACACCAACAAGGTAACGTTTCATCCTCCCATCTAGTTGGACCTCCGGTCATCCCACTCCAGCCACACTTAACTTACCCGTTCTCCACAGACCGTCCTCTTCATCATGTGCCTGTTCAACGAAACCTTCTTCATCGCGCTGTACCTGCTGTCCTTCTCCTCCCCCTTTCTCTCCCCCTCCCTGCTGCAGACCGTGCCCGACCACGCGGCGCGCGAGGCGATCCAGCACCACGGCGCGCAGGTCAACTCGTCGCTGCTCAAGCAGATATTCACGAACCCGTACAGCGCGGGCGCGCTCGAGCTCGCGCGCGCCAACAAGATGGACAGCTTCTGGCCGTGGGTGGTGGCGGGCGTCAGCTTCCCCGTCATGGCGCTTAAGCAGATCATCAACGTCGTGCAGCTCGTCAAGGCGAGCAAGTGGCTTGCCGAGGGCGACCTCAGGGCCAGGAAGGCGGCGGGGTTGCCGAGAAGGAGCAAGGGGAAGACTGCTTAAACTTTGGTGGGCTGAGCGGGGAACAACATTCTCTTGGGTGCTGTATGCGGGTAACCAATGGGAAGAGATTGGTGCTTTTAGTTATTGAGAGGAGGGGGGATCTAAACATAAATAAGGGAGGTTGACTTTCGACTTCGTGGGAGGCGAGTTAGGGCTGGTTTACTGAGATCCGAAGGGATGTATTCTCGGAATACCATGCTTTGGTCTCTCTTCGGGCGTTTATTTGGGACAGGGAGGCGGTCGGGCGGGAGCATCAAGGACGGGCTGGTCTGGTGTGTGAAAAAAAAACACCATAAAGACTTGAGGACGGAGCCAGGCCGTTGCCGGTAAGCCGAGAGCACCCGTCAGTGTTTGATTTTGGGACTCACATGCTCAGCATAATTAGAGGTATTTCGTTTCTTCATCCTTCTTCCCATTCAGTGTCCGTTCATTTCTGTATATATACCTTGCTATTGAGTTCATTTTAGGGCCACTAGTTCGCTTTTCCTTCCGTTCTTTTTCTTCACCCTTAACTATGCCTTCCTGTGGTAGAGTCAGCTTAATGCTCTCCTCAACCGGAGCCAAGTTGACGGATTGTCTTCTTGCTAATTCAAAGCTGTATAACTCGGAGCAAATAATCATTGCATAAGGTCTGTTGATGAGTCGACACTGCAGTGCCTTCATTCGTATCATACGATCTCTGGTACCTAGCTGTTCTTCTTTCAGCCATCTTTGATTACCATGGGAGAGATCATAAATGAATTTCCACGAGGGTAGACTCTTAAAAGCACCTGAGTACCTAAGAAACTAGCAGGCAAGGTGCGTCCCTGAGCGAGTGGTGTCTCCAGGTGTTGGATTTTCGCTCTCTTCTTTCCCCTTTACAGTTTTTATTTCTCAGCTAGGCAAATGTGATGGGCAGAGTAGGTAACCTGAGCTCCCTCTGAGCGAAGTAAGCCTTGCAACAAGCTTGTCACGCCGCCAGTCCAGGCGAGTCAAACAAATATAATATTGGGGAGAATAGATGAAAACAGAAAGAAAGACGACTAAGAAGACAAAAACGCAGTCAAGGAAGAAAACGACAAAGAAGAGGAGGAAAAAGCACAAAGTAGAAGGCGAAGAGGACGAAGAAGGAAATTTGATAGACAGATAACGTATCTTATCAGCGAGCCGATCATATCAGCGAGCCGATCAATTTCCACCACACCAAAACATCTATCCTCAATTACAATACACTAACACTAGGAACCAACTATAATTACATCAGAAACAGCTGAATCAGACCCTTCTGCAACCTCCTGGCACGTACGTACATTATGGCCAGGCTTGCCGCACACACCACAGCACCGAACCTTCGTACGACCCCCCCCTGTACCACCACCGTCCGGCTGCGTTTCTTGTACCACCTCCCCAACCACGGCCTTCTGGTCTAGTAGATCCTTTGCATCCTGTACTGCAAGTGATCCTCCAAGCTGCACGCGTGTTCTTTTGGCTCTCCGGCGCTTGCTTAGTGCCTCGTTGGCCTTACGGAGCGAAGAGACCTCTGACCAAAGGAGGGCCACCTGGTGCATCATAGCCATCGTACCCTTAGTAAGTTGATCCACAGCACCTAATATTAAAGTTGGAGAGCTGTTTTAATAGTTGGCAATGCAAGTCTTGATAAGTGTTGACTGCGATTTGGCTTCTCGGGGGTTATATGGTGTCTGGAAGACCCAAGATTATGCAGTGCTAGGTGTGACGAAACCACAGGCAGTCCTGCCTCTGAAAGGGTTCGCCGGTCGAAGGTATCTGCTGGTCGGACTATAGGTCTTGGTGAAGCCAAAAGGTTCACAACAATGCAAGTCGCAATGTCTGCACAGTAATATAGGGCTACCTTACTGCTTGTATTGCTCACTAGAGGACTCCCAGAGCCCTCCCTAACGAATGACTATATACTAGCTATTTCCCCGTGGACGCTCGTGCTCGCCGTCGTCCTCGAGCGTCCATGTGGGGCATCCTGCGGCCTTACGCTTCCTGATTGGTAACCCCGTCACCTGCATGGTCCCACTAGGTCGGGTTATATGGTTGGTTCGTAACACTAGGTCGTGAGGTTGGAGGTGTCGGTGTACGAAGCTTTACGTCTAGCGTAGAAAGGATCTTCTCTGGATCGTATAGTACTAGGCCAGCCCCTGCAAAGCCACCCTGTATGTTCTTCTCCGTTATAGAAGCAAAGAAGGCCTTGCGAAAGCCGCAGAGGAACTCGAGCTTGCTGATGTGGTTGATATGCGTGCGTATTAAGTCCTCAATCTGGCGACCGTATGACTGTTTCAACGGCCCAAAGCAGCCAACATCAAGTGGCTGGAGCTTATAGGAGGAATGCGGAGGTATGCAGAGCGTGATGATGTTATTCTCCTGGCAGTAGAGCTCGAATTCGGTAGAGTAGTGGCTTTTGTGGCCGTCGAGGATCAACAACCGCTTTTTGCCCTTTGTACGAGGTGCTATATAGAAGTCGAAGTGCTTGATCCAATCTAGGCCTACCGTATTGGTAGTCCAGCCGTTATCGGTAGTTATAATACGCTAGTTTGCTAGGAGGTTGCACTCGGTATACCAGTTAGCAAGGTAGTATTGCGCAGCCAAGATGATGAAGGGCGGGATAGCCCAGCCAAACGCATTGACTCCCTGGATCACCGTTACCCATTCGCGGTTACTAGGCTGGGCGAGTTTCGCCTTGCTAAGGCCGTCAGAGGTCGTAACTACTATGCCCGCAGAGATAATGCCCATTATAAACCTAGTCTCGTCGAAGTTGTAGATATCGTCGTCCACGATACCGTACTTGGCCTTAGTGTTCCGTACGAGCGCGAACTACTCGGCAATGACCTTTGGATCCTCGCACTTAGCCCTCTGGTAGTCGTACCGACGTGTCCAACGTATCCGGAGCTCTGGCTTGCGTTTGACGAAGTTATGGGCTCAGAGCTTGCCGACAGGGGGCGCGTTATATACGTGTAATAGTTGGTTGGCCATATCTTCTATACCACGTAGTCTGGGTGGAAATGCATGTGCAACTAGCTCAATGATATATTGAACAATAGCCTCCTCTTCGGAATCTGTAAGCCGGCACGAGTTGGGTGTGATGTCGCGTCGTGCAGGCCGGCCAGCGCGTCGGTTAGAGAGAGTCATAGCTGGTACGTTGTAGAGCCTAGCTGCGGCTCGGAGGCTTAATTTTCCATCGTTTTGAAGAGCTTCAATGGCCAGGAGTATCCTGGCTTCCTTTGAAGTAGGACGCATATTGGGTTGTAGAAAAGATTGGTGTTAGGTGTAAGGAGGACGCGTTGTGGTGGAGACTGTACGACTCGCTTATATGTACGACTCGCTTATATGTACGACTCGCTTATATGTACGACTCGCTTATATGTACGACTCGCTTATATGTACGACTCGCTTATATGTACGACTCGCTTATATGTACGACTCGCTTATATGTACGACTCGCTTATATGTACGACTCGCTTATATGTACGACTCGCTTATATGTACGACTCGCTTATATGTACGACTCGCTTATAAGATACGTTAACAGGGAATAATGAGATAAGATTCATGGCGAGTACTCGGGCGGTGCTGGTAGGTTTCGGCAGTCTGTCGGGTGTCATATGATCGCGAAATAAACGACCGGTCCGCTCTTTCCTTCCTTCAGGCACAAGGTTAGGTTTTATTGAAATCGTTCGACCATTTCAGGCAGGTAGGTACCAGGTATGCATCTACTGTAGGTAGTTCCTGCAGACTCAGATCCCAACAATTCCCTCTTCCAATGCGGAATCTACTCTACAGCCGAGGTTGCTCCTCCGACCTTGCTCTACTGCTCCGATTCATCCATCGTACACTGTCATACCCTGCCCCTTGGTAGCTCCGCTGTTGAGAACGCGTGCGTTGTTTTCTCTGCACTGCCTCCGGACGTCCGTCAAAATCAACCAGAAAAACGGCAATACTACCTGCCCTTGTCCGCTGCCTGCTCTCCTTTCCGGTACCAAGGCCGAGTGCGTCCTTGGCCGCGATGCAGGCTGCGAAGATTATCGGAAAGCCCAAGCCAGCTGCGTCTAGGAACCTCAGCTGCAAGGGGTGTCGTCGGTTTTTTGCCCGGAATAAGAACTGCACGAGGTCGATCGCCGTTCATATATGGATGACGTTCTGCCGCAAAACATTACCAGCATGCGCGGTATCGAAGTCGGTTCCCCCAGGGTCGGATGGTGGTCTTGCCATATAGCCCCGGCTTTACGCGCCTAATTCCTGTCATTCAAGAAAAATACGAGTTGAAGGCTGCCAAAGTTGTGCAGAAGCGTGTTAAGAACGGAAAGGTCTCCACGAACGACACACTTGAGAAAGCTGAAGAAATTCGGATAACGTAAGATGCCGGCCAGAGTCATGCCATGCTTTCTACTAATATAACATGCACTAGGAATACATTAATAGAAGAAGAGTTCGGAGGAACGATGAAGATGATCTGCGAACCTAGATGGACGCGGGGCAATTGAATTACTCATCGGGGAGTATGAACCGCGGTACCAAGCGTAAACTCGTAACGCTCAACCGTAGCCATGCCTACTCTCCTCGAGGTGCTGCAGCGCGAGAACGCCGACATCATCGGGATAGCCGTTGCCGAAAACAAGACTGCGGTTCTGCGACATTAATGCTTTGCCTGGCCCCCATCGGCGAACCGAAGAGGAACCAGGTTTTCTTATCAATAGCACTACCAGTAAGACAACATTATGGTTGCCATCCTTTTATATATATTGACCTTATCTAGCACCGTCACCATGTCCGGCGTTCCCAGAACGTCCGCGCACTTCGTGCGCAATTCGGTACGTGTTCCAATGTGCATACGATATGCTCTGCATATGCCTAACTAGATCAGACAAACAACTCCGTGAAGAACCCCGCCAATCCCTCTGAGCATGGTTACCACCATGGTCCAATTGCAAACCCGACCCATGGCTGGGTCCCTCCCAGCCACCAGGCTAGTCGTGGTGGTAGATGTATGTTGCAACTCTTATCTGTGGTTTTGGTATATGCTGACATTGTTTTGGTTGCCACAATTGGCGCCGAGGAGAATGCCAGTAAGTGATATGCCTGCGATATGCTTTGCATCAGGCCACGGAGAAGGCCGCCCTCGCTAAGAGGCCGGGTTGTAAAAGGACCCTGTCCATCAGAGAACCCATCGGGCATCGAGTGCTGCTGTGTAAGCGATTCGTTCAGCATGATCATTTCATCGACCATTGGGCTGGTTCCAGCTTTACGAACAGGCCGTTCAAACAGGGCATGGCATAGCTCATACAAACGAAGGTGATTCGGTCTGCCACTACACCCTTGATCTCGTCAACCACTTCGACCTCTCGCGCTGCACAGTGACTATCGACAGTCACTGCGCCTCCTCGAAGAAGAGCGGCGCCTCCGCGAAGAAGCCGAGAGCCATATGTCGGAGGAGCAATGCCGACGCGAAGAAGAGCGGACCATCAGCGAAAACCCCGACGAGGAGCTGCGGTACCCTGTTATCCCCGCCGAATCCGAGCCCCAGTCCGCCCTCCGGGCCGCCTCTGTCAACGACCACTCTACGAGCGGCTGAAGTAACAGACACTGGCATACGTTCTAGAAGTGAATAGCAACCTCACGAACTCGGACTATGCCGCGATCTTGAGTTATTGGGATTGAAGAACCTTTCAGCTAGGACCTGGGATGACATTCTCGCTGCCCTTGAAGAGGTACCGCTGAGCCATCCCTTCTGGCGGGTGAAATCGAAGCTTGGGCTCTAGCCCTGGGTAGAGCAACTGGATACCGAGCTGCAGGTTGTCCTCCGGCTACCCACGGTCGCTGTCGAGATACGCACGGTCCCAATCGAGCACTGGACAAAGTTCCTCTCGCTCCCAAGGGCGAAGCCGTCGCCGATGGATCCCGGCCGCCAATCGGCGTCGAGTTCCCAGTCCTCAAATGGGACAGTCTTGATACAAACGACTGCCAGTTTGTCAAGAGGCGTGTGACAGAGCACTTCACGAAAGAAGAGACGAGACGGCGGCGCATCCGCCCGGACTTTCAATGTCGTCTCTGTCCAGGCCACATCCAGTCTCGAAGCTTGGTTAAAGCTGCCGACCTTGTTTCCAAACCTCCGTTATTCAAAGGGGGATGCTCACAGTTCTCCATCGCCGTCCCTTAAGACGCGCGAGGGTGTTCGGGCTCTCGCCCGCCTATAATTCCCGCCGTACCGGTATGAATGCCGGATAGCTGCTTGATGGCGGCTTCGAGCCTATCTATGAGGATGGAGGCTGCACTATGCTAACACGCCACTCCACGGAGGATAATGAGGTCGTTGCCCGGCTCAGGTACATGGACAAAGTGCTGCAGCACCGATGGTAGTACTTGTTCGACCGTATACAGTCCACTATCACAAACCTGAAAATCCAAAATGTGCCTGAAAGGTTACGGACGATGATGGGACAGTTCCTTTTTTTTTCAGGAGAACTATATGTCTCTTTGGGCTTCAGGGACATATCTAGCTCTATTTGGCACTAAGGTCAGTGGGATGGAAGTTACGGGGTGGTTTCAGCGTAAGTGCTTCGTATACACGCTACTCAACCTATCGTGGTCGTATAATGCTAATGGCAACGGCTAGTGTTCCCAAACTTCAGAGCCCCCGGTATTGGCATACGATCCGCTCCCCGGCGCACAGCATCTGGCGACCCACGACCCGCCTGACCCGGAGAAGAACCAAGTTGGCTCCGCCTACTGGGCACCTAAACAAGGGCGGTATTTTTGGGAAGAGCCCGGCTGCAGCGCCAAGTATACATCGATGGGCGCCTTAAATGTTCATATCGCCAAAGTCCACCGCGGAATTCGGCATCGTTGCTCCCATTGTGGGAAGAGGTTCTCAACGATTGGCGCCTTACGAACGCACATCAAGAGTGCCACGACAAGATTCGGCACCCTTGACCCTATTGTGAAGAGGCGTTCTCACTGATTGGCTCCTTACGAATGCATATACTCAGGTTTCGATACATGCCTAGAGGCCGTCATAGGCAAGGCGAGGCGTACGTCAGAGGAGTTGATGTTCATCAGAGACCCTGACAATCAATGGCTTGCCAGACCAGGAGATTCGGGACCGGTGGTGTTCGACAGGGATGGGAGAGCGCTCGGTGGGACTGCTGTTGGGGGGACACAATGCTCAGAACCCTGCGAATTCGTGGGCATATATCACCCTGATCGAAGATGTCTTCCACAACATTAGAGCTCTGGAAGGGTAAGGTCACTGATATCCGCATCGCTGAGGATTGAGAAAATCCCTGAATGGGGTCTTATCGAAAGGACTATGCGGGCTGCGCTTCTGGAGGTAGTTAATGGCTTCAAAGTGGTAGAAAGAGTCGACCCATGGTCAAGGAAAGCCGTACACCAGGCTGGCAATCCGATAGTCTGCGCAAGTTCTAGCAAACGAATAAAACGGAAATAGTGGAAAGGAACAAGAAGGGGAAGTAATACAACACGACGGAGAAACCCCCCGAGAGGATGTCAGACAAGAGATTTAAGATAATGAAATACATAAAATCCATGTTTGATGTACGGCCCTTTTTGCCACAGCGAGAGAAGTTTACCATCAGCGGTGTATGAACGCCGGCTGCTCTTCGGAGAGATAGTGATCCTTGAAGCAGAGCACGACTCTCCAACGGCGTTGCTCCTTCCCCTATACCTGAAGTCATAGTGCTCTGGTTTCCCGCTAAAGGCCAGTCACACACATGCGCACGCGCTCTCCCCATCCCTCTGTTATCTGCTTACCCACCACAACACCCCTCTCAATATCTACACTGTACACCAGCATGCAATATTGCCGATGTTACCGATCAGCAGACCGCTCCGCCCTGCTGCTAGGCTTCGGTCTCTCAAGAACACAGACGGCCCCCATACACGTTTGCGCCGGCACGAGAACGCGAAGCATAGGAGGCAAAGAAGTGAACATAAAAGGCACCGATGGCCGATGTCACCGGTACATCCCCACCCCCCCCCCCCCCCCCCCCCACCCCACCCCCTCCCACCCAAGATAACCGCAAGCTGACCCTTTTCCCTGTGGAAACGGGTGCTCCACTCATGGAAAACGACCCTCTCACAGTGAGACTGGTCATAAGGACGAGCCACCAAGTTCTAGATTGGCTGGATACACGATCTCAGTTGGGGTACGACAGACATCCGGATTCTTGGGTCACCTAGATCATAGATTAGGGCGTGGGTGTTACCTCTCTATTCGGCAGACTGCTTCTTGTGCTAACAGCAGGGTCAATGGTTGTGAGAATCCCACGGGTGAAGCGCAGGAGAGGCGAGGGTACAAAGCGAGGGCGGGTCAAGAGAACCAACAGCCTTCTCCACATGCACTGACTAGGCTCTTTCTGGAGCTCGGGTCCGGAGAGAGAGGGACAGACAACTCTGTCTGTCTGTACCCGTTCTGTATCCTCGACGGCCGCCTGGTATTCCGCTCTTCCGGTCTTCACTCGGAGTTTGGATAGTGATTGAGGGGGACAGGCATCAGCTGAGTTTTTATGGGAAGGTCAGGCTAGAGGGGGGACACAAAACAGACGCGTCTCACAAGCCGGACCGTTGTCCCTTCAACGAGCTGGTGAAGACGTCTCGGCATGCCCGCCGAGAATCCGCGGAGTTTCTTCTGGCTCGCATGAGCTTCGGTTGACACTCTCGGTTGCCTTGCGGCTTCTTGTGTACCACGGCAACAGTTGTTGTACTTTTTCCCCTCGGAGCTGCTCTGGGTCGGGATATGGAGGGCTGTTATCTGGAGGGCACCCTTCGTTCCGCAGCTTCCCGTATCCGGGTCATGCTCTGGCTGGTTGGTGCGGCATGGGGGTTGGGGCGCTATGCCTTTCACTCGATAGTAACGTTTCTGCAAGCCGACGGTCCATCCCCTTACACCTCTCCCCATGAGCAAACTGGATGAAGTGGCCTGGCCAAGGCATCCTTCCTGGCTCGGACCTGTCGGGCCTACGTCACGTCACAGTTAGTGTGAGCGCCGAGCGATTGCCTTATGGCGTGTGGAACAACAAGTCAACGGTAAGGGGGTGCCACTTCGTCCTCACCGAGTGTTGGTGTGCCAGTGCGGTGTGTCCGTATCAGTGCTCCTCCTAGTTCGGTCTTTCCTAACCGACTGTCTTCTGCGCGCACCCCAGGGAGCGTTGCCCTGCGAAAAGGATCCTACCAGTTTCGTAAGACGGCGGAGATCTGCAATCAATAAACGCAACGAGGGTCGAGACACGGGTCTGGACGGGTGAGCTCTCGCCACGTTGGTTGCCGACGACCATTCCTAGGACATCAGACGGCTGCCGCGATCCGTACAGCACAAGCCCGTCAGCGTGCCGAGCAGAGCTGGTATCCAGCCTCAGCACAGAGGGTTTGACACCAGCAACTCCGTGGTTAATCTCTGGGAGTGCGTCATGCCACTCCGGTTGCACTGAATTTGGGCGCTAGAGCGGTGCTTGTGTTCCGCGTTGATCAAAGCATCCCCGCTGTCAGCCTGTGTAAGTGGCCCATCCACGCCCATCGCTCCACCCTCTGGGTCGCTTTCTGCCTTGAGGAATGGAAACGAAGAAAGGAGAAGCGACGAGAGAGCATGCCCTCGGACAAAGCCGTGAGCTGTGGGTGCCACACCACGGGGCAGGACACGGAACGTCCCGAGGGGCTCCGAATAGTCGCCGCCTCTGAGCTCAGAAACCGATGAGCCGTGTACTGGGCTTGATGCCCTCGGAGTTCGATGTTAACAAAGAGAGTTGGGGCAGGAACCATCAAGACAAAAGCGATGTGGCTGTGTGCCCCTTGCAAGTTCAAGCAAACAGCGGACCGGCGACCGTTCGTGGGTCATCAACAACAACGGCGAAAAAGCAACTGACGTCACGGAACAACGGGGGTATGAACAATGGAGGAACGGCGGGCTGAGGAACCGATAAGGCGGCCTCCGTCTATTAAGGCTTTCCAGTTCCCTGCTCAGCTGAGAGAGGATTGTCGCCTAGAATGAGCGGCGACGGCACAGCAGGTCTATGCCTCGAGGAAACAGAAAAACTTATTATTGCGCCGCAGCCTTGCTCTCGAACGGGAGGGGAAGAGAACATAACTGTGTTAGTGAGCGGCACCCCAGCCGCAGCTAGGCCCGAAGCAGTCGTTGCTGCCATTCAATGCCAATCCCAATGGGAGGACGCCCATGCGGCTCTGCAAAACGCCAACTCTCTGCCGGCGGCGAAGGGGAGGACATCACCCCAGAAAACTTCGATGAGGTTATACAATCGGGAGTGCGCATAAAGACCATCGGCCAGCAATGGTACCCATTGGTGTTGCGATGTGTGACCTCGTTCGAGTTGAAGAGAACAAAGGAAAACGCCTGGGACAGATGAGGTGGCTGTGGCTATCGTTATTGCATCCACACCAACGGAGAGAACTTGAGAAGGCTGACACCCCACCAAGCTGCGATCAAGATGTTAGCCTCCATCACGTGATCGACAAGGGTAGGCTCTTGGTTCCGTGGCGCAAGGAAGGAATTCAACAGGGGTCAGCGTCCAGACTGGCGAGTTTGAACCGCGACTGACTACCTAAACTGATGAGCATGCGGGGTGACGACACCAGCACGCCGCGCCTAATAAGGATTGAATAATCAAGCGCACTGCCGCGATGGTCCAGAAGCTTGTTCCGTCTCCCAACCCACATTGTTTATCACCCCCCGGTCTTCTCAAAGGATCGCAGATTCTACCAATTCATCAGTGGCGGCTCTGTGTTCAATGCCCGATCCGGCCTGCGCTGCGCCGCTCTCTGTCTGTCAGTCGCCGACGGCCTCCGGCTGGCATCACTACTAGTCGGAGAATGTGTGAACCTGTGAACCATGCTGGAACTACAGGACACTGATGGTGGAGTTACGAACTAGTAGCACTTCCGGGGGCGTCCATATCCTTGTGTGCTCCGGGATTGTCCACCACCTGGTCAGGCACCGAGATTCTGGACGCTGTGGATGGACCCGCGAAATGCTGTCTGTCCAGAAGCGGCCGCTCTGACCGAGGTCTAAGTCTCCGATCCGATGTCATACCCTCATGACTGACTACATTGTCCCGCAAAAGGTACCTTGAATTCAACCTTGCGTTGCCATGCTCGTACGCCCGAACTCATGTGCTTGGACATAGCTCACCACTCGTATCACAACCCCCCCTCCACCATCCCCAAATGTACCCGTACCTGATGAGTAGTCTCATCGCAACTTGTTCCTGTGATCCCGTCTTAGTGCAAGCCCCTTCCGGCCGCTTATGTCCAGACCCTGATCTACTTCCGGCTTGTTACTGGTTGACCCCGGACAGCCATGCAGGATTTCTTGCATACGCGGTCAACTGGATACTTTCCCATAGGCCGTTGCTTCAGCCTTGCCCGACCTCAACACACCTTGGTTCGCAGATGTCATATAAGACTGCGCGGTTTCCTTCCTCTTCCTCCTCCGACTCTCCCCCGTTCATGTTGCAACTCACAAACTTACACAAACACCAAGCACCAACTCATCAGCTGAAGAGCATCAGCGCACCCCCCCCCCCCCCCCACCCCCAAGACTCATTCACTAGACTCGTAAACCGCCCTCTCACATGCCCGGCCGTTCCCGCCGAGTCTACTTTGAGGACGAGGAGCCGGGACCCAGCGCACGGCGCACCAGAGGCCTCAGCAGCCACCGAAGCAGAAGCGCCGACCGAGTCCACAGCATCTTCGACGACCTCCCCTCCGACATGCAAGGGCCACGCGTGGTCGGGCGCGACGCCTACAACGAGGTGCTCCGCCAGAACGAGTACCTCCGCTCCGAGGTGCGCGAGCTACAGCAGGCCCAGGCGTGGATCCCGGAGCTCGAGCGCCAAAACGCCGAGCTCAAGCGCGAGAACCGCGAGCTCCGCCGGACTACCGCCGTCGACTACGCCTCAGACAACAACGCCAACAACAACGAAGCCCGCAAGGAGCACAGCAAGCTGCGCAAGAAGTACGCCAAGCTCGAGGCCGAGGCCGTCGAGCTCAAGAGCAGGCTGGCAGAGTGGAAGAAGAAAGCGCTCGACTACAAGGAGCTCTACGAGAACGCGAGCCGTCACGCCGAAGACGCCAACCGCCGGCTCGAGACGTACCGCAAGAGCTACACCGTCCTCGAGACCACCAACAGCTCGCTCGCCGAAGAGGTCGCTGCTCTCAAGCGCCGCCTCGAGATCGAGCAGCGGGCCAACTACGAGCGGCGGCGGAGCTACTGGCCATAGTAAGGTAGTAGGGCCGCGCCGTCCCCCTCGAGGCAACGGACCGTGATGTCAGCAGTCATCTATCACTTTTCGTCAGCTTTTGTCCCTCGACCGCGGGCTTCTCTCTCTCTACGTTCCGGTCTACTCTGCGGTAGCCTCATAGAGTTCACCAAGGCGGGAAAAGCAAAAAGAAAAAAAAAAGCCTTTTTCTTCTGTGTTTACGTGTTGGATGAAGAGTACGTCACATCCCCACCACTATCTACAACTGGCGGTCTGCATGGGTATTGACATCCGCTCTCAGAAACAGACAGATCCGGCCCTACTAGACCATGGTCTCCGTCTACTGCAGTGCATCTTAGCCCTCCTTTCCCTCAGGGGTCAAAGGATGGTCGGTACTACAAAGCAGATTCGGCCTCGTTTCATTTCATTTCATTTCCTTTCATTTCATTCTCTCCTTCACGGGATTGTACGTTATCTGGAAGATACTTGGGGATACAGGATATTGGCATGTTGATACCACGGATACTACGGATGAGATACCACGGGAGATTGTTATCATCAAATGTGAACTCTGCAACGTTGGGGCGGGTTTGCTGGATTTGTATTATCCATTTTTTTTTTTCAGTTCTACATTTCGTATTTTCTCTTTTTATCTTCTTTCCTATCCGAGAAGGGTTGGATACCAGGCAGGTAATTCCCCGGCTGAATCTGTGTTATTGTTTTTGGTTGCCCGGATAGATAGGTTGGCAGAGCTCATCCGCATAGAAGTCTCAATCAAGAAAAACAACAAGGGCAAAGCGGTGGGGAATCGAATCCCATAATAAAAACAGCCAGTATCAATACATTTGCTTTGATGTTTACTACTAATCTCTCACACCAAACTTTGTTCATTGCGCAACCTGGTGACGTGATGACAAAGCGGGATGCATAAACGAACCTCGTGAGACTCGATCTCGGCAACTTCCAAACTGGCGAGCTCGAGCCTCAAAAGTTTCGGTCAGAGTCCCGTCAGCTGTTTGGCCCCGGGGCCCAGACCTTCTCTGGGCTGACACCCTGGCTACCTACCTATACAATGCAAGACGAGGTATGTAGTGTACTTGTACGACCCTTAATCGCATGCATCCGACATCTAATCGACCACAAGCTCTCTCACACATCGCCATCGCACCCCCCACCTCCCTCGTACATATGTAGACTGCGCTGGCAGCAACAACAAACATGGGTACGAGTAACGGGGAGTGGCAAAAAACATTGCAGCAAAAAGGCGGCGGTCAGAGGGAGAGAGAGAGAGGGTGGTTACTCTGATGGATCCATCCGTGGTCTGGCTTTCGGCGCTGGCAGACACGTGTTGATCGGTGTTCGCTCGCATCCCTTGTGGAGGTGTGCCTTTAATAAAGCTGCTATGCGGATGTGTAAATCTCGGTGTTCCGTCCATGATGGGCTCTTCTTTTGTTTCATCGAGGTCTTTCAGGTAATGACGACGGAGGATTATAGTGTTCTTCGACCAAAGTTGCCGTTCTCAGGTCGTGGAAGCGAAGTTAGTGTAAGTAGCCAGCCCCGCCCTGTTTCCGTACCAAGTGGGGCATGCGGTCCCCTGTCTCCACTGGCCGTGCCTGCCCGTCTTGGCTGTCGAGGTCGAAATGCGGGCCGGGGTGATCGGTTTTGAAGGATTTTCCTTTCCCGTTCTAGACGACAAGCCAGAACTCACTTCCCCGCTCGCCACCTAGGCGTTCACCTAGAATCAATAGGACTGTGATAAGCTCTGAGCAGGGATCTCGCGGTCCTAGATCCGGCTATCTGGAATATCTGGCTGCCTCACCCTTGTGCCTGAGCTAGCTTCAGGATCTCCTGAAACTATTCACTCCGCTCGTGCGGATTTGTATGGGTTGGACAAGCACCACATACGCCGGCTGTCGCCGCCGTTGTCGGGTATGATGTGAAACCCTGGACGGCATGACGACAGTGGACCGTTCCTTGCCCAGGGTTGTCACAACACCAGGGAGGGGTGCCTTATTAGCGGTTCGATCGTGTATACCGGACGGTAGAGTTACTGAGTGTCTCGACAGTGAGGCCCACATGACCTCGAGGTTAACGATCAGAGCTGGTTTGCGCAGTGCTTGCGCAGCTGCGCGGTCTTTGGACAAAGCCTATGTAGGTTGTATCATCGCGACGTTCTTGGCGCAGGAGGCAGCTCCGTCTTGGCAACGGAATCGCCTCCACCCCGCTGTCTGCCCCTCCCCCGCAGTCCCTCGCGACACTTTTTCGAAGCCGCCCTGAGACGGGAAAATCGAGTTCAACCGAGTCGCCGCGTCTTCTGCTTCAATGGGAACCGTCCCTGACTGCATGTTGGACTGTCTGCATCCGTGACCGTCCCTGATCTCCCATTCCCTTATCGCGGACTGCCATTGCCCATTGTCCCTGGCCGGGTAATCAGATGCAGCTCGATCAATCAGCCAGATTGTCCATCCATGTTCTGCTTAGACGCGCTCTTCTCTGGCCTGCGCGATATCGGTTCTGCTTTCCCCGCTGCCTATCAATCGAGCTCATCTGAGCAAAGATTCAATCAAGAGCTTGCAGCTGCCCCGCAGCCATGAGGTTGGTGCCTAACTGGCTGTCTGCGTACCCCGACGCAACCCTCTCGACGGCAGCTTCCCGATGACCGCCGAGCTTCCAGCTCTCGCGGCCGGTCCGTGAGTCAAACGGTGGCATCCACCAGGTACGTTAGGAAGGCAGCCGTCCTCACTCGTCCAGTCGATTACTAGCACAGTCCACATGACGACGAGCAAAACGATGGAGCCCACCACGGCGCCCCACGTCCGTCCCGCTGCAGATTGCCGCATGCCTTTTCGGGCAGAACCGGGGTTGGAGTGGTTTAACTCAATTCTGATCGGTGGAGACGGGGAGACAGCAGCGAGCGATCCTGTGGTAAGGCTGGATGATGTTCATCCGTTCTTGTCGCTTGCTCCCTGCCAATGCCTACGGACCTCCTCCAGTCAGGATCCAGCTAAGATCACCACAAGGGATAACCATAAGGGCTTTGATGACATGCAGTTGCCCTTGATTCTGACCCCAGATACAGTCCATTACTACCCCACAGTGAAGGCGACGAGACGGTTGAGAAGATAGTCGGAAGGCGCAGGTGCGCCCTTCTAGTCCATTTCATATGACGTTCGAAACATCAAGAATAGGCCAGAACGGATGCTGTGGCCTGGGCGTGAAACTAGCATGCAGTGGATGTCAAGGACGAGAACAAGAGCTCCTCACCAGGTAGGTGGCCCCATTCCCTGGCATCTTGGCAGAACGACAAGCGCTGCGGTCCTTGCCTGGGAGGCAGACGAAGACGGAACCTCTTTGGGAAGTTACGGGAAGAATGTGAAGAAAGGATGAAAGGTGGCATCACGTTCGCCGTGACTCACCGTCCGGCGGCCACCAAAACAAGCGAGGATCATTGACAGGGGTGAGCAAGACGGCTAAAGTTTTATTCGTCTGCTCAGCACCAACCCACTTTTGGTGACACAGCCCTTTGTCGCTGTCGAAATTCAGCACACATATTCCTGCTCAAAACAACAAATGTCGGACTCCCATCGTTGCGTGGAAAGATGCTGGCGTGAACAACAGGAAGTACCTTAGCCTCGCACACCCTTCACAACTACGGTAGTGGCGTGATCCGTTCAGGTTCCCGGTGCCGGAGCGGGACAATTCCTTTGCACTATAAAATTTTTCCTCTGGAACGAGGCATCCGGAATTGTTGATTGTTAATCCGTACGTACGACCACAAGCGCTGTCTGCCTTGCGCAAATGCCTGGTGTGTCTGGCCAGGATCCCATCGACGTTGCGGGGCGTTTCTGAGGCACTGCTTTCGGACCTGGGAACCTTGCGACCGCCGGGCCACAGTCTGACTCGAATTCCACTCGCCCACCGCGGCGGTTGATAGTTCCACCCCTCCCCTCCTTCTGCATGCCACCTCCATTGACAAGCGGCCGCTTTTGCATTGCCCTCTTGAAGGCAACAGCCTCTCTCACTCCAAGTCCTACATTAATAAAGACGGTTGTCCTCAGCGGAAGAGCTTAGTTCTATTATTTAAAGTCTTCTCTTAGTCCCCATACTGAGATTCACAAGTGAGACATTCAAGCGAGATTTGTTTCCTGCCCAAGGAGTAACTTTGTTTCTCTTACACGCCCAACCGGAAGGAACGAGCATTCCTGATCTAGCCTTGCTCACCTGCGCCCCGGCTGCAGCGCCCAAATTTACCCCTGGACTGGGACCCGCCCACACTTTTTTTCTCTCTTATATACCTCTCTACCTCCCTCGCCAACGATCTGGCATTGTCGCAGTCACCTCGTTGAACCAGCAAACAACACACCCACTTCTCTGCTGCTTTAGCCATAAATCGAGCTTGTTCACCGCTTCACCGCCTCGCACCACCTTCTAACACTTCCGCCGCAATGAGCGTGAAGTTCCGCAGGTCGTCCCCCAATGGGGGTTACGAGCACCAGCGGAGCGACTCGGGGTTCAGTGATTGCGAGAGCCACACATCAACTCCTGATCGCGGCTACCTAGTCCCTGGGAACGAGGAACCCGGCATCTACAGCATCCGACGAGCGCTCGAGTCCAGCCGGCAAGAATGCGACGAGGCAAAGGCCCGAGCCAAAGAGCTCGAGCGCACCCTCAAGAAAGTCACCACCGAACTCGAAGAAGCCAAGGCGCGCATGAGGGCACTGTCGAACGAGAATGAAAATCTTGTCGAGGAGAAGAAGTCGCTCACCAAATCCAACAAAGAACTTGCCGAGCAGAATGCGCAACTAGAAGAGACAGTCAAGGAGTTGAACAAGGACTTGAAGAAGGCCAACCGGAAGAGCAACAGCGGCTCGTCACCCTCAGGGTCCAGCGGCAACGCCTCCGAGTCGTCGGATGAGAAGAAGTTACACAGAAGCTCAAGCAAGCGACGCAAAGAGCCGTCTGGGAGGACGGAGAAAGAGAAGGAGCGCGACCGGGAGCGGGAGAAAGAAAAGGAGAAAGAACGCGCCCGCGAGCGGCGCAAAGAAGAGAAGGCTGCGCAGGAAGAGCAAGACCGCCTCGACCGTCTTCGACAGCGCTTCGATTCGCGCGGCGAGGAAAGCGATGCAAAAAGCAGCAGCACTTCCACCAGGAGCCAGCGCAACAGAAGCGACAGCTACATCGAGCCCCTCGGCCACCCGGCGCCGAGGCCACAAGTCTCAGTTACTGGCCCTCTCGCGCCCACACGGCAGTACTCGTCGTACGCGCCGACGACCACCCCGGCCTACTCAACAGCACAGTCTTACCAAAGCATTCGTGAGCCCTATTCGGCGACCACGCCGCGGCCACATCATCCCGCCGTCTACGTCGCCGCCGATACCTATGGCGTAGCGGACGATCAATACGCAGTCCCGCGATCTACACGGCACGCAAGGTGATGCACTGGCGACTAAACACGCGCGACGAATGCGACAGCAGCAGCATCTTCGGTTGGTCCCGAGTTTTGCATTTCTGACGCCTATCCGCCGATTGGCGGTACCTGCACGGGGGATTCCCTTCCTTGCTGCAGCCCTGCGATGCGCTGCTGCGAGCGTTTCGATCTCCGCCAATTCTTCAAGTTTACTCGTCGGGCGCGCATCCAACGCTTTTTTCCTGTTGCTGCCCAACCTTGGCCCAACCCAATGCCGCCCCACCTTTTCACCCGGAACCTAACGTCGCATTCGACCCCAGCCCACACACACTACAACTTTGGAAGCGTGGAAGGATGGAAAATTCTCAGGCGGCCTCCTGAGCTCATTTCCGGCACCAGACGAACAGGATGCTACGCCGCACTCAGCCCTCCGCCTCACCGCATCAGCCACAAGCCTTCCGGAAGCTGTGGGTCCAGCCAAGCAACCCGACATTGAAAATCACTCCACACCGGGCCGTCTCCTTATGGATCCCCCCTTTCCCACCGGCTCGGGAACGGCAGCGGGAGGCCCCATACGACTCCATCGGGCGAACCAACCGCACCCCACAGTTCCCACAAAGTCATTCTTGCATTGTTTCATTTCATTAGGTTTTTGGTTTTTGGGGCATCTCTCTTGGATATCTGTTTCTCATATACCCCGTGTGATGTTGTCTTTTTCATGTCTGTATCAACGTCACATATTACGTTTGGCATGTATGTCTTGTCTTCAGAAGGGAGGGTAGATGGATGGGAAAGGATGAATGGAGGCGGACACGGGTTTCACCACTTCACATTTGGGCATGGATGAAGATATAAGGGATGATCTGGGATGTGTGCACTATAGAGCTTAGATAGACATTTCCTTGTGTTTGACCCCACGGCAAACGGCTTTATCCTTTTTTTTTGTATGACAAACATGTAGTACGGATTATGCTGTTGCATTGAAGTGGGGATTCACGGGATAGGGTTACGGGACTACTAGGGACCACTGCAATAGATGCGACACATCCTCGCTGAAGATGGAATTGGAATCAAAATATCTGAGACTTTGGTTTCTCCCAAAGTAGAATTTGCTCCTGTCTTGTGACAATGAAGACGCATACTGTCTGCTATGCTTTGAGTCTCTGCTGCACCGCTCATGTCATGACATGCCCACCGGCCCTGTTCAGTGCCGCCAAACTAAGCTTACCATATCGGTGGTACCGTTGTGTATCAACGAGAGGACCTCTCCCAGTAATGATTTTGCGGGCGCATCCATAAGTCATACAGAACGGAGCAGGGAAAGAGAGAGAAAGAGGAGAAAAGAAAGGTGTAAAGGGAAAGAAGAAAGGACGAGAAAGCTTCAGGTAGAGAAGCGGTGTATTGTACCACGATAGAATTCCTGCTGGACAGTTGCTAGTATGTATCTGGCACTTTGTGGTAAGGCTCTAGTTACCCGAATGAGCCTTTGACAAAAGTGGAATGCAGATTAATAACAGATTCGCGCTCATGTCTGGTGTCCCATCTGTGTCTTCTTCCCAATTGCCCCATGGCTCCAAACATTCTTGATCCCTTCAGCGTTGTACGCAGATTTCAGTTATCCCAGGACGGTCAGGAATGCGCAAGACGATAACTACAAGAACTCGAAGACGACCTACTTGGGAAATATTAAGGGTAGTTATGCGTATTTAAATAGATGTTGGACTCTACGGCTATGGAAGAGAGAGCGGCCTGAGGTCTCCGCTGATCACTTGGTGTCCGTTCCTACAGAAGACCCGATCTGCCCGCCGCCACTGGGTACCCTAGATATTCCGCCCTGATCTCCCCTACCATCCTCCCCGTTTCAAGATCCCTTGCGGCGGCCTCGCCGACGCTCAACCAGCATGGGCTGCGGGTGCCGAAGGGCCGCCTCCATCCTGTTTCTTCGCGGCCCCGTCCTTCGCGGCAGGCTCCTTGGATTCCTTGCTCTCTTTATCCCCTCTGCCCCGCCCACCCCTTCTCCTGCCACCCCGTTTGCTCTGCTGCTCACCAGCCGGCTTCTCAGATGGACCAGAGGGAGTCGAAGCCGGGGCCGACGATGGCGGCGCAGCAGTCTGCTTTGCGGGAGCAGGCTTCTGAGCCGGGGCCGGCGCCGGCGCGGGGGCTTGAGCAGGACCCGACGGGGTAGCCGCTGCAGCGTTCTTCGCCTGTCCCGCTGCCGCTCCCGAATTCGAGGCCTTTTTGCCCATCTCTTTCCGTTCGAGGATCTGCACTGTGGCCTGGGCAACCGTCACCGGGCTGGCAGCCATGGCCTTGACGAGGCCGTTGTGATCGGCAAAGTCGACATAGGCGAACCCCTTCTTGCGGTCGATCTCGACGCTCGTTACGGTTCCGAACGCCTGCAGGGCCTCCTTGAGGAGCGTCTCGGTGACGCCCTGGGAGTGGTTGGCATGTTTAATGAAAGCTCGCGTCGCACCCGGGCTGGGTGTCGCGTTTGGGTTCGCTTTCTTGGAACTTCCACCTTGCTTCTGCGACGTCGCCTTGGGCCCTGAGGGTGGAGCCGGCGAAGGAGCTGTCGCGGATGGACCCGCTGTGGGCTGGGATTGTGACGCGGCCCCTTGCTGACCGTCCTTCTTCTTCAACATTGCAATGGGCGCTTTTGCCGGCGCTGTTGTTGGCGGCTCGAGGGCCTTCTCACCTTTGGCGCCTTCACCCTTAGCGTCTGCTTTGGCCTTACCGCTATCCTCGCCGCGTTTCCGATTCCGAGATTTGCTAGGAGCGGGTGATTGCGACTTGGCCGGAGCAGACGCCTGCGAGGCTTCGATAGGGCTGCGAGCAGGTGCAACCTCAGCCTGGGGTGGTGTGGCTTGCTGCTTGTTGTCCTTCGCAGCGGTAGCCTTCGCCTCCGCCTCCGCCTTGGCCGCATCCTGACGGGCCTTGCGATGAGCGTTGCCCGGACTTAGGCCCAAATCGCGTTGCAAGATCTTGGCTGCAGCTGCTATCCCAGCCTTGCGGCTCTTGGGTAGCGGCTCGTGTGTTGCGGACTGGGTATTCGGCTGCATCTGGGCCACAACAGCCTTTGCGGCATCGGCAGCGGCTGCCGCCGCAGCGGCGGCCTTCTTGGTGAGGACCTTGACAGACTCCCTTGGCTTCTCAGCGGCCCTGTCAGGTGCCTTTTCTGGGCCTTTCTCCTTCTCGTTCTTTCCATCCTTGGACTTCTTTTTAGGTTCCTCGGGCGGCGCCGGGGTGGCCTTGCCCTTGGCCCCCTGTGAATCCTGCCGCGCATGTTTGGCATGCTTCCCAGCAGCCGTCTCTTTGGCTTTAGCCGCTTTCTTTTCCTTGATATATGCCACTAACGGCGTTGTCGTGGTTTTGTCGGCCTTGTTACCCTCTTGCGCGGCCTGATCAGCTTCTGGCGCCTCCTTGTGTGCGTCGGGATTCGCTAGCGCCTCAAGGAATGCCATAAACTCCGGATCTTGGTCGATCGTGCCTTGCCTCCCGTCAACACGTTTCTTGTCGCTAGGGATCTTCTTGAAGAGCGCGAACTCGACCGTAGGTGGTGAAACCAGGACCGGATCGTTGTACGTCTCTCTGGCGTCCTCCCATTTTGCCAATTGCAGCACCTGGACGAGCGCGGACAACAGGTCTCTCTGGACAACATGCAGATAAGCCCGTGAGGGCGCTGATGGTTTTGACGCACTAGGAAGATCTCGTGTTAGCGCTTGCATTGCAGAACAGCCACGGCCGAGATCTGACAACTGACTGTTTTGAGACCTTCCCCTGCCGGTAGGAAAACCAGTCAACTTTTCCATTTCCCAATCTCCAGTCGTCGCCCAGGATCGTAAGGAATTCCTCTTCAGTCATGCCTGGCGGCAAGCGGCGGATCACGACTTTCTCACCCTGCTGCGGCGGTTTCGTCTTAGGAGCTTTTGCCGCATCGCTGACGGACTGGCGGCTTGTGGCGCCATTTGTATGCCTAGACAGCAGCTGTGGTGTACGTGATGTGCTCATGGGTGATTATGGAGCCCCGCTCCGTGAGTTTGTTCGGTGGTGAATGGGGGTTGGTATTGTTTCGGCAGTTGAGCTGACGAGTGAAGGAACTACTTAGTCACAAGAGGACGTCCGGGGCGAGATGTTAGCAGGGGCTGAACTTATAGGTGGGATCTGATCTCAGGTTGTTAGTCACATCACAAGCTGCATGAACTTGATGTGATGCAGCTTCCCAAAAACTCCGATAAGGCTGCGGGGACAGCTTATCGTCCCCGCCGGGATGGCGTAGTGGGGCCGAGCCTTCAGGCGTGCATGGCGGGCACAGGGGGTCGTCAACACCTCCATGTTCCACCGAATCCAAGGCCAGACTCAAACCCCCAAACACAACTCCTGGTATTCTACAACACGGCACCATAATGGCTACCGTGCCAAAGCCGGGCCCGGCAAACCTCCGGCCAGGCGCCGGACTGGACGAATGGCTCGAGGAGGCCAAGCAATGCCACTACCTGCCGGAGCCGGTCATGAAGCAGCTGTGCGAAATGGTCAAGGAAGTGCTGATGGAGGAGTCCAACATCCAGCCCGTCGTCACGCCCGTCACAATATGCGGCGACATCCACGGCCAATTTTACGATCTGCTCGAGATGTTCCGCGTGGCGGGCGGTATGCCTGGCGAATCGAATGTCCAGGCACCCATGACCAGCACGACCGTCATCACCTCCGACGACATCGAGCCGCCGTCAGAGATCACAAATCCAAAGCTCAAAAGCAAAGTTAAGAATGCCGAGTCACCGGGGGAGGGCGATGCTGGCGGTGACGATAACGACGATGATGCCGCGACAGAAGCACAACAGCAGGAGGCAAATACAAGTACGCACTCACCGCCGCCCGCCGACTCGGGCGTGCAATCAGCGGACACCCGCTTCGTCTTCCTCGGTGACTTCGTCGACCGGGGATACTTCAGCTTAGAGACGTTCACTCTCCTCATGTGTCTCAAAGCAAAGTGAGGGATCACCAGCTAATTCCCCAATCAAAGCTGGGCTCACCTAGCTAACAATCCTCTTTCCCCCCTTCCACAGATACCCAGACAGGATAGTCCTCGTCCGCGGCAACCACGAATCCCGCCAGATAACACGGGTGTATGGATTTTACGAAGAGTGCCAGCAGAAGTACGGCAACGCCTCGGTCTGGAAGGCCTGCTGCCAGGTGTTTGACTTCCTGGTTCTGGCCGCCATCGTCGACGGGACCGTGCTGTGCGTGCACGGCGGCCTGAGCCCGGAGATCCGCACCATCGACCAGATCCGGGTCGTGGCGCGGGCCCAGGAGATTCCCCACGAGGGCGCCTTCTGCGACCTGGTTTGGAGCGACCCGGAGGACATCGATACGTGGGCCGTCAGCCCGCGCGGCGCCGGCTGGCTGTTCGGCCACAAGGTCGCCACCGAGTTCAACCACGTCAACGGTCTCAAGACAATCGCGCGCGCCCATCAGCTGGTCAACGAGGGGTACAAGGTTAGTACAATGGACTGCCTCTCTCTTTCCCCTTCTTCGCTGTCTTTCCCCTGGGATATGTATTTGTATCCCACTCACTCACCCGCTCACTATTTCCAATATAGTTCCACTTCCCCGAAAAGTCAGTCGTCACCGTCTGGTCAGCCCCCAACTACTGCTATCGCTGCGGCAACGTCGCCTCCATCATGACGGTCGACAGCTGCCTCAACACAAAGTTCTCCATCTTCTCGGCCGTGCCCGACGACCAGCGCCACATCCCCGGCGGCCGCCGCGGCGCCGGCGACTATTTTCTCTAGTCAGCCCTGGGCTAGCGAACCACGGGATGCTCCTATTGATGGATTGACGACTGGTCGTGGTCAAGGTCGTGACCATGATGATGATGATGGTGACGATGCATAATGTGGGAATATCGGGAGAAGAAGGAGCCTGCCGAGAGGGGGCGGAAGCGGGTAGCACCATGCCCACGCCGTCTTGGAAATGGCCTCAAAGGGGTACCGGCCCTCTTGGTCGGTGACCTTCTTTGTTGGCTTCTAGAGGTTTCTTCCAGGGGTGCGGCTTGTGAGATGGATGCATGTAACGGGTTGGAGCGAACGGATGAGGTACTGGGAATAGCGTGTCTTGTATATTATGGTTTCGAATGAGAAACAGGCGGCATTCAGATACCCTTCTACCCGGTCTCTCGTTCGAACTGCCACGGATCCCGAGTTCAGGGCCATGTGCGTAATGGGCAGATTACCTTTGGCTGAGCGCTGCACTGAGCTTGGCATGCTGTTATTGATGAATGCTTGCAGTTCAAGTTGCGGAATGCGGGATATCATACCCTAGGTGACTACCATGCTGCTATGGGGCTGTCCTAAAACGATCGATCCGTATGTCGCCCGCCGTCTATATACCGCCCTATCTCACCCAACCCCTTTCGAGCATATCTCTATCTGTGAATTATATGCAAAAGAATTGACAACCACGGGAGGCATCGTGGAATCACCCCAACATAATACACATTACCCCCTTTCCCCCTGTCACCTCTCTCCCTTCAGCTCCTCCTCCACCTCCGTCTTCACCACCTCCCGCACCGCCGTCCAGTCATTCTCCACCTCTCTGACTCTCTTCTCCTTCTGATCCAGCCCGACGAATTCGGGCGGCAGCACCTTGGCATCAAACTCGAACCCCTCCTCGTCCTTGAGCGCGAGGGTCACGGCGCCGGCAAACTTGGCCGGATGCGCCGTCGACAGCGAGATGATGGGCACGTCGGAGCCGGCGCGCGCAGCCGATCTCCTGGCGGCCTCGACGCCCACGGCCGTGTGCGGATCCAGCACGTATCCGACCTCGCGGTACAGGCTCCGGATGGTGTCGAGGGTCTCCTGGTCGCTGACCCGCTCGCTCTCAAACGTCCGGCGCGCGGCCTCCAGTACGTCCTTGTACACGGGGCCGAAGCCGCCCTTGACCTTGAGCGCGCGCAGCCAGGACGAGACTTCCTGGCCGGCCTGCTTCTTGTTCCAGTCGTCGTCCATACCCGCGCTCGACGCGAACTCGTACGCGAGGAACCAGAGGAGACGCTCGAAGTTGGAGGAAACCAGGATGTCCATGGCCGGAGAAAGTGTCTCCTTGACACCGTCCTCGTGCGCCTTGGCCCCGTCCTCAGGGAGGCCGCCGGCGGCCGAAGGGCCGTGGGTCGGTTTCTTCTCGTACCGGCCCGTCTTCCAGAAGCGGTCGAGGATGTCGTTTTCGTTTGTCGCGATGACAAACTTATCGACCGGCAGGCCCATTCGGTGGGCGAAGTAGCCGGCCAGTATGTCGCCGAAGTTGCCTGATGGGACAGAGAACCGGACTTTGTCGCCGATCTTGAACGTGTCGGGTTGTTGGCGGGCGAGGGAGAAGTAGGAATAGAAGTAGTAGACGGTCTGGGCGAGGATGCGTGCCCAGTTGATCGAGTTGACGGCGCCGAGCTTCAGGGTAGAGTTGGCGTCGGGGTCTGCAAACAGGGTTTTGAGAATGTCCTGTACATGTAAGAACAACGGTACAGTAAAACTGGGAAGGCGGAGCAAAATTCACCTGGCAGTTGTCGAAGTTACCCGTTACGGCGAGGTTGTGCACATTGGCGTCGAGGACCGTGGTCATCTGGAGCTCCTGGATCGGGCTCACGCGACCCTTGGGATAGAGCATGAAGACCGAGACGTCCTTCTTACCCCGCAGGCCATAGATGGCGGCCGAGCCCGTGTCACCGCTTGTTGCCCCCACCACGGTAAGGTGATACCTGTCCCGCCCCGTCTTCCCTTCGTTCCGCCGCACCAAGAAGTACTCGAAGAGGTTTCCGAGGAACTGCAGGGCAACATCCTTGAAAGCGAACGTCGGCCCGTGGAAGAGTTCCAGCAGATGGATGTTTCCTTGCAGCTGGATCAAGGGGGTGACCTCGTCGGAGCGGAAAGTGGTGTAGCTACGCCGGATGATGTCCTTGAGATCCTCAGGTGGGATCTCGGAAGGCGAGATATAGAGCGACAAGACGTTGAAGGCGAGGTCGACGTAGGAGAGGTCCTTCCAATCCTGCCACTCGGTAGCGATGGGGATCTGCTCGGGAATGTACAGGCCGCCGTCGGACGCGAGGCCTTTGAGGACGACCTGCTCAAAGGACAGCTGTTATCCTCAACGTATTAGCGGTTTCAAGTTCTCATCTGGTGAGCGGCGCGACTTGTTTGGTACTAGGGGAAGGGACGGCCTACACCGCTATCATCACCCCGCGTGCTCAGGTAGCGCTGGGACGCGGTGTGCGTCTGGTCCGCAGACCCGTTGGTGGCAGCGCTGTTTGCCATGCTGCCGCTCTACCAGTATCAATAAAGACTGCTTGCGAGCGGTCGGTGTTGTGATTAGACCCAACTGCTCGGGGTCGGAGCGGACAGCAAGATGGAAAAAGAGTCAGAAGGTTGGCGAGCGGAAGGCGGTGCCGAGCATCGGCGGGCGGGGCCGCAAAAACTGCGGGAAACAAGCAGAATTTGCCCCGCACTGGCACGCCAACCGAATTGCGGGGCCAGTTTTCGCCAGTCTCATCCGATGTGAGACAACGTATTAGAGTTGTTTACTGTGTAGGTTCGTCCCATTGATGTATGCTACGAGTACAATGGAAGACGACAGACAAGCCGGAGACCTAGAGTTACATGGTAAAGCTTCAGACTCGATAACTCTCAACAATGGTGTCTCGAATCGGATAACTGACCTGTGGGACTCCCGCTTCCTGCTCTGTTCAATATCGGAATTCGATCAGATAAGAAATGCCCACAGCTGAAGGTCGTCTGGTCACCATTACATTAGGGTTGCTGCAAGTCTGCAAGCTTCCCCTAGTCACTGGCTCCTTTCGGGTGGTTATGGGACGGGGTAACTCGTTCGAGCCATATCGACAATGGCAATCCCGGCGAAAATGCGCTGACCGATTGGTAAAGCTTGTGGCCTCGTTCGTCTCGTGATCTACGAGCACACACCCCTAGCCGGAACAAGGCCGGGTTACAAACCCAAGATCTCGGGACGATCAAAACCCAACACACCGTCCTTTCCCCCCTCTCTCCCGATTGTCAAGAGAGAACAGGGGCGATTTAATGGTTTCATGCTCACAGGAAAGGTTCCCCCGCTACATGAGAAACCTGAGGGAAAGTCAAAAAGAACTTTCGCAGAGGATTGACGTAGGTCGATCCCAATTGCCTTCATCATAGCCCCGCTATGAGCCTGCCCTACAGGAGACTAGCATAAAGCAGTGGGATTTGACCGTTGCTCAAAGGGACGAGCTGCGACTCTGCGCTGGATTACGGCTCTGTATGACTGGATTGGTGATGGCCGACAATTGGTCACCCACCATGCAAATGCAAGAGGTTAAGCACGATGGTGGGGCGATGTTGTGAGCCATTGGCTTGGGATGGAAGCCGGAGGCTAAAGCGGGAGGTGGATCTGCTAGCGCGAGACCATCGAGAGCGCCTGACGAATGACAGCGCAGCCCGCACACACCCCCTTGTTCTGCCCAGCGGGTCCGTTCTCCGCGTAATGAACGCTGGGAACGCTCTGGGAACGTCACCACCCGCGCTCAGATTCCTCTCCATCCGAGCTTCTTGACGTGTGAAAGTCGATAGAAGTGAGGATAAAACAATGGATAGGGACAGACTTGAGGCGAGATCATTACCAGTTAGTTTCGGAAGATTGATGCTTCGTTGTTGCATGTCCGCCGCGAAACCTATTGTGGTATGTGATGACTCGCGTGGTGATGGGTCCCTGGCGCAGATCTGCGTAGGTACGTAGCGTTATCAGCAGCCCGCCACCGGCGCCGCGGAGCTCTCAGAGTTCAAAGATCGCCTCGTTTGGCCACTGCCAGCTTGATTCACAGGATGATAATCTGTATCCCCATCAAACAATTCGCTTCATTTGCGGCATCAGTGAGGGTGAAACTGTTGAAGAAACTAGGATCAGCATAGCCGTGGACGTGTCAAATTACCATCTCTCTTCCAGCTCACCTGACGCCTCTCCTGGGCCCAATTCCATCCCATGTTTGATTGCCTGATTTTCTGACTTTCGTTCCTACTTCTGTCTCCGCTGTCGCAATCTCACCCTTTTCCCTTTCTTTGTTGCTTCGACCCCAATGCATGGTAGCGTTGTCCTTTAGCACTCTAGAGTCTGGAGTCGATCGCTCGCAGGCATTGCGGATAGATGCGCCTTGACTGACGCTTTGACTGACGCCATTGCTGTTCCACAAGTGTCTTATCTGCCGCGCAGTAGCTGCACTGTGTCGTTTATGAGCAACAACCTGGAAGACAGCCAACCCGCTTCACATAAGACACAGGGGTCTGTGATAAGGCTGCATCCTCCCTCCCCCTCAACTCCTCACTTGCGTCTCTCTCTCGTCCCGTCCTCGACGAAGACATCAGAATTATCAAGCGATCGTGTAGTGGCTGCTTGCAGGGACGTCTTCCTCTCTTCCTTTAGGACTACTACCTCAGTCATTGGCGATATCTTTGTAAACATCGACCAGCACGGGATCGCCCAAAGGCGCTTAAGCCCTCCAGGAGCCTACAATCGCCTCTGGTTATCTCCTGTAATAAACGTCATCCATCACGCACTCCTTCCGAGCCTCGCTCTCCGGGCCTGTGTTTCGCGTGTCCATGGTCGCCGGCCACGCTTCTGGGATAACCACAACTCCGTGAACTCCTCGCCAGCGCACCATCATGGCAACAATAACCATTTCCCGGCCCATTACACCCCATCGGCCGACATCCAACATCGGCTCTCTCACGACGCCGACGATTACACTTGATGGCCACTCTACGCAGTGTCCCGCTCCCGTGCCCAACAAGCACATTCCTGTGTGCCCGCCGGGGCCGATTCCCCAAGAAAAGCCGACCACACCGCCCCTGTCTCCGGTCAAAGAGGAGGACCAGCTGCAACGTTCGCTGTTATATCCCCCGGACAAGTTCCCACGGGTGGACATGGGCAGTCTGTCACTCTACAAGGTGGACGCCGACGACGTGGCTGCCGCCCTGGATCATCTCGCGCGACAGCCCCTGCCCGACCCCTCCCGGGTCTTCCCCTGGCTCCATGGCCTCCATCCGGACAACCATGTTCAGCAGACCTTCTTCATGGCCCGGAGACGCTCCCAGAGGCGGACGCCTCCCTGCCTCCGCGGGATTACCGTTGTCAAGGCTGACGGTAACTTGGACGCTTCGCGTCTGAAGGGCGCCATCGCGCCGCATGAGTTCCTCCAAGTCGGGAGCGCCACCGTCGAGTTCCTCGAGGTTGATCCCCGGGACGGCTTCTCCGTGCGCAATTTCCAGATACAGGCGGCTAAATCGGCCATGACCTCCGATATCATCGTCTATGGCGACGACGATGCGGCTGTGCGCAAGCTTGCTTGGGACATTGCCGGCGCCCAGCAGAGATGGCGCGACAGGAACGAAATCCTGCGCCAGCACGTGCCCAGGTACAACACCTTTGTCTGCGTCAGCCCGTTTGCCGAGATCCAGGACAAACACCCCGAGATCGTGGCCGTCAACGCGGAGGGGTTGCTGACGGGCAACGTGCTAGATTTCTTCAACCAGGAGAGGAGGGAGATGTACGAGATGACGCGGGCGTCAGAGATCTCGCACAACGTCTGGCTGGGGCCGTCGCCCGAGTCCGGATCGGAGGAGGAGCAGGACTACGACGTCCTGATAGAGTGCAGCGACTTGGGACGACTGAACCCTGCTCTGCTGCAAAGCATCGCTGAGGCCCCTGACGACGAGACTAAGCACTTCCACGTAGACTTCCCCTCCTCCGGGAGCATCCTCGCTCCTACCTGGTCCCATGCCGAAGCAGACGGCATCATAGAGACCTGCAAATGGATCTACCACCTCGCTCACGGCACCCGTCCTGCTCTCCCCACCCCCACGAAGGACCAGCAACAACCAGAGGAACAGCAACCCGAGGTGGAAGTCGACGCTGACGGTGACACTCCCATGACAGCAACGACTGTCTCGTCAGCTCCCCCCTGCCCGACCTCCCGTCCGCGCAAAATACTCATCCACTGCGGGGACGGCTACACAGAATCCACCATGCTCGCCGTGGCTTACCACAGCTTCAGCATGGGCCGTCCCGTGCCGGACGCCTGGCTGGACCTGCACACGACCCAGCAGCGCAACTGCTTCGCCTATCCATCCGACGTGGCCATGCTGAGCGCCATCACGCCACGGCTGCTGCAAGACTCACCCGCACGATCCGGGCAAGGACAACAACTCTCCCTGACGGAGATCGGCGAACTGGCGCGCAACGAGCCGCGCTGGTTCGCTGCCGGGTTCGACGGCTCCTTCCCCAGCCGCATTACGGAGTATATGTACCTCGGCAACCTGGGTCACGCGAACAACCCGGATCTGCTGCGGGCCATGGGCATCGGGCAGATCCTGAGCGTGGGCGAGACGGCCATGTGGCGCGACGGTGAGCTCGAGGCGTGGGGCCCCGAGAATGTCTGCGTCGTGCAGGGGGTGCAGGATAACGGCATTGACCCCCTGACGAGCGAGTTTGAGCGATGTCTGGCCTTCATTGGTATGTTCTTTTCCCTCTTTTGTCTGTCCTGACCTGTCCGGGTTACTTTGGCGTTGGTGACTCTGAGATGAGATGAGATGAAGAGAGAGGCTAACGCGTGGGATAACAGACCGCGGCCGCACAAACAGCACAGCAACGCTGGTGCACTGCCGCGTCGGCGTCTCGCGCAGCGCCACCATCTGCATTGCCGAGGTCATGCGCAGCATGGGCTTGTCGTTCCCGCGGGCATACTGCTTCGTGCGCGCGCGACGGCTGAACGTCATCATCCAACCGCATCTGCGGTTCGCGTACGAGCTGCTCAAGTGGGAGGAGCTGCTGCGTGCCGGCGACAGTACGAGCGAGGAAGCAGGCGGCTTCAAGAGGGAGCTCGAGTGGGCCGAGATTGCGCGCGAGATCGCTCTGATGAACAGGCCTTACGCGCGATGAACGGGAAGGATAGCATCCCCCGGTGGTGCAATGTGTCAGGGAAGCTGAATGGCCAGCGGGAAAGTCGACCCCTGGCGGGAGACTGATTGCTTGTGGCTTTCCTGATCGCAGGCGACGAGCCTCGCCTCCGACCTACAACAGACACCCTGTTCCGACATGGAGGGCACCTGTCCCACTGAAACAACAAAGGCAAGGGAGGCTCAAGAAGGAGGGCTGCCTCCGTCCTCAACCGATCCTGCCTCAACCACCCGACTGCGTATATTGCTTCGTCACAACGTTCACTACCTGGAATTTCACATCAGCGCCAGCATACGCACGCATACGCATACAAGCGAAAACCAGCTTTATCTATCACAAAACAACTATACGACACGACCGTTTCGATTTCTCTCATACTTCTTTTATTCCAGCGTTTTGAGTTTCCGAATCACAGCTATCTATCTATCTATCTACCTACCACGATTTTAGTACCATGTTTTACCTTCGTCTCCAATCTTCCTCCTCTAAATGTCCGAGAGGTTCTATTTGTTGGGATGGGGATGGGCAACGGATTGGATATCAGGGATGGAACGGCGGGTTGGGATCGGGGCGGGATTGGTTTGGTACAATACAAGGAAGGGATCGGTTCCGCTTATTGACGACCGGCGTCTTGCTTTCTCTGCTTCTCCGCGTTGTAATTTTGTTCGTTTGGGGGAAATATGGCTGGGTTGGATTGCCTTTTTATTTCCTTTTTCCTTGGGGATTTGGGTCTTTCTGTTTGTTTGGGTTTGTCATTTTAGGCCTCTTTTATTCTCTCCAGGGTCAGGTGGATATCAAATGGAATGGACTGGCTCAGGTATTACGAAATGGAAAACGGTTCAGAACACCCGGATAGCAAGGTGCCTTTGTAGTGATGGTGGGAAAAGGGTACAATCTCATCCTACCTATTTGCGTGTTGTTGTTTGCCTTTGCTCTGCATTGTGTGGATTCTGAATATGGCATAGTACCACTCATGAAAACGGAAGCGGTCGGGTCGAATACATCCATGACCCGTCGTGAGCCATCCATCAGCCAGACGGACACATAGCCATAAGCCAACCTCACCTATTGCGGCACATGAGCCGCGGACATATCCTACGACACGGCGGTGGGTCGGAGGGGTAAAAGCAAAGAAGGGGAGTGTTTCCTTGTAGCCAAGGTGGGCGAGGTGTACAGTGTATTCGTCCCACTCTCCATCTCTGCATGAAAGACAAGCAGGCGGAGGAAGGTATGCTATTAGTCAAATGCAGTTTGCTCATCCCGGAACAGGGCAATCACACAGTGATAGCGTCACCAGCAAGCCCAGTCAGGCTCCCCTCAACTTGGAATTCTGAATTATCAATGCTCCCAAATCACCTACTTGGGGCCAAACAATACTGAATTACCTCGATATCCAGATCCCCTCGCTTGACTGTTAATACAGACCAGGAGCAAGAGGAAAGACCAAAACGCCAACCGCTATGCAGCAAAAGGTGAGACTCCAATAACCTTCCCGACTCCCTGATCCGGAGATTCCCAAGAACGCCACGGATTGCCCTACCCTTTTCGCCGCAAGACCCATAAAAAAGCCCCCGAAGCAACCAACTCTCCATCAATAACAAAATAAAGAACCCCGACTAATCAACAACCTCCTATGAATGCGATAAGCTTCGTTCATCATCCTCTGTGGATGGCCCATCGTGGGACGGTTCGGGTGTGTTCCCTTCGCCACTTCGCCGATCCCCCCCTGCTGCAAGGTCCCTTAGCGGAAAGATTGTATCAAGACGATACCGCTCCCAATCAGCGTCGGTCCGCTCCTATGAACCGTACGCCGAGGACTCTAGCTTGTCGTCGCTATCGAGGATACTACACAGCGCAGAATCGGTAAGTAATGTACTCGATCGACTACAAAAGAGTGTGAGGGGGGAGAGTCAAAACATACGAGAACTTCTTCAAGAGATATCCCTCACCACCCCTCTCCAAGTCGATATGATAGATGTAGAAGCCGCCATCACTAGTCACGACGATGACCTGCGGTGCATTGCTGCACATGGCGACCAGGCTCTTCAGAGGCGCAGAGGCGCCACGCGCCATGTTATTCCTCGCCCCCGGCGTGTTGGTCGGCCGGGGGATCTTGATGCTCGCAAAGTCGCGCTGCGGTTCCAGCATCTCGGTCACCGACTGCGGAAGATAGGACCCGACAGCCCCGGCCACGCTGCGACCCACGATCAGAGACGAGCGCCGGAGCATGCTGCCAAGCAGACCCCTGGACGGCGCCGCGGCATCACTGCCTCCGTTGTTGCTGCTGGGACCCGCGGCTGGCGGGACGGCATACTCGGGCCCTTCGCCGCCGCGCGGTGACGAGCCGGTCGTGCTGCCGCTGGGCGAGTAGTCGGCGCTGTCGATGCTGCGGGCTCGGGACCAGCGGTTTGTGCGGGGCGAGCTTGGGGCTTCGGATTCCGCGCGAGCGGTACCTCCCGCGCCGGTGCTGCTTCTAGGACTGGCCAGGCGGAAGATGTGTATTGTCTCCGATGCGGATGAGACACAGAGCAGCGTGGAGGCGAGGTTGAACGACATGCTGTATATGCTGGATGGAATAGTTCCGCGGCGGAACTGGAAGAGTTTCTGGCCGTCTGGGACGGAGAAGACTCGGATTATCGTGCCAGTCTCGGATGCTGTGGCGAGCCGGGTGCCGTCGCTGTTCAGGGCCACGCAGGAGAGGGGCGATCGGTGTGCCTCGATCACGTTGACGGCTTTCAGACCGACCGTGTCATAGACAATGACCTCCCCGGACGTCGGCGGCACAAGGGCTGACAGGGGAGGAGCATGGGCGGGTCGCCGTTCGCCTTGGTCCTCACGCGGCTTGGGAAGTGGGTATGTCATGTAGCAGTTTTCTGACGAGGGCGACAGAGCGAAGATGCCGTTCGGGTTCGGCGATGTCGCGATCGTGGTCAGCATGGCCATGTTGGAGATATCATAGAGGTAGATCTCCTCTTCAAGCACCACAGCCAGGCGTTTCCTGTTCAACCGCACGGCCAGTACGGCGGTCGGGAAGGTGAGCTCGCAGATAATGGAACCACGCTACAAGCGGTGTCAGAACAGTCTCTAATGGCGAAAAGTACGATGCAAACAGCGCCCGTCAACAGACCTTTGTGTTTTGTATCACCAATTGGCGAGGGGAGAGCACCAGTGCCACCAGCGAGGTCGAGAAGAGCATCTCGATGAGTGAGACCCTACCCTCATCGCTCTTGAAGACCTTGGAGAATGGATCCGTGTGGTAGATACGGAAGCCTTTGGTGGTGCCGACAGCAATACAGCTGTGGTCTTGGTTGAACGTTACGAAGTTGAGTGAGCTGCCCGACATGGTGGCGTAGCTGTCGTGAGAAGCGTCCGGCTGCGGTCAGAAGGCAGGCTGCTGTGGCGGCGAGTGCGGGGGTGTCTGTCGGTGAAAGCTGTAGGGCTGAAGAGGACGTTGCTGCAATCAGATGCGGCGGTATCGCTAAGTTTGCCTGCCTATATCTGTGCATGCAGTTGTGTCCTGTCAATCGTTCCGAACGGCAACCTATTCGTGGAGACCCCGGCTTTGGCAAGACTGCCTGGTGCGACAAGAGATGCTGTTGGAGGGATCAACGATCAGCTGCCATTCCCGTTGGGGAAGATAACTGTTGTGGAAGCGCACCCCCCTCCAAACCAACCCCCCGTCAGGAGCTCGGGCCATGTCGTCATGACTCGGCCGTCACACGCAGAGCCGCTGTTTGGCCAAGCAACCGTGCACAGAGCATCGATATAAAGGTCGAATTCGCACCTAATAAGGAGACGGGAACCAGAATCACTTGGCTGTCGATCCTAATCATTAATCTAGCTTTTCTTCTGCTTTCCTCATTCTCTTTTTGTTTCTTCTTCCGTCTTGAGTTTTTATCATTTTCTACTGCTCCGCTGGTTTCTTCTAGTTCGTCTCTACAGTTTAAGGCGAAGTGCTCGACTCCCGCGCTGCTCATTGCCAGGGAGGCCGGGAGTTTGATGTAGGGCATTCCTTTGCTTTACTACTCTTACTTCAAACTGAGCGATGGAGAGGGGCCACCACCTGTCCAAGTCGTGTTCAAGCCTCGGTTTTTGATCCATTACAATTTACAACAGCTACGTTGATCGGCCCAAGATGTACCATGTAAAGAATAAGCAAGGCTAATAATGGCGGACATCCACCTTTCTGTGCCCAAGGCAGAGCTAGCTTAATAACTGTGGAGCTCTCCAACGATTGACAACGGTCCCAAGACAGCTGTTGCATTGATCTTCTTCCTCACAATTTCCCTCCGGTCGCCTGCAGTTGTTAAACGCAGCGTGGGCGGCCCCGTACCTCAGCTTCATTCGATTTCACCTCACCTACTACTAGTAGTAACCATGATATTCCTGAACGAATCCGAAATCTCGGTCACAGAGGGCGGCACAGGCCTTTCCGGCGCTGTCGACACCCCCTGCGCAATCCTGGCCTCCATCAGCTTCAAGAGCAGCGGCGGGAGGCTGTCATCAGTCGCCCTAATCGTCAATCGCACCATCTGTGAAATTAAAATATTCGTCAGCCAGACGTGACCTTCAACCCCTTAGAAAAGGGATAAGAGCAAATCTTACCTGGGTTAAATAATTAGGCTCCAACCGCAGCAGGCACCCGTATTTGCCGCCCTCCGAGGTATGCACGACACTCGCTCCGACGAAATTCTTCTGGTTCGGATCGACCCCCTGCAGCACCCCCCACCTGAAGCCTTCGACGACGCCCCTCACGAAACTCTCTGTCATCTCCCGCCCGCTGCTCTTGGACCCGGCAGCCAGCCCAAAGATCTGCTGTGCCTCGCGCGGCGCCCCGCCGATTTGCTTCCACCGCTTGAAGAAATCCTCGGCCGACAGCTCGGCAGGATCCATAAACTTGTGGATCGTCAGGGGCAGTTTCAGCGTGATGGCCTGCAGCGCGCCGGCCAGATAGCTGATGCGAATGGTTGGGCTCTTCTCGAACACCTTCTTCGCCTCGAACACAATGACTTGCTGGGCTTGGGCGCCCTGTGCCAGCGTGGTGTCCGGCAGGCCCTTGATGTCCCAGGTCAGGTTGCCCTTTTCGGACGCGTCGAGGTCGAGCGTCGTGGTGAAAGAGCTGATGAGTGCGGGTGTCTTGTTCGTGAAGTAGAGGATCAAGCACGCCATCTGGCCGCGGTACTCGGACCGCACGCCCACTTGGAGCTGACCGTCTTCGTAGAGAACGCCGTCCGCCTTGAGCAGGAGGCGGTTGAAGCCCTTCTCCCAACCGGGTGAGAGATGGGCAGCGCTGGCAAGGTTGGGCGGCTTGAGTGCCTTGGCCTCGGCGGGTCCGATATTGCTCATATCGAGACCCATGAGATCGTTGGCTGCTGAGTTTCCGTTAGCCGCGGTGGCGGACGAGGCACCGTTTGGATGGTCGTTCGCGGTAAAGGTTCTCCTAAGACTGCCCTGCTTGGCCATGGTGAGCTCGGCCACATCCGCGTTGGCGTCCTTCCCGCCGACAACCCATGTCCTCTTGTCACTTGTCCTGGAGTGCTTCTGGTGTAGCCTGGAGAGCAAGGCGGACTCGCGCTCCGGGAACGGCGGCATTTCATCGCAGACGGTTCTAAGAAGATCGTCCGTGGGCATCGTCGCCAGGGCGAGATACTCGCATGCTCTTTGCTGGAGTTCAGGATCAAGCGTGTGGCTATAGACGCTAAAGACGCTGATAAGCTGCGGCTTGATCTCGGGGAACAAGTTAACAAACTTGACGAAGCACGACAGGATCATCGCCCGGGTGCTCGACGAGCAGGCAGGGAGCTTGCTCTGGAGCGCCAGGAACTGCTCGATCGGGCTGCATCCCCTCTCCTCGGCAACAAGATGACCGAATTCCCCGAGAATGTAGGCACCGATCTTGACCAGCGTTTCGTGGCAGTGATCCTGCTTGCAGTACTGGAGCGTATTCTTCGCCGCATAGACCTGCAGCTCCTCGTTGTTCGTAATGATCTGGATCACTCTCTGCCACACCTCGTCGCTCACATGGTCCCCCGCCATGGCAATGAGGCGAAGGGATATGTCGACATACCACTGCACGTCGGTGGCATATTTCTCTGTCAGAATGGCGATCTTGAGCACCATCTCTTCCCGTATGGCGAAGTCTGCGTTCTGAAGGTAGTGTAGAAGTTCACCGACGATGACCCGCGCGTTCGTGGCGTCGCACATGCTGTACAGGAGGTCAAGCCCCTTCCGTCTGACGCTGATATCTCGGTCCTTCAGCGACCCGATAATTACATCCTGATGCTGCTTGATCGGCTCCAGCGTGTCGGCTCGGGCCGCCAAATGGGTCATGGCTTCCAATCCCAGATAACGGACATTGGTCTCCCTCGATTGAATGAAACGGCCAAGCCGAGACGATATTTGCTTCATCAAGGCATGCTCGGTGTCCAGGTGGATTATGAGGTTGATGGCTTCAAAAAGGACCGCGTTTTGCGCATTGTTCTGCTGTACGTTCTTGTTCGGCTCCATGGCGAGATCCAGGATCTTCTGGAGTGAGTCCCGGATCATTCCCCGGATATGACTGTCCTCTACATGTTGTCAGATTGCGTCCCATTGACGGCTACCGGTAACGGAACATACCTGAAGGCGGGAAGTACTGCAGCAGCCTCAGAAGCTTGACCTGAATCCAAGGGCATGGGACCTTGTAATACAGATAATCCGGCGAGTATTCTCCGTCGATTACGATTCGCTTCAGCCGCCCGGCAGCCTTTGCATATGCGCCCTTGTACTGGTCCAGATTATCTTGCGCCAAGGCCATTACCAAGGACGTCACGGACAGCGCCACCCCCAGGTCGACATCGTCCATTAGGGATATTATCCTCTCGGCCCACTGTGGCTGAACTATGCCAGGGTGTTTTCGGTAGAGTCGAAGCAATGTTAATGCAGCCTTCTTCTTAACAAACGCCTTGGAAGTCCTGTCCGCGGGTCAGTCCCAAGTCCGCAGTGGGCAAATCCGGGAACGAAAACGTACGGTGAGATCAGGAGCCTGTGGACCTCTCCGCTCAGCACTTCTCCCATCTCCCGACCACCAACGTTTGCTATGGCGTGAAGTGCCAGGCAATTGAACAGCTCATTGTGGTCCAGCAAGTCTTTCCTGATGCTGTTGAACACTAGATGCAGGAGTTCGTGCTTCTCATGCAGGAAGAGCGTCATTGCAAGATAACCGATCTGCTTTTCCGAGTACTTCGTCGCCGAGATGAGGTTGACAGCCTCAAGATGGCCGAAATCGACGTTCCAACCGAGGATGTATATGTAAAGGAGCTGCTCCCGAGTCAGCTTCCTGTCCTTGTCACGAAGAGAAATGCCATACCCACTTTGCAGACGTATTTCTTCTTATGGTATCCGCTCAGATTGCCATCTGCATCAGTGTGTCAGCAACATGCCAGGCGACAATCAGCAGAGCATGCGGACCTTTAAACTTTTGCCTAAAAGACACTCAATTCAGCATGACTGGGATAGAACGCCGAGATGACGGATGGACATACCGGATATTGGCCAACTCTTTGTTGATGCGCTTCTCCTCCAGCTCGCGTGCACGGGCGTTCCTAAGGTCGGCGATGAATTGGACGAGTCCTCGCATGTTCGAGTTGCTACTGCTGGACCGGCCCAGAAAGCCGGTTGGCCCTGAAGACGACATCTTGGAGTATTAGGGCAGCACCTCCCTTTCACAACTGCAGCGTGCAGGCAGAATCCGCAATCGAGCCAAGACCTGGACGACTTTCTTCCTCCTATACTGATCCAGCCGTGCTCGCAGTCCCGTCGGCTAATTTTCAGATATTGGCTGCCAGACGTGATGGTGACAGGCTCTCAGAAGAAATTCATTGTCGAGGAGAATCGATACCTCGGGGGCGGGTTCGGCGAGAGCGGAACAGCGGAAGACCTGACTCGTCGCGTGCGCGTGGAGGTCACCGGGAAACGGGCGCCTCGGTCACCTGCATCTCACTTGAGCGTCCAGAAGAAGTGAATTAATTCAGCAAGCCCAATCGAGTTCGGTCAGACAACGGGTGCATGTCTCGAGTAAGTCGAGTTGCTCGGCGGCGACAACGTCGCTCAGGGGGTTGCAGTGGGACTGGTCGTCCGTCCTCCCGTCGCGTTAGCTGCCGACCCCCTGCACATCAATTTGGCGCCCCGCATGGACCAAGCTCCACTTGAGCCGCAGCTGCTCGTGGCCCACCATCTGTGGCTTGCGATGCGATGTGTGGCTCTTGCCGCTTATCGATTAAGCTGTCAACTTCCGCAATCAGCTCCTGACATCATACAACTGCGGCAATGCTAGGCCATTGCCTGCCAGGACTCCGACAATGCGGCTGAATTTGCCTCGGGTCTGCCGGCCGCAGAGTCTACGACTGCCTGCAGCACCCCACTGCACGCGACGGACATACGCCGTCCAGGCTTCAGGCAGCACCGTCTTCAAAGTGTTCAACAGCCGCACGAAATGGCTGCAAAAGGAACGGGCAGCAGCCCATCCCGAGATCAGCAGGCAGGCCGACTACCTCAAGGACGAGGTAGCCATGCGCGTGTGTGAGCGGTTACTGGCATGCCTCCCCCGCCGGCCCCTGATAGTGTTCCCTACTGCACGAAACACTAACACAGCATCATCATGGCTTCCAGGACATCAAGCGCCAGTTTCCCCGCGTGCTGGACCTCGGCGCGAATTCGTGCAACATCGCCCGCGCTCTAACGCGCGAGAACCCCGATCCCGACCCGTCCAGCCCGGTCTCCCCGCCCCTTGCGACGCAGGCGAAGATAGACGAGCTCGTCGCCGCCGAGTCATCAGTCGCCCTCCTCCACCGCGACGCCGACCTCCCCTTCAACAGCCAGCTCAACATGACGCGCCACGTGCTAGCCGACGACGAGTCCCTGCCGTTCGAGCCGTCCTCCTTCGACATGGTCCTAAGCAGCATGTCGCTGCACTGGATCAACGACCTGCCCGGGGTGCTGGCGCAGATCAACAGCGTGCTGAAGCCGGACAGCCCCTTCATCGGGGCCATGCTGGGCGGCGACACGCTGTTCGAGTTGCGGACGTCGCTGCAGCTGGCAGAGCAGGAGCGGCGTGGCGGCATCTCGCCGCACGTCTCGCCGCTCGCGGACGTGCGCGACGTCGGCGGGCTGCTGCAGCGGGCCGGGTTCCAGATGCTGACGGTCGATGTGGAGGACATCGTGGTGGACTACCCGGACACGTTCGCGCTGATGCAGGATCTGCAGGCCATGGGCGAGGGGAACGCCGTGTTGGGGCGGGAGATGGGTGCCATACGGCGGGATGTGCTGCTGGCGAATGAGGCCATCTATCGTGCTTTGCACGGAAATGAGGACGGGACACTGCCGGCGACGTTTAGGATCATTCATATGATCGGGTGGAAGGAGGGTGCGAACCAACCGAAGCCGCTGAAGAGGGGGAGCGGAGATGTGAATCTGAAGGATATCCTAGAGCAGAAGTAGGGGGTTCGATTTTGTATAGGGCATTTTATGTAGGAATACCTTGAAAGACGGCGAATTGACTGACGTTACTGCGCCTACTATTAGCGGTCGGTTCTTCATCTCTTCTCTCGGTGGTTGTCCAAGTCCATGAAATGCAGTCATAACGGATGAGCTGGATCCTCCGGCAAGCATGTCTTCGCATCCCTCGTTGCAGAACGCCAACCATGTCTATAGGCAGCCGAAGACTTGCGTTTTAAACACCTTATCGCTATATTCCCCAACGCCGCAAGAGCACGCTTTACACTCGCCGCCAGTCGGTCATGACCCGGCCTATACAACCCAGCCCCGCCACTTCCACCACCTTCTCGTGCCAGCTAAGCAACACGCTCATGGCCGCGCCCGTCGACTCGGCCGGGGCACCAGGTCTCGCTCCAACCTGGCTGAAGCCGGTCGGTTGAGGCGTCATGCGGCTCGGTGTCCGGGGAGCGCTACCAGCAGAAGATGATGACGACCCAGCCATTCCCTTGTATCTGCAAGACATCGAGCATCAGCCAAATTGCCAGCAATCTTGGAATCGTAACGAAGAGACGAGGGAGAAAGGGCCAAAAAACATACAAGTACTTCATCAAAACATCCAAGCACTCACTGCCCCCGGGGCTGGAGTAGATCCTCTGGAGCATGGGAGTCATCTCGCTCGCCTTGATGCTCTGGAGCACCTCGATGACGGTCTGCAGGTGGGTCTCGCGCGCCAGCTCGCCGCCGTTGTACACGGGCGTCTCGAGGCAGCCGCGCAGCGCGCCCTCGGCGTCGCCGCCGCGCAGGAGCTGCCGCACCTGGGACTGGATCTGCCGTGCGTCGCCCTCGCTGATCTCGGGCTGCGGCGGGTGCAGCGTCGCCGTGTCGAAGTTGACCGACGAGTCCTCCTGCAGCGCGTCGATGTTGATGGTCCGCCACGCGTCGCTTAGCGTCGCTTGCGTGTGCTCGCGGATGATGGACATGGTGGGCGGTTCGAACGGGGGGAGGTGCAAGAGCGGGCGGAGCGTGGTGGATGCGGTCGGGTTTGCGGTGACGATGATGCGGCGCTTCCCGGGTGCTGTTGGTCGTTTGCCTAGGTAAGATGTTGATCGTGTGGGAGTTGTGGGCTCGAGCCAAAATCCGGCTATTCAGCAAATGCTGCTTGAAGTCGAGACGGGGTTCGTTGGGCCGTTGGTTTTGACAGAGGTGCAGCAGTTGGAGTTGCTCGACGTTGCAACCTGGAAAGCAAGCCCCGCACGGTGATTGTGGGGCCGAGCTTGGCCGGACCAGTGCGACCCACTCCGGCGCGGGAGCCTGTTGCAATTATGCCGGAGCCGGATCCGAAAGCCGGAGGTGATGTCGGATTTGAAAACAGCTTCTCTAAAACGTAAGAAGCGGCATTTCCTTGGTTTGATCGAGCTCTTCTGTACCCAGAGTATCAGAGTGCTATTGTACCAAGACGAAAAGGTGGCCACATCGTTACTACATGCCACTATCTTCTTCGTTTTAAAATTAGGTTGTTAAGAGTATTAGGAGCCTGATTGTTTGAAAGGCCGATCCTCCTTTACGTGATGTTCAATTACGAACTTCCCAAGTGATGGCGGTAAAATCATTATCACTGAGCGTGATGGGACTCCAAGGCGCAGTCAAGGATCGTGAACGGATGTTGTGAATGGATCGTGTGATGAGTGTTTATCTGGGGAAAGATAGAACAGGTGAGATGAGGTGGTGTGTTCTTCCCTCAAATAAAAGTTTGGGGAAGGCAGTATATGGGGAACGTCTCGTGTACGGATGTCGCTACCAAAAGAAAATACTCACCGCTTTAAAAAACAACCGGCAGAATTAGCCGGTATTTACAACAGCTGTATTTGGTCCTTCCCCGCAGTCGTACGTCCTTTTCCATCAGCATCCTCCTTCAACGAACCTTCTTACTATGGTTTACTACGATATCGCTACGCGCGCTCAAGCGCTTACTCTCAAGCTTATTGTTCAGCTCGATAATAAGCAGATTGAAGCGATTACCGGCGTCAAGGCCCGCGCTCTTAACAACCTCGCTAACAGAGCTCTTGAACGCGGCTTCGATCCAAATAGCTCCCGCCCTATTATCCTCGACGAACACGTCCGCGATACTCTAAAGACTGGCCGTCCCTCGAAGCAAGGCGATAAAATAGATGCGGTTCTTAAGAAGGTTCGCCAGGACCGGTTTGGTCGTAAGATAACCTGCGCTTATATCTCCATAGAGCTAGGTAATACTATCTCGCCGATGACTATCTGGCGTATCCTCCGCGCCGCTAGGATAAAGAAGACAAAGCCAACACGCAAGCCTGGTCTGACAGAGAAGATGAAGAAGGATCGCCTTGAGTTCTATCTTCGCTATTAGTACTGGACTCTTAAAGATTGGAAGCGGGTTATCTAGTCCGACGAGACATCTATCGTCTTAAATCACCGTCGTAGTGGCTACCGAGTTTGGAGGACCCCTAAGGAGAAGTTTATTAAGTCTTGCATTCGCAAGCGATAGAAGGGATATGCCGAGTTCTAGTTCTGGGGCTGTTTCTTATACGATTCAAAGGGGCCATGTTATATCTGGCATCCAGAGACCCCGCAAGAGAGGAAGGCGGCCGAGAAGGACCTTAAGGAGCTGAATACAAAGCTAGAACCTATCCTCCGCAAGCAATAGGAGCTAGAGACTGGTATAAGGCGTTTGAAACTGCGGAATCAAGGCGGGCGAGCTCCTTAATGGAGGTGGGATACAAAGCACGGCAAGCTTATACGACGAGAAGGCTCTAGTATTAATTGGTATCGCTACCAAACGGAGATCCTAATGAAGAAGCTTATTCCGTACACTAAGCAATGTAGTCCGGATGCTCTTGTTCAGGAAGACCTTGCACCGTCTTACGCCCACTATGCATAAGCTATAGTCTTCTCAGCGGCTGAAGTATTAAGACTACTTTGGTGCCCCAACTCGCCTGATCTTAATATGATCGAGCCGTGTTGGCCGTATCTAAAGCGGGAGACGACAAAGAAGGGAGCCCCAAAGAGCAAGAGCCAAGCAGAGATAGTATAGAAGCAGGCATGGGATGATCTAGAGCAGTGGAGGATACAACGTTGGATTGAGAGGATCCCGCATCATATCCAGGAGGTCATTCGCTTGAAAGGCGGGAACGAATACGCAGAAGGGAGGTCAAAGAACCGCCGTCAAGATGTGGTTCTGGCACCCGGGCCCAGTACTGAATAACCAGTAACTAGCAGATGCAGGAGGATAGGGGAAGGAGGTAATTTACCGCCTTACAGTGGTTTACAGTGGTGGCGTTCTTGGCACTGAAGGCGGTGAGCATTTTCTTTTGGTAGCGACATCCGTACACATTGTCAGGTCAGCATCCCTTCCAGAGGCCGTCTGGTCAAGTGGTATTGTGTTGTGCTCAACACAAGTGTGCACGACTATCAAAACGACCTTTATGCCATGTGTGGTATGGGCAAGGGCAGTTTTTGTAGGCCTCAGATTTGTAGGTTCAAATCCCGCTTCTAGCTGAGCTTTTTGTAACTTTTTTGCCCTTCATTTCTTCCCTTCATCTTCAACCTACTATGGGCTCCTGCTGTCAGAATGGTAACACGCAGTGATATCGGTGCCATCATGGTTGCATGTATGGTGATTTGGTTTTAGGTATGTACTAGATCGCCGAAAAATGAAACCTGGAAACTCGATATTGGTGTCGTAGGTCCCTACTTACCCAGGTAGTCAACCTCTTTATCATGCCGCCCAAGGTATCGTGATCTGCCCAGAGTTACTGTCCACGGCTTTCATCTAGCAGCCTCCTCTCTTAGTCAACTGAACAACTCTTAGTCGTTCATGAAGTAAACTGCAGTGGTGGATCAGTCTTCCCTATTCATTCAACCCTGAGAGCATCGAAGAGCCGGCAGCATATCACAAATTCAATGCCCACTTATTACTGAGCTTCCGAGGTGCCAATGTTTGCCACTTCTCATGCAACAAAACAGGAGCTCCCTGAGTGACCCGGAGAAAACCGTTGTTGGATCCCGCCCCAGGCTCGCCAGGCAACCACTCCCGGCAACAAAGTGCCAGCAGGGTGGACACCGGCACTCACGGGAATTGGATCCTCCCTGGCGTCTCTGGTACGGTATCCGCCAACACAAGCTCTGTCCCATGTCCCCTGGCGAGTCATCAAGGTTGAGCCTGGCCCTGGGGTCTCTGACGGATTACGTTCGGCATTGCTCTCAGCATCGCAATGCAATGGTCAGCTAACGGAGCAGTCTAGCTGATACCTTCGTCGAACAACCTGGAACCTGACCATAACTACAGTCCGTACACGGTAATAAGACACCGTGAAGCCACTGGTCACGACCAGGAACCACGACGCGAAAACTTTCTCTCGCCTATTCCCTACCCCACAGTACCACATCGCAACTCTTTACATCAAATTCCGCCCCCCTTGGCCAACCTCAGCAAGCCGGCGAGCTACCTAAACGTACGGTTAGCGTAGCGTCCACGCAGCCGGCTCGTCTCGCCGGCAACACACCGGTTGTCCTAGCTTCTAGCTGCACGGCCAATCGCTGACCACGGGACAGCGATGCCAGGGCGAGCGCGGGTGTGCGTGCGGTCACTAGCGCCATACTAGTGCGGGTTAGGCTAATAAGGGGTCGGACCCGGTGGCTTGGATACCGGTGCGTTCTGTCTCTGGGAATTTGGGGAAGGGAAGTGAGAAGGCTAGGAATGGGAATGCAGATGGGAATAACGGACGGTAGTTACGTTACATAGGGGAACCGGGCGCAGTTCGTTGCAGGTTGGGTCTTGCCAGTTCAGGGACTCTCAGGGGTTTGAGACGATCTTGAAGGGCCATGTTTGAGTCCCTCTCCGTTTTGCCCATGGGTGGAGGCATGGTGACTTTGGAAGCTTGTATTGCGTGCTCTAACGTTACCGTCGTTCAGGTTGGGTTGGTGCTCCTTATCACTTCTCTGTTTCCGCGTGTGCAGTGTTGTTTCTTTTTTTTTTTCCCAGGTTGGCTGTTTGCAACTGCCTGCCAAGCTGGCAAAAAAGCAGAGAAAAGATGGTTGGTTGGGAAGACCTCCCGCGTCGAAATGATGCATCATGATCGCAGCTTGGCACGAGCCAAGCGAACGGTACCAGATCCGTGGGACAAGAATTGAAGCACTTCGCTGGAGAAAACGGACACTTGTTGATCCTGAAGAGGTTGCTCAACGCGGCGCCGAGTTCTATGGAGAATCACACTTCCTTATTTAGAAATGCTATAGAAGAAAGTGGAGCTTCTAGAACTACGTAATAGTCCGAGGACCCATTGAGGCCCAGCTGGGCAAGGAAGGTTCTCGCCCTTCAGGAATGCGCAGGATCTGGCCGGCGTTGCTATGCCAAAACCACCGATATCCACACCAAAACTGAAGAAAGCAAAAGAGAGGGCACAAGGTGATGGATCACCGCGCCAACGAGGCGTGCAAGGAACGATTCGACAAGATCGATGGGATTGGGATTGGCAACTGCTGAGCGGGTCCCCTGGTGACCAGAGCGCCCGTGCGGGCTCGGTGTCAAACCGACGAACGGGAAAAGGCGACCCAATCCACCGGGATCAATCCGCGGTTCGCTCATGCAGGGCGCTCGGGGACCGAAGTGGGTCGCGCCCCGTCGATCATGCGAAAACCGCGTTAGCGATGAGCGTTAAGGGGGAGATCAGTGCGTTAGCGTATGGGAAAATACCACGACGGAATGAAAATGCGATGAACTTGAAATGAAATGACGAGCTGTCTTTTCCTCCTGAACCAGAAGTCAAAACGGGAGATCAAGTCCACTGCCGATTGATTCTGGGGAGGAAATCGGCATTTCCTTACCTGGGCTGAGGTGATGGATGGCTGGGTGCCAGTGAGTGTTATCTCGAAACGGAAAAGGTTCTATGGACGGTAACCCCCACGTATCGCGAACGGATGGAAGGAAGATGAGACGAACGGAAACACTTCGGTGAGGAGAAAGGGTATGCTCACTGTAACCTCGTCGCCTTGTACCTTACATTATGATGACGGCATCCCATAATAATCGCTGCACAACCTTCCTGACCTTGCATACGCTCTCACGCTGCTCATAGCGGCACAGATGCAGCGAGCCGACATTTCTAATGAACGGTATTTAGCCAGTGCCGGGGTGGCAGTGCAAGATGACTGTGGCGAAGTACATATTGTACAGTTGTAATCGACTCATCACAGAGATAACGGTGATCGACTGATGTGCGGATCGCGATGAAAACAT